TTGCGACATGCAAAACACCGCTTGGAGAAGCTCGCCGAGCCAGCTATTCCTTCCGGTGTGCTCCGACCCTCGGCTTCCTCGGAGTCACACGCCCGTCAAGAACGAGTTTTTGCCTCGCGTAAATCGTGGCCCGGCGATCGAGGGCTTAAGTACATATTTTTGTATTCCGCCGGGAAACGCCGATCCCCCGCCTCGCGGCAGACGTCGCCCCCCCGGGTGTAAATCTCTCGGTCGGAGTCAACGGAAGCAAAACCACCCCCCTTCCCCATTTTTCGCCGTCCTTCTCGTCAACTCCCCTACTCGGGGGCAGAACTCGCGAGCGGAAGACGCCCGGGAGGACGAGGTCGGAGGGGACTTTGGCGAGTTCGGCGCCGAGCGTCGAGTCGCGCGTCCCGAAGTTCGGAAAAGCCTGCCGGTGGGATTTCGATTCGAAATTCCGCGGCGCGCGTGTGGGACGAGCCGGGTCCCAAAGGAAACGTTTATGGCCAAGTTAACGGCTAATCCTAGCTACGGTTACAGCCATTAGGTTACGCTTAAACCGACGTTATTGCCGGCATTAGTTGCCGGTTCTCCGCTCGGCTAATACTCGATATTCCCGGGCCCGAGGACATCCACGAGGTGTCTCGTCCGCTCGATACCGATCTCCGTTTATCGCGGCCGAAACGCTACCCCGTCCCGAGGCAACGCGGACTCGAGAACCGGCGAGAAGCGTCCCCTCGACCTGGTATAACGTCGTAAAACCCGAGAGGAAACGCGGAAACAGAAGGAAAGGAGACATCGGCGCCGGCACAAAGGCCGCGCACTCGCGGCTAAGCAATTTTACGGCGTAATCGCTTAAAGTCCCCCTCGATGCCGGGGAGATAGGAGCGGAAAAGGCATATCCGTGGTAATATCGCGTCGTTACTTAGCTCGTGTACTTTCGGTCGCGACGCGCAACGTCGTTACGCGAACGCGTATACGCGTATATACGTGTATACGAGTCTCTATCTATCCGCGGCTTAGTAATGCAACTTACTCCATTACTCAACTCCGTTTCTATTTAGTTCTCGGCGAAGCTCGCCGTCGGGTTACCGAAGGGAGGGACGGAGATAGAGGATACGCGAAGCGAAGAGAGGACGGAGCGGTACATACGCCGGATACATTATTTACCGCGACGCCGCTCACCGGCGCCCTCCGTCATTCGTTTAATCGCTGGTGAACGCAAAGTTTCGCCAAACATTAATTGGTTTATGCGATCCGGCCACGGGTCGACGCGGCGCGCCGATTCTTGCGCAATTTAAACTTCCTTCCCGCGGCGTCGCGATGCCCTCCGCGGGGCGACGGTCAAGGTTTAAGGGGTATGGCCACGGTAGCGAGTATAAAATCATTTGCATATTCAACAATTTTTTTGTTGTATAAAAAGTAATTTATTTACAGAACTAATTACAGGTACATTTAGTGTATGTATCAAAGTAACAAAAATAGTTTTCTTCAATCATTTTCTTATGCGAAATGGCCGACAACTCCTATTTGCTTTTGTTCATCTTTTTTCCGAGGCGTTTCACGGCGTGACATTTGGCGTTCACAATTTTTAACCTAGAACAAAACGAAAAAATTCTCGTTAATCTACATAAAAATACCTAGAGAAGTACATATGGAATTTTAAAAATATTAATTTTTTCGAAAATGGCAGGTATTTGAAGTTAATGGGTGAATTTCCAGTGAAAAATTTCGTATAAAACTGCTCATAAAATGGAAAGTTTTTAATTAATCAAAAATTCCGTANAATTATCATCATTAGTAACGTTGTTGTTAATATCGTTCTTGTTCTCGTTTCCGGTGTCGTTGTATCGTTGTTGTCGTTCTCGTTCGTTAAAAGCCTACCTACGTCAACCGATAACAAGGCCCAAATAAAACCTTAGGTAAATGCATAAGTCTCGGTAGAAATACAGAACTAAGATAATCGCGAGGGCAAAAAAAAATGCATGATGGACCCGGCAATGGAGACGATGTCAAGGCGATCACGGGACGGTCGCGTGACTATTAAAAGTCGCAAAGTATCTTTCGCCTTTTCCCTTCGAGCGGCGGAAACGTCCTCGACTTCGCGTCGAGCCCGTCTCGTCGGAGGAAAATTCGGCGGAAAATACGGACAGCCGTCAGAGGAGTCGGCTCGCCGGAAAATGGTTTCCCGTCCGAGTGTTTGCCCAACGAGGGAGGAGGGTCGGCGTTATTGGATGCAAGGTCACGCACCCCTTTAGCGAGCGGACGCGGCCGTTCGCGGCGATAAGGACAGAGACGTCACGGGGCAGGGTCGCGATAGGTAGCCGATTTGCATGCGGGGAATAATATCGACAAAGGTACCAATTTGCAGATATACCGGCGTCCCGATGGGCACCGATCCCCCGGGGACCGAATTTACGTCCCGGACGCGCGCGTGCCCCGGCTAGGCGCGCCCCTGATATATGGCCCGTGATTAAAATCGGTTCGAGTCGATCAATCGAACCGCTCTCGATGAGAGATATCGGAATCCGTAGGTCCGCTCGGCCCGGTTTACGGGGCGCGGAGATTAACCAAGTATTCCGCAATTTTAAGAGGATCGCCGGTACTCCTCGTTAAACCGCCCATAATCTGGGCACCGTTCACCGGACCTCGACTCGATTGCCTCCATCGCGAGATATCATCGAAACGATTTGACGGCCTGGGTAAAGCGAGAAAATAAATAAATTACAAATCGCCCGTCTAGCAGCGAGGCGCGATCCAGGGTCTCTCGAGAGCTCAAATGTTTCTCCTCCGTCTCTTCCCTTTTCTTAACCGTACACAAGGGTGACTACGTAATTAACATCTCGACGTTGAAAAGGGCGCGTCGTCCACACCTCGAAGAGAAGGTGAGAGCCCGTTTAACGCCTTAATGCGAAAGTGGGTGCATAGTTAACACCTCGGTTAAGGGGGGGGCAGGGGCGTTCTGGGAACGCCCCGACCTCGCTTGGATGGCCACTTAACATTTTTCCCTTTGGGAGGAAGATACGGCGAGACTCTCGGGGCGAATCTCCCGACGACGTCCCTTTCCCGATCTCCGTCGTGATTTCTCGACCTCGCTCGTCCCCGGAACCCCCGAAACTCGTCTCCTCCGCGTAAACGGTGACGAGTCCTCCCCCCTTCGAGAACAGACGCAATCCCGCAACGGAAACGCGGATTAACAGCTCGCGGGACGCTCGATCGCGCCGCGTCCCCCATTTCCGGCATTTTCCAGGGCGATCGGGGTCCCTCGCCCGGCGACTAATCGCAATCGGCGATCGATCGTTTCCCGGGTTCCCGTTAAAGAGTTCCCGCGGGCGATCCCTGCGGATTTTATTTACGAACGGACCGTTTGTCAGGACGCCGCGACGCTGGATCGGGGTAGAAAGAGGAGACACGTAATCAAGTAACGACGACGATTTTAATCGGTGCCCCGTCCTTCCCCCTCTCCCCGTACGCTACTTTCCGGCTGACCGTTCATCTTTTAAGTGGATTTGCCACCGCAGCCGAGATTTAAGGGCGGTCGTTAAGCGGCGGTCGTTAACGACCGGAGAGACGCGGGACGCTCCGCAACGAAAATCGCAACGGGGCCCGCTGGGACGAGGGCTCGTTTCGAGACGTTTAATGGGGTCCGCGACGTGGATCGCGCGTCATCGGAAAATGCTAATCAAAGGGAGGAGAAGGGGGCCGAGTATTAATCGCGGGGGACGTGGCGGCGGGTTATCGTCGAATTACCCCCGGCGTACCTTGAGCTCGTCCGCCGTGCCCAACGGCGGGTTATCGTAAAATTATGGCCGCGCGTCAACTCGAAACGTCGACAACTTAATCGAGCCGGCTCAATCGAGCCGCGGCCACGTAATTGAATCGCGCCGATAAGGACGATACAATTAAACCTTGCATCGGTGCCGCCATCCAGGGTTCCCGACCCCCTTCTCCAAGGTTCGACGCGATATCTCACCCAGGGTTAGACGGATCGACGACGCTTTTCCTCCGTCGAAGTCGCCCGAGACGTTCCCGATCGTCCGCCTGTGCTCGCTCGCATCCGCGCCGGCGTATCGACGTATATACGTGTATACGTATACATATATATATATCTGTATATAAAAAATAAGACATAAAATTGAAGATCTCGCCCTTCCCTGTAACGCCTCTTCTTCGCTCGGTCGCGAGGAACGTTTTCTCTCTTCCCTGAATTATTGCCGCAGGAGAGTTCCTTCCAAAACGCGCCCGGCGTAATCAACGTTCCACCGGGACGAGCCCGAAGAATACTAGAAAAAAAAAAACATTCGGGACGTGACACATTTTTTTTTCCTCCCAATAAAGCCGCGACCCGGTACAAGCGGTTAAGGACCACGATAACGACGAGGGCGCCCCTCTTGGTTACACCGGCCCCGACCGGGTTTGTAGGGGTGTATCGATTCTTTTTGTCTTACGGTCCATGAATTTCATTCATACATTATGCCCGATAAGAAACCCGCGCACACGTGAAACCGCGTTTTTTAAAAATAGGAATTTCGTGAGCAACGCGTTCTTCCTCCGGGCCTCCGTAATCACGTGTCAAAGTATCAAATGATTTGGTGCACCCAATGTGGAGAAAGGTTTTATAAATGTCCCTGCTTTCGACCCCAGCGACGAGAAAATTCGACCTTGGTCCAGGTCTCTCACAAATACAAAACCAAGTACACGAAGCCATGACCAAAGTCGATTTTACTCGTCCCGATTCGGTACCAGTGCCGGATAAGGACGAAAAAATCGCGGAACCGACCAATCCCCTACGTCCCGGGTATAGTCTAACCTCGCAAGAAGGAATCCGTTAACCGGCACGTAGCAGGGGCGCCTCGTAAAATCTTGGCAAAACCCTTTCGGCCAGATTGCATCTTTCGTCTCTCTCGTTAATCCAAGCGAGCGAGCGGGGAAAAAGGGAGCATCGTCGTCCCTCTCTCCCGCTCCAAAATCGGAGTCGCGTAGTTCCGTCCGAACCCACAAGGATCGCGGAGGCATCTAACCTTTATCTTGGCGCGCCTCGCCGTTGGTTTCCTGGAGGTGGGACGGGTCCTAGGCGTCCGCTGGCATGGGACCTCGCTCCAAGGGCCGTGGGCTGCCGGCCTCTCGCCTCCGTGGCGCGCACAGCGGGCCAAGACACTCGCGACGCGCACTCGGGGGACTCGCCGGCGGATCGCGCTACTGCGGTCGCGGCATAGCTCGGACCGAGCTCGAGACGCGTGCTACTCACCGCTTTGAGGTTAAGTCGCCTCCGGGGTGCGGACTCCGTAGCCGGACGAGGGGAAGGAGACGCGCGCTCGGTCGCGGTTCGCCGGTGACTGCCGGTGGCCGCCGACGACGCTCGGCCGACTCCCCGAGCGAGCGCGCCGCGCGCCTGCGCATCCTGGCCGCCTCCGCCCCTCGTTGCCCTCGGTTTTCCTTTCTCCCGGTATTCGGTACACCCTCGACCCTGCCCAAATCGACGCTCGCGATCAAACCCGCTATTCGATTGAAAACACCGAGGGCACGCAGGGGAGAAACACCGGAAGAAATAGCGGGAAGAGCGAAAAGAGCCTTACCGATGACCGCGGCGCCCCTGGCGGAGGACCGCGGAGGTCGTTTCGCGAGTCGAGGGCCTCTTGCTCGCCTCTTTTTACAAAGTCCTCTTCCCCTGAGCCGAAACGCGTCGCGTTGACCCAAATCGGAATTTATTAACGCTGCCCGCCGTAAAGGTTACCGGGGTAGAATACCGAGGAGCTCGGGGATCGTGTCTGGTCATAAGTAGCGATCTCGGATAGCGGGCGGATCTTGCATATAACGTTTCTCGTGCCGGCGGAGATCTCTCGCGGAGGGCGCGGAAGCTTCGGGCATGTTTGAACTCGCTCGGGCCTCGGCCGGGTCGGGGCGTGGTGCGGAAGACGGAGATAGCGAAATGTAGTGCACCGAGCTCCGTGCAAGCAGCCCGGGTTTATTCACGCAAGGATAAGTCGACTTAGGGGCCTCGAGAACGAAACTCGCGATCGGCCGAAGGCGCCGACGCGTTTATCGCGATTTCCGAGGAAGATCGATCATTTTTCAAAATATATATACGTAACTTTTGTTTCTCACCCTGGGAAAAAAATTCATCGAACCAAAGAAATATTTTGTTAAATCGAAGAATAATGATTTGACCCAAATAAACTCAAATAAATTGTCATAATTCCGGTAAAACGTTGCGTCCACTTTATTCGAATGTATTCGAATGAAATAATTACTCCTTGAGTGAACAAAATATTTCTTTTTTTTCGACGAATTCTTTTCCTCGGTATACGCAGAAATGTATGTCCGACTCCGAAACAACGCGTTTCTTCGAGATGGTAATACCGGAATCGCGAGTATTATATGGACTCGTACCCTGCCGGAGGATGCCACTCGTCCGTAAAGCAGGCGGAATGCCTGGGCTGACGGAAGGGCAGGAGTACCTTAACTCGACGCGGTTATTTTCCAACGTCTCTTACGAGGGTTAAATCGAATCACGAGCTACGCAGCGATATCGGTATCAATATTATAATAGCAATATCCACCGGGAGTCGAGCCGAGAGGAAGGGCACGGGGTTGCTCCTTGCGGAAGTAATGCACTTTCCATCCGCTCGCGTGAGATCCTGGCCGTCATTTCGGAGCTTATAAAAAGTTCAGAATGACGCCGGAGGAAATGGAAGGAAAGGCGGGATAGAAATCACGGAAGGCGGAATGCTCGCTGAAACTCAAAGCGGAGCGTAAACTCGCGGCGCAGCGCGGCGCGGCGTCGGTTCGCGCTCGCTTTCGCTCCCGACGCGCCGAAGGGGCAGGACCCGCCAAAGGAGCGGACGGCCCGTCGAGGCCGGGAAATGGGAAAACGAAATGAACCGTGAATAATTATGTATTGCTCTTAATACTTTACGATTCCGAAGGGTAGCGCGCGAGGCTGGGAAAATATTAATGTCAAAGGTGCCTCCTTCGTTTTCTTCCGCGTCCGACAAACTCGACGCGGATTGCGCGAGGTTCGAGGGTCCGGGGGTCCGAGGGAGGTCCCGGGAGTAGGTGGAAAGACGCGAAACGCGCCTCTTTTCAAGGGAAGTGTACGATAAACACGCTCGACTCGATGCGCTTGCGTGCGCGCCACGGGGGTCCACCCGCAGAGGGTAGAGGGGAGGTTTTGGATCGATGCTTCGGTTTTGTCCGTGGTCGTGAGTAGGCCACCCTCTTCATTTGTAGAGAGTGGTCAGCCGCCGCCGATGAATGCACGCTCGGAGCGGAAACGGCTACTCGCTCGCGTCCGCTTTTTCGATGGAGCGCGGGCACCGAAGGACCCGCAAATCGATTTCATCCCGATGTAATCATCCGCTCGTAAACCGACTCGGCAAATTGTTTATTTCTCGAGGGAAAATAATAGTCCTCGGAGGACTTTTTCGGCGATGGGGCGCCAACGAGGCATCGCGACGATCGCGGTTAATCGGCACGAAAATTCGCGGCCGTAAAAAAAAAAAATCTGATTTCCGATCAACCCGTCATCGCGCCAGATTTCCTGGAGTAAAGACAAAGACGGCAACCGCGAATTACGACGGAAATCCGAGGCGGAATTCGGCGAGAGGGGTGTCGGTCGCGCCCACGTTCTCGCACACTCGGAAACGTCGAGACTAACTGCCCGAACGTGCGGGGACATCCGGGACGGGAAAGGGAGAAAAAGGAAAAAAGGGAGGATGGCAGGGACGGCAAAGCCGCGCACGCGGGAGGACCAAGTTTCCGGCAATAAAAGGAAGAGCCGGCGAGGACAGAGCTTGCCCGCAAGAAAAGCTTACCGAGGGGGAATAAAATACGTGTCGGGCCGATAGCGACATCGTGACCCGATAATCTGCTCGCGGTTGGCCGCCGTTCCGGCGTTTATCGGCGCTCCTTCGACGGAGCGTCGGAAGGAAGCGCAACCGGATACGAGATATCCGGACTGCTCTTTGCCGCTCTTTCGAATTCCGTCGCGGTCCCGGCTTCGTCGAATCCGAGGGCGAACCTGGGAAAGTTGGCCGTTCGAAGACGTTAGCCGGACCGATATCGAGTCGAGCTCGGTCAAAATTCCCGAAAATTCCCCGCTCGGCATCGGGAATTCCCATCGGCGCTTCTTTTCGAAGAAGCTCCCGCGACGTAACGTCGCAGGCTTTCCGGATATCTCCGCGTTTGCTTTGAGATAATAATCCGGGGTATTAAGTGCTCGCGGCTCCTCGGTGAATTTCATATGGGGTCGGGGGAGCGCCGGCGGTGGAGAGGAGAGAGAAGACGAGAATTATGCCGAGGCGGAGACACGCGCCAGCGCTACCTCGCGATTCCGTTCCGGTGCATTAGATCTCGCGGTGGGAATACGGAGAACTTTATCAAAGACGGGGCAACGGCACGCCTGTCGAAACGGTAATTGAGTCAGAGACACCGTAGACACTCCGAGAAAAGAAAATCCATCCTTCTACGTGTGTCGGACAGGAGGAACTGCTTTGCCGCGTTAGACTAGCGTACAGACCCTAACGCGGAATTTGATCAAAGACTCCGCGTTCCGAGCATGTCGGACCGTCGAACCAGACGGCATCGATTCTCGCTGCACGATCGCTTTTTTGCCCGCTAATCCGAACCTTCAAAGACCCCGTCCGATCTCTAACGTTACGTTATTACGGTCCGCCCTGCTCCCACCCGTTTTCCCTCCGCGGACATTTGCATCGCCTCCCACGTTGGCAATTCGACCATCCCGACGGAATCGTGGGGTGCAAATCGAGGGCGCTCGAAAAAGTACCCCGGCACGCATGGGCCGGCCATGAGCGACTTCCGCCCTGTCGGGAGGGAAACGCGTCGCGTCTTTCAACGAGCTCCACCGATCGGGCAAAAATTAGGATCGGGAAAACGAGGAAACGAGCCTCGGATTGATACGGAGCGAGCCAACGCCGGCATCCCTGCCAGCGGCAAAATTACGAGCCATTAATCATTCGCGCGATTATTGCCCGAAGTTCGACGTCCAATCGGGCCTCTCGAATTCGTCGGGCCGGCGGTGTAAATTTCCACCGACGACACCTCGAATTGCCGACTCGTTAATCTTCGCGTCCGAAGGTTTCGCTCTTGAATCCACGTCGGTTCGCGGGGACACCTTCGCGAGAGAGAGCCAGGGTGGTCCCGGTCGGTTCCGGGAGTCTAGCCGCGAATTCGATAGGGGATCGGTCGGGCTCGCGAGGAGGAAAGTCCATGGCGCTAATTAGGAAGTCCTTGTACTCCGGAGCAAAATCGAGCAACCTCGGCCCCGAAGCCGATGCGAGACGCGCGAGTTCAAGAGGCTTACGAACAAAGACCTTAATGTCCGTCGAGTTTGCTTTAAGAACGAAGTTGGTTGTTCGGTGCCACGATGGGAAGACCGATGCCAAGTATAAGGAACTTGCGAGGACCGTCTAAGAGGATTCTCCTCTGGCGTTTGCGATGGTTTTCGCTACCGGTCAACGGACCTTCCTCGGACCCGATCGTTGACTGGCGCGATAAAAATTCAGGGGAGGAATTTTCCTTGAATCGACGCGATCGGGATCAAGGTCGAGGTCTTATCACCTGCCGAGAGAGGTACGATCGTTCGCGAGGTGTCCTTATTTTAAGCGGTACCCAGACCCACCCCTTGTGCTCGTCGACGTCTCCTGCTTTTGTGGACGGTCGCGATCTTAACGAAAGGAACGACGGGCGAAAAGCGAGAGACGTTTCGACTCCCAGGGAGTGTCGGCGTGTCTCTTATTACCGTAAATCAGCTGGGAAGAGGGAGCCCGGTCTCGCTTTCCGGTCGTCTTTCAAGTCGCGCGAGTTTTTCGCGATCCTGAAATCTTGGCATCGGGTTCGCTTTGAACTTCGCCTCCTCGCGGAAGCGAATTTCTGAGCGTAATCCCCCTTTGCCACCGCGAGTCGTTAGCGACGAGTCTTGGAAATCGGCTTATTTGTCCGCCACGCTCCAAAGTCAACCGACTCTTCGCGATGTTCCTTGTACTTATGATCAATCGGTGATGCCAGGTAATACCCACTGTCAAGTGGCGTGCTCTTTTTGTCGCCCCATCTGTCGCAGCAACTTGGACTCTAATAACCCTCCGACTTTGCGAAGGAACCGGCTCGTTCGACCGGGGAGGGGAGGAAATTTTCTCGATTTCGAAGGGGATCGCGCCGAGGACAACGTCGAACCGTGACAACGAACCGCGCGACCGCGATGTCGACGTCGACGCATCGAACAACTGGCGCGGCGGAAGCCTTAAGGTATTACGAAAGGATCATTCCAGATATATCAAAAAACGTCATGATATTTAGAAAATTCCTATCCACCCTGGGTGTACCGAATCATTTATGTAATTACGGGCCGAAGGATGTTTCAAATAGTTCGGTGCCTCCAATTTGGCGGAAAGTTTCATAAATGTTTTGACCCTTTCGTAACATCTTAAATCCCTCATCTTCGAGAGACCCTTCCCGAGAAAAATGGCAAGGCGAATCGTAGTCGGCGCCAGGGTCGAAGGAAATAAGAATTTCGTCGCATCGCCGGAGGAAAACCCTCGGTACATGAGGCACGGAGGGCCGGGGAAGAAAAATGGGATAACAAAGCTCGCAGAGGCGACACGACGGCCGCGTTGGTAATCATTTGCCAAAGCGCGCGCGCGACCATTTGTCACGAGTGATATCCCGCCATATATACCGAGGGGCATGGCGGATGCATTTCGCAAATTGTCCGGACTTTTCCGCGGCTGGCCGCCCCACCGAAAATCGCGGCAATTCCGATCGTGCCAATCGTTGCGGCTGACGGAACGAGAGAAGGGCGTGCCCCTCCGAGCGACGTCGACCTTGTGTAGAAGTCGAGTTCGAGGAATGGAAAAATTGGGGAAACGAGGAGAGTCGCACCGACTCGCAAAGTTACCCCGTAAAAACGTAATGGCGGAAAACGGCGAGGATTCCGTCCTGGATCCGTCGATCTACCGCGCGCGCGCAAAGTCGGGAAACGCGAAGGACGTCGAGGGGATGAAAATTTGGAAAAACTCCGATAAAGGGGCGACGGTGTTTAATCGGCGGCCCGAGAGGAAAAGAAGCACCGAGAGGTTCCTCCCGTAATTAAATAGTCGGCGATAAAGGGACTTTTGTCCGCGCGTCCGTTTGAGCGCGCGAATCGCGGAATGGAAGTCGAGCCCGGCCGTGCCGGAAGCGGAGGGCAATAACGCTTCGCTCGCGTTATTTATTACTTATTACCTATAGCTGAGTATTTGCTCTTCCCGGCAATAAAGTACTTAAGGCGCGTAACGGTTAACGCGAGATTATTAATGGGAGGACTGCGAGTGCCCTTTGTGCAGGCTTTCCAGGAATCTCCCTTTTTCTCGCGCAACTCCCCGTTCCCCGTTCCCCGTTCCCGTCACTTCCCCCTAGCATCCATATTGATATTTGCCCTCTTTTATTGCGCCCCCGCCCTTCCTCGCTCCATTATATCGAAAGTGTCGCGGACCAATATCGGACGGTTAATTGGATGAAAAACGAGAAGACGCTAACCTTAATGAGTTTCGCAGGCGCGTCGAGATTCTTAATAAGCGCGGAAAAATCCGGAGAAAATCTTCGACGGATTCTCCTTTGACGCGCCCTCTCCTTTGTCGCACGGGAAGGGTCCACGGAAATCGACGCTATCGATTCTTGGTCCGAGCTCGATCCGAGTAGATTCCATCGATGGAACCAAATTGTATTTAAATCCACTAAATGGCTCGATTGCGGAATCCCAATGAAACGGTTTAGTCGGGACTTCGTAATTAAGCCATTTAGCCGATCGAAATTCCACGTGGAGGCGCCGCTGGAATTCGGTCGCGTCCGACGAGATTTTATTCGCCGAGAGTCGTCAACCACAGCGGACTCCCGACTCCCGTTTGCTCTCGACGTCGATCCTAGTCGCGAGACGTTGCCTCGAGCAACGTCGGAGCTCGGAAAAAGGGTGCGCCATAAAGAGCGCGTTAATCGAAGTATCGGCGCCGAAGCGGAGTGTCCGGATAGCGGTCGATGATTAATTTCGCTCTCTGATTTTCGGGAGGGTTGGATGGAACCGATGGTAATGGACGTTGCGCATTGTGACAAAAATCGAAAGCGTTTTAAAGGCGGGTCCGGGCTACAACACCGAGCATTTTCCATTACCATTAACCATCGGCCCATTACGCGAAACGCGCCCCCCGGTCGCCGCGTGGCTATTTCGTCCCTCGGGGTGACTCCTCCCCCGAGTCCACGATGTTCCGCCGCGCTCCGCCGTGATATCCGTGGCAAGGAAAAGGGACCCGACGATGCCCTACGAGTGTCCGAGTATCAACGCGCCTCGAAAGGGTCATTTTCTTATTCTTCCCGGACCAGTGCCCAGGGCACATATGTTAGATATATGTAGACCCGGGAACGAATCGAGATTTTTTACCTTGCCTTCGGTCGATGAATTTTCGCGACGACGTAATCGCGGTGCATCGCCAAAGGGGACCAGGAAAATAGAAACGAGCTCGTCCGCGTCGACTCGCCCCGGATGTTCTCCCGCGAGCCATCTAGGACGTCGTTGGTTTTACCCTTCCCGGAAAGATCATTCCTGGAAGGGCAATTCGCGACCGCGTGTCAATTTACCGGCACGGCAGAGTAAGTTCTCGTTAACCCACGGCCCTCGTCGAGGGGTAAACGGGGTAAACGGAGTAACCCCGTTTTCGGGGTGACGTGGTGATAGAGGATAAAGGAAACGAGCCACCGCCACCTTGCCCGCTTCCGCTCGTTTCCGGCTAACGACGCTACGCGAACGCTATCGGACCTCGAAATCTCCCTCGAAGTCGCGAGCCAAATCCATATATCGGCGAAGGCTGCGTCGGACCCGCGTTTTTCCTCGTCCGAGCAAATCGTCGCTTCCCGGTAGCACGGTATTTTTTCCTATCGATAAGAGAAACGGGACGACTATCCGCAGCGGGAAATATCGTGACAAAAAGCGACCGAGGATAATTTGGGTGCACGGCGCGGCATGCAAGTTTAATCGATGATCCTCGGTATCCGCTCAACCCCGGCCGAAATAAAATGGATTCGGCTAATTGAGATTGATGTGGACCGATATGAAATTATTATCGGCAGCTATACGTTTCGTGTCGCGAGTCGGCTCGATTTCAATTCGAAATACGCCACCCTGTTAAAATCCTCTGGAGGCCTGGAATTAATTTAATAGCTTTTTTTTTTTAATCGGTTCCCGAAACTTGTTTTTTTTTTTTTGCATATTCTTGATCTCTGAGCGACTTCGTCGAAACGAATCAACGGGCATAATTTGTTCGTCCACTGCATTATTTTTTTATAAACTCACGAGAACGAGCTTGCCTCGTGCACAAAAATGCCTCAAATTAATGGAAGTAACGGCTACTGACGCTTTTCAAACACGGGAGAGAGAGAAACGAAACAACGGTGTAACCCTCATCGAGAGTATAATTACGGGGATGGTAAAGGACACGATAAAAATAGAATACCCTGGCGAAACAGCTGTTATCGTGAATCTATTTTCCCACAGCGATATCGGTCCGCATGGGGACGGGCGCAAGTGGTCCAGAATTTAAATACAATAACCTGAGGCTATTGCAAAAATGTCGTGGTCATTCGTCCCCGCTTGAAAGTATTTCCATCGATCACATGACAAATATACGCTGGCCTCGGTCATGCATATTATCTCGCGTTCTGCCCTATCAGATTCGTCCGGTTGGGTGAAATAGATGTACATGTCCGAATAAGAATTTTCACCTTTGTTCGATTGATAACAAAATCCAAACTTGTTGTCACATCCGTTAAGTTCTATCGTGTTCGCAAATTAACTACTATTACAGTTAATGTTTATATTTACTAGACTTATAACTATATTTTTTTACAAAGAAAATTGTAGGTAGCGTTTGAATAAAAAAATACCACCGCTGTGTTTAAGTAACTTATGACATTTTTTAAATGTTAAGATTCGTGAAACCATTTTAATTCTATTTCAAAACCATGATACGTAACTGGAGAACAGAATTCGAAAAAATGCTCACTAGTTTCTAGGCTTTCTGTTTTTTCTTTCGCATCTTTTTTTGTTGCCTTAATTGCCTTACCCTTTCGGATCTCTGAGTCTCGATCTGTTTCTTCATTAATTTCTCTCTAACCTTGTGCATGTGTTCGTCGGTCTTAGCCATTTCTGCAAAATAATCGTCGGGTCTTGTGGTGGGTATTTCCAGTTTCTTTAATCTTATAATTCCATCCAAAACTGCTCCTTGAGCTTGCCGGTGAAACATCGTCTCGCGCCTGAAATCGTTTAGGACAGGGTCTTCGGTGGTTGAGTATTGAGGCAACTTTTTGTTTCCTTGTAACTGTTTGGCACGTTTTATTTCTTCTTCCTGCATTTGTAGCGCTAATTCCGGTGCTAAGGGAGCAAGAGCATTCACCATATCCAGCCTTTCTATCCAAGGCAAGTTTAACTTAATTTCATTTAATTTTCTTTTCATACCATTCTACAAATGTAAATTGGCAAATTTTAAATGATGATCAGATCTTAGAGATAGTAATGTTAATGGAACGTGAGTATTAAAATCAGCATTTTCAATGCATCCTATTAACAATATAAATATTAATTGACTTACGACATTATTCTTATGGCTCTTTTTTATTTCCGTAGCAACATTCAATCCAGATTTCAACAATCCTTTCGAGAAAGCTTCTTGTAACTAAAAACGTGGAGAGGTTAAGTTACGCAGATATAACCTAAAATCGTTTTAATAGGTGACTTACCTCCTGATCGGAAGAGTCATATTCAGAATCAGATTCGCTATTGGACATTGTTAATATGGTTTTCAGTTTCCTTCATATGGAGAAACTTGATTAAATCTCACTTCCTGATCAACTTAAAGCAAAACGAAACACACTGAACACACTCTATGAACTGTATAAACCAAAGATGAGTTGGGAGCAGTTAGGAGATTGCTCATGGGCTGGGTCACGTGGTTGCGGTCTATGCTGCCCTCGGTGGAGAATGCGGCAACCTGATACCCCACAGTGGTGATTTGACTCAGGTGACCTCATCTCTGCGCATTCTCCACCGAGGGCAACGCAGAACCGCAATCGTGCGACCATGAACAATTTCCCATCTCAACTCTATCTGACGTACCGGTTCGTGGTCGCGTATAGTCCACGTAGTAAAATGTCGTGTGAAACCGAGTTACCTGAAGGGGCAAAAGATATATTTTCTTCTGCATTTTCAGAATTACCAGGAAAGAGGTAAATAATTGTAAAATTTCGGACAGAATATTTTATCATTCAAACAATAGTATCACTTCATAGGGTATGCTTGATCGATTGCAATTTCAGGTCTTTGAATGTAAATTTTCAACATGGGACAGTGCAAAGAATTTCAAGCTATTGTACTTGCAGGCGGAAAAGGCTCACGAATGACTGAGCTTACCGCTGGGCGCCCAAAATGTTTACTGCCTGTTGGGAATATGCCCATGATTTGGTATCCATTGAGCGTGCTCGAAAAGTCTGGATTTACGGATGTGATTGTCATAGTCTCGGAGTCTATGAAAAATGAAGTCGCACCGTGTTTAGACAAACTAGGACTGGATATTAAATTAGATATAATAGGAATTCCTGGAGGAGAAGACATGGGCACTGCAGACTCGATCAGATTCATACACGAGAAGATTCATTTAGATTGCGTAGTCATCTCGTGTGATTTAATTATGGATGTTGATATGTCAGAACTTTTAAATTTGTATAGAAAACATAATGCCAGTATAACAGCCTTAATGCTGCCAGTGCCAAAAGTCCCGGAAAGCTTTGTCGTACCAGGTCCCAAAAGCAAACAGAAGCCGGAGATAGATTTAATTGGTGTTGACAATAAAACAAATCGTTTGATTTTCTTAGCATCTGCTTCAGATTTTGAGGATACCGTTACATTATCTAGGAAGCTATTGAAAAAACATACTAGCTTCACTATTCATTCAAAGCTCTTGGATGCTCACTTATATATTCTTAACAAATGGGTACTCGATTTCCTAGTATTCAACAAGTAAGCATATGTTATAACAGTAGTTACAATATTTTGAGCATGTTTGTAATATCCTTTTATTTTTGCAGAAACTTTAGTACATTGAAAGGTGAACTGCTTCCGTACATTGTCAGTAAACAGTTGTCTCATCCTCCTAAACAAACGATTGATGACAAAAACACTTCTCTAGTGCAGCTAGATACAAAAGATGATATTTTTCGATTTGCCGTTGAGAAGCCACTCGATGCATTGATTCAGAAAATGTCAGCTTACAATGATCATTACACAGATTTCGAAGAAGCATACAACGGAGATGTCATAAGATGCTATGTACATACTGTAACCGATAAATTTGGACTAAGGGCTAATACGGTGCAGATGTATACTTTGGCTAATGCTATGGTAAGTTTATTACATGTTTCGATCAACAATTCCAAATCAGATTCTTTTTTTTAAATAAACTTTAATTCCCCGATGAATCTAGATTTCCGATTGGGATGGATCTGGTACTATAACAGGAATATTTCCGTTACCTACTATCTCTTCTAGTGCTAACGTTAAAAGCACTCAAGTGCAGAACTGTCGTATCGATGAGAATGCCTTTGTTGATGAAAAAACTTCTCTCAAATTGAGCCATATCGGACCTAACACAACAATTGAATCGAAAACAAGAGTTTCTCAAAGTATTCTAATGGGGAATGTAACGATAAAACAAAGGTTTGTGAAGCCATTTAAGACCACAAATTTCCAAGTGTTATAAAGTAGGAACAGAACATTTTAATCATTTTCTGTATAATTTCAGATGTGTAATTCACAATTGCATAGTATGCAATGGTACTGTCATCGAAGAGGGATCTGAATTGAAAGACTGTTTAATTGGAGCTCATCATGTTATTCCAGCCGGTAGTCAACATAATCGTGATGTTTTAACAGATTTAGATAAACTTATGGAAATTTAATAAAACTATTGGCAATATCAGTAATTCACAATTTCTTCCTTCTGTACTATTACAATTGATCCGACAGAAGCAGGATTCTATGACCCGACAATTGAATGTGATAAAAACAAAATCACGTGACATTACTTCGCAGCTAGTTCGCGGATCGGTGTCATCTCTTAAAGATTTTGAGATAATGCAATAGGAGTACCCGTTCGCATAAACTCACAAACAACCAAGGAGTACAGCGAGTACAGCCGACGGAATGAGATTGTAGGCATTTGGAGGCATCAGTGTTGCCAATTTGGCATACGTCTCCATCGTACTCGAAATCCGGGATTTATCACTCCAAGTTCAGTAAATCCGAATTTAACAAGCCACCTAGCGAGTTCTCTACTTCATACGTTGCCAACACTGCTATTAACCTCTTCTTCAACTGATCCTTCGTTCAAGATGGTGAGCGTGATTAAACTCAAAACTAAATCTATTGTTTATGCTGCAATCCTTTAATGCTCGGACACTATTAAATTAAAAGAAATACTTTAAGATCTTGGACAATTATTACAGTACTGTATTTATAGTTAGTTATTTCTTAATCAACTTTCTGTTTCCCTGCTGTCATAGGTTAAGATACCGATGTTTACCTGAAATCACATTTCTTCCTAAACTTGCAACTATTTTGAAAACATTTATACTTTAGCAATTAAATTATAATACCTAATTTTTGTTAGAAAAATCTTGCTTAATCGAGTAGTTTTTTAAAATACCGTAATTTTGTATAGCACTAAGAAATTTGGCAATGAATGAGAATTTCAGGTTTTTGTTTGAACAAAATGTTTAGTTATTCTATTTGTGTTTATAGACGAAGGGTACTTCAAGTTTTGGTAAGCGGCGCAATAAGACCCACACACTTTGTAGAAGGTGTGGGCGAAGTTCATACCATATCCAAAAGTCACAGTGTGCTCAATGTGGGTATCCAAAAAAGAAGATGCGTTCGTGTGAGTATTGTGCAGAATTACTGACACAAATTTATTTATGATATTTCCTACTTAAATTAGAATATTATTATAATTTGATCACATATAGTTCTATTTTTATACATTTAATGAAGTATAGTAAATAATGTAAGAAATGTAATCTATATTTATTATTCTTTCTCTAAACCATCAGATAATTGGTCGATCAAAGCCAAGAGGAGGAAGACCACTGGCACCGGCAGAATGCGCCACTTAAAAATTGTTCGCCGTAAATTCAAGTAAGTCCTTGCGATATCCGTATTGATACCAAGCAATCATGAAACAAGACTACTTAGTAACGTTAAAAATCAGTGTTTTTATTTATTGAAAGATCAATGTTGTCACGATGGAAATCTTTATCTTACTGGTCCATAATTTTGTCTCGTTTAGGAATGGATTTAGGGAAGGTTTACCGAAGCCGAAGGCAGCTGCTGCTGTTAAATAACCTGTCGAAACTCTACACTGTCTCGTTAACGTACATTCTTATATCTTCTAATAAAGATCATGGAAGCGAAGATGAAACATCGTACTTCATTCAAATGCACTTTATGGTGACAAATACCCGTATCCTAAATTCCAATGGAGCAATTTCTATTTCAGTCTAAATGCTTTAAAAAAAAATATATGTACGTTGTCTTATTTCTATAAATTAATTTTTTATATTAAGAATAACAGTGGAATGAAAATATGATATTTAGTATGTATCACGAGCAAGCAACAAATTTAAGCTTACCTTATTGCATTTGATTACAAGCAAATATTTTTTTTCCCGATTGTAAGTTTTTATGCAGCAATAATAAATTACCAGGGATTTGATCAATTGAATTTCGTGAGTTTTACTTGTATATTACTATTACCGCTGATACGGTGAAAAAGTGACATATCTTAAGATCCGATGAAACTTACTTGAAACCTCCAGCCCGACCGAGTAATCAGCGTGGTTGCGGCGGTCCGGGACGATTACACTTTGCGGATCTTGCATGTACATCAGCGAGGGCCATTACCACCGATGCAATGATAATCTCGAGCATCGGAGGGAAGAGAGAGTGGGAGCCGGCAAGATGCGGCGCGTCTCAATCGTTTGCAAACGTTAAAAATAATCCAAGTAAGTCTCGAGGTAATGTCTGCGCAATCGCGCCAGAGCTTTTGACAGGAAGGTGCGCGTCTATTTAGTGAGCAGCCACCGTTACGAAATGTCAGTAACATTCCGATTTTGATGCACGATGGAATACCTGGTGGGCACCCTCTCCGAAAGCTAGAAGCCGGCCCAGAGAAGACACGCTCTTTTCGTCGTCTACCTCGGAGCGTATCTACGACGACCTCCACGTGGCACGGACAAGTTATGCTACGCAAATTTCAACCAACATTCCGTGCGTACAAACGTCAAAGAATCAAGAATCACACCGAGTACGATATAGTAAAATAGGGACGAGACCTAGGCGCACGGGAAACCGACTTCGAAAAATCGCGACCGAACACGGAAGCGCATGCAAAAAGTGCACACAAGCCTGAAAAGCGTTGCACGATTCGCTGCCAAAATACTACCGAGTACGATATAGAGCAGCGGCGCACGATATAGTCGAGGAGGAAGCCAAATTTGAGGTGGCCACTCGTAGACGAGCTTCGACAAGGAAGTGCTCCAAGCCTGAAGGGTACCGCACGGCTCGGTCGCCGAAGTCTCGAAACGAGAACCGCAGCCGATCGATCGACCACGAGATTTCGGGATCCCTCCTGAAATATTAAAGATATTAAGGATATTAAGTCTGTATCGATGGGGGTGTTTAGTATATTATTCGGTAAGTTAGTAATTCCTTCCCACCAAGTCCTGGTCGCGGCATGTATAGTCGCGCACGTGCGCATAGTGCTCAAATCTAAGAATAATGTGACTTGCATACCTCCTTTGACGTACCGCAAATAGCCTTGTATTTTTATGCCAGAAAGTGACTGGTTAAATGCGAATGTCGGTTGCAAATATTAAATGCCGAAAAGAGCGCAAAGTTGATTTTCAACCACGCGGGCCTCGGCGCCCGAAAATGGCTTTCCCGTTTGCCAGCCGTGCATCGACGGAGTTCCTTCTCAAGGAATCCGATAAAATACCCCATTGACGATTAATCCTAATTATCACCTTTTTTTTTACCTTACCCAGGGAAATACCTGCTAGCTACGAACACCATAAGCTGCGGTTTGATGATGGCCATTGGAGACATTTTGCAGCAGCGGAGCGAACACTGGAAACGTCGCCACGACCATAAATATTTCCCAGAACAGAGTTTATCGCAAACCATCGTCCAGTTCGAATCGTCTGGAATCGAGAACATCGTTTTAGAAAATGTCGAGGAAACTGATCTGCCTTACAAGCACGATTTCACCCGCACCAGGAACATGATGGCGGTGGGCCTGATTCAGGGCCCGTTTCACCATTATTTCTATATCGCCTTGGATCGGTATTTACCTGGAAGAAATACCAGTTCCATCTTCAAGAAAACCTTCGTCGATCAAGCCGTCGCTAGCCCGACGTGTCTGGGTATATTTTTCTTCGGCCTCGGTCTTCTAGAAAGCAGAGACATAAAAGACATCAACGAAGAGGTCAAACTTAAGTTCTTTGATACGTGGAAAGTATGTACCCTGCGTTTACCTTCCCAAAAAATTAATCGACTCGCTGAACGGTATATCTTGTTTTAGGTGGATTGCTGTTTCTGGCCTCCCACGCAATTCATCAATTTTTTGTTAGTACCTGTTAAATATCGCGTGATTTATATTAACCTGATGACCATGATTTACGACATCTTTCTGTCGTATATTAAATATGTAAGTATCGTCGAGTTGCGGAGTTTTTATAGAACGTGCCTTTTTACTAAAAATATATTCCTTATCGTTGATGCTTCCAGGACGCTGCTTTTTAACCGCACAATATTTCTACGAAAGTCACCTTCGGAAGTGGCACTGGATCTTACCGCAACGACGGCATAATTCCTGCAATAATCGAGCATAATAATTTTAAAGATTGTTATACACATAGGAATTAATTGTAAATCAAATCGCAATAAAATGACGACTTTTGTAGTAACGTGTTACTATTGCTCTTTTTCCCTATTATCCAATGCCTGTAGTCATTAATACATCGAGTTGCAGTAATAATGGATACATTCGACAGAAATAATAATTGGTTCTCGTAAATCTGTAATGCATGCACTTTTAGAAGAGCCTAGAAAGGTTCTCCTTTTCCTGGTGCATCCCATTGTTTAAGAACGTGATCAACGATCACGCCTTTAAACTTCATGAATGGGCTCTCTATTGTTACTGGAAAGTGGAAAGTTCTAAAGCTAGGCAAACAATTCCACGGTGACTCTTTCAGAAAGGGAACGTGCATGTTGTGCTGCAACGCAAAAGAATTACTCCTCGTGTGTACCGATGCGTTTATTTATTCCGCTTCTCGAGTTTGTTTGACGTTCGGCGACAGTGGAATTATAAAATTCTATTTCCCGCCGGTCGCCATCGGGCAAATATAATTGTTTACCCTGTACACATAAACACAAACAATAAATTAAAATTAAACATTGCGCAACTCGACTCCAGGAGTAGAGATGTTTTTATCGGTGTGCTTGTCAGCAAGCGTCGCCTCTACATTTTCTCGTGATGCATCGATAACGCGGTTAGTTTCCAAAGTTTGCTCGCGGCTTCGGCGATTATACACTTATGTGGGACCATTCTGAGAAATTCACGCGTGCTGAAACTTATACGCGTAGATAAAGATCAGAAACGGCACGTGAACCATTGCACGATTACTGACTTTGAATTGGCAGAATTTATTACAGGGAACTCCTGAGACTCCGATTCAAAAATAGCGCGCAATCGCCATCTTGGATGCCGCTTATCGTCGTCAAGTGTCACGTCCATATGATACAAAATAATATTATTTTTAACATATTTCATGTATATAAATGCATATTATTTGTACAAATATATATGTATTTATTCAATTCTGAGGATAATCAAGGTAAACGTATATACGACGAGGATCCTACTACATTAACTTAAGTTTCAACAATACTGTCAATGAGTGCGGTGCGGGTGGAAGGAAGTATTTAAAAGTACACGTATTTCTCATGTATTAACCCGGGATTATCTATCGTTGTTTCGTACGTATTTAACATGAGAGAAAGAAGGATGGCCTGGTCGCTCGGTAAGTATAATGGGAGTAATGTATGAAACAGTCATCCAAGAAAGCACCCTGTGATATGATAATCTTTTATTAATAAAGAATCCTCTCCTTACTAAAAGCTTTAAATTAAAAATATTCAAGATGGATTTTTCATTCTTCAAATAGAGTAAAGAAGGATTTTTAAAAACAAGAAATTGATCCTCATCGTGGATTGCATATGGCCACTTGGACCACATCGCAAAAATGGCTGCCGTGCTGGACGAAGTCGGCAAATCCGCGGAAAAACTAATAGACGAGGAAAAGGATGAAATTGCGGAAGAAGATGAGACCGGTGCTGTAGAGGCTTCCAAGAAAAAGAAAAAGAAGAAGAAGAAGAAGAAAGCCGGTAGGTTAAATTCGGACTTTCATTGAAATTTCGGAATCGTCTCGACACGTCGTGCGTACTTCGTATTTTCCGTTTCAATTCTGGAATTTCATACCTTCGCTACTTCTTATCGAGAAAAACTACGATTATTTTAACGTACTATCATTTTTTCACTAATACTACGTTTGAAACTGTTTTTAAGTAATTCACTCAGAATCGGTTATAAATCTTGTCGGGATGATAATTCAATTAGAATGAATTTTACAATGATGATCTTATATTATAATTACATCCAGGTGCTGGTGAAGCAAGCGCAGATGTTCCAGAGGGAGAAGAAGATAAATCAAAAGATGAGGATAAGGCAGAAGGTAACGATTGTCAAAATTGTAAATTTATTGCTTCGTTAACAATTTGCAATATTTCTTGTTACTTTCCTTTCCAGTAAGAGAATGAAATATTCCTTATCTCCTTTTCTGTCAAAGGTCCTCCAGAAGTTACAGAAAATGGACCCGAAAGTGAAGAAGCCAAGAAGAAGAAGAAGAAACGTAAACCACGTGGGAAGGGTGCAGGAAACAAAGAAAAAGATCTGAATGGACCAGTATCGGAGCTGTTTCCAGATGGAAATTTCCCTGAGGGTCAGATTATGGAACATCCCCCTGCAGCGGGGATAGATGACAGAAAGGCAAAGGACCGATTTAGCAGCGAAGAGGCTAGAGCTCTCGATCGAATGCATAACGATATCTATAATGAAGCAAGACATGCAGCAGAAGCGCATCGTCGAACCAGAAAGCATATTATGAATTGGGTTAGTTATTTTGTCATAAAAAGGTGGTTTTCTTGAACTCCCTTGATTTCTTAAATTTATTATAGGTACAGTCCGGAATGACCATGATCGATATTTGCAATGAGTTAGAAGATACAGCTAGGAAACTGATCGGTGAGGATGGACTGAAGGCAGGCCTGGCTTTTCCCACTGGTTGCTCTCGAAATCACTGTGCAGCTCATTACACTCCTAATGCTGGAGATCCTACGGTTCTTGAATACAATGATGTTACTAAAATTGATTTTGGCACCCATATAAATGGTCGCATCATCGATTGTGCATTTACTTTGGCATTCAATCCAAAATATGATAAACTTATTGAGGCTGTTCGCGACGCCACAAATACCGGTATCAAGGCTGCAGGAATTGATGTACAGTTATGTGACGTTGGTGCGGCAATTCAAGAAGTGATGGAATCTTATGAAGTAGAATTGGATGGTAAGACTTATCAGGTACGTTGAGACAGTGTACGTCGTTTGTGGGTGTTCAGGCGGTGAACCTCGTTTACGACATTAGCTTTCTTATCAATTTAATTGGACATATTTCAGGTAAAATCTATAAGAAACTTAAATGGCCATTCAATTGCGCCTTACCGAATTCATGCTGGCAAAACCGTCCCAATCGTGAAAGGTGGGGAAGCCACGAGAATGGAAGAAAATGAATTTTATGCAATCGAAACATTTGGTTCAACTGGAAAAGGTTTCGTTCACGATGATTTGGATTGTTCTCATTACATGAAAAGTTTTGACAGTGGGTTCGTTCCCCTGAGATTGCAGAGCAGCAAGTCTCTTCTGAATACAATTAACAAACATTTCAGTAAGTACCGCTATAGTTGTCGGTATACTGCATTTTCTGGAAGTAGGTAATATAATTTTGCACCGATTTAGGTACTTTGGCATTTTGTAAGCGATGGTTGGATCGTGTTGGATGTACCAAGTATCAGATGGCACTGAAAGATCTTTGCGACAAACGTGCCGTGGAAGCTTATCCCCCACTGGTTGACATCAAAGGATGTTACACCGCTCAATTTGAGCATACCCTCGTCTTACGTCCTACCTGTAAAGAAGTGATTTCTCGTGGAGATGATTATTGAGTAGGTACACGTACAAGATGTTTCTTAATTATGCTCAGCTTCGTTGCCAGGGGCATTATCGCTGTAACTTAGTTTTACAGAGCAGAGAAGGGTGTTACCATACCTTCGAGGTTAACCACTTACGTGGGCTTTTAAAATTGACGTATTACTGTCCGTACCTGTGCAGATCGCTCTGGGATTAAAGTTGACGAACACATTGTACTTTCTATAATACGTAATTTTTCCCTTACTTACCTAACGCCACGCCATTAATTCATACGTATATGCGAGTCATTTTCTACCGATTAATTATCATTTTCAAGTCAAATATATCTACCTTTACTAACAAAGCATCGGTAAAAGTAAGATTGATGTTAAATAAAGTACGTTTAAAATTCTGATCACATAGTATTCCGTTGCATATACTCAACCAGATAACATGCCTCTTCGAGTCCTACGTTTTCGATTAAATTAGACGCGAACGTGAGAACTCCGGCAGATTTAGTATAATGTTTATTCTTACACATATAATCTGGACTTTAAACTTATGAAATATAATAATGTTAGCTAATATTACATGTTATAACTACGGTAAAACGAAAAGCAGTATGATACAATCAGGTTCGTGATAATAAAATGTTCACCACACAAAGGAGATAGCTGTCTATGGGAAGTTTACCTTTGTACAGTTGTGATGAAACGTGGTCCCATTACGAGCGACGTGTGCTCAACTTAGGATAATTAGATACCAAAATAAAGTACCGTTAAATATTTCGAGAATGGAAGAGGGCTATATACCGACGAGCATTAATGGTGCGAGTATGTAGACTTAATCGTAAGTAACGTAAATAGGGAAAAAATAATGCGTTACGGTGGACACGTCGGTGCCTCCTCGTTAAAAAATACTTCGCTAACCCGACGACTAATTTCCGGAGTGTACTAGCTATTGTTCTTGCATTCCTTGAATGCTAAGGCAGATGACGAAACGTTCGTGAAACCCTGCATTTTGTTTTTATGTACATGGCGAGTGCAGTCGAATACATATAAAAGTCTGGGAAAATACCGTTGTAATTCGCTACTATCTCCTTTTTAGTGTAACAACGTACTCTGAGCAATTAGATTTTTTTTCTTTCACTGAGAATCGGTACGAGTCCGTAACTTTGCTCTTGCGGTTACCAAGGGATTTGGTGGTTCCGTAGGTTGTGGTTGCTCCTGTCAAGCGCCAAAAATTTATAACTATGTATTTTTGATCTCGGACCTCGACATTCCCCGTAAATACGAGAAAATGGTTCATACCGTGAGTTGTATGTGTTTTGCCCTCTGTTCAATGGCCCTTTGCAAAGCTGTCCTGGGATCATCCTTGTAAGATTCCTCTCGGTTTCTCTCGGCTTCCTTTCTGGAGGCAGCTTCTCTCTGTCTTTCCAAAGCTCGCTGCAATTCGCTCTTCTGGTTCAAAACATTCCTCCCTCTGAGAAAAATATCAATTTATATTATAAAATTCACCCTAGCGTATATCGTCCCAAGCTTCGTTTTACTCACATCTTCTGATTGAAGAGTAGCTCTCGACGCAGGTCCTTGTGACTACCCGACGTCAAGCAGGGATTGTACGGTTTCCTGGGCAGAATCAGACCATCCGGGCCCATGTGAGGGGCAGGCGGCGGGGGCGGAACACCCAGGACCGGGGCCATTTCTCTTCCTGGATAAAAATCACAAGCGAAGGCATTCAGTTTCATCCAAGGAAAGACCTAATCGAATACCGATTCAAGGAGGCCACTGATTCGCGGATCGGGAAACCGAGGGACCCGATGGGAGTCAATTCCCGAGTTTAGGTGGACGCGGTATCTCGGTTCCGGACGGAAACGGAAAGTCGGAGATTCGACCACGAGTCCAGTGACCGCCCTGATCGCCGGGGCCGCGAGAAGCCTTCGTCACCCTCCAGAATGGCGATTTTTGCCCTGACGGAGCCCTCCTCGTTCATCGTCGCACGCGTGTACGAAGAATTCGCGGCACTGGCGAAACTCGACTCAAAGACCGGACGAGCTGTATCAAAGAGAGCCAACTGCTGTATACTTCTGCGTAGGGCTTCGCATACCTAATCGGATAAAACGGGGTATACGCGCACCTACGCCAAGGTAAACCGAACGATGTCGCTATGTATCCTCCCCGATCCCGCAATTTTTACCGGACGGTAAAAATCACTACCCTCAAAGAACCGTATCGGTACCGCGATCTAAACGCTCCTATTAATTTTCAGTTCGGCCTTCCCCAGCCCAGATCGTTGCATCGAGGTGGATGCAAGAAAGTTTCTCCGACTGTCCCAGTTGTTCGGTCGTTACTTGGCGTTACAACCCACCCAAGTTAACAAAGCCATTCCCGACCGAAGCGGTCCAGCGGCTGCGTTTCATTAAAGAGGTTTATCGAATCGATTCGTAATTCCTTGTAAACGACTCCGGTAATTATCGTCCGGTCTTTTTCAGGATTTCACCGGGGACGCCGATGGACGAGAAAAGCTCCGACTGGCCCAGCGTATGGAACTCTTTCCGCGTCCACGTTCCTGGATATCGACGCTGCCGAGTCAATTCTTCGTGCATTCGCTGCAGCGATTCAACGACTGCGTTTCGTTAACGAAGTCATCGAATCGACCCACCGCCTCTTCCTGACATCGACATTTAACTCGCGTGGATCGAGCTCGAGTAAAAAAATCACGGCAGACGTCGGTGTCACCGACCTCGAGGCGCGGCTCCGCCGAATTGACATTCGTCGTTAACAGGACTCATTAGAAAGGAGACCCCCGATCGTTGCCTGGGACTTTCTTACCGATCGGCCTCAGCCGTAAACTTGTGCGCTTTGTACCATGACCACTGTCGTAAGCACGCCTCGCGAAAGAGAGAGAGAGAGAGAGAGAGAGGAGACCCTCTCTCGTTGCACCGAATAACAGTTGGCCGCACACGACGACAGTGCCGGACTTTCCCCTCGTCGTCGGAAAGACGTCGCAATGGACAATGTCACGACTTCGAGGAGAGACCTGCTGAAAAAAAATGCCGTATTCTCCTAGGATTCCGGTAAAGCGCGTATTTAAATGTCCGCAAACATCGACGGCACTTAATTTGTTAAATGGGGACGATTGGGCGCGCACGAACAACTGTTTGCCGACTCCGGTCGGCAGTTCAAAGAGATTTATGCGCGTTCATGCGCGAGCTTCGGTGTAGGGGACGACGTTTCAACGACCATTGTTGGGAGCTTTGTTGGAAAGTGAATCGTCCCCCTGGAACGTAGTTACTCCGAGTCGGAGCTGGGGATGCAGTGGAGGTGTATTTTAAAGAGAGGAGATTTTTCATTAATCGGACACCCCTTTTTCCGAGCCGCGCGATATAGTCCACCCTGCGTTTCATTTTCTATCGACAGAAAAATTCAAGAAAATTCTGAGTAATCGCGGATATCGATCCAATCCTCTTTCTCTCTTTGCGAAGTCCCTCGCAAACGCAAAGCCAAGATCCTTTGCCCCGACTCTTGAGAAAATCAGGGAGCAACTCGCCCGGCAAAAGATCACTTTCGAGCTCTGCCGAGTATCAACGACCCGAGGCGACGACTCTCCTTGGAAAAAAGGGAAACGGGTCTAGTCAATGGCAACCTTTGCGTTTCGTCGGTATCTCTCGGTCCGATTGCCGATATATTTTACGCTCCGCGGGGCTTCGTAATGTCTCCCCGTGGTTTCACTCTCTCGGGACCGAAACGCGATATTCCGCCTTGGCGTGTCTCAATTAGCGCCGAAACCGCACCGAGCCTGTAAAATGGAGCGGATTGCGGTAAACGGCGGGTCTCGCGTACGTCGCCCTATCGCTCCGTGATAAGAGCCACGCGGGAAGGTTTACCCGCTACGTACGCGCGATCGTCGAATCGCCGATATTTACCCTCGAGTTGAAACGTTTTCGTGTACTCTAGATAGCGACGCGCACTCCGTGCCGTATCGCTGACCCGATCAGGGAGTGACTCGAAAGTTGAGACATTAGGCCCGATCTCTCTCTCTCTCTCTCATTCTCTCTCGATAGGATACGATAGTCCCGTGCCGTAAAAATGACTATCCCGTAAACCTAAAGTCCTTGTCGTAACGATAACGACAACGGCGATCTTTCTTAACTTTTAAAGGTTCGCTCCGCAAGACTCGCGGGTGGTTTTCCTCGCTCCGATGAAAAATTGGAAATGAAAATCGGATCGTTCCTCGGATACGACGCTATCCCGTGTAAGGATGTCGAGAAAGGTTTCACGAGTGGCAATAACGGATTAACGATGAATCGGTAAGAAACTATAAACGAGAAGAGGCCGTAAGTTGCAGGAAGCTCTCAATGTCAATGTCTTTTTGTGCCGTCCGGACAAGGTAGCCACGAGATCTCTTGGCACGAGGAGGAGCAGAAGAAAACGGAGATCCGGATGATTCGGTTTTACGAGCTGAAAGTGAAATTTCCCCGCTCCGGTCGATGGTGTGCCTTGATGGGACGTAAGTAAATGACTCCTACCATCGAAAGTCCTCCGGAGGATTTAGCTTTGGTCGGCCTTTGTACGGACCGTCTCTAAGCGCTTTCAAAAACTCCACGAGTGGACGGCGCTCGTAAGATCGCCGTAGAAACGATCGCGACCACGTCTACGCGTCGATTCGAAGCCGTCCGACGCCCGAACGAATTACCCCATAAATTCACGGGATTAATAAAACGCGCGATCGACGTCGGAAATCGGAGGAACGACCCCATTGACCGGCGCGCGTGCGCCGTGGAAAAGTCCCGTCGAAAATTTCTATCCGTTTCAAAATTAGGCACGCGTAATTCTCGCAAGTATATTTTCTACATTTTACCGCGACACTCCCGTAACTCAAAAAATTAATATTCCAGGCATGGCGTGGAAACTCGAGCGGAAAACGGTACCTCGAGCGACGTTCTCGACGGCCCCGAAATGTAGCGGTACATCGACGCGCGATATGCTTACCGTAACCGCGAAGCACCGTTTATCTAATTCGTGCCAGACTACTCTATTAATCGTATTAAATTAAACGACAATTTTTTTTTACGCGATAATAATTGATACAATATCTCTTTGGTACCATTCAAAAAAATATTTTTTCGGTTCAATGATATTTTTTTCCCAGTGGACGCATATAGTTAATCAACGACTCTCTTACGGGTAGACTCGAGTTGGGAGAGAATCGGACAAGAACGAGGGAAGCCGTGGGAAAAATCGCGGAAACACGTGGCCCGGGTTCGGAGGTCAACCCGGCCTCGTCGAGTATTCAAGGCGAGTCAATTGAGGGGAATTAGTCGGTGGATTAATTCGGCTCCTACGAAATGAGCGTAAAAGAAGGCAAACGGTGACTTACCGTTCGTCAGGCCGTCACAGCTGCCGGGCTCGCTCTTTACGCCGTTGGTAATCACCTGCAAGACGTGTATCATGAATTAATCGCCCTCCCCTTCTCCCGGTGGGCGGCCTTAGCAATTTCTAGGTCTCGACGTCGCACCTCGAGTTGTAAATCTCCCGAGGAAATCGAAAAGTCGAGGGGCGAGAGCGAAAGTTACGATCTTCGATCGGCGCCTCGACGGGACGCTTTCCGGGAGGAAACGAGATGACCACTTAATTATTAATCGACGCTTTCGACGTATCATCGTAAAATGCAAAATCGGTATCGACCGAACGACGTCTTTAGCGCCTCGCCACGCCGCGCGCAATTCGGAGGAAACGCAACGCGTCGTTCCCGAGCAATCCATCGGCCGAAGGAAAGCGAAAGCTTGAACTTTTCTTTTCTTTTCCCGGGCAATACTCCATTATTCCCATGGACGAAGAGGCGAATAACGGTGATTATTTCCATGGTGTCGGAACGTCGGTATCGTAACGCCTCATTGCCGGGCAATATTCAATGCTTCGAAGAAAACGAAAGTCCGTGCTTTTCTCCGCCTAATAATTCGTCATTATTTCCGAGGAAAAACTCGGTAACCAGACGATCGTTTTCTTTTCCGCTATTGTTTGTAACATCTTTTTTTCTTTTACTCGGCATCTCATTTGCTTTGCCCTCTTCTTTATTCAGAAATCGTGAAGCGTTCGATCGAAACCCTGTCGTCTCTACCTCGGCTGAATTTAAATTCTTTCTCCAGGTTAGATTCGATCAGGGGCCGGATTCATCATCGATCAACGTATTAACTAATCACCGAAGAGGAGCCGGAAGCGCAGAATCGCGTTTCCCTTTCGTTCGGCTGGCTTTCGTGAGAAATCGAAAGCCCCTCGCGGGCAGTTACGTTGTTTCCTCCTCAGCCCGTCATTCGTGATTTCACTGGGACGATTTTCTGCTCGCGCTCGTAGACATTCTCCGCACAACCCGCGCCGATTTTTGTCGCACGCAAATGCCTTACCAAACGAGAAAGCGATCCATCTCTAACCGGGCAAAACGTGCGAGAAATAAAATACGCCGTTGCGAGCCTCGAAAGACCGTCGCGATTGGCACGGGTGAAATTTCCACGGATCTTTCCCTGTTTCCTCTGGATCGTCGGGAGAAGTTTTTTTTTTTTTCTTTAGCCATCACTTATATCCACCTTAGTTATGCATTTTTTGCTCGATCATTAAGCGGTCGTTCCCGTGCACCGAGAGACGGAACCGTTCCTCGCGCTGGATTTCCAAGCGAGATCTACGTCGATTTTCATTAGTTTATTTAAAACGCGAAACGATTATTTCTGCGTAGAGAGCCGGCCGTATCGATTGCCATTTTACTTTCGTTTTCTGGGTGATTATTAAGATATACGAGAAACTAATGAAATTGGCTAGAAAGTCGACGCAGGTGGGGGTCCCGTGAGCCTTGTCGTTAGCGAGATTTGCGTCAATTTAAGATTACATCGATTCGATAAACGTTAACATCGACATGTCCTTGTCCTTGTTTTAAAAGATTCGAGGAGAAGCCGTCGGCTGAAAAAGTGAAAATGTTTCGTCGAACCGCAGAGCCGAATGGGAGAAAGAGAGAGCTCGTAATCGGCCCGGAAGGAAGCGGGAAGCACTAATATTTTTATCTGTGGGGACTATCGCCGGTCTCTCCGTCACACGGTCATTTATTATACCCCTTTATACCCGTCGAGTCAATAAACGCAAGTGTCATGCAACCAAATCGAGACTCGCCTCGACCACGTAGTGAACAGGGATATCGACAGAGGCTCGAAATATCAAACATTTAATAAACTTCCAGTGTGTCGGAAGATAATTGCGAATACCCCCTGCGACACCTAAAATATCGAATTATTAATCAATTTCAGAATCGTTTTTTTATATTCACTTAATTTAAGAAATATTATTTTAACGGGTATCGCGCGATTAGGACGACGCATCGATAATGGATTTATGGTATATATTCATTACTTCCGGTCAAATCATGATAATTTAGACGACAAAATTGCCACATAAACCGAGACTAAGGAGCACCACGGGGGAAATTTATTGCCGGAGAAAATAGTCCTTTGCAACTAAAAACAGTATTTAGCGATCGTCAAGGATGTTTTCGCCGTAAACAGATTTATGGAAATTCGGACTTAAAGTTTCACAACGAGTGATCGAATTTAAGAAATTCACGCGAATCACGCGCACTCGTGCTTTCATCGAAAGAGCGTAAATTGAGGGACGGGGGTACTTACACCGAGGCAACTCGTCCGGTGCCGATCCGAGCCGACCGCGGGCATTCTCAGCTGCACTCGGTCATCGGAGGTGCACTCGCGTCGACGAGCACGGGAGCGATAACTAGCTCTGTACGCGACGAGAGGCGAGGGTCCGGTCCTTCCGCCCTGGCACGCGTCGCGAGGATCCCGCGAGTCGTCCTTTTGACGATTACGTTCCGGGCACTTCCTACCCGCTCGAGCGCCCGGCCACGAGTAGCCGACGAGCAGCCGACGAGTAGCCGACGCAACGAGTTACTCACCGACTCCGCGACCTATGTCCCGTGTAACGGGTACCGCCCCGTTGTACTCTTTATACGTCTCCGCGACGCACGACGGCCGTCCGTGCGACCTACGTACGTGCGTACGCGCAATTGCGTTCTTTCTCGCCCCTCTCCGCCGAGACCGGACCCGTTCCCCTGCATCTTCGTTTCCCAAAGCCCCAACCCCAGGGATGACGGGGGGATCGAAGAATATCGGGATAAGTCACCGGCGACGGAATTTCTTTCAAGAACGTTTGCTCGTGGAATTTCGAGGACCGTCAATTGGTCGAGCGGGAACGGCCTTCGGGGAAGATGTGCGCGTTCGCTTTCTGTCTCGGTGCTCCCGAGACTGAGCCGGGACTGAGCCGAGACTGAGCCGGGACTGAGCCGGGACTGAGCCGGGTCTGAGCCGGGTCTGAGCCGGGTCTGAGCCGGGACTGAACTGGGACTGAACCGGGACTGAGCCGGGACTGAGCCGGGACTGAGGCGGACCCATTCCGGAGGGTCTCCTTTATTACCGATTTTTACTTGTTTTTATCTGGCACCTTACTTGGCAGGTGAGGCGAGCCACGGAGAAAGAATCTTCGGGGAGCGAAGAGCGATCCTCGGGACGACGGCAAGGGGGGCGACGTTGATCGAGCCAATGCTCGAATGGTGACCCTGGGAGTTTTCTACCTTTATAATTTCAACTCGGCCTGTTATGTTACGAACGAGACGACGACTTCGATGGACGTCGAAGGTTTCAATTTTTTTAGCGCGCCACGGAACGAGGAAGAACGTACGCTCGGGTGCCTCGGAGCTCCTCGCTCTCCAGGACCACTCGCGCTACTGGATCTCACCGAGAAAAAGTACCTCGAAACCACCCGGACTTTCACTCTTGCTCGTAATACTACCTGCTGACACAATCGACCGTTCGTGTATCGCGTCCAGCTGGGCATCAGCTGCGCATCGACTCTGCTTCGTCTCTCCGGAGAGGACTCTTCCGGTCGCCCCGAGATGAATCTCCTCCCCGGTTCCATCGAGCCTCTGCAAATCTCATCGTCTATATTTTCCACGTTTGAAAGACCGAAGATCGATGAGATTTCGCGAGGCCTGCAATTTAATCGAGAGACGCGATCGAACAAATATTTTCCGACCTTGGCGTCGCGAGAAATGCCCGGACGTTTAATATCCCGCGGAAAACGTTGCCCAGGCATCCGCCTGGGACGCGCGCGTTTAATTAATTTTCAAATTTACGATATTTTTCCCGAATGATGCAGTATTTCTCGGAGGAAGTAATCCTGGAACGCGCTTAATGGATCCCACGTTTTACGCGGCGGTGAAAATGCACCCCGAGGTTTCAATTTAGAACGGCGAGCACAATGCCTGCCACTTAATTCGGTAAAATCATAGAGTAATTTGCCGGGCGTCACAATGCCGCATCTCTTAATTTACTTTATATTCTCTCATTCGAGTCGGACGCGAACTTGGTCAGAAACGACGTTCCATTTTCAAGTAGCCAGCCTTTCGTGCCCCAGATTTTTCACGCATTTACGTTCCTCGACGTTGAACGATATGTAACAATTTTCGCGCTTTCGAGTCGAAAGAAGAAGCGTTCCGGATTTTTTGTCCCCGCCGTGCAAATGAATTGAAAATACCGTTTAATTCCCGCCACCCTCTCGCCGTCGAATCGGAGGTGAACGTTGGGAGAAAATTTTCCCTGCGTCCAATTGGCCCGTCGTTTGAATCCCTCCGACTCGGAATGGACTCGCTTAACGATCCAGACGACGTCGCGTCGACGTAGAAAGTAAAGTGGTCCGAGGAGGACGTAGAGTTTCGCACCAAGAACAATGAGGCACTTAGGTTTCGTCTTCATCTCGCTCTCACTGCGCGTTGCGGAGCCGCCGTCGATGATGCTCTCGCTCCGTATCTTCAAGGAAACCGAGAAAGGAAATCCGCCCGCCTCCGGTTCCCCTTTAAGAAACGACGTACTTCCTAATGGTTTCGCTATAAATCTGCGGAGCCGCGGGCCTGCCGTAAACCCCCTGCAAACGGATCCGCGATCGCGCGACGTCCGACCGGGAAGATTTCCCATTAGGTTTATCCCCTCGTTTAATTTTCTACGAAGAAATCCGCGGATTTGTCCGCAAACCGATACATCGGCAACGCCGTGACGCGAGCGTTATGACCGCGACGAGACGAGATTTCTGCGATTTTTAGCCTATCCGTAATTATCCGTTATTTTCTGCGTTCCTCGGTACCCCTTTCTCCTTCGCCCCCGTCGAGCTCGTAAATGTAGAGAAATGCAGAGAAACAAAATAAAACGCGATCGAATTACTCTTCGGGTGGAACTATTTTTGAAGGTCCCTCGCGTTCGCAGCGGGACATTGACAACGCGTGCAGCGAATCGGCTCTCTCTCGCGTTTCTCACGATTGACCAATTTTCTATGCGTATGCAAATGCGCCCTATATAAAAACTAGCCGCGTAGACGGACGGGTTTAACTCGCTCGCCGACGAAACGGCGTCGCGTTAACCGCACGAGGCTTCCATTGTCCGAAATGGCGTTGCGTCGAAACGGCCTCGTAAAAGCCTCGACAAACTGTATAACGCGCTCCGCGGAATTAGCAGGCCTACGATCTCGCGATGACCCCATAGGTAAGAACGCCGCATATTTTTTTTCCCTACAATCCGATGAGCACCTCCACGATTCGGTGGTTTCTCGTGCCTCATTTCGATCGTAACGAGCGTCGAGAGAGCGCGACGTAATCAGCGATCGGGACGTAATCGATGAATCGATTGGCTTCGGCGGCTCATCCTCCGGGCCCATTGTCGGGAGTCGTGAGAGCCCTGGAATCGAGGACTTCATCGGGCGCTCCAATGGCGGGGATATTGTATTTTTCAAGAGACGCCCCCAAAGAACCGGTCCCGCGATGTTAATGACTTCCCCAACGGGTTGGTCTCGGTTTTCCGAGCTCCGCGTCGCGCCGACGAACGACGGAACGACGTAACCTCGCGACGCGACCGAGGTTCCGTCGAAGCCACGGATTTAAGATTAAAGGGAAGAGACGCAAAGGCGAAAGACCCTCGAAACTTGGAAGACCTGGAGAGATCGAGGACTCGACGGAGGTCGGGAACCAGAAGCGGAGAAACGTCGCGAGACGCGGGGAAAATAAAATCGCGATTTGCCGACGACCGGCTCGCACAGACCTACCGTTGTTCCGAGGGTCTTCCGATAAAGATATCGACGGAATTAATCGCGGACAAGAGACGGATCGTCGCCCCACCCGAACGCCTCCCCCGATGGAAGAGAGGAATATGGAAAAAAAATCCGATCGCTCGCGAAACATTTTCTTCGATTCGATTCGCAAGTCAAATCGTCGTCGCGCGATCTCGTCGACTCCTTCGAGTCTTAGCGGGCGTTATTTCCTCCAGTGGGTCGAAACGGATCGTTCGCGGAATTTATTTCCCTGCTCGAATTTTATTTTCCCGCTCGCCTTGGTCGAGCCGGAGTCTCGAGCGATCGTCGAGAAGTCCGCGGCGGATACGTGCACGGTTAGACGCGACCGCGTCCAGGTGTCTCGAGCACGGTATTCGCGTCCTGGACGCAGAAACGTTTCTCGCCGCGTCGATGTTTGCATTTACGCACCGGACTCGCATGCCGCGCCCACGTGTGCCGATTGGATTGAGCAAGAACGCTCGAATGTTTCATAATTGGAACGCTTAGCGATTCCGCCTATTTCGCTTTCGCGGATTTTCTCGGCGGCGCTCGACGTTCTTCCCCGAGTCCAGAGGAGGGTCGGATCGAAATTTACGATTTCGACCGAGTCGATCGGGCTCGCGGCGGAATTTCATATGGAATTCCGGCTTATCCCGAGACGTGACGGCGATAGGAGGGAATCCGTATCAACGATTCGCGTCTACGCCCGCACAGCGGAGCGTGATTTATCGAGCTTCCCCCGCGTTCGTCCGAGTGAGAGAGAGAGGATCCGCTCTTTTTCGCGTCGAGTCGCGAATCGCGATCGCGCCCTCCTCGCGGGAAAAAAAGAATTATACCGGGCTAGGCGGACCGCCCCGAGGGTCACGGGAGACGCTAGGTAGAATCCAAAGCATCCTGACTCGAACAAAAATGTTTAAAGTACCGGCGTAAACAACGAACCGAGCCTGCCAGCCAGCCGGTACGAGCATGCCTCCTTAAAGCTCGGTTTACGGCGGGCGAGAATCTTCCGTTTGCCCGAGTTGTCCGTCCTCCATCCGAGGAGGAAACAAATAATGAAATAATCTGCGGCAACAACGCCCGCGGTGGAAACGGGTTGGCACGAAAAATCGCGCGCCTCGCGACGCCGGTCGTAGAGCAAATTGCGCGGCGATTCGTCGTGGGTAGACGAACGGCCGTCGGGATAATAAAATGCCAAGGCTTAAATTCTTTTCGCGCGCTCCTCGCCATTGTTGGAAGGACGGAGGACGTTCGCCGAGTAGGCGGGCGGGGTGCACGGGGCCTAAGCCGGATTCCTTACAAAGAGGCTTTCTTCGAAGGAACCTGCCGCGGACCGCAGCCCGTGACCGCACCTGAACCCAATTCGTCCGCGGAGTCTCGGTCAGCTGGCGCTTTAACGATTCCCGGAGGATTCCGGAGGATTCCGGAGGATTCCCGAGGATTCCCGGAGGCTGCCCGAGCCCCTCGATTTCGAAGGTCGAGACGGCGTTATCGCCGAAGGAAGGTCTTTTCGAAAACCTTCCTTCTCAAACCCCCCCGAACACCCGGGCAGCGAGAATCGTTTCGCGTGCAACTACCTTAAGCCACATTCCTCGGTACACCTGTACCAATATATACCCGCGCGGTCCGCGGAAAGAAAGCACCCGAGAGACGAGTTCCACGAGAAACTCGACAAAATTTAAACTCCAAACCATTTACGATTGGCGCGCAAGTCGACGGGATATTCGTTCGGGAAGTCGTGGTTTTTAATGCTCGACATCGCGGGGAAATCGGGAGGGAAATCGTCGAAAATCATCGAAACGATGCCACGATTTTAAAGTCGACTGTCCCTCGTTACCGAATCGCGTTATCGCTTATCATACGAAACGAAAGGCGATCGGTTCTCACTGATTTCCGAGCGAATAGCCCCTCGGCGCAGATGGAAGGAAGAGTTCCCGCTACAGCTGGAAATTAGCCGCGCGCTCGAGTAAACTCGGAGTAAACTCGGAGTAAACTCGGAGTAAACGTAACCGAACACTCGATGCGTCCCGTCCCCGTCCCAGCCGCGCGTTCACCCACGGCGACCGGAAACGCTTCTCCGGGCAATTTCCTCGGGCTACTTTCGTTAATGTACCTCGACCGATGTACCTGTGCGGTGAGTCTGCAGGAAGGCACTTTGGCGACGAGCTCCTCGAGGAATTCCTCGCTCCTCGGCCGACCGGAACCGGTCGAGTCCCGATCGCGACTACCGGTCGAGGGTTCCGCCGAGGTCGGCTCGAGCCTCTCCGAGAGGACGTCCGGGTCGCTCGGGCACTTCTCGAGTCTCGGCCGGCTCGACGAGTTCTCCTTGCTCCGGGTGCGGATTCGCGGGGGATCCTGGTCTCGGTAGGTCCTACGCTGGCTCTTGGCGATCTCGCCCATCCTCCGGGCCCAAGAATCCCGGAAACCGAGTCGTCTCTCCGGGAAGGCTCCAAATCACGCTGCGAGGACAGAGATCAATGAACGTTGCGCCTTGCCAAGAAGAAGACGGAACGGGGTTGCCCCGTGAAAAACGTGTTCCCGGTCGATCCTCGAAACCGGGGGCGAAAGGGCACGAACGTCGTCGACTCGGAATTCAAATTTTCGACCGTCGTCTCGTCCCGGGGAAAAGTAAAAAACCGCGTGGGTCTCGGGGCGACCTCGCGAAGGAGCGGCGTCTAAAAATAGCGAAGGTATCGACACGTACGAATCCAGGATGCCGGCGCGCGCCAACTCCCCGCCGATCGGAGTAAATATTGCGCCACAATGGGGCAATTTCGCAGGGCCGAGCGGCGTCGGGGCCGTCGACGCGTCCTCGTGGCGCACCGGGTGACGGCGAGTTTATTTCGATCCGGCCACTCGCGATGCTCGCGCGCGGAAGCGGCGGTCCATGGGCTCCGCGTGGTAGAAGCGCAAAGAAGCGCAAAGAAGCGGCGACTACCCGCCTAAGGGCGGAGCAAGGGCGGAATGGGCCATGCGTCATGCACGGGACATCTGTCGCCCCTCTCTTTCGGTCCCTCGCAGAGCGCCTGCCCTGTGCCTTTCCCATGAAAATCCATCCCCTTCCTGCGCCGGCCGCCGCTCCCCCCGCCTCTGGCTCCTTCGGACGGCCGAACTCGTCCGTAAGACTCGTATGGACGTATGCGAGCATGCGGGAGGCGTCTACTTGGCTAAGTCGGCCGCGACGTTGCGACGCTCCCGGAATGCCGTAACGCCCATGCGTCGATCGATGGGGCCTCGTCGCGGGAAAGCGATCTCGACTTTCGGTCGCCTCTCCTGGGCCTAATCTTTGCACCTGTCAACGGGCTAGGAAGGGGGATCGGGTTACCTGAAACTCGCACCTGCGTTCCGTTGCTGCTCCTTTCCGGTTCGGAAATCTTGTCGACGGACCGGGACGAACTTTTACCTCGGAATGTCGCTCGACCTCCGGACGGAGATTCTTTTATGATTTGCAGTCGCCTCGCGCGTTTCCTGATACAATTTTCGAGGAAGAAGTTCGGGGTTGGAAGGATGAAATATCAGGATCGGTTGATTTTTTGAAACGAGAGATTTTTACTGGAGTGAGGTAATTTGTCCGGTTACGGTTTGAACTTTTTGAAAATTTCCTCAAGCGGTGGCACCATCTAGCAGGGCACGGTCGAACTCGGTAGCGCCTCGAGGTATCGATATCTCGCCCACTCGCCCAGAGAGGTTACGATAATCCGCGAGGTCAGCTCACCCGGGTCCTCTAGGTCTCTGTTTCTGCTGTAACCGGATTCCCTTGTTTCCCAGAAGAGGAGAAACACCGCACGGGACGCGATGCAGGCTAACCTCTTCAATTTGATGGTTACGTCGATCAGAGTAAGCGACTAATTTTATCGACACGTTTCTGTGACCAATCGGCCAGGACGTCTTACCTCGTCGATTCGTACTTTCGGGTCTCCTTCGGAACCTCGTGAAGGGCAATCAACGTTTGCAGTTTTTTATTCAAAATTGATTCAGCTCGTTCATCGACCGTCCCTTGTTGAGACATTAACGTTAAGCCGTTCGTGGCAGGTGTTGTCTAACATCAAAGGGCAGGTGTTTGGGTACTGATTATGTCATTTCTTCGACGTTCTCTTACAGATTTGTTATATACCGAGCGTTGCCAGCAGCTAGATCGTCCATGTATTCGAATAGTTGTAACGGTGGCCCACTGCCTTTCTTGTAAACTAACTTTGGTAAATTTCTTTCATTCTACCAATTTCTAACTGAAAGTGATTTCTTTTAAACAGCCGACGTGTGTAAAACGTATCGGTCCAATACTTGCCACTGCTCAGAGGAGGCATTATGCGAGTACCTTGGATGCTGATGTCGTCGTAATCGGTGGAGGACCCGGTGGATACGTTGCCTCGATTAAAGCTGCCCAGTTGGGCATGAAGACCGTGTGCGTGGAGAAAGATCCGACGTTAGGTGGAACTTGCCTCAATGTAGGATGTATTCCTTCCAAGTCGTTATTAAATAATTCCCACTATTACCACATGGCGCACAGTGGTGATCTCAACGATCGAGGAATAATAGGTATACCTTTATTTTACAACTTGGCAAAATCAAAACTTGTACCAAGTTAAAAATGTGTCACCCGAGCCCTAATTCGCTAATCTTTTTTTTATAGTCCAGAATGTTCAGTTAGATTTAAACAAACTCATGGAGCAAAAGGTTAATGTGGTTAAAGCCTTGACTGGTGGGATAGCAGGATTATTTAAGAAGAACAAGGTCGAGTGGGTTAAAGGTCATGGAAAGATAACGGGCAAAAATCAAGTGAGCGCCCTAAATCCAGATGGTTCAGTGGGAACTACAATTAACACTAAAAACATCTTAATAGCAACAGGCAGCGAAGTGGCACCATTTCCTGGTATAGAGATTGACGAAAAACAAATTGTATCTTCGACCGGTGCTTTATCGTTGTCTGCAGTTCCTAAGAAAATGATAGTTATCGGTTTAGGTGTAATCGGACTGGAGCTGGGCTCTGTATGGCAAAGGTAAATCGTCGCGATACCTTTTAAATAACTTTGTCTTAAATGTCTAATAATTAATGATCTTTCTTTAATACCGAAGGTTGGGGGCAGATGTAGTCGGAGTTGAATTTACAAATAGCATCGGAGGTGTAGGTATAGATGGCGAAGTTAGCAAAGCTTTGGAGAAAATTCTGGTCAAGCAAGGTTTGAAGTTTAAACTAGGTACTAAAGTTACCGGAGCAAAAAAAACAGGCGGCGGAGTAGAAGTGTCCGTAGAAGACGCTAAGGATCCTAGCAAGAAAGAAACTCTATCCTGTGACATATTACTGGTGTGTATCGGGAGGAGACCCTATACAGCTAACTTAGGTTTAGAAGACTTGGGAATCGAGAGAGACGAAAGGGGAAGGATCCCAGTCAACAACAGGTTTCAGACCGTTGTGCCAAAGTGAGCGTTCAGAAAACATAACTAATCATTTTTTTATTTTCCGTGTATTTACCTTAAACATCCGTTACTTTTTCTAGCATTTACGCTTTTGGAGATTGCATTCATGGACCGATGCTGGCACATAAAGCCGAAGACGAAGGAATAATTACGGTGGAAGGAATCACTGGAGGTAAGAACGACACCTTCTTTCGTCCCAATAACAAGTTATAGATTTGCAAAGCAACGCGCAATTTGTATGTATCATCAAGGTGCCGTTCATATCGACTACAACTGTATACCGAGCGTAATCTATACGCATCCAGAAGTTGGCTGGGTAGGCAAAACCGAGGAAGACCTCAAGAAGGAGGGTATCGACTACAAAATTGGAAAATTTCCACACATGGCTAATTCCAGAGCAAAAACGAATCTGGACACGGATGGTTTCGTGAAGGTTTTAGCTGATAAAAATACGGATAAAATTTTGGGAGTACACATGATCGGCTCCGTTGCCGGTGAACTCATCAACGAGGCTGTACTCGCAATGGAATACGGTGCAAGTGCAGAGGACGTCGCACGAACGTGCCATGCGCATCCGGTAAGTAAACTCAAAAAAAATATTTACCGGTGAATTTTTAAAAAATTGTCGGCACATAATATGGAATTTTTTCTCGAAGACATGTTCGGAGGCACTGAAGGAAGCAAACTTGGCTGCCTATTTTGGCAAGCCGATCAACTTCTAAACGGCAATCGCAAATTCGGGATACACCGAGTACTTCATCGACTCGCCGTAGCCACTCGGTCTAGTCCGCGTTTCACCGCTCGAGGACACCGCACCGCTGCAAGTGATCATAACGCGATCTAATCGCATAAAGGCTAAGAAGAGTAACTGTAAATAAACGTTCGAATCGTTGGTTTGGAAGGGTACGTACCTTTTTATTAGCTGTACCCCGATCGTACAAGCATTAAGTATTTATTACAAATAAATCGAAAATCTGGTCACATCTACAAAGGCGAGCGGGATACTTTTTCCCTAGATACCGTGTAACCCACGGTCACCTTCCGCGTTTAGTACGCCATTTACCGGTAATCGTCGACTACAATTGACAATTGTTTCCATTAACACACTTTCTAAACATCCCGTCAGCCTTGAGAATGCCTACGCGGGTAATTACCGCGAGCTCATTGGGAAAAAACTGCCCTACGACCCATACTTTCGGACGCTTTGCGGTACCGCGTCGCGATCTCGCCCGATGCCGTCAGAAAAAAAAAAAAAAGAAGTAAAAACATCGTCACGCGTTAACGATAACACAACCGTTCCTTATCGCCAGGGTTGGGTAAGTAAAATACCCTGCGTAATTTACGTAATTTTTTACAGCAAGTTACTAGGTATTTTACTTTACAAATTTCATCCGTAATGTAAGTTACACAAGTATGGGATTTTACGTTTCTGCAGTTCCTTTTTCTGGTACGCTCGAAAATCAAAATTTTCCATGAAATGTATGGAAAATTGGAACGTCGAAGCCTAGATCTTTTTAATGGCCTGCTCCTACTTGCCATTCTTTATTCCTTTCTTTTTTTTACTGAAATGTTTATTCAAGAGTGACGCATACTTTGACCACTTTATAAAAAGGTGAGGAAGTCAAGTAAAATATTCCCTTATTAAGTATTTTACGTAAAAAAAAAAAAACGTCGAACGACGCGCCACTGCACAACGCTGCTTATCACCCCGCTCCTCTTTATCGACGAGGCGCGCGATAGCGATCGACATATCCCCGCCAGATGGTGCGTCGAGCGTCGTCGCGTTCACCGTCGCGACGCATCGTCGCGCAGCGAATTCTCTTCTGGCTCGCGGTGAGACCCCGAAACGTCCGACTCTCCCTCGTAAGTTCCCTCCCGTTAAATCGTCGTAAACGGGAGGACGCGGAGCTCGAGATCGATAGGAAAATCACGAGAAGGGCGAGTCAGGGCGCAATCGCGGCCCCTCGGTCTCGGGCGACCTCGGCGGGCCACGTGATTCCTGGTGCGCGCGTCGGCCGCGGGCGGCGTGGCGGTCGCGCCGCTTCGGCAACGCCGCTCGCAGAGCCGAGTGGCACTCGTGGAGCAACACACCCAATGTTTGTGTTTTCGAATTTTTCGCGAGGCACGAGCGGACCGCGGTGCTGACTTCCCGGAACGATGTAGCGACCAGGCGGCGTAACCGAAGATGTGGACGACCACGAAGACGACGAAGTACGGCGTCGGTGAGTGCCCGGTCGGACGCGTCAACCCGCGCGCGCCGTAAGCTGTCAAAGCGCACCCCCGAGCGGCCCCTTTAAAGACCCCCGGACGCGCGGCGCCTTTTCGACCCGACCGATTCGTCCCGAGACGTCTCGCGAGCACCCGTCGCCCTGGGCGACGGGTGCTCGCGAGGGAGTGCGCGGGCCCATTCGTGCATCGATCGGTCGAGGACCGGGTGGTAAGGTCTGCCCTCGCCGACTCCCGGGCCGACCCGGGCCGACCCGGGCCGACCTCGAGGACAACCCTGCCGAATTTTGTCGATCCTCCGGGACCGTCACCCTCCTTTCGTCGGTTTCTCCGGAAGAGACGTACATCCAGCTGGTCGCGATCTCTTTATCTTTCGTTCGCTCGCATTCGGAGCCGAGTCGGCGTTCGTTGATTCGATGAAAATCGCCAACGGAGAGCGGTCGGCACGACAATCGGCCGGGTCGGGGTCTTTCCGTTTTCCTTTCCGCGCGTCGAGCCTCTTTTTTGCGAGACACCGGCGGAGTCGAGTCGACCCGGCGCGCAATTGATAGCGCGCATGCACGCGATAAGACTCGACGGTACAATGGATGGGCCGCGCGGTCATAAAATTCCGCGAGCCGATACGTAGGCGCGCGTACCTCGGTGCTCGTAAGTGCCGGCCGAGATCGTTCAATTATTGCCCTCTTGCCACCTTCCGGTCTCCCCGTCTCGAGGAGCTCCGGACGGGAATAGACTCCGAGACGGTCGCCAGATCCTTCGGCAGGCTCGGCCGATCGGAAAAACGTTCGCAAAATCGGTGCATCGTATCGAGCGGGAAGCCGAGGTCGAACGATGCCGCGTCCGTCTCGTCCTCGGAATTGCCGAAACGCGAACGAAATCGAGAGTCAACGGGGACACCGAGCGCGAGAGGTCGAGAGGAAATTGCCCGCTTTCGTTTCCCGCGGGCGGATTGCGCGGGAATTTAGCGCCGACGTACGTTTTATTTCGAGACCCCGGGACAACGTAAAGCGACACCGAGTATCCGGTTCAACCGCGTTGCATATTTTTCGGCCGCCGGAAATACGGAGGCGGGAGAAACGGCCGGTCGACGTCGCGAAAAGCTCCGATATCTCTTCTATCCGTCCCATGGACCGTCGAAACGAAATTATCCGCCCCTCGTCCCGGAGGAGCCGTCGAGTCCATTCGAGGCCCCCGCTCAAAAGCTGAATTCGCTCGCGGTGAAAACGTAAGTTGCCTTTAAGCCGTCGGTAACGTCGGTCCCTCGCTTCGTTAGCTCGTCACTAATGACGTTACTCGCAATTGGAACGTACCATGGAGCCGTTTAGACTCCGAAGAGGGCTTCGCGACGCTGTCCGGGAGCATTGTTTACGTCTAGTTGGCTCATTTCGGGCACTCCTGGCCGTACATTGGGGCCGCTCGTTGGACGCTCCCCCGGCGTCGATTCCCCTTCGCGGAGCGGGAGAAAGGACCCTCCCGACTGCGAGACCCGGGGCTGGTCCCCTTCCGGCGAATGTTTTATACGGAAAGAGAGTTATCGATTTAATTCCCCGGGAAAACCTGGCAAACTCGACCCGACGCCAGTCCTTTGTTCGGAGATCCCGGAGCCTCCTTCCGGTGGATCCGAAAAAAAGATACACCGCGGGAAACCCGCGGAGAAAACTTCGATGTCCGGCCCTCCGGAACTCGCCTCCGTCTCTCTTTGGAGCCGGACTCGAGGCATCGCGTTAACGCGGAGCAAGAGTCGGAGCCAGAGGCAGGATGTGGAGTATCCATCGCTTCATTGAGATGCATCTCGCGTCGGTGTCTCTGGCGAGGACCGGAAGTCGTCGTCACGCGCATCCGGCACCCCGACTTCTCGGCCAGTCCACCGTTCCCGGAAAGAATTTTTCGCCAGGCGTTCCTCCCGGGACGTCTCGACGCCCCGGACGACGCTCCTGGGACCCGATTCTCGAGTTCGTCCGGGAAATTGATAGTTTCGCGCAAGACTTTCAAATGTTGACCAGTGACGCGACTTCGCAACGGGGCAACATTTATCATGCCAGTCCAACCGTATACAAAAAGAAATCCGTATGAACTCGAGAATCGGGTCCCTGGAACCGTTCCGTCCGCCCAATCAGGAACGATCAGCTTTTCTCCGGTTCGGGGCGTCGCCGACGGGCTTGGAACACCGGGGGAATTTCGGGGGCGTGCCGGGAACTTACCTTTGCGGAGAGGCTCGCTCAATGGAAATATCGAACGTTGGGCGAATTCGAATTCCGGAGGAATACGTGCTTTCGCCGCGTCCGCGGCTCTTTAAAGCACACGCTTCGAGAGCACGTGTGCGCGAGTCGGGGGACTCGCCGCGGCCCGGTGGCGCCATCTAAGAGAACCCGCGCGGACCCCGATATCGACTACGCGGCGGGAATACGAATAATTCGCGACCGAGTCGAAAGGAGTACCTCGACACCGATGCCGCAAAATATTTATTCCAGCACTTTACAACTGGCGAGGGGATACGCGTTACGGACTGCCACTCGAGATCGGGGAAACCGTGCAAATCTTGGAAGAATGTGCAGGTAATCGAACGGCGACCTTCGCTCGGCATCGCGAGAGAAAATAAGAGAGACGTTTCCTCGGTTACAGGTTGGTACAGAGGATTCTCCACGAAGAACCGAGCGATCAAGGGCATCTTCCCGAGCTCGTACGTTCACCTGAAGCCGTGCAAAATCGAGAACGAAGGCCTCTTCGAGTCCGTCATCCCTCTGGAGGATCCCGTCGTCCGGGAAGTTACCCTCGTCCTCAGAGAATGGGGCGGAATTTGGAAGCGGCTCTACGTGGTGCGTTTTTTGGGTTTACGAAAATTCGAGTTGTCGGGGGAATTACTTTAAAAACGCGTTTCTGCGTCCGTCTCAGGAGCGGGAGACCTACAAGTTCAATACCTTGCGGAAGGTTATGCGAGAGTTGCTGGAATGGCGGAGGCAACTTCTTGCCGGGACGCTTACCACCGACCAGACGCGGGAGTTAAAATTACAGATCATCAACAAGGTGGACTGGGGCAATCGGTAAGTCAACCGTGAACAGTTTCTTTTGTTTGCGCGCTAAGAGAGGAGTACCGTCCGATCGGCCGTTCGAGGTAACGTAAAAGTCGACACCGAAAATTTATGCAAAAAATCAGCATTAACGATCGGCACCAACGGAAACTATTAAAAAGCATTCGTTGCCGCGTTCAACGCTTCGTTAAATAAACATCGAATACCGGTTGTACGTAATTTACGATTACCCAGTAGCCGGAAATGAAAAAATTGACAGCACTCGATCGAATATTCATTTGCCGAAATCGCGATACCACGTTCCTCCGAGACGAAGGCAGCCGGGCGGAAATAAAGCTATTCCTTATTTTACCGTTCGCCTTCCTTGGGACCTCCAACGAGGGCGCGTCGTCAAAAATGAAATCCTCGGGCCGTATCGGCAGGTTTCCTTTTATTTTCTGGTTATGCATCGTAATTGCTTACGGCTTTGCACAAATTGGCAGTCTTCCTCTCACTTTGCGCGCAGTCGATACGAGTGAGCATATATCCTCGTTACTTTTAGTACAACGTACTCTAATGTCTTTAACCTACGAAAGGCACGTTATAATATCGAATAACTATTATATCTATCCGATCGGTGTAATTCTCTTAAACGATTACCTTAAGATATCACTCGAAATGGGACTATATGTAGGATCGACCGAGCTCTAGAAAAACTACGTAAATCATAGCGGTACCGGTCATGGCGATATACTTGTTGGGAACGTTGGTTGCGAGTAGTGGAAAAGGCAGGAGGCGGTCAAGGAAGAGCACGATGAGCGAAATTAAGGCCAAGGGAGATACTAAGAAATCAAATATTTTGCTAGCATCCGCGCTCGAGACGAAATTGCCTAAAAAACGATAAATTATCGTCACTCGTGCCGGTGTACGACGTATGCGTTTCGGAGCTACTCTTCCCATTTTTTTTTCGTCCTTCCACGAGGGTTTAATCGCGTGTTTCTTGCAGCAAGAGTGAGCTCAATTGTATGTAATTAGGAAATTAACCGTAATCAAGAAAAACTAGCGAGGACACGGCACCGGAAAAATGGACCCGTGCCATCGAATTTTCGTACATTTCCTCTGCAAAGAAGTCGGTCGGATTCCAGACGTACAAATTGACGTCGGTTCTCTCGTTCCGTACATATAAGCGTGTCCTGAATCGGGCCCTAGCGGCCGCAACATCGGTTGGCCGAAAACGGAACTACTTGATAAGCAAACGTCCAGGACAATTTATCACCGATTGCTCCCGTAATTCGTCCCGCTTTGCGCTCTTTACCGGCCGAGTCCGTCACGCTCGGCGAAGCGGCTATAAATTCTCTCCAAACGGTTCAGCAATCGGTGACTCCAACTCGCGATTACATACAAGATATGTATACGAGTTAAGGTGATACGAAAGAAGCATTTGAGAGGTCCCGTTCGTGAAACTTTTCACCAAACGGCTTCAAACTTTACAACCCGAATATGGAGGCTACAAGGAAGGTCCCATGAAATTTCAATCTTTTTTTTTTTTAATTTCTTCATAAATATTTTCAACATTTTGTATAGAAAATGAAATTTCATGGGGATCGGGACCTTGCTTATAGTCTCCTTACTCGCGTTGTAAAATTGAAAACCATTCGATATCCCCCAGTTCGGGGAAAAGTTTCACGAACGATTTACCCCTCGGATGCCACTTTTGCATTCCTTAACGTAGAATCCTTATTTTAAAAACGAACCTCGGTGCGATAGCCTCGGCTCGGACCGAAATCGCTTAGTCCTGGTAAAGCGAAGGACCTAAAAGGGAGGCTTCGTCGTCGACTCGAAACGGTGGTCGTGCCAATACCCTGGACGGAAAATTCGAAAAACAACAACCACCGGCAATGGAACGAGACGCGGTCGAGGGCCGCACGATTGGTCCACCGTTAATTTAATCGGTCCTAACGAGCTCGCGATTCGACTCGGAGATTGCCCGGCGACCCGGTCACCGGAAGTACCCGGGCACCCGAAACCGCGTTCCGAAAGATTGCAAAACTAATTCCTGCTGTATCGATCGCATCGCGTAACACAGCTACGTCGTCGAGGTAACCCCCGTCCGATCGGATTTCACGAGACGCTTAGAACGACCGAATCACAGCCCACTGCTCCAAAGCGACTCGATCCTTGCCCCAAGATCATCCTTCGTATACCGTAAATAAATTCGGCGACGTCTACGTCAACGACTGCTTACGATCGCTCGATATCTCGAGAAAGATACCGCGATTTACAGATTTTTCTTAAGCAAAGTGCTCGATCGCGCGTCGAGCGAGATTCGTCGATGAACCGGTGTGCGCAAAAGTATCGATGCAACGGTGAGAAAAGATACGGACGCCGCTGAATTTATCGCGGTGCACGCTCGCTCGAGAAAGTTCGATCGCCGTAAAGCGAACCTTTTCGATCGACTTAATCGTTGCGTCGAGTACAGTCATTGCACCAGTATCCGTAAAGAGTTTCGCGATCGTTAGGCAAAGGCATCCGGCGACTCGCCTAGGAAAGAAGTTGCCGGACGCGGGGCACGCAGGGTGCGGACTATAGCGAAATTCAAAGTATGCGCGACGAACGAGCGATACCTTTGAGCCGGAGGATTTTCGACGGTCGACTCGTTCGGAAGTAATTCCTGGGCGATCGACCGGCGTCCGCAAAGGTATCGCCCGTTCGCTCGTCGTATCTCTACCTCGTGCCACGGACGGCAACGCTTCCCGGCTAGTCGGATCGCCCGAACGTACCGATTCCTCCGGCGAGGCGACTCGAAATCGAAATTCCCGATGCGACTCCTCTCGGAGAGAGAACGAGTCACGGGAATGGCTCTCTCGGCGCCATCGGAAGCTTCGTCGGGATGACGGTCCGTGGCACGAGCTCTTTCCGGATCGTTCGCCCGACCGAGGTGCAGGCACCCTCGGAATCGTTTGGCGCGGACTTATCACAAGACCTAGATGGGGGTGTCCTTCGAAAACTTCTCCATCTCCGGGTAGATCGGCGACATCTCCAGCGTGCTGGGTGCCGAGGGCACCGTGGCCGGCGACATCCTACTGCTCGAGCCCAGGTGAAGACGGCGACACAGCTCGTCCAGCACCTCGTTGAACATCATGATGTTCAGGTTTTGACCCAACAGGTGCAACAGCAAGAAATCTCCGACCTGAAACCGAACGTGATCGTACCTTAGACCATGGATATCTGGACCTCGCATTGCAATGGAAGGGATAAACGAATGTACCACGCGTGCCGACAATTCCCCCACGCGGTGAAAGCCATTCCGTGCTGAGAAAACAAAAATTCATTGAACCAAAGAAATGTTTCTTTGCACAGTACCAAAGAAATATTACGTTAATTCCAAGAATAATTGTTTGACTCGAGTAAATTGTCACAATTCCGAATAAACGTTGCATCCGATTTATTCAAATTTATTCGAGTCGAATAATTATTCTTTGAATTAATCAAATATTTCGTTGATACCATTCAAAGAAATATTTCTTTGATTCGATAATTTTTTTTTTCAGGGTGCTTCCTTGGAGTGGAAGGTCCAATCCGAGGTGTAGATATATATGATCCGAGGATGGTACTCTCGATGCTCCTGGAGCGTCAGGAGCATCGAGCGTCCAACATCGAAACGGAGAAGGGAGCGTTCGAACCTGAGTTTTCCTGATCAGGGCATTCACTCCGGCTGCGGTGCCAAACTTGAATCGCCTCTTGAGGATGGTCTCTCGCGTGCTGGGAAGCAACACCACGGCCATGCTGTAGAGGAGGGCCAGCCCCGACAGCACGGCCAGGAGGATAAACCAGAACCACAGGAAGATGTAGATCTTCTCGTTGAGGATGTTCAGAGCGAGCACGCAGAGGGCATCGAGTTTCTGAATGGTCCCGGAGGCACCGAACTTGTGGAAGGTGCACTTGGTGACGCGAGGGAAGATTTCCACCATGGGGTCGCTCCGCTGCTCCTGGTTCATGTTGCTGAACCTGACGACGTCCGTGCCATACGTCAGGAAGGCTCCGCCGAGAAAGGAGTCGACGAAGAAGATGTTGCCAACCTGAGGAGAAGGGGGCCGTCGTTAAAACGGATCTTAAAAATGACTTCGGTCGCGATCGGAAGGCTGCCAACTTACGACGTTAACGAAGTTGAGCGCTTCGCAGAAGAAGTAGCCGGCGGCGTAGCTGTTGTGCAGGTGCAAGGTGTCGACGATGTACTGAACGAGGCGATGCGTCCGCATTTGGCGCTCCTGCTTGGTGTCCATCAGGGCGCCGCGCATCCCCTCCGAGATCATCCTGATCTTTCCCTCCTCCCACTGCTTCCACATCCAGTGGGGGACGTAGAAGAGGATCCCTTGGAAGAAGAGCATGAACGGCACCCACTGGTAGTACGAGTGGTACCTCTTCTCCGAGGTGTCCCCGCCCAGCCCGGGATGGGCCACGTGGGTGCCGACGGGCTTCATCGAGTTCTCCGGCAGCGTGAAGGTGTACGTGATCCAACAGTAGGTATTTATCACGTGGCCGGGCACCGCTCCGTCGGATATGCAATTTATTGGGTCACCTGCGGTACGGGAACCACCGTGAGCGAAATTCGAGGACCAACGGGGTGGCGTCGCCGAGGACTCACCTATTAAATTATTGGCCGTGACGATGATGCAGCAGGCGAACAGGATCGCCGAGGTGATCCTGTAGTGGGCCCTGAAGACCATGTTGTCGATGATCGCCTTGTCGATCAGATACCGGACCTTGACGAATCCGGCCACTGCCGAGACCAAACCGAAGACCGCCATCTTTCCTGGGGGTCGGGATCACCTGCGGCGAGAAAGAGCTGGAGAGTCGGAGGGATGCGTCTCCGAAATCCGGGCTCCGCGGAGGCGCGCGATGGCGACGCGCGACGAGAGCGCAACGAGAGCGCCTCGAGGCCGGCGTGGCCGAGTTGCGTGTCGTTAAAATTTTATTACGAGATTAATTGAAGCAGCGTCGGCCGGGCGGGACGCGTGCGGAGGCCCACGGGGTCAATCGCCAAGCCAGATCCCGAGCGTTCCGTCTTCGCGAGGAAGGCGGCCGGGGAGAAGGGAAGGCTTCGAGAGGCCACCGAGCGGGACATCCTTTGCTCGTCCTGCGCTTTGACACAAAACCAGATACGCCGCTTTTTCAGGGTCGTACCGTTTGCCGAGCCCCCACCCCGCGGTTCCCTCGCGAATGTGGGACTCCGCGATAAATCAGCGACGAGCCTCGTTCCCGGAAAATCATTTCCGTAGCGAACGTTTCTCCCCGATTCGTGCCGTCCGCCAAGAAACTCGTAGCGTCGAACTTCCTTTCCGCGGCCTGATGCCGAACGCGGAGCGGCACGCAGGACGTTCGTCCACGTAAACGCGTAATCGTGTAAACTATATAAACTATATAAACGATATAAACGGGGTCGTCGTATCGTTGTACGTTTGCGGTCTCGCGGCTCCGACGACGTGTCCTCGCTTCGCGCCGATCGCCGAGTCGGCAGAAAATTCCTCGAGGTTGACGCAACCTTTCGACCACCGTGGCGAAACTCGACCCGGTCTCGCGGCGAGCGATTCTCCGCGGTCAAAGGATCCTCGTCCTCGACCATGCGCCGACCTTTCGAGGTAAACTTTCGCGCGTCCTCGAAAGTTTCCGAGCTGCCAGGAATATCGAGGCGATAAGGCCAGTTATCGGGCAGGGACCGACTTCTCCGGAAGGACCCCGTTTACCCCGACCCGATTATCTCTATAAGGATAAATTTTCCCCGAGCCTCGAAGGGTCCGTTCATTTTTCCCGAGCCCGTTTATATATTTTTTTTCTTTCCGCGAAGCGATCGTTGCAACCCCGCGTTCGCCGATAACTTTCACGATGGAAACGAGAAAAGGATAATCGTACCGCGTTAAACCAGTCATTCCTGGTTTGTAATACGTCCTTGACGGGTCTTTGACGGAGAAGGCACTGAAATTCCAGTCCTGGCAGCTTGCGTGGCGTTTCCACGTATCCTGCATATCGTGTAATATCCGGCTGCGACGGAGAGAGATCTTTTGTACGTATAATTAGGTCCATCCAGCGGATGTAGCGTCCCGCCAGACGCGCGGAGCTGAACTGAAATTCCGTTCCGGAAAAATCGTAATTGCTCGCGCAAAAAAAAAACGAGCGTTCCTTCGGGACCCAACTTTATGCTATTACAAAAGCGTCGTCCGCGAGACCCGAGCCGATAAGATACGCCAGACGAGAAGTTAGCGCTGGATATTGTTTCCGTACGTGTCTTGCATATATTTAAAGTCCGTTTGTACGTGGCAGGGCGGGGAGCGACACGGTCTACGCGTTACTACTTAGTGAACAAAAGCAATTCGTGCTACGAAATTCATGACCGAACTCCTAACCCGCGACTCTAAAAATATTCGATTAAAAATGCCAATTTTATATAAAAATTCCCGTGAAATCGCGTTACGTCGTTCTTTTGGGCAGGGCGACTTCTGGAAACGAGATACGCGACGACTCGGTCGAGACCGTACTCTTTTTCATTTTTTTTATTTTTCTTTTTTTCGTTAGGCGGGATACCGCTTGGCTCTCTTTCTCTTTTCGGTCGGTGCCATCGACATACCGTATCCAGGCTTAACGCGTGGTCCGACGGGTCTACGTGTCCTGCATACATTAAAAGGTGGATTCGTAGCTACGCGTAGAAAGGCATCGATTACGCTCCACTCGGTACACCCGAGTGTGCAGGTAAAGGTCTTCGAAACGTTCCCCGAGGCACGTACCGATTCCGGTAGACCTCGGTTTCCCCTCGAAAGAGATTTGAGGAAAACTTCCCTATGAACGCGTGGCTCCAGAAATGCACATGGATGCGGAAAGTGGTACTTTGTTCGTAACGCCGTTTACCATGGAAAGTCCAAGTGCGGTGACTCGTCCAGGTCGGTAATCGCTTCCCGGAAAGGATTTACGGTTAGGTCGGATATTCAAAGTCCGGCCGTAAAATTCGGGTTCCGAAAAGGTTCGGAAGGCCAAAAATCGCGTGGGCCTTCGTTTTCGTCCCCTGGGAAGGGAATCGAGTTTTCTTCGGGTTCGATCGTAAAATCGGTCGAGGTCGCCCCCGGGCGCGCGCATTCGCGGACCCGGGGAATATCGCGGGGACGAACGCGGTCCCTCTCTCGGTCGCTTTCGAAGGCAGAGAATCCATTTTCTTCCTCGAAAATTCTGTCCAAATTGCCGGGAAAATCGAACCGAGATACGATGAAAACCTCCCGAAGCATTTTTCCTTCGAAGCTCGCCCACGCTCCCGGGACGTTTCGGAGTCGGTCCGCCAGAAAAAAAGATAATCGAGCCGTTCCCTCGATCCGCGAGGTACCATCCGGTAACCTCGACAGTTTACTCAAGATACGAGGGAGTCGGAGTTCCTTCCAATCTACGGAAGTCGTAAACCCCACCGAGACGAGAGGCAAACGCGGCCATCCTCGGTGCCGTCGGAAGGGATCCCACGAGCACCCGACACCGAGTCATCGGGATCCCGGAAACGGGTCTAGGGTTTCCCCGGTATTTTCTGAATCACCCTGGACCGTGAGACGTACTCGACCGCAATCCGCATATTGGATGTCGCGGGAAGTCGACGCGACCTTTCCCGCCGCGTCGCGCGCCTCGTCCAACGTAAACGTCGTTTTACGAGCCGCGCACCCGGCGATGACTTAACGCCGCCGTTGCCTCGACGGCACTATAAAGACCTCGGGGATAAATAAATGAAGTAACGGCAGAAGAAGAGACGGCGCGACTCGCCGTCCTCTCCCCCTCGGCGTCCGCGCTCGGTCCAACGCGGAGGCACCTTTACGATTCCTCCGGACGGAGGGGCAGATAAGCGAAGCCTCGTCTGCCCATAAACCAAATCCGTATTTACGGCGCCGACTTGGGAGCACGGGCGAGGTCGAACGCGAGAGCAAGGAACCCGCGATCGGGGACATCGCGACGAATTACGGTTCGCGTCCCGTCCATTCCTCGAGACTTAGTCACCGTTCCTGGACCCTCGCGTCGGGATTTTCGTCGAAGGGAAAAGACCCGTGTTTCCTCTTCTTCCCTTTGTCGAACGCCGAGCGATCGGACGGCCAAGGACGTCGAAACGTCGAAACCGGGGAAGGGGAGCGCCCGACGAAGTCGCGTAACCGCGGTCCCCGATTCCCACGGTTCGTTCCTCGCCGGAGGGCTCGAGACGATCGCCGTCCGCGCTCGAGATCCGGAGGATCCTCCGCGCTTTCGGGTCGCCCACAGGAGGAGTCGATTCCTCCGCGTCGGCCGCTCGTCGAGAGAGGGAGAGATGGAGAGAGACCGGTTCGGGGAAAGGCGTTTCCAGCCTTTTTGCCGGGCGAGTCGTCGAAAGTTACGACGCCGGGCCGGAGCTAACCGCGCGCTTAATTGCTCGTGATTAATTCCCGAGGACCCGGGGACTAAAGGGGACGAAGAGCCTCGCGTCCTCCGTTCTTTCGCGGGGGTTTCCGAGCTACGGGCACGACGTCGGCCAGGAAAGGAAAGCCGGACGCGATCGCGTCGATTTCCCCGCGAGGGCCGATCCGAGAAGCGGAGGCGGCGGAAAGGAGGGCAATGGCGACGTTCGCGTCGTTAGGGCGCCTACCGGAGCGGGCTTCCTGGAAGGAGCCCTTCCCCTTTCGGCCGGCGAGCTCCCCGTCTTGCGCTTCGGTCGGCCCGGCTCGACTACCTTTCAAAGGGCGGAAGATATTTACGACGTTTCCGATGTTTCGGGTCCGGAGTCGCCTCTCGAGTTCCATTTCGTCGAAAGGAAAATCCGCGCGAAATCGTGCCTCCATTCGATACGACGCGACCTCGGGGGCTATCCGGAATGGTTCTCGATGGCCGAGCCCGCGCCTGCCGGGGAAGATCGGAACTCTTCCCGGGATCCGCGGCGTCGAGCGCTCGATTGCTCGTTAACCTCGATACGTGCTCGGGCACCCGAGCACCGGACAAAATCGGACAAACTCGCGACCGGGCGATACCTCGACAAGAGGGTAACCTCTCGCGCGGAATGTTATTTATTTCCAACGCGGGAACGACGCGGCATGCCCGTCCAATGTTATTTACGTCCGAAGCGGGAGCGACGCGCCACGCGCGCGGACCGTCCGCGGTACCTGGAACACGAGCTCGAGCCAATTAATTTCCAGCGCAAGAGGTTAGGTCGCCCTGGCTCGGGCACGAGCCGCGTTGCGGCGGGTCTCGACCGGTCGAAGGGAGCCTCCCTCGGGACGGTGGACGGAGCTCACCTGGCGTCGACGCGGGGCGGCTCGGCGGTGGAAAGACGACCAGGGGGGCCCGGAGATCCTCCACTGGCGCGAGCGGGGTCGAGCAGCGATCAGCGAGCAGCGAGCAGCGAGCGGCGAGCGGCGAGCGGCGAGCGGCGAGTCGCGTGACGCGCGTCGCGGGGCCCGGAGAGCGACTGACTGGGCGCGGACCGCGGGCCCCTCCGCCGCCATCTTGCCTCCGCTGGGGGGGACACCAGGTGTACAGTCCCCGGGCAAAATCGGCGCGAGCCGGCCCGTCCTCGTGGGTCCGATCTCCTTTCGACTCCTTTCGTCTCCTTTTCCGCGACCTGGACCGTCTCCGCTGTCTCGAGCCGTGCCTAAAAACGCGGACGCTCCATTGATCCGTTCCCCCGGCTTCGACTCAATGGCCGGGAATCCGGAGATCGTTTCCCGTTTCGTGGACGGAACGTTCCCTGCGATCCGGGAGGCGAGGATCGCGGGTCCCCCGGCATCCCCGGCATCCCCGGCATCCCCGGGGGAGACGCGTCGCGAGAGCCAAGGTTTTCGGCTCGGTGAATACGCGGTAACCATGCCGAGAACCTGTTCCCCGGAGAGCTCTTTAAAGGCCTTCTTCCTCGTGGCCGCCCGCCCGCGCCCCCGGAGTCGCGACGAGGAGCGTCACCCGGCCAAGCCGAAACCGCGGGCGGCCGTCGAACCTGGCCGAGCCTTTCCTTCGCATCGCTCCCGTCTCCCCGACGAGCGCGAAAGGTACTCCGACGGGGAGCCCTTGCCGATCGCGGCCACTTCGGGAAATAAACGCTTTCGGAACGGGACGACGCGGAATTCGCGGGCCCTCCGACGAGGGCACGGGCAAGGTAGCGGGTTACGTAATTACGCGCCGAGCGACACCCTCTCCGGTCTCGATTTAAAAAGGTCCGGCCTGATCGCTCGTTATTCGGTCCAATCGAGCTCGACCCTGACATCCATTGCGGATACCCTTTCCCGCGCGCGCCGCCGCTCCGTCGTCCCGCGGACGCGGAACGATCGCGATATGCCGTAGCGCGTTGCAAGCCGTCCCAAGGCTCCCACGCGGTGACGAGGACATCCAGGACCAAACCGCATCGCTTTGCGGGTACTCGCGTTACGACGTCGCGGACTTTCAAGGAGGCAACCGAGGAGGCAACCGCCCTGTAGGTCGTTGCACGGCGTTACGCGGACGCGCGGCGCGAGTTCCCACGAGTCCTGCGAGTTAAAAGCGACCCTCTCCGTTCCATCGAGCCCTCGCAACCGCCTCTCGGGGCTCCTCCTCGAAAACCGAGAAATATTCCGAATTATTTACGACACGGGGAACCGCCTCTCTTCTCTCGACCGGTCCACCGGTCGAGCCCCGGCCGAAATTCCGAAATCGACGGCAATGCCTTTCTCTCTTTCCCGTGTTAATATTCGCGTCCGCAACGGAATCCAATCGGGACCGACGGACCGTCGATGCGTTGGCTCCGAGTGCCTGCAACGGTGACCGTTGGTCGAGAAATTAAGACGAACGGAAAATGCATCGCCGTGCCGGAAAGTGTCGATACGATCGACCGCTCGACGGTGGTTCTCCGCGTCCTCGGAAGAAATACCTCCCGCGAGGACGCCGCGAGGACGACGCGACCTCCGAGAGTAAGCGGAGAATTTGGCAACGGCGCGAGGGACTTCTCGGGACGTCGCGTCTCCTCGTTTCCCCCGGTTCGCGACGCGATTTGCATGTCTCTCGTAACTCTCGGCGCGTCGCGTGCGCCGGTCTCCCGCCGTCCCTCTCCTGACGGTGTAACGACCGCGGAGTCTGGACGAGGCGAGAGTGCGCGCGCGTTTGCGGTTAACGGTCCGCCGGTCCGCCGGTCCGCGCCGCCGCCGCGCGGGGCGCTGCGAGCCCCTCGCCCGCCGAGACCGATCGGCGATCACCCATCGTCGAAGATCGGAGTCGGTAACTTCGCGTTTTTCATGGTTTTTACCGGAAATTACGTAAGCCATGCAGTTTACCGGGGAAAATCGTAGAAAACCAGAAAAAATGAAATTTCCAACGCGAAGGATGCCGCAGATGTCCGGTATATGTTCCGCCTTTTAGCGTAGACGTAAACGCGTCGATATCGTTAAGGACTAGTTACTTCCGCTCGTTCGTGGATGGGGATGGAATCGGTTAACGAGGTACCTGTCCCCGCCCGCCTCGAAGAGCCCGGTTCTTAGGCGGGCAAAACTCCACCGAGGCGTAATCGCGGACGTCGAGGCAACCCGGTGGCAGGGGCGATGAAATTTCGACGACTAGTCGGAGTGCGCCGATTTTTCCCCTTTTTCGAATCGTCTCCCGTTCGGAACGGCCTGGCGCAATTCAACGACCGCCAGAGATATTCCGGGCGAAGGGAGTCGGAGATCAGGGGCTCCTCTCGGAGGTAATTACAGTGTTCGGTGCTACCGAACGGCAACCGAATGGCAACCGAATGGCAAAAGGGCGATGCACCGGAGAACGGTATAATTTCTGGGAGTCCTCAAAGTCCGCCGTTTTTTTCGAGCGTACTCCCGGTCGAGGACGGATCGGCCTCGAGATTCAGAAATTTTCTGGCACTCGATGACGCGACGAACCCCGATCCCTGCCCGCAAAGGTAAGAAAGCTTTCGCGGCCGGACGGTCGTCGGACCTCGAGAGGAAATCCAGAGACCGCCGCAAGGGTCGCTTCGGCCGAGGAGGTCTCACCGAGCGAGAATATCCGATATCTTTGGAATGGAGCATAGGTCCGAGTCGACGGACATCGCCTGAACCTGTCTCCACGCATCGAAGTCTCCTGGCTCACCTGCATTCCATCAAGCGGGGGGCCATTCGGGGCCTCTCGTGCAGGACCGTATCTCCAATTCCGACAGCCCCGAACCTCGCGTGCATAAAACGTTCATCCCTCCGAGAGAAAACACCGACAATTTTCTTGCCGTTTCTCTCGTGCAGAGCCGGCGGCCCTCGTTCGATGGGAGGGCAGTTTTCGCGAAAAAACGCAATACCCGCAATTTCTGTCCCCTTCGTTAAGAAATAAGCGAGGACAAAGTTGCGTAATTCTCGATTTAGCTCTCGCGCCATTGCAGCCGCATTTGGCGGATCGAAGGCCCGCAAAACGTTCCAAGTGACGTTTTAGACGACGTCTCTTTAAGATTTAATCGCGACGAATCGCGGGGGACCGCGAGGAGGGTCGGCCCTGCGAACCGTGTAGGTGTGGGAACCGTACCCTGGAATACCGCAGACCTGCACCGGTGAAAATGCTTTTAGGCCTCAAGGCTGCGCCTGGTCGGGTCGAATTCTCGGTCGAACGCCCTTCGATATCGACTCGGGAGCGGCCAGTTATGCGGAGCCATTTTTATTGCTCGCCCCTTTGAATATTTCAACGCGCGCGCACTCCGAGAAATGGAAGAAAGGAGCCATTGTTCCCCAGGGAATCGAAATGGAATTTTCTTATCCAATTAGCTTTTTCATATATCTTTAACGTTGTTTTAATATCGGACATTACATACGTTGCTTCGTAACATATACGTTCGATAAACGGAGGCTTTTCACGATTTGCAAGAAGTAGTACCGATCGAATGAAATGCGGTCCCGATTAATCGCGATAACGATAGACGCGTCGAGGAACGATCGAACGAATCGGCCAGGTTTTAAAGAATTCCCTTCCTACTTTATTGGCCGGGATCGCACCTTCGTTCGAGCAAGCTTAATACCGCACTCGTGTGCGACCGGAGTCCCCGGCCACTTACGTGCATTCCATGAAGAGTAGGCCCCCGTGGGCCCCTCGAGCTGCGATGCACGCATGTGTAAGTCACGTGCACTTCTCATGCACCCGACGTACGGCTGTTCTCTGGGGTCATGGGAAGTTAAATAATTCCGCTGCCACTAAAACGAACGAAAAATAACGATGAACTCTCCTCTTCGTTCATCGACGATGCCTACCACGGTCCAATTCACAACGTCCTTAAGATACCAGGACTATCGGGAATATCAATGGTATAAAATACCATTTATGTTTTAGGAAACTTGGCTTGGACTTGGTGCCCAGGCAAGGAGCTCACATGGTGGACCCGGACACGATGTCCCTCGTCGAGCTGTACCACGTGGTGAGATGTTAAAACAATACTTTGAACAAAGTACCGTCTTTATAAAATTAGTACGGATCGAGTAGGGCAATCGTTTACCGGACCGCGTTATTCTCTCTGCCCAGCACGTCCAAAGCGCAGAAAACTCTCAGGGTGCATCGGCGAGGGGCACCCTTAGGCGGAAGGAGCACAAAAAGGTCCTGACGCACCATCTCTACTTCTGCATGCGGGATTTCGGCCACTACGTCGGCGAAGACGCGGAGATCTACTTCTCCCTCTACGACGCGAGAAGGAGCCAGTACCTGAGCGAGCGATTCCTGGTGAGGATCTCCAAGGAGGGCTTCTCGAACTACGTCGAGAAGATGCACAGCAACTGCACGATTTTCACCGACCTGGGGAACGCCGACCTGAGTCGGGACCTCTACATGGTGGCCCACGTGATGAGGTGCGGAAGGATGCTCTATTCGGACTCCGGCAAGAACAAGTCGGGGGGCACGGTTTACAGGAGACCCCACGGGGTCGCCGTTCTGTCCCTCGCGGAGGCCACGCAGGATCACACCGAAGAACTCGAGATGACTTTCAAGGTAATCCAAATCCTTTTTCGCGGGAGGGAAGGCCCTGCCGGGAGAACCGGATGAAAAAGCGGATGGAAGCTCAATGCGGGAGCCAAGAGTTACGGTACACGGTTCTTCCTCCATCCAGTTGTCGGAAGTTGAATGGCTGTTCCCGTTGTTGCAGGTGTACCAGGGCGAGGAGAAGGAGTTCCATCAGCTCCACGAGCAGATCATCCGGAACAACAAGTGTTCCCCGCTTCCAGGGCAACCCAATTACGGGATAGTGGTTTCCCTGAGGGTCTTGCACGGAGAACTGTTGCAAGTTCGCGAAGAGCACCCCCTACTCTTCAAGAACATCTGCCTGACCAAGAAACTCGGTTTCTCCGACGTGATCATGCCCGGGGACGTGAGGAACGATCTCTACCTAAAACTGGAGCACGGAGAGTTCGAGCGCGGGGGCAAATCCACGGGAAAGAATATAGAGGTTCGTTCGACGACGATGATTTTATCCGCTGCGTATTGGATCTACCCCGTATCGGTAAAATTATTGTAACGACGTGACGTGATGATATCATTTCTCACTTCGTCAGGTGACGATACTAGTCTTGGATGCCGAGGGCCAGCCTTTGGAGGGCTGCTTGTTCGGGGCGGCAGGAATGGACGGTAGCTCGGAGTACCAGAGTCTCATCATTTATCACCACAACAGCCCCTACTGGGCAGAGACCGTCAGACTGGCGATACCCATCGAGAAATTCTACGGCAGCCACGTGCGCTTCGAATTTCGGCATTGCTCGAGTAAGCGCACCTCCCCGAGAAAGCGACCAGGATCGTTCCGAGCGGTTGGATGGAACGTAAAACGTTTCCGCGCGTTGCCGGTAGCTCCGTTCACGTTGAACTTTCGTTTCAGCTCGGGAGAAAAACGATAAAAAGCTCTTCGGCTTCGCTTTCGTAAGGCTGATGGAGCCCGGCGGTGCGACTCTTCAGGACGGGCCGCACGAGCTGTACATCTACAAGTGCGAGGAACGCGTCAAGCTGGACTCGCTCGGCTACCTGTCCTTGCCCAGCAGTACCAGGGAACCAAATTGTCCTGGTAATAAGCACGACCTTGATTAAACAAAAGATATGTAACGAATTGCCGCGACGATTCTCGATGAGAGTTTTCCGGCATTTCAGGAGTCGCGCCGTTCACGAGGTCACCAAAGGAGGCGGTCTTCGTTCACTCGCTCCTATGCAGCACAAAGTTGACCCAAAACGTCGACCTGTTGAGCCTCCTCCAATGGAAGGCCCGTCCGGAAAGGATATCCGAAGCCCTGGGCCGCGTCTTGAGGCTGGACGGCGAGGAATTGGTCAAATTCCTCCAGGATATTCTCGATGCGCTGTTCTCCATGTTCCACACCGAGGACGGAAACTCCACGGCCCATTCCGGCCTGGTCTTTCAGGTCCTGGTCTCGATATTCAGCTTGCTGGAAGACTCAAAGTTCGAGCACTTCAAACCGGTGATGGACGCGTACATTTCCGGACACTTCGCCGCGGCGCTGGTTTACAAAGGTCTCCTCAGTAGCGTTCAGCATTGCGCGGACTGGGTAAAGGCTGCCGAGAGGCAGGAGCCCATAATGAAGTGCTTTCGCTCCCTGGAGTACATCTTCAAGTTCATCATCCAGAGCCGCTTGCTGTTCGCCAGGGCCACGGCCGGCCAATACGAGGACAGCTTCAAGAGGGATCTCTACTGCGTTTTCGCGGCCCTGAACAAGATGCTGAGCATGCCGTACGACGTGGTCCTGCTGTCCCAGGTCGCCCTGCTGCTGTCGATCTCGGCGGTCTTCGAGCAGCTGATCGCTGTCATGCCGGTCCTCGAGGTCGCGAAGTTGACCTGCACGATGCTCGACTCCGTTCCCAGGGAACCCTCGCCGCAGCTGATGCAGGCCAAATTGGTCACCATCAAGAACCTCGTCACTTCCGGGCTCTTTCAGGACGATGAGAGCAGGAATCTGCTTCTGGTAACGATCTGCCGGCACCTGAGAGTCCACCTGGCGAAACGCGAGGAACTGAGAGCCTGCACCGACATTCTCGGCGAGATCCTCAGCTTCCTGCACAAAAGGGGTCGCGATACGAACAAAGTCAATAACTGCATCCACCACGACGTAGAGACCCTTTGTCTCTCCACGCTGGAGGTTCTCATACAGACCATCCTGATAATTATCGACTCCAACAGCCCGGTTCTGGGCTGCCTGGTCGCCTGCCTCGTCGGCCTTCTGCAGCTCCTCGACGAGTACCACTATTCCAGACTTTGGGAGGAGCTCACTCACGGCGGGGAGAGGAAGCCCCTGAAGGACTTCTTGCTCAGGGTATTCCTCGTCTTTAGGGACCTCGTCAAGCAGGAGGTCTTCCCGCCTGACTGGCTGGTCATCAGGATGCAGGCCAACAACGTGATCCTCAAGTCTCTCCAAGAATTGGCCCAACCTTTGGCTTTCAGATTTCTGAATAGCGGCTTCGACTCCCAGCTCTGGTCCACGTACTTCAACCTGGCCGTAGCGTACCTCACTCAGCCGTCCCTTCAGCTGGAACAGTTCTCCGAGGTCAAGAGGGAGAAAATCGTCGAGAAATACGGGGATATGAGGGTCCTCATGGGATTCCAAATCCTGTCGATGTGGTCCAATCTGAGAGAACGAAAACTAGACTTTATTCCCAGCATGGTTGGGCCCTTTTTGGAGGTCACCCTCGTGCCCGAGAGCGAACTCAGGAAGGCAACCTTGCACATCTTCTTTGACATGATGGAGTGCGAACAGAGAACCAGGGGGAGCTTCAAGTCCGTCGAATCGGAACTCATCGATAAACTGGACATCCTCATCAGCGAGAATAAGGGCGATGACGAGTACCGACGACTCTTCAATACAATGTCAGTGATATTCAATTGAAATTCTTCTTCCCGTCAAAGATCCACTTTGAAACCACACATTTTATGTCGAGAATTTGATATATCTCGTACGAAATAACGCTTTTCCTCGTCCCAGCTTTTACTATTTCGCCATTAAATATTTTGCTTTTTAACTTTCACGCCGCAGGGAGCATCTGAGTGCCGTGTAAGTCTTGACGGTTTTTTCACATTTTTAGGATCGATCTCGCAGATACTGTGGTATGAAATACTTATAATATGTTATGCGTATAAATTGCATTGTGCAGGTTATTGGACAGAGTACAGTCGGAAGATCCAACTTGGAAGGACAGCGGTACCGCTTTCATAACATCTGTCACGAGATTGCTAGAACGGCTATTAGATTACAGGAGCGTCATACAGGGAGACGAGAACCGCGACAAACGCATGTCGTGCACCGTTAATCTATTGGTAAACACTTATTAACGTTTTATAAACTGCACTATCAATTTTTACAATACGCCATTATCGGTATGCAAACATAAACTTCTCTTTGATACATAATTTGCGCGTCGTGCAGTTCCTGCTCCAGACAAACTGTTCGCTGGCTTATCGTGAGCTGAAATATACTCGTTAAGTCAAATCCTTTAAACGATTACTCAGGGTGCTGTACGGTTAAATCGAAATATCGTTCTATTTGTCCTACCCGCAATACGATACATTTACGCGAAATGTATGAGCCCTGCAGAGGGGATACTCGCCACTGTAAATAATCGTGTTAATTTCCATTTGTTAGTTTAATTAAGCAACACGCTGTTTTTGTCGACAAACATAGCGATACATGTATGTACTTCGGAACATCCCAGGGTGACGTTTATCAGTTGCTCCTGCTTCAACGACCGAAGAATTTGCCTTTTCGAGATCGAAAGGACGATAAAAAAAAATTAGCATAAACAGTAAGTGAAAATTTGTGGAAATAATGGGACTCTTCCTGTTCCTTCTTCAGAATTTCTATAAAAACGAATTCAACCGGAAGGAGATGTACCTGAGGTACATTTACAAGCTCCACGACCTGCACCTGGCGGCAGAGAATTACACCGAGGCTGGGTTTACCATGAAATTATACGCCGATCAGCTTGGCTGGGGATCCACTATTTTACCACCGGATCACACCCACCCTCAGCAACCCGAATGGCAAAGAAAGGAGCTGCTCTACCATCAGATCGTTCATTACTTCGACCGAGGCAAGTGTTGGGAGAAGGGCATCCCACTTTGCAAGGAATTGGCCATCTTGTACGAGACCAGGCTTTACGATTACGCCAAGCTCAGTCAAATCCTGAAAATGCAGGCCAAGTTTCTGGATAATATCCTCACCCAGCTTAGACCGGAGCCCGAATACTTCAGGGTTGGGTATTACGGCCTGAGCTTTCCTCTGTTCGTCAGGGTAGGTGTTCCCGTAACGCATGCTCTCATTTTTTTTTTTCTTACTTTCTAACAAGATGGTACACTTTTTAGAACAAACTGTTCATCTACCGGGGATTGGAGTACGAGCGGATAGGAGCCTTCACCCAGCGGCTCCAGACCGAGTTCCCTAGCGCGCAGATATTGATGAAGAACTCCCCTCCGGATGAGAGCATCGTCTCATCCGAGGGTCAATGTAAGGCCAAACCCTTCTTCGCTCTTAATTCTTAGTTTCGTTCGCCTATCGCGAGAGGAAAAAATGATTTCGATCGTAATTCCTGTCCTCGCAGATATACAGATCTGCAACGTGAAGCCGATTCCAGAGGAGAGCAGTCTGGCATGCAGCACGACAGAGATTCCGGACAGGGTGGTAGCATTCTACCTGGTGAACGACGTGAGGAAGTTCACGTTCGACCGGCCTCTTCACAGAGGTCCCGTGGATCGCGAAAACGAGTTCAAGAGTCTGTGGATCGAGCGCACGACACTCACCACGGAGGCGAGGCTTCCAGGGATCCTGAGGTGGTTCGAAGTCGTGGAAAAAAGATCCGAGCTTCTCGCCCCGGTGCAATACGCGTGCGAAACCATGCAAAGCGTGGAAAGGGAGCTGAGAAGGCTCGTGGCCCAATACACCGCGGAGCCGCACAGAAACATCAATCCCTTCAGCATGCGACTTCAAGGAATCATCGATGCAAACGTGATGGGCGGCATCACCAAGTACCAAGAGGCTTTCCTCACGCCGGAGTTCTCCAGACAGAATCCGGAGATGGTGCCGCACGTCAACAAGCTGAAGAGCCTAATCCTGGACCAGATGAGCGTTTTGGAGTCCGGCCTGGTCCTGCACGGGCAAATCGCCCCCGCTGGCGTGCAGCCTCTCCACAAGAGACTGATCGAGAGATTCACCCAGCTGAAACAAGGCCTGGGGCCTCTGGCCAGACAACGCACCGTGCATCAAGATAGTATTATAAAGTACGTCCTCGAGAATTGCCGACGAGAGGGGCGAAATAACGCGGTCGTTAAAAAATTTCAGCTCGCCCCTGCCGCCGTTGCCTGTGAACGAGAAGCAGAGACCAGTCACCCTGGAATCGGTGGGCTCGAGGATATCGCAGGCCGACAGCGACGGTCTCCCCGAAGACGAAGGTTTCTACACGAAGCTGGAGGGCGTTCCGCCCCCGATTCCGCAAAGAGAGGTGCGGCCCCGTTCCGTGGGGTACGGCAGCACGCCTCCCCGACCGACTCATCAGCGAACGCTGAGCAAGCCTTTGAGCCCGAAACTGCCATTGAGACATTCCTTACCGACCCCCACGGACGGGACCGATCAGAGCAACCTGAGGAGCTCCTGGAGCGAGCCCGGGCCGCAGTCGGACCCCGCGCCTCCGCTCCCACCTAGAGGCTGCAGTGCGTATCTTGGGGCGATGTTCGTTCCTCGAAAAGCGACGCTCACTCCGATCGTTCTCTTTGCAGCTCCCGACAAGAGGGACTCGAATTCGTGCTCGGCGGGGCCCCCCGTGCCGCCTGCCCCGCCGAAGAGACCGACGCCCAAACGCAACGCCGAGTGGAGCACGGACGACGACGCCGACATTCCCCAAAACGAGACCGCCGACTTCAGAGACAGCGGGATCTCCACCGCCAGTCTCTTGGACTTCCAGGCGCACCTGACCAACCTGAACAACCTCAGTTACGAGGACTTCGAACCTAGAATCAGGTGCAACGACGTCATGAACATCTCTCCTCCCTCGGCAACGCATCTAAACGCCTCGGTCGGCAACCTTTCCAGCGGTTCGTTCCAGGGGCACAGCCGGGAGGTAAACCTGCTTTTTTTCGTTGACTCGGAAACGCGTCCAGCGTAGGTGCATCGTTCGATCGCTCGGTCGTTATGTCCAGGTCAGTCCGCCACCGATACCACCGAAGGCCCATCAGGACACTCCCTCGGCGCCCTCGACTCTGGAGCGAGGGTCCAGCAGGTCCCAGAACCACGGTCACGCGGAGAATTACTCCGTGCCGAAGCTGCAGACCCTCTCCGTGGTTTCGGACATGGAGAGCAGCGTCTAACAATGATATCGACTAGTCCTAGCGGTTAATATTAGTGACGCGTCGATACCTCGAAACCGGGTCGCCTTCCGGTCGGAAACGTTTTTCGCCCGACTCCGGCAGGCGACGAGACGGAGCCTCGAAGGGGGCCGTCGGGGTGGACGCGCCACCGGGCAAGTAGGCTTAAGGGCATATTGTAACGATCTAAAATGAAATCTTCTGAATCATTATCGCAAGAGGATTCTATCTACCTACATGTATCGTACCTCGATAACCGGTGCTCCGTTTGAAGACCGGAAGCATCGTCCTGCTTCCGAGGGAATCCGAAGTAGAGTCCGGTAGGGTCGTTCCGGGACAACCCGGAGGTCCGTATCGGGCACCCGTGCGCAAGATATCAGTCATTTTTACGTAGCTCGTAAGGCTTAGAGAGGTTAATTCAGCACGAACCAGTCAATTCCGATTATTTGACGCATCGAGCGACGGTGGCTTCCAGGATCGAAACGGAGGCCCGCTGATTTTAGTTTAAAGACGACGCTCTTCCGAGTATTGATCTACCTATATATTTTGTAATTTATTTATATTTTCAAGAAGAATAAAAGTCATTTTTATCTAGTTGGTTTTGACGATCAGTGAGAGGGCGAAGAGGGGGCCACCACCAAATGTCGAGCACACCCAAACCGGAGGATCCGGAAACGATCATCGGAATCGACCCCGGAAGGACCACGCTCAACGGCGCGGGTATATAAATTATGTATTTTGTCACGTTTCTCCGTACAAATATATACATGGTTTGAGTATTACGCGATGCCGCGTTTAAGTACTACGTCCTTCTTGCGCGTAAATAAAATTGCAAACGGTACGAAAGATGTATAAAAAGAATACTCTAAAGAAACGTGGAATGTATACATTGCACAATAGTGGAGCTAAGAGGTAAGGTACAAAGGAATGATTACTTTAAGTACGAGAGCGATCAAAGGGCTGCGTAGCAAATCCATTCGAAGATACTCTTTACCTAGGTCTACGAGTTCGGTACACCGTACGTAATTATACTCCCCACTCTTTCCCCCTGAATTAATTTACAATTGAGAAGCTCTACAATCCGCGTTCTTTACTCGAGGATAGTTTTGCTACGAAGCCTTTCGATTAAACGAGCTAGAGATCATCTTTCCCGGGTGTCCAGTCTGCGCGATTGCCGTTAGTCGGTCACTTCTAACTAAAACGTATCACTGGAAACCTGTGTACCGCTACGCGCGATGATCGGCAATCGCTGATGAGCCCGGTCGTCGCTTAAATCCAAGTGCTCGAGCTAAATCATTCGAAATGGGGTTCGAAATGATCCGAATCGAAATTACGATGTGGGCGTTACGTCAACAGGCACTCGCACATGCACGCTAATCATTGTGGCTTTAAGTACAGTCATGGCCACTGCTTAAAATATACGTATTCCTAAATGTACTAAAGGTCTTTCGATTCGCTGCATGTTAATGACTATCCTAGAACGTTACTTTGTACGGTAGTTGCTTGCAATTCGGAGATTGTCAGACGGACGTTTCGGCGTTAGTATCCTTCCTGCAAGGAGATCGTACCGATAACGATAAGTGGAATAAAATAATGATCGACTTACCGAGAATGGCATGCAACCGCGTGGTTCGATTTTATTCGATTTTTTTCGATTTCATTCGATTGTACGGGGGGTGAAGACGAGCGGAGCTTACCTCCTCGCTGGAAGCCAAGCACCAGGGCAAGCACAGATCACGAGAAAGACATTGTTAGTTAAGAACGGTCCGTCACCTCCTTCGGAAGAGCGAAGCTGGTCAGGTGCCACGACCCGCTTATAGCTTATTCCTCATCAGGCTTCCGGGCAAACGCCGGGAAACGTCTCGCACGAGAATCGTAGAAAATTCCTTTCCTACTCACTCTGTTTCCGTGATGGTTTGCTCGTACGACGGTTGCTGCTGCCTTAGTGCCGCTAATTCATTGCTGTGTTGCAGATCGTGCGTCAACGAGCTCGAGAGTATCCTGCCGCTCAGGGGAAGGATGTACTCGGGGGAGTCCTCCAAAACGGTGGGAGTGACCTTGCCCCTCTTCAGGCTCCCGTACCGTTCGGAGCCGCTCAGATTGTCCTGCCGAGATCCGTGGAGACTCTGCCCTCTCTTCAGGCTCCCGTACCTCTCGGAGCCGCTGAGGTTCTCGTGGTTCGAGTGCTGGGAATGGTGGCTCATGCTCGAGGCCAGGATTCGGGAGGACATGGAGAGCATGTACGGGGTGGGGGAGACGGTGTGGTCCTCCTCGGCAGTATAGGGGAACAGATACTTCTCCCCGAGGTGGTGGAGCTTCTCTTCGCCCTCGGAGTAATTCTCGTCGGTCTGGTTCTTCTGGGGCGAGTTCATGTCCGGATAAGGCAGGGGGTTTGGACTCGAAGTCTTGTTCGACGCCATCTCGTTGTCGGACACGGTGCCGCCCGACCATTGGCTCCCTCGGGCGTCAACTGCGTTCAATTTCAACTCGTTAACGCGGAGGTAAAGATATGAGCGATGGACGGTCTCCGTTTACTCTAGCCTACCATTGGATGGCAGGTACGCTTCCGGCAGCTGCGAGCTCCACCTAGGCGCGTAGATAGGCTTTATGTTCGGAAAGAGCTCCGTGTTCGAGCAAAGTATGTTCAGGTGGTCGGCAGGATTGTCGTGGATATTCGGCAGGTAGCTGTGCGAGACCGGCTGCTGCACCGAGACGCCCATGTTTTTGTGCGACCTGGAGGTGACGTCCTCGTCGTCCGAGCTGTGCGAGCTGGCCAGGTCCAAGCTTCTTCCCCCGCCTTCTCCCTGGGATCCGTCCGAGTCCGATTCGGAGTCTCTTCGCTGACCCCGAGGCTCGTTGGCATCTACGACGGACAGAGGATACTTTAGCCGTCCGAGCGACGCGACTCTCCTCGATGCCGTACCTTGTCTGGCGTGCAAGACCGAGTGGTGATTCCTGGACGACAGGTAAGGGTCGCGATCGCTGTTGTAATTGCTGGTCGACGTCGAGGTGTGTCTCAAGTGAGCGTCGCTTCTGTACGGACTCGAGCCCGTCTTGTTGGTGCTACGCGAGGTCGTGCTGCTCGTGGAGACGCCCACGTGGACCCTTCTGCACATGGATTCGGCCCCGCTGTACGCCGAGGAGTACGCCAAAGCGGACCGCTAAACGGAAAGGTTGCGTTAACGTCTTACTCGCGGCGCGGGGTCGATTCCGTGAGAACCCTGACTTACCGAATGCCCGTTGACGTTTTGACTGCTGCTGCCGTTACCCATGCTGCCCTCCAGCAGCGGCGACTTTTTGCCCATGCACTTAAGTAGGCTCAGGTACAAGTTTCTTCTCACTCTGCCGTTTACGAAGCAGTAGCCGATCAGACTAAAAGCCGCGTGAGCGACGACGGACACGCTGAGCAAGTAGGACAACGTCGGCGAGTTCTCGGACGCCCCGAGGACTGCCAAGGCCCAGGTCGTCCCAAGCAGCGGTAAAGATGCAACGGACAGCCACAGTAACGTCCGCAAGTTGCCAAAGCCCATTATGTGTTCCTGAAGAGTGAAGGCCGCGCGCACCGACATCACCAGGATGCAGAGGTTTACCAGAACGGCCGCGCAGACGGGACCTATCAGGGCCCAGACGACGGTCTCGTATATCGAGAGCCAGCAGCTGAAAGGAACGATCCACCGGGTGAAGAGCGAGCGAATCTTGCGGTACCTTCGAGTGGCGAAATAAAATGCTTCTTACAAGTAGAAATTGCCGTACTGGTCGGCTCGGACGCCGATGGTCAACCCGACGATGACGGCAGGCATGCCATAGCCCATGGTGTAATAGAACCTCATCTGCCCGTGATTGACGTCTCTCATCTCGGTCAGCATTCGGTAGAGATGAACCGAGTCGACCAGGGCCCAGGCAAATGAGCTGAGCCAGGCGTAGTGCAGACCGATCGCGGTCAGCTTGCAGGGGAACTCGTTGGAAACCAGCGGATTTCTGGCCTTCAGGGCGACGAGATACAGCGTCTCCGCCAAGAAGACGCAGAAAACGAGATTCTTGTGGATGCTGTTCGAGTTCGTCCCGCCTCCGCGGATTAAAGCCAGGATGAGCAGAGCCGACAAGAGCAGGGGCAAGGCCAGCATGAACGCGCTATAGCTGGTGACGTCTTCCAGAAGAGAGGGCTCCGGAACGTATTCGAGGTCCAGGACGTCGGTGAGGACCGCGAACGTTGACAACTGGAGACAGGAGCAGTTCACGATGGAACCCGCGATCGAGGACGCGTCTTCGACTTCGGTGGTACAGCCCATGCGACTCCATTCGCCGATCCTGAGAAAAATCGGGGACATTCGTCGGTCTCGTCCGCGGATAACGGAGAAGGGGCTCCGACTTACCCTCTGGCTGTGCTCCAGTGCACGCACTGCGGATTCGTCCTAGTCTTGAGGCGATCCTCCGCGTTGAGCCACAGCCGTATCTGAACGGGCGATTGCAAAGGAATTCCCGTGATGGACTCGTAGCCACTTTCCGTTGGAACCAGGACCGACACCGTCAAGACGGGAGACCCTACGGCGACCTCGACCCCCCATCGCCCTGCCACGGAATCGTCAAATCTGAAATAAAAACGTCGCGATAACGATAGACGACCCGCCGCGAAGGTGAATCCGATTTTTTAATCAATTTCTCTTTACCGTCTAGGAAGCAGGGCACCCAATTCCCTGTATTGCACGTAGCTCAAAACGGCCTTTTGATTATTTAGACTGTTCTTCGCGTTGAGTTCTCCCTGCGCCAGGGGTTTGATCCCGAGGAGGCTCAATGGCACCTGAATCCTGGAATAGGGGTCGAACCTCTTCGGGTCGGCCATGTAGTTGTTGTACTTGGGGAACCCGATGGAAGGTCCCAGATGGACGGGCGAGGTCAAGAAGGCCGAGGTGTCCGGTAGAATGACCTTCTGGTCCGCCTCGGACGGCCTGGCCGTGGAAAGGGTGGGATCTTCCTTGTACTCCGTGGCTTCGTAGCCGAAGAGGCTTTCCGAGGTCACCACGTCCAGGCCGAGTACTGAAACGAAATCGATAAATTCCTCGAGCCTCCTGCCGCGTCCACCCAGCGTCCACCCAGCATTGTGATTTTAGAATAAACCAGGAAGATTCGTACCGACGTTCGCGTCGACGACCTCGAAGGGGCTGGTGAAGGTGTCGTGCTGCGTGGCGGCGAGCGTCTTAAGGTAATTGGCCATCGCCCCGAGGACGACGTCCGGACCGTCCTTGGTCAGCGCCTCGATCCTGTTCCAGTTTTTCAGGTGCGCCGCCCTCAGGACGGCGCTTGCCACGCCGACCAGGTGGGAAACGTAGTCCTTGTCCTGACTATGGGTGAGGTTCAGCCCGGCGAGGCTCTCCTCGTACTCGAGGAGCGCCGTGAGCAGAGATTCGGCCACCAACAGGTCGGCCCCGTACATGGACTTGGTGACGTTGACCGCTCGGTGCAGGTCGGCGGCCATCTTCATCGCGACGTACGTATTGACGGTCAGCTCCTCGTCCTCCAGCGCGGCGAGCTGATGGCGGAGTTCCACGAAGCCCTCGGAGGTGCAGTTGAACGGGTCGGGGTCCTGCCATCCGCCGAGTTTGTCGTCGCAGGACCTGGAGGCCCTCCCCTCGGCGGTCGCGGGGCAGTCCTCGACGGCCAGGGTCCCGAACTTGGTCCGGGGCCACCACAGTCCCTCCGAGAAGGACTTGGGACACCCGTCGTAGACGACCTCGCAGCCCCTCAGAGTGACCTCCGCGTACGGGTTGGGGCAGTCGGTGCAGGACCTCCCGATGACTCCCGTCCTGCACCTGCACTGCCCGGTCTCGGAATCGCACCTGGGCCCGAAGCTCCCGGTGGCGTAGCACTCGCAGGGGATACACTCCTTTTCACCTGGAGGTTGGTAATGGTTCTCCTTGCAGTAGCACTCGCCGGTCGTCTTGTTGCAGACGGGGTCGTACCCCCTGGACTCGTCGCAGTGGCAGGGCCCGCAGACGGGGGAGCCCCACCAGGTCGCGGGGCAGGGCTGCTCGGCCCGGATCTCGCAGTACTCGCCCGAGTACTCCTCCGAGGGGCACTCGCAGACGTACCCCTTCGCCGCGGAGCCGTCCTCGACGCAGGTGCCCGCCTCGCTGCAGGGACTCAGATCGCAGACGGGCCGGCAGTCGCGACCCACCCTGCCGGGTAGACACTCGCACCTGCTGGACTCCCACCCTGTGAGGCAGGTCGTGGTCTCGGGGCAGTCGGCGTCGCACTCCTCGTCGGTCTCGCAGCCCACCCCGACGTTCTCCTGCACGGTGGGTCTCTGAAGGACGCTCTGATTGGTCCCAATCCGGATGTCCTGCACGCACCCGTCGAAGGAGGGCAAATCGCCCGCCAGGGGCTGGTCCGGCCCGCCCACGAGGATCCTGCCCACATAGAGCCCCTGGAGCTTTGCGGGCAGCGGGGAGACCAGCGGCCTGCTCCTGTAGTCCAGATCCAGAGCCGCGTGGCCGCTCCGCCAGGACACCTCCACCCTGTGCCACTCCCCGTCGGCGACGCCGGTCCCGGAGCGGATGACCTCGACCCCGTCCAGGGACGCCACCACTCTGCCCTCGTCCAAGGCCAGAGTCGCCGTGCCGTTCTGTCCGATTTGCACGCTCATCAGGAAGGCGCTTTCCCTCCTGGTGCGGAGACTCAGGGCCGTCACCCAAGGCAGCTGGATGGGCCTGAGGAGGGGGTTGAATCCGAGGAGCCCGTCCCCACGGAACCGCCAGGGCTTCTCCACCTCCTCGGCGCAGGTGGGGCCGGCAAAGCCCTCCCGGCACTCGCAGACGTACCCCGACCAGACCTCCCGACAACCTCCGTCATTCCGGCAGGGCGCCGAGGCGCAGAAGGGCCTCTTCTCGGGACAGCCTGCGGCGGTCCCGTTGTCGGCCACGAAGGAGTTCAGGTCCACGAACTCGTGGTCGACGCGCAGATCGCCGATGCACCCCACGAAGTCCCTGTTCTCGATCTGAAAGGTCGTGGGGATGGCCGGCAGGCCGCCGAGTTGCAGGGGCCCCGTCAGGTCGAGGAAACGAAGGCAGGACTCCGTGACGAGACCGCACCGGGGCTCCAGGACTCGCTCGCTCCTCCCCGCGCAGGCCCACTTCCGGCCGAGGCGGTCGCCGTACTTGAGGGCCAGGGCGACGTCGCAGTCGTCCAGGGCGATCGTGACCGTCCGGTTGACGTAGGACACCTCCACCGAGTGCCATCGGCCGTCGGAGACTCCCCCGGGGACGCCGGCGCTCACCTCGGTGACCTCGTCTCCCAGCGAGAAGCTGAACCGCACCCGGGAGTCGACGATCTCCAGGGCGACAAAGTCGTGCCGCTCGTTGTATCTCCCGTTGTACAGCAGCACCCCATCCGTGGCCTCCGTGGCGAACCGGAGCCGCAGGTGCAGTCGGTACCTCTGCCTCAGGGAGGGGAACGTCAGGAAGGTGGAGGGCCCGAAGCTCCGGGCTCTGAGCTCGCAGAGGGGGGTCGCGTCCTCCTTGGAGGGAACCGGGCAAGCCTCGCAGAGGAAGCCGCCGTCGGTCCGGGTCAGGCACTGGGAGCCGCCCTTGCACCAGTTCGGAGCGCAGGTGTCCTCGGCCAGAGAAACCTCGCACTCTGGCCCGGTGAAGGACTCGCCGCAGGCGCAGGTGTAGCCGCCCTCTCTCCGGTGGCAGGTGCCTCCGTTCTTGCAGGGATTCGAGTAGCACAGATTCACCTCGGTGTCGCAGAGGAACGCCTCCAGACTCCCGGTGAACCCCCGGGGGCAGTCGCAGGCGAACGTAGTGACCGGGTAGATGGGTCGGAAGAGCACGGTGTCGCTGCTGGCGAAGCCGGACGCGTTCCCGAACTTGAGGACCGTCACGCACTCCTCGAAGTTCAGGCAGGGCTCCCGGACGCACAGGTTGTCGTCGAACGGGAGGACCGTCACTGTGGCGAGCCGCGCCAGGATTCCGCGGTTCAGGTACACCCTCTCCTGCAGGAACTGCGGGCTGTAGAACTCGTCGGCGGTCCCGGGCTCGACTCTGCGCGCAGAGAAACTCACGTTCAGGATCTTGCCGTGCACGTCGGCGTCCTCCTGGACGTTGAAGACGAAGACGTTTTCCCGGGGACAGGGGATTATGGCCGCGAGCCCGTCCAGAAAGTAGCCCAGCAGAGGACTCAGGAAGGCCTCGACCGTCATGTCGTCCAGCCTGACGGTGATGGAGTTGAGGAGCATCTCGTCGGTGATCAGCCGGACCGAGAGGGTCATCGTGGCCTTGGCCTCGTTGACGCCGTCCGTCACGGAGACATCCATGGTGGCGATGCGAGGAACGTTGGTGTTGAGCTGGGGCGACAGGCTGATCTCCCCGGAGGTCCTGTTCAGGGTCACGAGGTTGGCGTTATTCCCGGCCAGGATGGAGTACACCAGCTTGTCCGTCACGTCGGCGTCGAAGGCCGGGATCCTGCCAATGGGCCCATTGGGGAAGAAGTCCTTGAAGTTGTTGAAGATGATCCGGAAATCCTTGAGGACCGGCGCGTTGTCGTTGACGTCCGTCACCAGGACCTGGACCAGGACGTCAGACCTGAGGGGCGGAGAGGCGGCTCGCACGTACAGCTCGAACCTCTTCTTCGGCGATTCGTAGTCCAGCTCCTCGAGGGTGACGAGCTCCGCGCGGTCGGCTCCGGGCCTGGTGTTCAGGGCAAAGCCGTTGGCGTCCTCCCCGCCGATGACGGAGTACTGCACCACAGCGTTCGGCCCCTCGTCGGGGTCGTGGGCGTAGATCTCGCCCACGGTGGAGCCCACCGGGGAGTTCTCGGCGATGTACAGGATTATCTTGTCGCTCTCGAAGGCCGGGGGCGAATCGTTGACGTCCTCGATCTTGACGACGATCGGGACGACGGAGGACAGGCAAGGAGAGCCCCGGTCGACGGCCACGGCCTTCAGGACGTACCTGGCGACGGACTCTCGGTCCAGGGGTTTGGACGTGCGGACCACGCCGGTCGTGGGGTCGATCGCGAAGGAGGCATCCCCGTCGTCCTCGAGGGCGTACCTCACCCGCCCGTTCAGGCCCACGTCGGCGTCGCTGGCGGCGACCCGGAGCACGCTTGTGCCCACCAGAGCGTCCTCGGGGACCGAGCCCTGGTACTGGGGGGCTTCGAAAACGGGCGCGTTGTCGTTGACGTCGGTCACGGAGATCTCCACGTCGGTCGTGTCCGAGAGGGGCGGCACCCCTCCGTCCCTAGCCGTGACGGTCAGTAGATAGCCCGAGACCTGCTCGCGGTCCAGGGTCCTGGTCGTGGTGACGGCCCCCGTCTGGGGGTTGATAGCGAACTCCGGGGCCTCCTGGTCGACGGTGTCCGTCCCCAGGACGTAAGTCACCTGAGCGTTCTGCCCGACGTCCGAGTCCGTGGCGCTCACCACCAGGACGGTCGTGCCCACGGGGGCGTCCTCGAAGACGGAGACCGAATACGGGGCGTTCTCGAAGACGGGGGCAAAGTTGTTGGCGTCCGTCACGTTAACGTAGACGAGCGCAGTGTCGGTTCGGCCCCCGGAGTCGGAGGCGGTGACGGTGAGGACAAACCGCTTCTCCTGCTTGTAGTCCAGGGGCTGGGCCACGGTGACGAGGCCCCTTCCGTTCTGGGAGGTGACGGAGAAACGGCCCCGGGTGTTGCCGGCCGTCAGCTCGTAGTGGATCCTCGCGTCCTCGTCGGGGTCGGTGGCGGTGACGGAGGCCACCGGCGTCCCCGGTGGGTCGTCCTCGGACACCACGGCCTCGTAGTTCTTGGGCTCGAAGAAGGGGTCGTTGTCGTTGACGTCGGTGATGGTCAGGACGACGGTCGCGCTGGCGGCCCTCGGGGGCTCCCCGGCGTCGCTGGCGATCACAGTGAACTGGTACTTGGAGCATCGCTCCCGATCCAGCTGCTCGGTGGTATAGATCCACCCGGTCTCCGCGTTGACGGACACCGGGAAATGCTCCGTGGAGGCTCCGGAGAGGTCCCGGGCACCGATGGAGTACTCGATCCGCGCGTTGGCGCCCTCGTCCGCGTCGTAGGCCTGTACCTTCAGCACCGCGTACCCCACCGGGACCCCCTCGGACACCGCCTCCTGGAAGAGGCTGGTGTAAAACCTCGGGGCGTTGTCGTTGACGTCCTTGACGTGCACCAGCAGCTGCGTCGTGTTGGATCTGGCCGGAACCCCCCCGTCCTGGGCCCGGACGACGATTCTGTAGCTCCTGGCGGACTCGTAGTCCAGGGGCTTGACGAGGGCAACATCGCCGCTCAGAGAGTCGATGGAGAAGGTGTTCTGCGTGTTCCCGCCGATGATGGCGTATCGCAGAGCGGCGTTGTTCCCGCTGTCCGCGTCGGTGGCTCGGATTCTGGCGACGATGGGGTTGCTCGTGTAGTCCAGGTCCTCGGGAACGGAGACCGAGTACGTGCGCTCGGAGAATTGGGGATAGTTGTCGTTGTCGTCTAGGACTCGCACCACGAGGGTCGTCGTAGCGGTCTTACGGACCGACGGGGGAGTCGCCAGGTCCGACGCCCCGAGGACGACCGTGTACACCTCTGTCTTCTCGCGGTCGAGGGAGGTCCTGGTGGTGACCACACCCGACCGAGGATCCACCCTAAAGGTGGAGGAGTCCTCCGTCAGGGAGGTCGTGCCTCCGCCGGACGTGGACGCGATCGAGTACTCGACCTCGGCGTTCCTCCCGGCGTCCTGGTCCGTGGCCTTGACGGCGACGACCGTGGACCCCGCGGGCACGCCTTCCCTGACGGACGCCTCGTACTCGGGCCACTCGAAGACGGGAGCGTGGTCGTTGGTGTCCAAGACGTTGACCTGCAGGGTGGTGGTCCCGGTTCTCGGGGGGAACGAGTCGTCCACGGCCAGCACCCGGAAATAGTGGACCTCCAGGTTTTCCCTGTCCAGCCGGGCCCTGGTCGTGACTCTCCCGGTGACGGGGTCCAGCTGGAAGAGGGCCTGCGACCGGGCGTCCAGGAGGGAGCTCATGGAGTAGCGGACGGCGCCCCCCTCGGGATCCCTCGCCCGGACGACGGCCACCGACGCTCCCGCGTCCCTCTCCTCCTCCACCGCCGCCACGTAGAGCGCCTGCTCGAAGAACGGCGACTGGTTCCGCAGCTCCCTGCGCACCCTTCTCCCCAGGTCGGTGTCGTCCAGCTGTCGATGGTGAAAGACGATCTTGAGCCGGTGTTCCGCGTCGGCCAGGTGCGTCGAGCCGCAGCGCAGGTGCATGGACACCGAGACCTTCCAGAGCGGGTCCACGAGGCACTGTTCCGAGGCGGACACCAGGTCGCCGGCCACTCCCTCGACCAGGAACCGGGGATCGGCGACGCCCCCCCACCTGGTCTCGCAGTCCCTCAACGCCGTGTGGGGCAGGAAGTCCCTCAGGGCCGCCACCAGCTGGGACGTCCGCAGGCATATCTCGGAGAACCGCTCGGTGCTGGGCATCGCGTAGGAGGCCAGGGTCTCGGCCACCCAACCCCTGGTGGCCGCCAGGTCCTGGTTCTCGCCCCCGCAGCCCGCTACCAGAACCCTCAGTGGCAGGCTGTAGTAGTCCACGGTCGGTCTGCCCAGCCGCGAGCTCGTCGAGTCGATGTAGAAGGTGAAGATCCGGGGATACTGGAGCCCGTCGCAGCTCAGGCTCCGAGACAGGGTCACCCGGCCGGTGTGCGGATGCACCTTGAGCAGCTTCCGGGCGAACCAGGCGGTCCGCTCGCTGGAGGCCTCGTACCTCCGGCGCCCGCCCAGCCGCACCCCCGCCTCGAAGACGACGCTTCCCGGCGGCAGACTCGAGGGCAACACCGCCAGGTAGCCCGAGGCCAGCGAGGTCAGCCCCAGCAGGCACAGAACCACCCACGGTGCCCTCGCCATGTCATCGGCCGCACCCGGAGGGTGCCTCTACGTCCTCCTCGCGGCGGCCGTGTCGTTCCGCGCCGCCCTCGCTCGCGACCCGTGGCGTCCTCCGTTCCGCATCGTCGCCGTCCTGAAACGAACGACCCTTCGTTATTCTCTGGGTATTCTCGATCGCATCGCCCGTGCCGACGTCGACGTTCCGCCCGGAATCCCTGAAAATTCGGACATACCCCCGACGTTCGCGGGCGATTCGCCCCATCCTCGACTCCGTCGTCCGATCGTCGATACCGGCATCGATATTTCCCGTAAGTAAGACGAGAAGCTCGCGATATTCCTAGCCGGAGGCGCGGCGAGTAGGTAAAAAGGGGCCCCGCGAGAGGCGATACGCGCCTATCCCGTATACCGTTGAGTCCGGGGCGATCCGATTCCGGTGTCGTTGCACCGACCGGGAGCCCGGCGAGCATCTCTCGAGCGGCGGCTCTCCTCCTTTTGTCTCCGAGAGGCTCCTCCTCGGGCGAGTCCGCGTCTAGTTCGCCGCAGGAACGCGGCCGAGCCGTCCCGCAGGTAGGACCGGAGCCGATCCCCCAAGGGCATCGGCCAATCGGCCCGCGGGTTAAGGGGTTGCCGGCATCGTTCCCGAGGCGCCGGGGATTTGCGTCTCGATTCCTCGGGACGGAGAAAAGTTCCCGAGAAAAATGTTTCTCCCCGCGGTCTTCCGCATGACACGCGTTGGAGACGCTTTCGCCCGTTAGCCCAAACTCTCCAGTCGATCGGGAGGGGGATAAGGCAGGCGGCCAGTTTAGGAAATTGGGACCGACCCGGCGCCGCCGACGAGGGCAAGGGCCGGTATCGTCCTTCGGCGGGGCACCTGCCTCCCGGCCCGTCTCGACGCCAGGAGTCCCCCGACAAAGGCGGCGTTACTTCGATAACCGCTATCATAAAACGCGACTACCGAAGAACCGTAACCGCGGTCTATAAAACATCCCATTACCCCGCGCGTCGTCTTCGAGTCAACCGAGCGGCGGGGAGTTTGCATAATTCGTCCCCGCGTAACCCAATTTCCGCGGAGGCTGGGGGTAACGATTCGTGGGAAGTCCTCGGAAAATCCTTGGGAAATCGTGGATTTTGGTGCTCGAAATGCTGGAAATCGTTGGAAATCACCGAAAAACTATGACAGTTTTAGGGCCGAACGTCGTTTGTCCCCGACGCGCAACGTTTCGAATCAAAGGCAATCGATTCTCAAAGAAGGAAATCGTTTTTGCCGAATTCCAAGTGAACAGTCCCTCGGTGTGTAGGCTTCGATTTGGCTCCCCACGTTTTGATCCAACGTTCGGGTCTCGGTAAACCTAGAAAAGTTTCGGAACCGTGGAAGAGACGGCAGAAGGCGATCCAAGATGGCGGCGCGCCTCCTCGAGGCTTCGCAGGGTTCGCAGGATCTCCGGCCGCGAGGGACCCGCCGTTTTCGGAGGGCGAAGGAGAACCCTCGCTCGCGAAACTATTAATTACGCGAAAGGGAGCACTCCTTAGGAATCCGGCCCTACCGAACATCCGAGCCGGCTCGCTCGGTTTTCGTAGGCCTTCCTCCCCGGTTCCTTCTCCGGCCCGCCGAAGGTTAGGTTAGGTTACGAGAGACGATCGTAACGGTCAGGGCCGGAGAGAGCTACGGACGACTCCCTTTATCTTTTCCATTCGCGCCTCGTCCATCCACGGGTCTTTTCCCTCCTTTTTCAGCCAAACGATCGGCGATCGTGCAGAAAACGAGGCTCCGCGCGGAGAACGAGATCGCGAAACCACTCGAGTCGGTCGATCGGCCTCGGCGGGCCGCACGCGGCCAGACGCGAAAATCGACCAACCCAGAACTAGCTTGACGATTCCGCCGCGGATGAGTCGGATCGGAGCTCTTCACGGAAGATCGCCCGATTTTATGGGGACCCGTCCCGGCCAGCCTTTAAACGGGTTTCGGGCGCGCACGTTCCTCGGCCGCTCGGCGACTTCTTAAGACCGGCGTTATCCCCGTGGACCCGGAAATCCGAAAATCCTTAACGGCTCAATCCAGCGAGTGGATGCCTAAGTCTTGGCTCCACTCGCAGCCCAGGGTTCCCCGTAAATTATTCCCGGTTTTATCTCGATCGACTTTCACGCCGATATACGCCATTAAGGCCCTCCCATAACTGTCCGAGTCCTACGAGTTCATTTCGAGTGCTCGACGATACCGGGAAACGTCCGGTGATATTTCAGGGTCTTGGTTGCGCAACGGGGTGAAACTCGGACGTTTGCATCAACCATTGGTCGCGAGGAAAAATGTTCCGACCCTCGACCCTCGTTTGAGCGTTTCTTCCAAGAGTATCGATCGGGGGGGAAAAGTGTCGTATACCTATTTGTAGATTCGCCGTTTTTGCAGGATCACTCGGATACGTCGAAACGTATGGGGACCACAAACGTAGGAGCGGAAGAATAAGAACTCATCTCGGCGAGGGTGAGTGACTCATGTATCGCAGCTTCGAGCAGGCCGGGCGTCGGGACGCCTGCCGTCCAAATATCGATTTGCGGACTCGGCGAAGGGGCGCTCCGTTCCGGCCCTCGTGTCCTGTCGTGTCCCGAGCCGAGTGTCTGAATTTTTACAACCCCCGCGATTTATTCTACCGGAAGGCCCTCGCCCTTCCGGGCTGCTACGCTTTTCCCCCAATTAATGCATTTCTGGGCAACGAGCGATTTACCCGCCCTTGCATATTCCCCGAGAATCCGCCTTTCGGTGATAATAAAATTGGGCTTCATCCCCAAATCGGGGAGAAGATTGAAATCGACGGTTCGACAACGGCAAGGGGAGTCTCGGTGCACGATCCACGACGGCGTTAAAAAATTCAGCTACATCGTTCGACTCCTGTACGCCTCGTGCGCGCGCAAAACGCGTGAAAGTGAGGACTTCCTCGTTTTTCGCCCTTGCTAATTTAATCCAATCCGGGAATGCTTTTCCTCGGCCCCGGCGTGTTCGAGAAAGGGCACTCTTCGACCCCGTTTCCATGAATTTTCCATTTGTACCGAGGATCAATAATTTGTATTTTTCAGACCACATCCCGAACGCGATAAAATTTTCAAATGAAATCGGCCCCCTCTAAAAATAATTCACGGTAGCTCGATGCTCCTTCTCTCCGTTGCCGGCGCGCAAAGAGCAACAAGCGGCAAACGAGGGGGCGAAAACGTACAATTTTCAAAGCTTCGTCGGATGTCGCCGAGACCTCGGGGCACCCTCGGGTGCGTGGTCGCGTTCCTCGCCGAGGAATTTGGGAATCGTTTAAACTCGCGCCCGCGTCCTCGTGCGTGAGCGAAATGCGCGAGGACGGGACTGGCTCGCGTTCCGTCCTCCTCTTTTTAACCCGCGAACAGTCGTTACCTCGATTCCAGTTAAAAGTCGACTGGGAGGAGCGAGTCCGACTCGCGTGCCGTGGGTACGTCTTCGCCGTATAATCCTGCTTATCGGAATTATAATATTGCTTTCGCGTTTTACGCCGCATTCCCGACTACTTGAATTTCATCCGAGGGACAAGGTTTATCGAGGCGATCCTTGCTCGCTGTTATAACATGAATAATGTATGGAATAATAACGTCGTGGCGAGAATCGGCTGCTTAAATTAAAATAGTAATTCGCGTCCGCGCTCGAACGGCTTCCGTAACAAATGAATTCGGAATCGAAGAGACAACGAACGCCCCGGTCTCGGGCATCGATGTCTCGCAGCCTCCTCGCGCCAAAATCGCGACTCCACCCGCCACGTTTTTATTCCTCGAATCGTTGCACCGCGATTAATGGCGATTTTTAAATTGAATATCGCACAGCGGAGGTAGGGTATAGGTCTCGAAAGCGCCTCCGGCGTCGGTGGGAAAATATGCCTCTTTAACGGGAAACCGAGGCATGTCGCGGACCCCGGATGAGCTATTAAAAAATATGTGAGAACGGGCGTGCGCGCGAGCACGTCGGTCGTTCGGAAATTCTAGAAGAGACGCCCGGTGGCACGTCCCGTCGATTAATAAATGGATTTTCCCGGGTGAAACCGCCGGCACGGCGACGAGGTAATCGCGCGTCTCGGTTTGCCGTATAGCGTACACTAGACCCGAAGGTGCCACTCGGAAAGGTCACTCACCGACCGTCAAGGTCGTCCGAAGAATATCACATCTCGAGTCACCGGTCGACCTGGCCGGGCGCCGGATCGGTGGCTCGCACTTCCTAGGGTATTTCCAAGGAAAATCGAGGATCTTTCGGCGGTTTCGGGGAAAACGCTCGACACCCGCACACCTTGAACCGCTCGTCGGCGTCGACTGGCGTCGGGCTCCGTCCTCGCACCTAACGACGCTCCCTCGAGCGACCTGCCTCGCGCTCTGCTTTACCGGCGAACGTGGAACCCGTTCCACCGAGAGTCACTTACCAACGGGGATAAAGGAAACCGCGCACGGGATGCTTCGTCAGCGCCAAGTCTCTATGGAACGATCGATACGAAACGTTGACATCTTCGGACCGTAACGTTTCGTCTTCCTCATCTTCGACGGCAATTGCGACGACCGTAACCCTCGTGGGGGATTTAGGGAAGAACGAACATGGACGAAGCGCGACCTTCCTTGACCGCCGAGGACGTTTGGAAGGATTTCGCCTGTCCGGATGTCCCGATCCGCAAATGCACCGATGGCGGCAAATCGAAGCTCCCGGAGAGAAGGGAGGAGGGGGGTTACGAGAAGGACGTAAACCATGTCGTAACGAAACTGCAGGAGCTCGTTGCGGATCCTGTAACGAGGAGCGGCGTTCCCAGGATCTGCAGGCTCCTCTACGATTTTCTCCATCTCACCGGCGACGAGGGTTACGTATCCTTCGAAGAGGAACCTTTGGGTCGCTTTAAACGTTCGGTGGAGCTCCTTAACGACGTATTCAGCGAGTCGGACACCTTCCGGCTTTGATAGAGATCATAGAGTTCCTGGCTTGGAAGGCGAGGGAGGTGCCGGATTATCGGATTCATCTGGACCGAATGCTACAGCTCTGCGGTCGTCCGCCACGTCTGGAGAAGACTTCGGAAAATCTCTTCTGCGGTCGAGTTCTGCAGCGATATTTTACGATGTTCGGATACCTTCTGGTAATCTTGCCCGCGCAAAGGGAGATCCTGCAGGTCCACGAAGCCTTGCACGAATTACTAACCAGGACGAAACCTGCTGTCATCTCGGCAGCAAAGCCCGAGCTCTGCCGAGTCGCCATGGAGAACTCGGAGCTTCCGGTCGTAGTCACGCGACTCGCGGAATTTTCTCCTCCGCATATGTATCCGAAAATATTGGACTTGATATTTCTCCTCGCGTCGGTCTCCTACAAATGTTGTGAGTCCGCGATGACGATTTTTTACGTAAAAACTCGAACCGCGATATACGAAAGAATTTTTGACTCCAGGCTACAGGATGCTGGGGGCAGGCATCCTAAATTGCATCATGACCAGACTCGATCCCGAACACGCCTCTCGGACTCCGTTTGAATCCGCCCCGGAGTTAAGCGAGAGCGAATTAAAGGACGAAGGTTACTACGAAGTCGTCGATCGGACGACGAACGTCATGTGGTCCCTCGTGAGATCCGTTCTTCCGCCTAGAAGTCTTCCGACGTGTCTGGAGAACATGCGTGCACCGAATCGCCGAGCCATGTGGTACCGTCGGAAAGTCCCGATTACCAATTCCACCTACTCGTTTTTCATCTTCGTACCCAGGGGACTGCGATACGCTTTCAAGAGGGACGTCCGTCGCAGCAACGGAAGTAGCAGAAGCGCCGCTTTGCGCAACGACGTCGCTGCCCTTATACTTGCCGGTCTCGTCGCCTTTCCTTCCTGGCATGTCGTCAGGGTAGGTCTTGCGGAAGATTTAATCATCTTATCCGTTGCCACGGAACTCGGTACGAAAGGCACCTGGGCGGAGGGCGTCATATTCCGGTCGACCCGCGAAGACTTGGCCTTTAAGAAGATCCTCCTCGTTACCGTTTGCTTCCTCCTGCAAAAGCAAGTTGCGATCGGTGTAAGTACGCGAGTGCCACGACGACGGTATGGTCTTGAGTCGAATGGACTGCGATATTGCCTTTTCAGATAATGATCGAACGGAAATCGATGGCGGCGGTGCTGCAATTGATAAATCCCGGCATCGAGAATTACAAGGTTCCATGGAGCGATTCGCAATTCTGGCAGCTATCGGAATACGCTATGCACGCTTTGACGCTTCTCGTACCGAAGATGCCGAATGAATTCGTGAAACACGACGGTGCTCTCAGGTACGGGTAAAATAGCCGATAACGAAGCAATAAATGGAGGGAGGTTAAGGGGAAACGTGGGTCAGATTATCGATGATCGTCGAATGGAGCGTGACCGTTGACTTCGACGTTCGGCTGGTGGAACAACTCGTCAAGACGATCTGCTCCACCGTGACAGGGGGATCCCTCGACATATTGCAGGATTTCTACGAACAAGGGACGATTGCCGCTCTTATAAGTAAATTATGCGTTTTACCATGTATTGCCAGGAATTGGTTTCAAACGGTATCTCTGTCTACGCAGAATTAATAAATTTCATTCTAACTTTCGACACCCTGACCGTGAAACTTGAAAGAATCGTGACGCTCCTCCTGATATCCATCGAGGCGATCATGAAAAATCAACCGAGACCACGAAGAATGTACGAAAGCCACGGTATCATGGTAGTCGCACGATTACTGGAAAGGTGCAATTTGTTGAGAAACGAAGACTTCCAGCTGGATCAAAGGCGAGTCCTTAAAAAAGTGATTTTCCACGGGTGATCGTTCGGTTTATTATTCGCGTGGGACCGTTTCCCCGTTGAATAAAATATTTCATTATCCACGCAGGCTCTTGATCGCCATTGGTAGCTACATATGGGAGTGCATAGTTTGGTGTCCCGAGAATCTCGAGGAATTTCTAGAAAACGGCACCTTGTATACCATGTTGGACGTCATCGAATACGCCGCGTTTCCTGTGCGGTCCTTGTTCCTCGGCGTTTTGACGGACATGTGCGACAGATCCTTTTGCGGGGCGCAATTATGCACTTGGCGAGGGGCCGACAAGAAAAAGGGCTTCATGTCGCTTTTGGCGAGGACATGGAGGGAGGAAGAAATTCGCATCGGAGTTAAAAGAACCGCGGATGGTTGCTTGGACGGTATCGCACGTTCCAGGCCGACGATAATTATTTCATCAAATCATTTTTCGAGGACGGATTAATTTCTATTTCCAGACGTCGAATTACCCGCAATGGGGGTCGATCAATGGATCGATACATATTACTCGAAGCTGACTTCGGATTCCAGTCCAGCAATAATCGACACGATGGGGTCCGCCAGGCCAAAGATTTATAGTATACGGAAAATCATACAACGCGAAGCTGACGGGTACAAAAAAGCGAGAGAACACTACAGGATCTTGCTGGACGATTTGCCCACCGAGGATTCCGTAAGTTAGTTCGACGAGGGAATACGTACACGTAGATCGCATTCCCGTAAATTTAAATATTTTTTACAACAGATTACTATGCTGATCGTGGATCACTATTACCGACTAAAACAAGGGGAAGCGTGGATAGAGGTTGCCAAATATTTGGAGCAGGTTGGCATCGTCCCTTTGGGAATGGACGGTGAGGTCATGTTTCTGATGATTCAACGACATCGCGGGTGGGGTGCGTTCATCAAGAATCGCCAGGAGAAGGTTCTGCAAGACGCTAGGAAAAAGGAGGTCTCCGACGAATCGAAGGAATTCGACAAGATTCGCGAATCGAAACTCATCCTGGCGCTCGAGGGTCTCAAGGAGCTGGAGTATATTCGCAGAACGACTGACAAACGTTATCTGGCCAAACGGAAGGACCTGCAGAGACAACAAATAGACGAGGCCCTTCGTTTCCCGGTGACCGGGAACACCGATCATTGCCACAGGACCTTCATAAGGAATAGCAATTTTACCGTATGTAGCTTCCTACCCGGTATCGTTTCTGTAACTTAACATTTTACACCCTACGCGTAGCTAAGAGCGTTAGAACGTTTCTTACTTTCGCAGACTATTCTCGATCAGTCCCACACTATCCGCAGCGTGCAAGCGCCGGATAAGGAGTTCGGAAGAGGGAAGCTACTTCCGGTCTCACCGGGGAGTTCTCGCCTTTCCTTGGATGTTCCCACGGCGACCCTCTATGCCGAATCCGATCGTTCCACTCCGTGTTACGCTTGTTTCCTCGGAGACGTGGCCTGTAATCGTCACGGCCGAAATTTGGCCGGAAGTCGACCGACGATGAAAGGAAATTAAAGAAAAAACGCCTTAAAACGCCTTAAAACGCGTATCTCCCGTGGAAAAAATCGCAGCCCCTCGTTCGATGGATCAATTCGAAGGGAGGTACCTTCGCCGTCGAGTTGCAGGGAAAGCAGGGGTGAAAAAGCGGGAGAAAGACGTAGAAACGGGGACGAGCGGGTCATTTTGACCGTATCGTTTGCGAAAAAAGTAAATAAGGTAATTTAAGGGCAAAGCCGAAGAGGGCGCCACGATGGTTCTTCTCTTCCCATCGAATCCGACTCGGCGTCGGTAAGCGTAGGTAAGCCCCCACCGTCGACTGTCAGATGGCACCGCCATCGCGAGGGCGCGAGCCCCCACCGGAAACGAGTTGGACCGCCATTGAGAGGTAACGGGTGGTAAGTGCATTAGCCATCCGCATCTTCCACCGGAGGGCGACACTGGACGCGATCGCGTGACCCTGCCCGTGAGCGATCTCCCGACTCATCTCCGATTAGACTCCGCCTCTAAGGGTATCGAAGGAGGAAATTGAAATCCAAGTCCATCGTGCCCTCCGGGGGCCGGCCAGTAACCGCGTCATCGTGCGTCATCCGGCCAATCGGGGCGGGGCAAAGACGCGCGACGTCGGCCGCCGATTCCGGTCCTCCGGCCACCGTCCAAAGATACCAGTCCGTCTCCCTCTCTCCGCTCCCCGGGAACGGGGGCGACGAGAACGGACGAGAACGCCGCGATGCCGCAAGGTACGGCAGTTACCAAGGCGATTCCCCTACCTCGCATCCTTCGCGGCCAATCGGTCGGTTCGAGTCGGGGTCGGATCGCGACCGGGCAGTTTCCTCCCCGCTTCACCTACCGGGAGACCGCTCCCTCCTCGTCGGGCCGCGTTCGCGATAAGTGCGACGGAGACGCTCATACGGGAGAAAGCACGCGAGTCTCCGGCCCTGCCCCCTCCGGCTCCCCGCCGCGACTCCCGGGGCGGGGAAAGAGGAGCCGGGACTCGGCTCTCCGCTCGCCCGGTCGGCAGCGGTCAGTGCGTTGCGGCCATGCCGTTCTCGGAGTTCTCGGCGCGAGTCCTCGTTTCTCCGGTACCGGTTTGAGGCTTCGGAACAAAGTCCCGTCGAGCGGCAGTTCGTTGCGACCCGTCGAGGGGCCGTCGCCTCTCGCTTTCGGAAATCAAAAACGTCGACGGTGGCCCGCCGGGCGTAAACGTCGGGAAAGTTCGGAGAAGAGGCAGAAAATCGACTCGGAGAGAGAGCAAGAGTGGCGAACGGCGAAGGAGCCCTGAAAGGGGGAAAGGGGGAAAAGGGGAAAGGAGCCGTTCGAGCTGGGCCCGCGCTCGGCCGAGTTCGGCCGTCTTCGGCCGTCTTCGGCATGGCTCGCCGTAGCCGGTGGGTCGCCTGGCGCCTGTTGCCGCTCCTCGCGACGACCTGCCTCCTGGCCAGCTGCGATGTCCTTGGCGAACCAGGTGAGACCGCGCGATAAACCGTCAAGGACGGCTGCCGACAGGGGCGCGGGGAGGCAGGAACTCGTTGATTCGCCACGGTCGCCGATGGGCCGCGAAAAGAAGAACGGGTGCCCCTTTCCGGGAGGTTCCGTGGCGTTTTTTTTCCCTTAAGCGGGGCGACGTTTACTTCCTAACGCTCGGAAAAAAAATATCGGTCGCGTCGCTGTCCCCCCGATCGAGGCTCGGCCACGCCGAAACGACCGTTTGGCTCGAGCCAATTTGCCGAGCAAACGGCACTCGATCGTTTTCGATTCGACTCCGAACAATGGCTTTCGGTGGCTCGTACGTTTCCTCCTGGGGGTCGAACGGCGCGGTTCGGCCGCGACGGAGACCCGTCGAACGGACCGTTCCCTTTCGCGTCTTCCCTCGGCGATTCTCCGTTCCTCGCATTCGACGAGGCGGCGACGATCGAAAAGTGTCGCGACTCGAAGGGTCTCGGACGACGCGGAGCCCCGATAGCGCGATATCTCGGACAAAAGGTCGCGCGGCTGAAACCGGGCAAAAAAACACGTATTCGCGACTCCTCCGTCCTTTTCCTCGCGGGCAGCTCGCAACGGCCGAGTTATCGGGACGATAACTCGCGTCGCGTATGCGCGGGGAACTTGGGTTTCGCGGGATAAAAGGAACGGGAACGGGAAAGGGAAGGAGCCGAGACGATAGTCGAGCGGGTCTCCGGATGGCATCGATTCGCGGAGAGTCGGAGACAAAAATGGACCGTTTATCGATAGAGCGCCGTTCGCTCTCCCGGTTCTTCTTCTCGAGCCTTATCGGGGCGAGCGCTGAATAACGTCTAATAATAAGTTACGGCTAGGGGATCTCCTCGATAGCCCCGATTGTCCCCCTTCTCGTTTCGCCGTTACTTTCCCGTGTTGCCGCGACAGGGAATTTTTCCTTCTTTTCGCGAGGCCGAGTTTTCCTCGAGAGATGACTGCGCGCTTTACTTGATTGCCAAGGAAAGAAAAAAAAAAAAAACGACGTCGAGCGATCGAACTACGCGCAATGGAACTCTCGGCTCCTCTCTCTCTCTCTTTCGATGTCAACGATACCTTATTTACGGTCCCCGACATCGATCGCCCAAACGTCCACCGAATGACGTCGAGGGTCTTTCGAGGTGGGACGGCTCGCATCCGCGTCGGGGCACGCCTACGTGCGCCGGGCTTTAATTCGCCCATTTCCGACTCCCTAACGAGGCATTTCTAGGATTCGACGATGGTCCTCCTTATTCCTCCGCCTCGACCCGGGACGACGGGAACGACGAAGCTCGACCACGGTCGCTCTCGCTCCCCGGCAAACAAATTTCGCGTTTCCCTCCGCCGCGAAATGCCCGTCTTTTGTCTATCCTCGCCGACCTTCCGGGAAATCGTCGTTCCCGGCGCGCGGAGTCGACGTCCGCCGTCTTTCGCCCGGGCGCGTCCGTCTCTCTCGGGGATACGTAACGCGATACGGTATAATCTTATCGGGGTTCCCGCGTTTCGCGTTTTAATCGCCGCGAGATGCGGCACGAGGCCTCGGCGAGTTTTCGGCCGAATTTCTGCGGAGCCTCCGCGTCGACCCTTCTCGGCTCTGACCGCGGTTTTGGGGAAAATTGCCGCAGGAAATCGTTGATCGATCGGCGACGGGTCGCCGGAAACTCTTCCCTTTTCTCCTGCCGAATCCTCGGGGAAGGCTCTCGCGTCCACTAACGTGCGCAAATTTACCGGAAAGTCTCTCGGACTCGCGGGAATCTCCGAGTTCGTTGCCCCCTCGTTCGGTCCTCGGGGAAAGGCTTCGAGCCGGAAGTCCGCCGGCGCGACCTTCCCCTCTTCCCCGGGAAGCCGGGGCCCTTTCTTCGCGGTGAAACCTGGTCCGGGCTCGTCTTGCGTGGCCGAAAGGGGGTGCGGGGGAAACGATCCCTCCACCTCTTCGGGTCTCGTCGGTCGAGGGTCGCCCCCGGGGGAAAGCCTCGTAAAACGGCGCTCGAAACCGGAAGTCGCTGTCAACGCCCTGGCTCGCGGTTTATGATTTATCGTTTATGCCTCGTGGCTCGCCTCCGGTTCCCGGTCCCAATTTCGCTTCCGCGGGCTCGCGATCGATCGGAGGAATTCGACATTCGAGATGTCGTGATCGAACGGAAAAACGAAGCAACGCGCGATCCGCGTCCGTTGGGCGCAACGAGGAGGTGCCGGGGAAAACGCGAGACGAAGGGACGGAAGAGACGGCCGTTCGGCCGGGCGGGAACGCGGAGACGGCACGAGCATCCGACGCTATCGAGGGGCCGGCGATTTATGAGCGCATCCCCATTAACCTCGTTAACGGAGAGGGCTTTTCGCCGAGCGATTGACCGAATGAAACCGCGTGCCTCGGTAGCGAGCTCGTAATGGGGCAGCCTCGGGAGTCACCTCGGCCCGCTTCCAACGGTTTCGGCTCCTGTCTCCTGCTGCCAGGGGGCACTCGCGAAGGAAAATCGTGAATTTTAATGCCGGGAAGCATCGACGCCAAAGGCGATCGGTTCTCAAGGAAGGAAATAGTTTTCATCGAGCCCCTCGTTCCCGGTGGTATCCGGCGGACCCGACCGGAGCCCGAGCTCTCGCTAATAAATTCAGCGACCCTAGGTATTTTTATCCTGGCCGCTCCGGCGGAGGCGCAGGTGCTCACCCGCGGCGGAACGAGGGCGTCCTTGCGTTTACGTAAGGCGCGCGCGATCGCGCGCGATCGCGAGCGTCCGCGTGGCCGATACGTTTCCTCTTGGCCGCGGGCGGAATTCCGCGGAAATATTCCCGAAATCTTTTTCAAATCGACGATCGAGGGCCGACATTTCTTCCGTTTATCGCGCTTTCCTTTCTCCACGAGAGGCCGAGCCAGCGGATGGTAAATCGACGGTGGCGTCGCTCGGGCATGTCCGGTTTTTGCCGAGCAACGTCGGCGATTCCCGCGAGAAGACAACGGGCGCTTTCACCGAAAACCAAGGCTGCCTCTGCGGGGTCTTTGGCCCTCCGCTCCTTCTTCTTCCCCGGCGTCGTCGTCGTCGTCGTCGTCGTCGTCGTCGTCCCCCCGCTCGTTGGCGCGAAAATCCACGTCCTCCGGCCGCGTTGTCGACGGATCTCGCTTCGAGTACATCGAAGGAAATCGCGGATGGTCGATTTCCGTTACTTATCCGGCTTTTTTCGGGGCTATCGGGCGTTCGCGTCCGCGACTCGCCGAGGCGGTCGATCGGGATCGGCGCCATCTTGGAAAACGAGTCGGTTGCGCGCGCAGTCGACAAGATGGCGCCCGCTCCGCGGGTGTCCGGCGATCCTGCGAGTTCCGTGGAATCCGTCGGGACGTTCGATTCGTCCTCGACCAACGGACCCACGGTCCTCGGGTCGCCGTCGGCGGATAACTCGCGACTGCTCGCGACTGCCGATGGCAAAGGTCGAAGAGGAACGAAAAAATGAAAACGATCCCCTGGGAGTTTGATCGACATCTTAGGGGCACGGGACGGACGTTTGGGAGGGTTGGCAAAATTCCGCGACACCCGTCGCTCGTTGCGTCGTCTCGCGCACGGTCGAAGCGTCTCCTGGCTAAACGACTCTTATCGACTTCCCAGCGGCGGACGAGACCCGGGTACGCGTTTCGCCGACTTATCGCCATCGTTTGCCAAACGACCGGGTAAACGATGCTCGGCTCGAATCGTTCGTTACGATATCGGCTCAACGGTAATACGAACGCGGCTCGGAAACCCGCTAGGACCTCCGTCCCGTCGACGGGAGCACTTTCCGGGGGGAGAGGAAGCGTCTAGGAAGCGGAAAAATCGCTCGGGGCCGAATTCGGCTCCTCCCCGCGAGCGCTCGGGCTATTTTTACGGGGTGTCGCATGAGTCACCGGTTTTAAACTTTTAAACTGGTTCCCCCCTCGCCGGGTCGGCGCAAAGGCGACGCAACTCCCTGAAGGTCGTCGCGGCGGGAAACTCGGAGCCCAGAATTCGCGGGCGACGCGCCTCCGCGCCTCCGCTCCTCCGTGGCAGCGACCAAACGTCATTGGAACAATTGAGCGCAATTAGCGTCGGGTCATTAGGGACGCGAGTCGTGCCGCGTCTCTTTGTCGCGAGCGTCGGATGGCTGCCGTTTGAAAACGCGCCGATCGACGGAGAGGCAATTTTTCCCGTCGATGTCGTCCCGGTCGGGAACCGCTCTCAGGAGACGGCTCGTTCCTTGAATTTCATATCGCTCCGCCGTTTCTCGGTTATTTTTCTCTTTCGGTCGCTCGATTTACCGGAGGAAACTTTTCCCGGAGCCGGCAACGAGTCGTTTCTCTTTTATTACGTACGTCCCGTCCCGAGAATCGCGGTCCCGCGGGGAAAACGGCTCGAGCCGAGCGTTTCCCATTGTCCTCCGGAACGAGTGGCGTGTCGCAAGCGATCGTTCGACCGGCGAGGACCTCGAGGCCTTAGTCGACAAATTCCTCGGCGATCCTCGACGACGGAGTCGCGAAACTCGATCGCGAACGGAGAAGCGTACCCTCTCCCGACCTTCGCGTCGTATTCGGGAATTCCGTTCGTCCTCTTCCCGTTTGCGACCTCCGAGGTCGCTCCGCGGCTCGTGGACGGCTCCACCTTTTTTCGACCGCGGATGACCTTGGCGACCGGAACCATATTTCACGATAAGATCGGCGCAACGCGTCGCCCCTCCTACGCGGGATCGCGTCCCCGCGTTTCCGAAAGGAGATTTGCATCAAAATCGAAGACGTCCCTTTTTCCTTCGGCCCGGACGGTCCCTCCCCTCCGGAGACTCGAAATTCTCGAACGCGTCCTTCGCGGGGTTGGAAGGCTCGCTCGCGAGGAACCCCCGAAAGCGAGGCATACCGCGTTCTTATTTTTAGAGCATCAAAATTGATAAGATATTTCGGGCTCGGGTGTACGGGGCGTGGCATTGACATTGGCCCGACGTATCCGGCCAGATATCCATCCACCGTCGCATCCGAGGATAACGAGGCAGGGTCAACGGAGCGTCGACCGGAAGTCCCCTCGGACGCACTCTTCGGCGTCGACGTCCCCGCGTTCCCTCGTCTCCTCTCTCGCTCGGTAGACCAAAGGCCCCCGTCGAGTCGTTCGGATGATTCGGTGCCCCCAATTTGGAGAAAAACTTGTATACACGTAATGTCCCTTTCGTCTCACCTTAAGGAGATGCGACACGAGGTCGACTCGTTCTCTCGCGGTCCCGCCATGCGTAATTGCCCACGTTTCGATCTGGAAATGCACGAAAAACTCGTCGCGCGATCTACCGTTTACTGACCGTTTACTGACCGTTTACTGACCGTTTACTGACCGTTTACCCCTTCCCCCGCGAGGCGAAGTCTGGATACGTACGGTATAAGATTTTGACCGAGCGACCGCAAATTTACCGCGCAAAGAGGAAACGTCGTTTGGTCTCGCGTGGGCTTTCCCGATCCCGGAGGTCGGCGACTCGCGAGTGGATATCCCGAAGCGACGCCATGCTTCCGTCCCGGAGGAAATCCGCTCCGCCCGGAATTCGAAACGGCGCCGACGGTAACGGCCGCGTTGCCTCGCGAAGACGTCGAAACGGATTGCCGGCGTCTAGCGACGAGAGACGCACCGCTCGCGTAACTTGGCGCCACCGCGGTGGAAAGTCCCTGGCGAGTCGACTCCGGTCGACTTACGTAGCGGAGCGGAGCCGTCATCGGTGATCGCGATGGCGATGTCACGCTTTTAAAGAATAGACGCGATTTCGATCGAGGGACGCGGGTCGTTAATTAACGGAGTCTTTTCTTTCCAGTGGACACATATTACGGATACGACGCGCTGGAGAGCGTGCCGCGAAATCCGGAGGCATCGCCGAAAATGACTCTTCTGGACTCGGGCTCGGGTAACCTCGCGAGGAGGCGCCGAGGCGTCCGGGAGATGCCGCTGCCGGCTCCACCGGCTCCACCGGCTCCACCGGCTCCGACGGTCACCGCGACCCAGCCCGGGACGAACGGCAGCTCTGGCTCGGCGAACGTCACCTACTCCACCGACTCGAGCTCCTCGGTATCGTCTTCCTCGTCCTCCTCGGGGACGTCTCCGAACTCGCCGCCCTCCTCGGTGTCCCCGGGATCACCTCTCGGTGGCACCGCGTACAACAAGACCGACGTCTCGAAACCCTCCGCCAACACCACGGTCGTCATCTCCGATCCGGTGAACCCCGCAAACGAGACTTTGGTGGTACGTCGTTTGCTTCCCGCGATCCTCGGCTCTCGGACATCCCAAGGCATTGACGGTTTTTCAGGGCAAGCCCGTCGTCTGGGCCAATCGAACGATGTGGCCCAACGTCACGCGGGAGAAGAAGAAGGAGTCCTCCCTGGGCACCGTTTCCGAGAGGGAAAAGCAGAACGGGACGGCCGAGCAGGACGCCGACGAGATCTCGATCACCAAGTTCCCGGACGTGACCAACAAGACCTTGACCCAGAACAATATCACCAAGACGGAGGTGGACACGCATCAGTATTATAACAGTACGTTCATCGTCGACGAGGCTACCGGGAAGAAGTTTTGGGTCGACCTGGACAATCATCCGGATCTGAAGGTCAACGACCTGCTCAGCAGCAGCCACCGAAGAGCTGCCGTTAGTACCCTCGTCGAGTGGAATAATTATTCGGAAAGGGGTTCCTCACCGCGCCTTCTTTTCCCATGTTTCGCAGACCGTCAAGCTCGAGTTCGACTTCCCGTTCTACGGGCACAAAGTGCGAAACATTACCATCGCGACCGGTGGGTTCCTTTATACCGGAGAGTACGTGCACAGCTGGCTGGCAGCCACGCAGTACATCGCGCCTTTGATGGCGAACTTCGACACTCGGACGTCCAACGAGAGTTTCGTCAAGTACGCCGATAACGGTAAGGAGAGGGCGGCCATGGCCGGGCGGAGGACTCGTCGCGAGGCACGACTCGAACCTGTAACGTTAACGTTGTCGCTGGGTCTTAGGTACGGCGTTTACAGTCGAGTGGGAGAAGGTGGTTTTACAGGACAAACCGGAAGCCGGGGAGTTCACTTTCCAGGCGACGCTTCATAGAAACGGCGACATCGTCTTCGTGTACGCGGTCATCCCGGTGGTCGTCGAAGACATCGAGGACAGCGTTCACCCCGTCAAAGTTGGCCTCAGCGACGCCTACATTATGGACAGAACGGTATTCTGTAAGTTTTCCAGATCGAATGCTCGGGGTCCGTGGAAATGAACCGCGCGCCGAGGACGAGCGGAACTGTCGCGATCGTATCGGGACGCCACGGACGACAAAGGGCCTCAACCTCGTCCCCGTTCCAGTTGTTCGCAGGAAAACGATCTACGAGTACCACCGTGTCAACTTCAATCGGCAGGACATCAAGAACTGGACGGTGATTTACCTGCGAGCGTTGCCGACGTGCCACCAAATGGACAACTGCTCCGACTGCCTCGAGAACTCGACGGAGTTCGAGTGCAAGTGGTGCCCGACCCTGAACCAGTGCAGCACCGGCACCTTCAGGTTCAGGCAGGACTGGTTGGTCAAGGGCTGCGACACGAACAGCATCAAGGACAAGAGCAGCTGTCCGTCCACCGAGACCGTCTACAAGGACCACGTGGACCCGGAGAACCACGAAGGCCACGTCCACGCGGGGGAGGAATTATCGGCTAGCGTCGAACCTAGTCACCAGGCCAAAGGACTCGGCCCGCTCGAACACTGTACGTGGCCTTGTCTTGCGTACCGTTTAAGAAAGCTTCTCGTCGATCGCGATCCCTACTATCGCTTCTATCATGACTCTAACGTGCACGCATTTCCGATTATCAGCGGATGACAACATGAACATGGGAGTTTCCGGTATAATTGGGATCCTGCTGGCCGTGGCGCTCGTGGTGGGCGTTGCAGCTTGGGTCGCGTACGCGTATCGCAATCCTCACAGCACGTCGGGGCAGATGCTCATCAGGGTAAGTCGTGTTCGCGATAAGGCTCCGGGACCGGGCGAATGATCCTTCCCGTTTTCAGTACCGACCGAGCCAGTGGAGCTGGCGAAGAGGGGAGGCACGCTACACGGCTGCGACGATCCACATGTGATGCCGCACGTATCCGGAAATGGAGTCAACGGTCGCCCCGAACTTCCCTTCCAGCGGGCGCGTCGTCGAGCCGCGTCGCGGCCGCGACCCTGCTCTCCGAAGGAAGTCGTCGACGGCCCGCGTTCGCATTCGGGGCTCGCATTCGGGGCCCCCCGCTCGGTCGGTTCGTCGGCGGCGAAGCAACCACCGGGCCGCGGGTACTCCAATTTTAGACCGAGCGGCTCGAAATAATTAAGGTGACGGAACTCCGGGGGCTGCGACCATCCGCTCCACGGAAAGTCTGGACGAGCGGGGACGATTCTCGGGCTGGTTTCGTCTCAAGTGTGTATGGCTTGGTGGCGAAGGGAAATTCTTTCAAATTGTACGCGTTCGTTTAAAGGTACAGGCCGTTCCGGTTCCTCGCGAATTCTGGATCGTTGCTCGACGGGGTCGGTCTCGCGTTTCGGCCACTCGGTGGTCCTCGGTGGAGTTTTCGGTCAACCGTTTGGAATTTCCGACCGTGCCTTTGTAGAAACGTGTACGTATGATTTTCACCCGACTTCATATGTTTTATAGGTAAATTAATTAAGAGGGAAAGCACGCGAAAAAACGGGATAATTGTACTCGCGCGGTTTTTAATGTACAGCATCGTTAACGCCTGGGATGGACCGCGACGTCGAGCACGCTCTTCAGGGGCGGAGTCGATCGCGTCGCGATCTCCTGCTTGTCGGAAGATCTGAGGAAAATAGAAAAGAAACGAACAAAGTGCCTTTTGAGTCAATTGAATGCCGTCGCATAATCGATGCTTGTCGATGGACAGCGAACATATTCTTATTCTCTGGACGTCGAGTAATTTTGTGATCTTAGCAGCATGTGGTATATACTTGTTATTGATTAAGAATCAGTTTTTTTATCCTTAGAAAAATTCCTATGATCGTTTCGTATGCGTAAACGCTGCCGTTAGAACTGTTTTTATACGAAATTCGAGCGAATGGTTTCGATTCCGGGACGGAACTATAGTTCCGTCGATGAGCTCCTGAGGGCAATGACCATTTTTTTTATCCTCTTGCGGTTGATGAAACCGGGTTTGCGTAACATTTTTCGGGGACCAACGCTTAGAGTTTCCCGTAACTTTAACGAGGATCTATTCTTATTCGGGAACAAATTCTGTGACATTCCACGATTTCGCATGATTCACGAGGTCATACCGCGAATCAATGAGTATTGCGCGAACTGCAGTTTCGACCGGAATTTCGAGAGAGTATATACATATATACATATATTATTGATTTTTAAGCAATCGCCTACTCTTTCAGCGTTGCGCCTACTCGAATTATGCGATGGAAATTTATACTCTACATTTACGTATCGGACCCCAAGATATCGAATGTATATAGTAGTATTTTAATACAGTCTAATTTTAAGTGAAATCACTGTCGAGAGGTGCCTTTAAGGAGTTTTCGATTAATTTATCAGCCATTTGAGGATGTGCCTTTCTTGAAATTGAATAACATATATTATTACGCGCGAGAGCGTGCATCGTAATTTGGTCAATTTTGTACGGTTGCGATTAAACCGAACGCTTAATTACGACGTATCGATTAATTCACTTCTCCGATCCGTGCAAACTTGATCAAGACCAACTGTAAAAAGCTAGATACAAATTACGATTTTGTCGCTTTGACCTATTACACTTTAGGAGCCGAACATTGCGAATCTTTTTTATTAATAAGTGTAATCGCGTAAGAGACTTTTACACGGAGGAGAAAACTTCGCGAGGAATCACAACAAGCTTTTATTATACTATTGTATATGATTTTAATTCATAGTTTGTGATAATAAATATTTTAATTAATGTAGCATTAGATTATGTATTTCTTTATCCATGAGATGCTCCTGGGTATATGTGTTGTAAATTATTAGAGAAGTTAGGATAAATGTTGAGGTACAAGTGATATATGTATTGCTGAAGTAAGAATGAGTTTTGCAATAAAGTTGTAAAGCTGAATTTTCGTTGAGGAGTTTTGTCATTCTAATTTATTAACAATAATAAATAATTATTAGACTTTATGTCTGGCTGTAAATATAGACTGTTTGATTTTTTTGCTTTGTCTGGATGCAAGTATTACGGAAATGAAACGGTAGAATTTCCGTACACTACGGTTACCTGCGGCTACGAGCGGGGGTACAAGGGGTAAAATAAATTTTTGGTAAAATCGTCATGGGCAGTTAATCGAAATCGAGCTTGCTGCACTTGTTGATAGAAGATGTTAAAATATGTTAAAGGATGTTTGTGAATTTAGATAATTAGTGAAAGCTAACGTACGAAACCAGAGGGCAGCACAGGATGCGATCGCGCGACCCTGCCCGTGAGCAATCTCCCAACTCATCTCCGTATGTTCTGTATCAAGAGAGTAAAGGGAAAGGTGCTTTTCGTTTCAACTCGCTAATCATCTGGAAAAGAAGTGAGAAGAAGCAGAATCAAGCACAAGGTACGCAGTGTATGTAATACATACATACATACAATGCAAGGTTAAGATTAAGGCGTTCGATATGAAGAAACATTTGTGGCAACGTCTACTGTACGATTTGTGATGGCCTGTGTTGAATTCCGAACTGACCGTTAAAAATTATATCAGTGATGGAGGTTGTTCTCCACTATTTACAATGAAGTATGTGAGCATTATTTAAAGTAAGCTGTATTCACTGTTTTTAGTGAATTGTAACGGAAGAGAAACATTGCCATTTTTCTTTTGCTATGGCATTGCGTGAAGATACTAATTTAAGGTGGTTAAAACTGATGGCGGGATATGAACCAGACGTTCAGGTTAGAAAAGCACAACTTTGCACTATAGACAGCTTAATGAATGGTCTAGTAACTCTATCGGAGGTACGTAAAGAAACTTAGTGTATCTAAGAGACGTTAACTGGAAAAATGTGATGAGTCAAAATATATTTTCTTCTTTTGAATAGGAGCTAGAATCTTTTGGCCTACCTTCGGTAACTCCAAAGAACGATGAAATACAATCTGTGGGTTCGCTGAAGCTGATTCTAGTAACATTAATTAATGCGGTATGGAATTTTATTCGTGAACACAGAGGGCTTATGAGTATACACGACCAACTAAAGGATATACATCAAAAAGTTGCAAATGACAATGTGCATCTTAAGGTGAGTTGAAATTAATTGTAATTTTGGTATTGGCGATTCTCCGGTATATTGACAATTATTCTTTTCAATCAAGCTGCTCAGGATGATCTATGGTGAGAAACTATATATGAATGTCTGTGTATTAATATGAAATTAAATTAAGAACAAAAGTATTGTATGTGATTTTTTTTCAGAATAATGTAAAACGACTAAAAGAGGAACTGGAAAAGAAAGTGGTTTTATTACATGAAACGAGAGAGAGAGAGAGACGACTCATTGTTCAACGGGATAGCATGTCACGTGATCTCAAACATGGAAAAGATGAGGAACGTAGTATTCAAATATGAATTTTTTCGTAAATTTGAAAATAATTCAATTTTTGAAAATATTTTGTGGTTATTTAGGTGGCGAAGTTATGGAAACAGTTACAGTCGAAAGAGAATCAACATGCCCATGAGTTACGTCGTATTCAGCAGAGTGGTCAGAAGCTTCAGCAGCAGTTACAAAAATCTGTTGGTAAGTTAATTCTTTTACTTAGCTGGATTCCCGTTCTCTAAGAAATATATTCCAATCTAAATGTTTTTTTCGTTAAAGGGACGTACGTGCCAAAGGACAAGGCATGGAAAAATTTACACGAAGAACACAAAAAGGAATTAGCTCTGTATCGACAAACCATTTGTCATTTGGAAGAAAATAATAGACTGATGCTACAGGAAATCAATGAACTACGAGAGGCCTTATCTGTACAGTCTGGAGGAATCGATCTGGACATCGAGGCATCAGGAATTTGGAACGATGCCGAAACCTAACTTCGAAATGGGTGAGTGAATACATTGCTTTAATACCAATGGAATAACCAGTAGAATACACATTTCGATTGATACGATATATTTGCCATAAATTTACGATAACTAATGCTTTGGTACTTAAATTACCTAGTACGATCCTAGTGTTGTATTTGTCAATCAACTTATAGTATCTGCCATAAATGACATTATGGCATTTATTGGCATATATTAAAGACCTTATGATTAAGCTATTAATTACTTCCTATTCTATTTTATTAACTTAATTCCTTAAATTAGTTATGACACGGCCTAAACTCGTATATAAATGAATTTCTTATATAAAAGTGAAAGTAAAAATGTTCCAAGATAATAGAACATGAAAGTTACCAACAAAAAATCAAGGTATTAGGGAAGCATTACCTTGTAGAATAGCAAAAGAACCGCGCACACTGCTATCCGATGTAGATGGAAAACGTTTCCTTCGCTTTTCAAGCATTTACAGTTTCCAGCTATGCACACGGTATTGTTTCTGCTTAACAACAATCCTCTGTCGTTGGGGCCTTGACTTTTTGTATATATAATCTCTGTTGGCAATCGATTTTCAAGGCTTTCGATACTATTCGAAGATAATCTAAGAGAACTTTTCCCATCGGCACAAATTCCGCGTATAGTAATTTGGTTAAATGCGACGAGGTTCAAGCTGACGTTCAAAAAAACGCTGTCCTCCACAAGTGCGGTGGTTCCTTCGATCGACACATGACTTGGTCTCTGAAGCTCGAATTTTGAGCCTAGGATCGCAATGTCCGCGAAAAAGGCGAAGTTTAGCGTGGTCTCCACTTTCCCGAAGTCGCAATCGACTAGTTGAAGCACTTTACCTCTTTCGGAGAGATTCAAGCCATCCATACGACCTACGGTCACGTTTTGAAAAATCAGCGCTGACACGACGACTCCCAGAAATTGCTCCTCGAAATGGCCGATCGCAATGTTCTCTGCGTGGAAGACCTGTAAGCTAGTCAAGCTTGTAAACGTATCGTGAGAGACAACAGGGATTCTTCCAATGTTCAATAGCTGAAGTTTGGTGAGGTTTCTCGTCGTCAGAAAGGGCTCGAATATTAAGGTGCCACTTATGTTTTGGATCACCAGCTCCCGAAGACCTTTTGCTTCCGTCAAACTGGAAAAATGCATGTTCCCGGAGGTGCAGCTCGATACAAAGACGCTGGTGACGTTTTCATAGTTGTAGTTGTCTGGAAGGAAAAATTCCTGAAAAACAATCCACACCAATTAGATAAATAATCGTCGCTTGGCCAATACTCCTTCGATCGGATCGGACCGTATAGATTGTAGGAAGGAGGAATCGATCTTCGAAATGAACATAATCGATTATCGCGAAAGTAGCCAGCCAAGCGTAACTTAACGGTCAGTGCTCACCTCGTTCCCGACACAGCTACACCTGACGGTGGTCTCTTCTTGGATCTCGCACTGATCGCTGATGGTTTCACTCGCAGTTAGCACCAAAATGGCGGACAATGCCGCTAAAATGGAGTTCCAACTCATCGTGTTTCGCTCGAAGAAGAGACTATTACGAATACCTTCGGTGCACCCTTGGGACTTGAGTGGTTACTCCTGATTTTCCCCCGAGTGCGAGTTCGCTCGCCTTTGTCATTACACCTCCGCGCGCGAGAGGACTTGGCTCGGTTCTCGGAAAACGACGAAACCCTTGGGCGGGCGATCCCCGGGTATCGTGGCTAGCTGTCTTTGCGACTGCCGTCCTGGGACCGGAGGGGGACCGATGCCGGGCTCCTCTCCCGGATGTACGGGACACCGGGATGAATCCGCCCTTGCCTCGGGACCGACAAATCGGGGGATTTCGGAATTATGATGGACAGTTCTTTCGTGCCGCCCTTTATGGAGAGTGACACCAGGAACGGCCAGCAAACGCATTAAGGTAACCCCGAATCGCGTGTGCCTCAAACTGGAACGCTCTTATCGTAAATACTGCGGCGACTGTCCAGCCTCCCGTTTTTTTATCAAGATTATTTTTCAATTGATACGGAACAGCGAAGCCCTTTCAGTCTACCGAAAACGGCGAGTCGCGAGATTCGAGTACCATTTTGTAGATCGGCTGCGCAGCCTGGAGGTTTGAACCGCGGCAGCGAAATTTCCGTAACGGAAAATCCAGCCGCAAATCCGGCGGAAGTCAACGCCCATTTCCGGCCCGGAGCAACGCGGTAAGAGAGGAGCCGAAATCCGCAGGCTGCGCGACCGGTGTTTTCAAAAGTGTACTTACAATAAGTATTAATATATGGTAGGGTGTTCACCATACATGTATGGTTAATTAAGCGCCGGCGGTTTGGGGTGGTAGGACTGGATGGTAGAATAACACGGATGTAACAAAGATTAAAGGCTCGGTATATTGGTTACAAGTTACATCCGTTTAGTCGACCTTTGGTCGCGCGTCTTATCGCTGCAATATGTAATCGAACAATCCTTAAGTTAAATAGTATTCACCGTCACAAAAACCAGACCTGCCTACCGGTATTATATACCATTGTTACAGAGTATTCTTATATCGCTCGGCGCAAAACAATCTTATTTAAAAACGCGATTTTACAAGTCCTGCTTATAATTAGTATTACCAATCCCACGCTGGGCGCATCGCGCGATGCGTGGGAGACCCGTAGAAAGACTCAAGGTGACACAAAAGTGATATCCGAGGAGTCAATCGTTTATGAAACTTTTTCTCAAATGGGCTGTACCGAATTCTTTTAAATCTCACTACGTGAATGTGGAGGCGTTAAGGAAGGGCCTGATATTCGTGAAATTTTATTTTCATACAAAATTATAAATGTATTTACAGATCAATGTAAACAAAAATTGAATTTCGTGGGCGTCAGAACCTTCTTTGGGGTCTCCGTATTCACATGGTAAAATGTCGGACGACTCGGTGCACCTAGTTCGGAGAAAAATGTCAAAAACGGGACTCCTCAGAAGTCATATTCGTATTATCTTAAGTATTCGCACAACTTAACGTTAAAGGGTTTTTTTTTCCCTCAAGTCTCAGTCTTATAGAAGTTTGCTGCAGTGCTTTACGATCGTTCGACTTTGCGGCACGTTGACATTCCCTTCGACGGTCTCTTATCACTGGTCGTCGTTACTTGTGGCATTTATGAAATAGACGTTTTTTCGACCCGTACACTTTTATCCTTTTTAAATGCAGCAGACAGGTGTCTACGATCCACCTTGCAGAAATGACATATCCTGAACCGCTGTTACATTATTCTTATGAAAAAAGCTCTGTGGTCTCTGTTTACATTCTTCGAATTTTTGTTTTAATACAAAATGGAAGAAAAAGAAAGGGATGTGAAACGTTCTTGAAAAATGATGGCACTGCTTAGAGACGTCCGAAAAGTAGTGCAAGAGTGCTTTAAGCTCGTCTCTACGGCAAGGTTTTGTCTTTCTTCGTAAACTCGATCGAATCGATAACGACCCGTCGACCCGTCCTTCCCTCAGCTTGGACGCATCGGTTTTCTTTGTCGGTCCGTTCACGATTTCTTGTGGAAGATCCTTCTGATGACATCCTTCCTGTCGGGCGTCACCAGAGCCAGTGGCATCTTCCCTTGTCGGTTCTGAACGTTGGTCTGTCCCCCAGCGTGCACCAGGAGTCGACAGACCTCCATCTGCCTTTCCAGACTCACCGAGTTCGAGACGGCGGAGGCCACGTGCACCGGTGTGTTGCAGTTGTAATTCGTCACATTTACCGCCTCTCGGCCGTTCATTATCAACAAGGCCTGCGGATGCAAATACGCGGATGCAAATTGTACAACTCCCTTCTCATAGTCGTGGTCGCGACTCGGGTTATCTCTAAAGCACCTACCTTCACCAAGGACGGGTCGGAGGTCAGGGACACCGCCATGTGAAGCGCAGTGTCCCCGGATTTGGTCTCGCGAATTTTTGGATTAGCCCCGTTTTCAAGGAGAAGTCTGACCGTAGCAATGGTGTTCACTCCGGTCCCTGAAGGGTCGTGCGCTTCCACCGCTACGTGCAGTGCAGTTTTTCCTGTAAAGAAGTACCACATCGATTGAAAAATCCCTGAAGACGATGCGATTGAGTCCTTTCCTTCTAACTAGGGCTCCTTTCGTACCGTCATAGTTGCATTTAGATAGATCGAAGACCGAATTCCCTTGAGGTGTCCTTAGGACGAGGAGCTCCGCCAAGACTGCACCGTGAGAGTCGCCTTTGGCTGCGACTGCGTGCACCAAGGTGTCCCCCTGGACGGTGAGGGCATTAAACCGTTAATTACTCGTCGCATTGGACCAATTTAAATTTATTTAACGTCAGATTGAAACGGTCACGATTCTCACCCTCGTCTGGTATAACGTTTGCGTTATGTCGATCCCTTTTTGCAGCAGCGCCGCTGCCAGATATCCCGTAACGTAGGAGACCTTAGGGCAGTTCATCGCTGCAAGATAAAGCGCATCTTCCCCGCGATTATTCATCACCGAGAGAGCTCCCCTGACGTTACCGAGTCTTTCCACCAGAGGTGCCAAGTAGGCCTTCTTCTTATCCAGCTCCTCCGGATTGCCCACCAGGCACATCAGCATTCTATTGCAGAAATCATTTGTCATGCATTGGGCACCTCGCGTTATCACGAATAATGCAGAGAAAATAACTCCGAAGGCAAGGCCTCGGTACTCACGTATCACCGTCCTCGTCCGTCTTGGCGAGCTCCTTTGTCGATTTCTTCAGGAGATTCTTCATGGCTCGTTCGACCTCCTTAGGGTCCAGCCCCTCTTTCAGTCTTTCGCTCGCAGCAGTCGAGGGCAGATTCAAAGATGGCCAGGGAGCTATGTGTCTTCCCAAACTTTTGCTGTAGACGCCGAAATGGAAGATTATTTACAAGGATGATTAACGATCGGTGTCGAGGTTGCATGCTCAAGAACTGCATCGATCGACGAACCTTCTGGGTCGATGCGAGGTGAAGGAGGAGACGCTCTCCGGTATCTGGAAGACGTTCAAAGTAGTCTCGCTGGAGTTGGACGCGTTCTCGGGTACGCGTCCGTAACCGCATCCGTCACCGCATCCGTCACCGCGTCCGTTGACGGAGACCGTCGGGTGATTCGTGACGGTGTTACCCAAAAAATCGCCACCAGACTGCAAGGAGTCGTTGGAGGCCGACGAACTGTCCACCAGGATGATACCGCTCGAGGACCTACTCGCGTTCCCTCGAACGGAATCGTCTTGGACGGGAGCAAGGGACGAGTAATCGTTGACCAGGATTTCGTCCATCGTGGTACCGAAATCCAGGCAGCCGTGGCTGATTCCCGGCACGCTCTCGACGTAACCCCCGCTGGTCTGCATTTCATCGGAGTACGGGAAGTCGATCAAGTCCGCAAAGTTCGGATATACCAGACTCTTCTGGGCCTCGCTGATGATGGATCCCGTCTCCCCGAAGTCGGGACTCCCGTCGCGGATGTGCCGCGTACCGTTGTACACCGTGTTCCTCACCCTCTTCCCGGACGTCTTCTGATCATCGTTCCGACCACTCGCATCTTGCGAGAACGCGTTCTCCGGTATCCTGGAAGGCGCATCCAGACCGGTGCCAACGGATGGAGGACCCTTCCTGGCGGGTCTCGAAACCCTCTCCGAGACCGCATCCCGGGCCGACGGCCCACTGCGGGATGTTGGAACGACTTGCATGTCTTCGACGCTGTCCTTCTTCCGGCCCAAGTCCCTGATGACCTCCTCCACCAGTTGCAGCTCGTTGCTGTCGATAGCGTTCAGGATACCCGAACCGTTGGCGAAGACTCCCACGGGCTCGAAGTCCTTCCTCCAAGTTGAGAAGCGATCGAAACAGTCCCCCAGCTGCCTCTCCGCGTTGCCGTCTATGGGACTGCCGTAGACGCACGGGCTCGGCGCGTCCCCGTTGGATTGGTTGGAAGACGATGACGGAGACAGTCCCTGGGGCGCTCTGTAGCTCGTTGCCATCTTGAAAGCAGGAAGGAGTCGTCATAAGTGGTGAAAGGTTTTAAAAGGGTAAAGAGAAAAGTGACACGGTGATCCGTCTTACCTGGGGCGAGCCCATGGGACTGCCCGCGATGTTGACCAGCATCAGCGGCGAGCCCAGATTGATTCCAGAAGCCGACGACTGACCGCAACTCGAGGACCGGCTGCTAGGTCTCGAGGTGGCGGTGTTGTAGACAGCCGGTGGAGAGTCTATCCAAATCTCGTGGCTGGTCAGCGGGGACGAAACGGCGTTGCCCATAGAGTCGGACAGGACCCGGGCGGGCTGGAACCCCCCGCAGGCCAAGATGTCCAAAAGGGAGGACTCCTCTCGGGAGTTGAGGACGATCGAGGGCAGGGTGGCGTTAGCGTTGCGGGTCGGAGGAGTCATCTGAAAATGCGGAACCGTTGACGCTGGGTGTTCCCACTCGTGGAGGTCGTTCTCTTATCCATTCGACTTACGTCAAGGATGGGACCGTTCGGTCGGTCGTTGGCGGGAGACCTCTCGTCCTCGGTCGGCGAGACCCATCCGCTACCGGTGTCCTCGCAGCCCCGACTCATGTCCGACAGTCTGTCCAGACAGGGGTTGATCCTCTCGCTGTACCGCTTGTCGGTCAATATTTGCTTGGCGGTGGTGTCGTAATCGGAAACGACGGCGGAGCTCCCTTCGTGCTGGATTAGCCAGTCCAGGGCGGAGTAGGGCTTGCTCCTGGACGCGTGCAAGTTGGACCTGGCCGGACCCCGCTCTATCAAGTCACTGTCGTCGTTGTCTTCGTCGTCGTCGTCGTCGTCGTCGTCGTCGTCATCGTCGTCGTCGTCGTCGTCGTTGTCGTCGTTATCGCCGTTCTCCGCGTCGTGTCCGCCATTTTCTTCCAGCGGAATGTTCGAAGACTGCGCGTCTTCGTAATCTTCGTGATAAAAAACGTCTACGTTATTGTTTTCCAGATCCGCCGAGTCGTCGGCATGCCCGACGCGACGGGACACGGTCTCGTCCGTCGAGTACCCGAGGAAACGGCGCTCGTTCGGGGCCTGGTTCACGTTGAGCTGGCCCCGGGAGAAGCGCAGCTTCTCGATCTTCTCCGCGAGGTCGTCGAATTTCCCGGGAGCGCCGCCCGAGTCCGGCTGGTCCTCGGCCTCCGTCGTCGGGCAGGAACCGTCCGAGCTGACCGACATGTTGCGGTAGTCGTCCAGGGAATCGAGGACGGAACTCTCGGAGTCGCTCGAGGTCTTCCTGCTCGAGTTGCCGTCCGAGCCCGTGTCGGACTCCTCGTCCGGGCAGAAGCGCGCCTTCTCCATGGCTCCGCTCGAGCGCGGCCGCTCGGAGATGCTGGAAATCCACGTAAACTCGGTTTAGCCCGCGTTCGTTCCTTCGGATTCCCTCTGCTCGTACAGAGCACTACCGAACTGGCAGCGGTTGATTTTATATTCCGTTTGCGTATCGGCGAGCCGAAGTAAATCGTTCCGCACTTTAATTCGTGCGGAACGATGTCGAACCCGAAGCGGCGCGGCGCCCGCGTTTCGGGAGCTTGCGAGACTCGCTTAAGAACGAATTTTCTCCCGGTAGCAAGGGCACCGCCTCTCTATGATATTTCCTAGGTCTCGCAGAATGATCGGGCGAATTACCTGTCAAAACTGTAGACATTGTGATTCATTCCCGTAGTTTCGAAGTCTGTGAGCTCGATAGCTACCCCAGGCATCTTGAAAAGAATAATAACACGTCTCATTAATTCGGATCGATTGGACACGCATCCGTGGGGCGCTTTAATGGCAGTTGAAACACCCGGCGTAGCGATTTCATAAGTCAACGATGAAATCACTCGTCGAGTCTTAATTTGGGCGAGGCGTCTGCTCTCGGGATTTCACCCTGGGGAAAAATCGTAGAACGGAGCACGATCCGCTGCCGGTCGGCCCGTCGGTCAGAGGTCGTCGTCGATTTCGATCGTTGTCCTTTCCCGGTCGAGATCGGGAGTACCCGGGTCCGACCAATTTATCGCACCTATCTCCGTTCCGACGAATCGGAATTCCTTCAACACCCGTATGTCAGACCCCGTGTTCTCGTGTCACGCGGCTAATATTAGCCGCGCGGATATCGTTCAAAGGACGCGGCGAAAAACGGCGCGACGGCGATTTGATTAACAAATTACCTAGGCATGCGGTCAAGCGATCTCGCGGGCCGCCATTTTTCCGGAGACAATTGGACGGTCTTATTGCGTTTCGCGATCGCCCGTGTGACCTTGCACGCCGCGAATTCGCATACTCTGCCCGACGCGCGACTCCACACAGGCCCGCGATCCGCGAAGGACGCACCTCCCATGTCCAACTGATTTTTCCCTCTTCTCCCCCTGCCCCTCGCTTTTTGGCCCGCTTGTACCTTTCGCTTCTTTACGGCGCGGACATTGCGCGCCGCCACCGCGGGGACCGATCCTTCGGAAATTGGGCGGAGCACTCTGCCCGGATAGGAGCCAGACGCTTTTCCGGCTTTTCCGGCTTTTCCGAATCGGATCGTCCGTCAGGAGTCGGTACGGACGGAGGCATCGTTTCCGTTTGGGATAAACATCGCCCGGAGAAGTAGGCTGGGCTATCGAGCTAATCGGGTACGTGCCGACAAGGAACGCACTTTCCGTAAAGTCAGCTTACGAGCCCCCTTGCGTTAGCAGGACCTTCCGATGGCATCAGCCTCGAAAACGTAACGGTATCTAGTCGGGAAGAGCGGAGATGAAGAAAGCCGGAGGAGTTATCGAGTGCATCCTCTGCGAGAACGAGCGCGATAACGGATGTGGGGGATTCCGGGTACTCGCCGTTTGCGGGTTTTCCCGTGGTCATTATCGTCGCGGGATATGTCGTAATATTTCCTGAATTTAGCTATTAATATCGTTCGCGCGGAGCTGTCCTTCGACGGTGCGAAGCCATTGACACCTCGACGCGAGGCCGGGTTATCGCGTTAACGACAAAACGGGAGGGACAAGGGCCAGATGGAAAATTTCCCGATTCAGCTTCCACACCGATTTTTCGCTCGGCTTCTCGGAGAGATGCGGAATAAAAAGTCCCATGAATTATACCGTTGTAACTGCCGAAGCAAACTCGGTCGGTTACACCGAGAAGCTTGACTCAACTGCGGCACGGAAAATCGGAATTCTTATCGTTGGAAAAAAATTCACTTCTCGAAAACACCTGTGCAAGCGGGGCACGTCACGAGTAGACGCTCGGAGATTCCAGGAGTCGTTCGAGGAGTTTCGGAAGATTTATCTCGCGATGAGATAATCCGCCTGAAATTGGGTGGAAGACCGAGCCACTTTTTCGCTGTTTGCGGACGGGGGTTGGGCGCATCGACTTTTCATCTCGTCTCGGTTTATCGTTACAAAAGAAATCGAATGAACTTAAAGTCGTTAAAAATGTACCCATTCGTTGCACGAGTCATTTTTTTCTCTCTCTTCGCGTAGCGTCACTCGACGCACCTTCTGCCGAGCGATCTCGCGTAAAAAATTTTACGCTCTCACCCCAGGGAAAGTTATAAAATCGCGGGACTCGTTCCCGGATTCGCTCGGGACATCCGAAGCGATCGCTAACTGCGCTGCCACTCGGTCCCGAAACTCATCCCTTCTCTTTCTCTCCGGCTCACCTTGTTTACGCTCTTTGGTCGATGAGCGGGCAAGGATGGCACCGCGGTCTCCAGCTCCCGCCACGCCACTGCACGCGTTGCCCCGTGTACAGTGCGCTTCGGTCGCGTACAGTCGGACACGGCCGACCGTTTCCCGAACCGTGCCGGGCGCGACGCATACGCGGTAAGCGAGACCTATCTTATCTCGCCGGGTCCCCCAGAGGTCACGTTTCCATGATCGCGGCTTTGCCCGAGCACCCGCTACGCCGACACCTCTCGATTCGATTCCCTCCCCGCGACCATTCCGGCGGCCTCCGAATCCGCGGCGACGCGCAGCCCGTTGCACTTGGTCGACCGAGCGAACTTTCGGTGGCACCTTCCCGTCCGGGATCGAGGCGAATCCGCCGTGATCCGCCGTGATCCGCCGTGATCCGCCGTGATCCGCCGTGATCCACTGCGGCGCGGTCGCGAAAACTCGGGAAAGTGGAGTCGCGCGACACCGTCACCGCCGAGCGGCGAAAAGAGAAAGACCACCGGGTGGGACCTCTCCGGGCCGCGGCATGCGAAGCGCAAATGCCACCGAGTGGCAGGGCACCTCGTCTCGCCTCCGCGCATGCGTCACGCGCGGTCGCGCGACGTCATCATCGCGGGCCCCCTCTATCTCGGTCCCACTTGCCATGCCGGTCGGGCGACTTTGAACGAACCTCGGGCGCGTCTAGCGCGTCTAACGCTTTCGAGACCCGGCCCGGCCCGGGCGCGGGAGACTTTCCTCGCGATCGGACCGCTTTCTATCCGCTCGGCCTTGGACGAGAGTCGACGTTTCCCCCCGGGCCCTCGGACCTGGCTGCATTCGGCGCCGCTCGGCTTGTCGTAATTCCTCGGAATTTTTGCGGCTCCGGCCACGTGGCCGGCAAGGACCACTTCGTCTATTCGGAAGGCGCGATGATTGCTCCCTTTTTGCTCGCACCGGTGAGTCACCGGAGAGACCGGGACGGTCCGAGAACCCCCTTCGACGCGATCTCGTTTGCCGACGGAGAGTCGATGCACCGATAAGTGGCCGTTGTCGCTCCTCGAGGTCGAGTCCGAGACTCGTCTTCGGTCGGGTCGAACTCGAATTAACGGTCGATATCCACTTCTCGTGGAGCTGCAAGACCGATGGATCGATTCTTCTCTTCCTACAATGACGCCGGACTCGCTTGACCCTTCGAGAGGTACTCCCGATATTTATTCGCGGCTCGGGGTTCCAATGCACTTTGCCAATTGACGAGTTACGCGTCAGGGGTGACGGTAGTTGCATCGTAGAGGCAGCGTTGAGGAAAAAATGGGATCGAGTCTATTATTATCCGTGGTGATTTCAGGATAACTAAAGGTACATCGATGGTTTTGCATTTACGCGCGTCACGCGGCCTCATTAATGGCCGTCAGAAAAGAATCGACGCTACGACGCGGTTCCTGCATCCTTAATCAGTCGATACCGATTGTCGAGCGCGATTCCGAGTAAATATCTCATTCCCGGATCGACGTCAGAGATCTCACCTTTCCCTGCCTCAACACCGGCTAGGATCGCGTAGGTTCGAAGCCGTCGCGGCCGTGAACGAGCGCTTCTTGCTTCGGAGGGCGCATCCTCGCATCCTCTCGAGCGTGCGCGTCGACCTCCAAGGGCGACCTAACCCTACCTAAATTTACAATTCCGCTTCCCGGCGGGGAAGGGGAATAATAAAAATAGAGGAAAGAGACGCGCAGTCTTTAACCGCTCGTTACTTGAGCGATAAGTCGCGATGAATCACAGCGTGACACCCTGAAATTCAGGGAAGTCTAAAATTAAAGCCTCCCGAGGCAGGACATCGCGGGGTGCGCTTTGGGGCACAAACAACGGCATCGATCTCTCGCGTCGTTAAGACTACCCTTCGTCCCTGACTGGACCGCTTAAATTCTACTCCCGACGAGTCTAATCCCAATTCGATCCGAATGCCGGATATATCCGGCATCCATGCGACAGTCTGTATGGACGCGCTATGTGTGCATTTTCGGAGCGGCACCTCGTACAGTGTAGTACTTCGGGAGTGTCTGGAAAACGGGATTACCGCTTGGACCCGATGGGCGGACGATCTAATCGCGCCTCCGGAAATAGAGATGGAATGGAGGACGCGGGGATGCAAGGTACGTCTGCACGTTCCGCACGGGCGGCGCGGCAACGTGACGGGCTTCTCGCCGGTGCGTGCGTCGGGGCAGACCGCCAAGGGGAACCGCACCAACGCCGTTACCGACACGGGGGCGGGGCTGCGTTGCGGGAGTTCCCTCGCTTGCGAAACGGGTTTTCTCGTGGCTGAGAGATGCCTTCGCGTTTTCCATGAATGCGAGATGGAGGAAAGAGAGAATGCACGTGAGACGAATTAAGAGAGATTAAGCCTCGGGAGCTCTACTCGGAAACGCGGCGGCCATTTCGAGAGCTTTTAATCGACATCAATTCCAACGAGTTTCGCACGCCAGTTGGAAGATCGACCTTTAAGATGATCGTCGAGAAAACTTGTCCGTGGCTGACCGATGCAAGAAGAGGCGAGGAAAAAGTCCGCTCTCCGTTGGCCGAGTCCACCCACGGTGTCGACTTGGGCTTGATTTTCTTCGCTTCGCTCCGCATCGTTCTGGCCGGGGATTGGGAAAATAATTCCGAGCAGCGGTTTTGAGCCTTCGGGGGAGTACGGAGTAAGGGCGAATTCGCATACGAACGATGACACGCGATCGAAGCCTGCCGTAGAGCGCGATAACACGTTTCTCGCGTTCGTCGAAGTAAACGGAGATAACTCGGTGTACGCGGTTATTGCTTAAAGTTCGTTTGCTCTCGGCTCTGCCATTGCCTTGGCTTTGGGTAAATATCTCGATTCCAGAGGCTAACTTCTGTCGTCCCGATACTGAAAATCACTCGGCTGCATTTTACACGGATATTCTATCGTTTCTCGGTATTAAAGAAAGCGTCAAGACGGTCAACCTTTATTTCGGCAACGAGATTAATTTCCATCTAATAATGAAACGGGTATCGATCCAATCGAGCAACAGATAATTTGGTCGCTCGAGTTCGAAGAAAGATCCAGCTGGTCGGGAAACTCGATAGGGTTTCGCGTGAAATATTAATACAACTATACCGGTTACGACGACTGAGTTCGTTTAATCAAACCAGACCATCCCTCCGGTAAGGTGTACCGGTCAAAAGGTTTCCCTATCTTCCGGTATTGTCTTGACAGTTTATTAACGTTTAAAGTGAACCCTTTCTCGGTCACTGGCGCAAAAACGCAACGGTTGCTCAACCATGCCGACCGTGGATAAATCGCGGAGGACCGAAGTGCACGTTTATCACCGGATAAGCGATAGCGATGAGACGGCGGTGCAGACGAACGGCAAACAAATTGCAGGGGGCTCCTATCGGTCGCTCGACATCGATCCGTCGAGGAACGAGCAGACGGCGCCGATAATCTGGAAGAGCAGGCCGGATTTCGCGATGATCCACGTGAGAAGTAGGCCGAGCCAAGTCTTCACCACCTTGTCCAGCCACCACATCCTACAGAGAAAACAACCACGTCAACGGACCGATAAAATGAGAATAACGCCATAATACGTAATACGCGTCTTCGAAAATAATATCGAGGATGATATATCCCGAAGAGGTAATAATCGCCGGCATCCTGCAACGTTCTTCGCAACGCCGCTTAACGTCAGGACACGTTTCATCGGTGCACAGCGCGCGTAACGCAAGAGCATTGACGTCAACACCCGTCGAGCTATAAATCGCGGTGTAACGAGGAGAACCGCGGCGGGGAAAAAAAGAGGCGAAAAGAGAGAAGTGGAAGGGACTCGGGTTGGGCGTTTCGTCCTGTCGGCGCGCGCGCGGTCTGTTCCTTTTTCCCAGGCCGAGGAAGGATTCGGACAGAAAGGCCGCGGTCACCAAACGGAAATCCCAGATCCGCGGGGGAGACTGTGCTTCGCCCGAGAGGATATTTTTAGCAGCTCGCGGAAATAATTTTAGATTCAAAACCGGTCCGATGAAAATCCCCGGCGATTTGCAGGCCGCTCGCGACGACGCGCGACTACGCGCGACTACGCGCGACTACGCGCGACAATCGGCCAAGGAGGGGGAAACGCTCGACCGGGTTTTTTCGGGACTGCCCGACGGGATTTCCGCCGCTTATGCGTGTTTAGGTCGATGTAATAAAGGCCGCCTCGTGCTCAAATACCTATTCGGCTTGAAACTCTGCCGCGTTTCTCGGTTCCGACCGCGCGTTAGGAGCGATTCCCCGTGGGCTTTGGCGGGCGACGTCACGGCCGGTTATCTTTAGGCAAATGATGAGCTCCGGGATGAGCTCGACCCTCGCAGCGTCGAATTGGACCGCGGAGTAGGAGGTCGGAGCATGCTGGGGAAATGTCTGCCATGTGCAGGCGACGTCACCACGTGTGTCAGGTGGTAACGACCTTCCCCTCCTACCACAGGAGCGCGCCATTTGTTTTCGTCCCGTGCAGCACCGATGCACCTCCCGTGCAACCCCCGTGCAACCCCCGTGCAACCCCCGTGCAACCCCCGTGCAACCCCCGTGCAACCCCCGTGCAAACCCCGTGCACCGCCGTTGTGCGGTTTCTAAATAGAATTAGCGCGACGCCTTCGAGGCGAGGACGGGATTGATCTATCGTGTAAACGTCCCCTCTGTGAGCGACGCTCCCGCAAACGATGCACGGAAATAAAGAAGGTCGCAACGGCGATGCACGCCTCCAAGAGAGGACCCCGCTTCGATGCGAGTGCATTCGAATCTAGGAGACGACGTTCGCATCGCAAAAGGCACTACGTTTGCGATTCGATCACTCGGAGGGCATCGCGACTTCAGCGCTCACCTTGGAACGCGCTTTCCGAGCGGTATTATGTACCGACTTGCTGATTTACTAGCAGGTGTAATTGCATTGCATGGGAAGTACCCGCACGCATTTGTATGCACGCGTCGAGTACCCAGCACGCGTTGCGCTCGGGGCGACTCATGCGATTACCCAAGGTGAGACGACGATACTCTCTTTTGAAAGAAATATTTTCCGCGAGGGATTTTGGAATCGCGTAAAAGCGATGTCACGAAATGGTCCTTTTTCTACAATGGAAGGCTTTTGTGGTCGAGGACACGTTGAGGAGGTCGGATCTTGCAGCGCGGTCCCCTTTGACCCAGATTTTAAGTGACGAAACCGCGATCGACCAAACAGCCCTTAGTCACCCTACGAGTCATCTCTTGTAGTATCACTGTCACCATCGGCTCGTGCATTCGGTGCTCTCCGAACCGATTGTCACGATTTTCGACTCGAGTACGTGACCAGGCTGTCGAGTCTCACCGAACACGAGAGAACTCGACTCGCGACTCGTACCACGGCGTAAGTGAGGTCACTGGGCTCATTTACAAGTTTTTTCAGACTCACCTTTCGTACAATTTGCGTGGAAAAGAAAGGGAAAGAAAGAAAGAAAGGCCAGTGCTGCAGCGAAACTCCACGGTTATCCGACCATTTGTCAAATCCCTTGACACTCTTTACTCCGAAGTGGAATGTAAAATGTGATACGGCCACCGTAAGAATACTTGGCAATTTATTAGCGCTATCACCGACATTGTTTCCAGTGCAGGGAATATCGGCAGAGTTTCGGGCATACTATACGCCGCGGAATTAAGTTGAACGCTGGTCAAGTGAAAATATGGCAAAATGTTTACATATTGGGACTCACTTGTCGTAGTGCGCCTTGGCCTCCTTCAGGTTGCCGATGTCTTCCTTCAGAAGGTACTTCTTGGCACCGAGCAAACAATTCCTATGGGATAGGCGAGAGTTAATTGCGTTACAAGGCCCTCAGGTTTCTAGAAACTCACGTGAAATACTCGCATATGTCGAAGGAGTAATAATCGTAGCTAAATTTCGATTTGTCCGCTGGTGACACGTCGTCTAGAAGTTTCAGTAAATTATCGTTTTTAAACTGCCACTGGTTCTTGGTGAAGTATTCCAGAGCGCTGTTGGCTATGTAGACTTTCCTGTGAATCTTGAGGAGCCTGATCCAGGACTCGAGAGATCGATTATTCTCAAAGTACACAAGACATATTCTAGGGTTAGCAGTGGTGCATCTTACATTGACTTCCGACCGGTGATCTTCAAGAGCCCGTCGATCAGCAACGCTGGCAACAGGTGCAGGAGAATCACGAGGAAATAATAAAGGGTTTTACTAGCCGTGAGTTTGGTGTGAGGAGCCCAGAGAACTCCTTCGAGGGGAATCTTGGCGGTCAGGGAGAACGCCATGTCGATCAGTTCCTTCATCGAGATGCTCTTGATGTCGCAGGCCGAGCAATTGAAAACCTGAATTCTAGGATCCTGAGTGATCCTGCGAAAAAGGAAAGGAAATCTGGAAAAATCGTGTTTTCTAACCTGGAGGAGAGGGGAATTTCGAAAGAAAAAAAAATGGTAGAGAGCTGTACAAAATCAGCCGGCATCGCTTACGTTGTGCAGCCCCGCTTCCAGGCGACAGTGATCATCGCCTTAATCGCCACATCCACGGGGATGAAATCCGAAGAGACGTTCGGTTCTAGGAAAACTGTCCTCAGAATGCCTTTCCCACCTCCGATCATGAGTCCCACGGGACCGTTGAAATTATCCAGCCATCCAGGTATCGGTTCCTCCAGCGAGGATATCACTAACCGGGAGAGCCAAATATTCCGTGTCAAGTCACTGATCTAATTGCGGTCTCGACCCTTCGATTCGATATGATGTGGTACAATTCTTCGATCTTAATCTTATTTACCGAAGACTCACCTATGGATGGCCTGAAGACAACTATCGGCAGAATCCCGGCGTAATCGGCCACGACAAATTCCGCTAGTCTCTTTGTGAAGGTGTACGTGTTAGGCATTCCTCCTAAATACCTAGATGGATAGGAGTAATTAGATTTTTACTTGGATGAATCCGCCAAGTCTTGTAAAAGACGCGAAATCATTTACTTCGATGTCAGGATCCTCAGGACGTGATCGTCCAGGTTTTCCGCAACTTTTATGGTTTTCTTCCAATCGACATCCGCGGGATACAATTCCTCCTTCACGACGGGCTTGTCCGTGTGACTGTAGGTCGTGCTAACGTGTACGAGCGTCTGAGAATCATATCAAAGCCGTAAGATTTACGATGCGCGCTAATAGACACCGACTTCCTCTTACTCCTCGTGCGTGCACGTGTTATCGCTCATGAATTATGTCGAGGAAAAATCCTTTGTCGAGGATGCACTACAATTTTGAGTTTCAACTCTGCAAATCAAAACCGAAAAAACCCTCTTTGGGACGAAGGAGAAAATTATTAGCCGTCGATTACCAGGTAGTCGGATCTTTAATCCCTTTTCAAAATCAACTTCGATGACGCGCGGGAGGAGTTCATTTCAGGGCAACTAGATTGCAATTACGAAATTTCTGGTTAAACGGGCTGTGCGTTAGCGGACACTTTCGTTGCTCGGTACAACCAAGTTCTCGTACTAAGAGGAGTCGACATTCATCCGATAATTTCTTCGAAGAGATCGAAGACCAGTACATCTTGCCTAGATATTAAAATTAATTAAACGTGTACGCGTCGATGTTGCATAACGCTGTCCCGTCTGCATCCATAATACACGAGCCTGCGTGAAAGTTACATCGAGGAGTCTCCTTCCTCGATTTGCATTGTCGCGATTTAGTCCCCTCGTTACGCGTTTCTCCCGAAGGGGGCTAGCTAGAATTTCGCAACGATTTCCTTAAGATGTTAACCAGATATCTTGAACGGAAAAGAAAAGAAAAGGAAAAAAGAAACTAGTTTCTATGAAGCATGTCGCGGGAGGCATTGGCATGCGAGCTCGAGGTCGGGAGGATCGAGACCACGTCAATTGAAATTACTTTTGCGGTTTTTTTTTTTTATGGGCTTTTGAGAAATAGGGACAGGCCGAGGAAAGATATACAGGGGTCGAGTCAAGGGAAAATAGAACCTCTAGATGCTTCATGCTTGCTGCCAGAATGCAGACATCTCTCGTCGATCTCGTGTTGAGAAAAATGGCGTCCTTCAGGCTGTCGTCGAATCTGACGCTGGCGGCCACGTGGAATATTATGGACACTCTCTCGATTAAAACTCGTCTTTCCACGGCAGGTAAACCGAGGCCTTCTTCGGAGACATCTCCGGTCACCGGGATGAGCTTTTCGAAAGACGAGGGCTTTTGTTCTCGCAATTTGTCGAAAAGCTGGAAAATGAAAATCGCGTTTAGCGATATCGCAGTTGAAACGAAGCGGGCGTGGTTCCTAGATCAAGGTAGGAAATATGGTGTTAAAAGGGCTATTTCGGTTTCGTGAAATTCTTTTTCTGGTCCCGTCCGCTCTGAAACGGCGAAACGGGAAACAGATGCAACCGCAATATCGTATCTCCGGTTCCCGACAGGACATTGTGCTTATCTTTCTTCCGTTCGCCCAAAGTCTACACTCCAGATACAGTAAGTCGGCGAGTCGACGGTAATGTCTCATAATTCCGAGCTACGCGCGGATGTGACACATGAAACGTCGCGAAGTAAGTATCCTGCCTTGGTCCTTTCGTGAAACGGCAACGCGAGCATTCTGAATTGTGCAGCGCGCCATTAGACGGAAAAAGTTCCGACTCAACAGCTTAGGGCTGGATATGTACGCGATCGAGGCACTCGAGGCACTCGAGGCGATGCAATCGATTTCTTCATTAGCGCGACCACTTACCGGAAGCGCTACGATCCTCCTTATCCTGTCGTCTATCGACTGTCCTTTCTTCTGGCGCATCAGCAGAAATATCTCTCGGATGTCCGGACACGACCTGAGCAGCTTCTCGATAAGAACTTTTCCCATGAACCCCGTGGCCCCGGTTATGAAGATGCTCTTCCCGGCGTAAAAAGCCGGGATCGAGGAGGCCGGGTTCAGCTGAGCGGTGATCATCTGCAAAATATTTTCCGTGTTTTTAATTGAGCGCACTTTTTTCTTATTCCTTTTTTTTTTTTTTTTTTAACGGCGGTCACTTTTGGCGAACTTTCCGGGGAACCAGATTTCCATCCGTAGACCGTCGTCTACGTTACCGTACGGGCGCGTTTACCTCCGAGTTTGTCCAAATTCCGGCAACTTCGGCAACTTCGGCCTCGAACCACCCAGCGTGGTCCGACTGAAGCCACGTCGCTCTCGGCGCGGTTGCGAAATCCGTTTATTCGATGTCCGTCGAATTCCGGCAACCGTTCGGCCAGTTTATAGAGGCACTACCTCGTCAGCGACTGAAAATGAAGTGGACGCCTCGATTGTCCGGGTACAGGAAGTGACGCTGGACTTTTGTCAATTCACGTATTCCCACGGGTCAGGGTGCAAGTGCTTAATATGTAAACTTGGAATTTGCATCTTTCTCCGGGCATGCGTTACACGTGTCATCACGGTGAAGTGCAAGTGGGAGCGGTTGGCAAGTTCAATGGGCACTCCGCTTGATTCCGAGGTCTGGGACGACTTCGTCACTTAATTTTCTGCTCGACCTCGGGATCCCGAGTTCGGACCCATTTTCAAGCTCCCTAACTCCTCGATTGCATTTCATTTCGCTTTCAGATGAAATACCTCGCTGTCGCGCGCGGCTCGTTAAGTGAATTCGGATCGAATAAAATCGAGACGTGGCTGCATTTCGACTTTTATTTTCATTTGTTTCAGCACCGGAGAAGCGACTTCCTTGAGGATGTCCTCGCTGTCCTAAGGATACGACACGAAGAGATAATACCCGGTATTGTATTACTTATTAACCGTACCCTTTGCGTTACTTTTGTTCGTTAGTTTTTCCTTTTTTCCGTCATTTGAGTATCAATCGAACCACCAGGCAGACGTAATCGAGGTTACGTTCGGAGGCTCTCCCGCGGTTACCTGACGTACCACCAATTTCCATATTAATGATTATTTTCTGAGGATAGTAGAATTTAGTGCTCGACCTATAACCGAAGACAATAATTTTAATGATTTACGTCTCGGGTCGTAGGTTAAGCGATGACTCGGTGGAGCAGGTTAGCATTTGGTTAAAATGTGTTTGCTTACATACAATCATTTTCTTTATGTACCGTATGTTACTCTCTTGTAGATTCCTAGGAGAATTTTGTATTATTTTCTTATTAGGTTTTTGGTTTCGATATATCGATGAGATATACCTGCACGTATATAACAAATTACGGAGTGGGCATGTATTAATTAGGTTATATCGACTGCTAAAGGTTATCATTTATTTACCGGATGTACAGGTGGTCGAATAATTTTGTAGGTGATTTATCCTATTGGCGTTGTGATATTATATGGGTGCAGTATTCATTAAGTTTACCAATGCAAGCAAGTAGTTCCTATATTGGCGATCAAGGGAGAAATGTGCACAGCATTAAGTATCACAAAATCCTAGGTTTCCAATCAAGCCCGAAACCTGTGATTTGCTTTCTAGTCAGAGGTCCGTACTTTAGTGCCAGTAGTGCGGCAATTGCCCTCGTGTCGCGTGCATTTTGTCTTTGCTGCGCCGAGATGCCGTTATCGCAATGAAATGTCATCTCCGTTAAGCGAAAGATAGGAACACCCACCCGAATCGATTTACAATTTAGGACAGGGCGTAAGATCTGCAAGAGTAACCTTTGCTGATCGCAAAAGCACAGATTATCGTATAAGCGAATACCAAATAACATTTGTATTATGCATACACATAAGTCGAATTCATTTGCGTAACTATCGCGAGCCAAATGCACTGCCTCTTGTAACGCTCTCGTAATTCTATATCTGGAAATACAGTTGAACCAATCCAATAGCGGGTGATTCCTTCTTTCCTTCGAGAATTAATATGATGGACAATTTGATGAATATGGTATAATCAGGTGGATTTGCCTGGAGCAGCAGCAATGAGTATTAACAACGTGATTGCAAGCAAAATCCCCGAATCCCGACAGACATCAAAGATCCTGAAACTTTCGAAATCCAAGTCACAGACGTTAGTTCTATCTCCCTTCATTTACCGTCACGGTACGTCAAGTGATTAAAGTCGAAATCTGAATCACCTAGATTTTCGCCGGTTCGATTTCCTATTTACTTAAGGTACTCTTTATTTTATAATTTGCTGACATCCAATACAGGGACGAAAGCGATAGAGAAAAATCCGGGAGAGGTAGGAGAAGGAAGAAGAGGGAATTGGTGGGACTGGACGAAATCAGCGAAGAAGGCTCCGCTTCCGACTCTTTCTACGATGAATACGAAGAAGACACCGATGTCCAGTATAAATGGACACCTCCGAAAGTTTCGATGCCCCCTCGAGCTTCTCAGCTTGTATACACTATTTCCGAATTTATCTCCACTTCCTGATAAATTTCGAGTAAACGTCGCGCGTGATAAGCAAAGATCACTCGACTGAGGTCACCGATTATTTTCCGGTTTAATTCGGTTTCGGTCACTTCGTTTCCGTCAGCTGAGAGATTGAGCTTCGCCGTAAAGTCGGGGAACTTGCTTTCGCGGTAAAGGCTGATCGATAGTTTCTGGAAGTTAGTTTGAGCTCGTAGTAAGCCCCGCTCGTATCTACCGGTGCAAATTTAAGCAAACTACTTTCCTGCTTATCTCTGAAAATTGCATAAAAATTGTTTCAACGCGTTATCCGCTGGCCGGGATGTAATTAACCAAGTGCCGGTCCCTTCATAATCAGACTAGATTTTATTCATTACATGTGTTGGCCTCGATTACCCTTTACAACGAGACCGGGAGCCTTGGGGCTCATTAATCTTATGAATATATGCCAATTTGAAATTCGTCTTTGTTTCAGCTGCAGCAGTGGGAAACAGAGGTTAATATACAATGCTATACTTGCTAGAACCAGTATAACCCTTCTCCTTCCATTAAACATAAAGGCTATTTATTATTTACAATACATTACCTCGAGATGCTTCTTTAAATTTGTCGAAATTCTAGTTCTTTGTTTTATAATTAATCTAGGCCTTACCGGAGTCGGGAAAGAAGGGGAAAAAGCTCAAGAAGAAGGAGAAAATGGCCCTTGAAAAAGCACGCGCCGCAGCAGCGGCTGCTGAAGCCGAGAGACTCAGGTAACGTAAACGTACCCGTGCTTCGGCTACGAATGAGGATGAATTTAACGATTGATCCTCCAATCGATAGACGCGGTATCGATGACATTTTAGGTCCTGTAAAATGTCTCGAATAGCTCCAAGCAGGTGCTTAGAATTAATTTCTCCGTTAATTATCCTTGTCCGAGGCGATAAATCTGGAATGTGGGGAAGCATTTAAGATCGATTTCGCAAGCTTTTACCCAGCTGTAGTTTAGCCCCTCCTCATTACGCACCCACTTCTACCCTCCCTGGGAGAGGTGCTAATTTCACCACCCGTCAGTCGTCCCTTAGCACTCAGCCAGGCAGAATCGAGAGGTCTGGAACGATAAATGCGGCAGTGGTTTCGCAACATATAATTAAATACCTCGAAAGCGAAATCGCGGCGAATTTTTTCATTTAACTTTCAAAACAAGTCGTATAATCATGATCCAGGATCCCTTAAGCACGATCACGTTCTTCAGCGGCTTCGCCGAGAAAAGCAAAGAAAGAGCCAGACGTGACCAAGAACGGTATATGAAAGTATTCAAATTATCGACTCGCGATTTATATGACGTCCATTTTTATTCAATATATTCTGCCTAGAATAAATTAATTCGCAATCAGTGAAGTGAGCGTACAGAATGATGTTCTCTGCAGGCTCCAGATGATAAAGGACATGCACGAAGAGATTCGCATGGAAAGAATAAACGCCGAGAAAGAAGCGATATTCGACGAGGAGCGAGCAAAAATGCGGAGGGAACAGCTGCAGAAATCGCTGATGAAAATTTTCAAAAATAACAAGGCCTTCAAAGAGTACTCCAAGGAGGACCGAGAGAAGCAGGACGTAAGTGTCGGAGCGCTTAACCAAGTACATTTAATATTATTAGTCACATTTTCCTTCAGTGGGACCAGTACATGACGTGCGACGGTTTACCGAATCCGAAAACGCTGTCGGACTTGAATACGTACTTATTTCTTTGGTCGCTCGAGGACGAGGAGCCCGATATGAAAGATGTTACTAAGAAATGCAAAGAAGTCGTCTACGTGAGTTACTCGTTAATTCGATCCGATCGTAGATATTGTACCTGGCAATAAAGTGCGATTAAGCAAGCTTGACCGCACGAGAAACGTGACTGCAATATAGCCTCCGGTTCCCGAGGAATCTCGCAAGTTTTTTCGATAACAACCATCTTTTTAGTTACTAGAGAAACTGCAGAATGTCATCGACTTTCTGGCTGCGGAGTCGCCGCAAAAAGGAGAGGAGTTTAAGAAGGTGCATACACACCCACGGCTGTCAATGAATTATTATTAATCAGACGATTAATCCCTTCATTTTGGTGCAGATCAGGCAAACGTTTAGGGACACTCTGGAATCCTGCTTGGACATGGCAGCCTTCTCGCTCCTGCGCAGAATCGAAAGAAACATGGTGAGGGAGGACCTAAAGAACGCTAGGTACATCGAGCAGACCCACGAGATGACCTGCTGCGTATGGGCCTTGATAAGGCTACCGATAAGCGTAAAGCAAATCGCCGAGAAGGACAGGTGCGTGCGTACAGAAAACTGCAATGCCGCTTCCGGAATAATTTCCGCAAATTAAATGCCTACTGGCATCGAGCGGACGAAAATGATGATCTCGGCAATTTCGAGGCAAACAGGAGAACCTGCGGTGCGAAAACTGATGGCGAGGTGCACCGGGGTACAGGTTTCTCTCTCTCCCTCCTTCACTTCAACGATCACTTACTGTGGAATAATAATTTGATGTACCCTCGATCGACCGGTTTCAATTGCCTCTAAGTTATTTACAACTGGGAATACGTCTCTCGCTTAGCGTTCGCTCTTAGCAAGACTCCAACAAGGCCGCATTCGATTTTCCGCAGGAAACCTGTCGAGGTGACGTTCGAGGAGTTGAAGCTCACTGTAAAGATGCCTCTGGACATCGATTGCTACTGCATGGCGATTAGAGGCATGTGGGTCATGTTCGATCATTATTCCGACCGAGCTATGTCTTTCTACAAGCCGAAGATTCCAAGCGAATATCAAATGAACATGGGTAATTTACGACTCCATGTAGCCGATAGAAATGAGACGCCGCTTTGATATCAAAAAAAAATAGTACCAAATGACTGTGCGCATCTGCCTTTTTTCTTTTTTTTTTAATGTAGTTAAAAGTACTTGAGTGCGAATGATGCACACATGCGCTTCTAGAAGAATGCACTTTTTTTTTTGCAACGGGTTTAATGTACCGAACGTCTTGTCTTCGTTTGGGAGTAGAGTTTGAGAGAGAGAGAGAAAGGGGGAATGCAGTTTATAGCAGTTGGCAACTGCAAGACAGCAACTGACACCTTGAAATACTGTAATTGGCATGCCCCGCTTATATTACTATTCAAAGAAACAAAGCACGTCTTTTCCGAGCAACGATGCAAAACACGCTATAAAATCTTTTATCAATACCTTCTAACGATTTTTTAGAGTCGCGAGCAAGCGTCCAAATGTAGTGTATGCGAATTCTTAGCTCGACATTCCTCATCCACGGCAATCGATTTTTTTTTTCCTTCGCTTTAGACGAAATTAATTATACGATGCTCCGATGAGAGAAATTACTTTTGAATCGTTAGCCTTTTCCAATTTAGATATTCTATCCTACTGCGAGGAGGAATACCAAACGAAGCTGCGAATAAAGGAGGATCAAGTCGAGGGTCGCCGTCTGAGGCTGGAGGAGAAGAAAGCCATTCTAGAGAAATTGGAAAATCCACCGTCGATGACGGCATCAAAAGCCGACAAGAAAGCGAAGGGGAAAAAGGAAAAAAAGAAAACCGAACCGGAACCGGAACCAGAACCTCTTCCGTATCTGCCAACACCGGACGAGATCATTTTACTTAGAGAAGGCACGCCGTATTTTTGTCATCTTTTGTTCAAAAAACGCATGTGTTTCATTTAAGTAGATGTCAAACGCTCTTCCAGATGAGGTGAGGAAAGAAGTGAGAAAACTGCTCTTCACCCGATGCGAGAAGACGGAAATCAATTTGCGGAAGTACATGATTTTGGGGGGGGTTTTCCGCATCGATCTCGTCTATCAGCCACCTCAACCAAAAGACATGAGGAGAAACATCTTCCTTACTACCCGTAAGAAGAAATAATTTCTATAATCCATTTCCGAATGTTGGCCACCGACATTCGACCTTCCGAATTTGCAGTGCAGATCCCGAAAGAGTTGAAATATGTGCTATTCTCGAAACCATACAAAGCCCCTCCACCAGCTCCGGATTCTGAAAGGACACCGGAAGTTATAGAAGCGGAATTAAAAGCATTAGAAGCTGCAATGGAGGCCCTTACTTTGGTAACCTTAAAGTAAGTCGATCAGCTCCTTCTCTGCGTTTTTCGAAGGAGATCGAGGGCCAACGATAACGTTTCCAGGCTCCCCGATTTTGTACTTTGGTTCGAGCCACCCTTGGTTGCCCATTGGGTGCCGGAAAGAAAAATCTGGTCTACTCAAGATGTACACGACATCAAGTACAACGAGGAGAAACAAATTCTCTCCTTCAGAACTGGAAGGCTGGGTCCACACGGATTGGCGGGCTTCAAGTTTGTAAATCTTCCCTTCCAAAGTTGGGAGTTGAAACCTGAAGACAAAAAGTTCGGAGGCGTAATTTTAACAATTGTCGCGGCGGTTGTTCAGGCTGATTTTATTGTCAGAGTAAGAAGTATTACCTACTTAAATATTTAAATAGACGCCTGATTCCTTTGGCGAGAGTGTTCACCTCTCGCACTGTCATCTCACGTGAGTTTCCTTACCCGATTCTGTATCCTTCGAATGAATACGTGAAATCTCTAGTCTGAAAGAACTCTGTCCGAGGTGGCTCGGTAGACTGTATCAACCCGTAATGAATCTGAATCATCTAAACGTCGCTGAATATCTCTAGCCCTCCCCCCTATTTATCGTTCATCTCTCTCGTATCTCTTCATTCGACCCAGAGTTCCTGGTCGAGAAGTCTCACCCGAAATATCTCACATTTTTACCGTAACGGAGGTTAGAGAGAGTCAAAAGTGTTCACTATTAGCGTTTTCACTCAATTCGAGTTACAGAATCGACCCCCGAAGTACGTACGTACATACAACGTTGCTCAATATTGTTTTTAATTATTCAGGAAGACACGGTGTGTTTGCATTCCTTGACTGGCGGCACCCCTACCGCTCTGCAGGATGTGATTGGCCAATCCATGAGACTACCATTTCTCATACGAGTACGTTTCTTCCGTACAAGGACGCCGATATCGATCGATGAAATCTTAAAGTAGATGACTGAGAATTCGTCTTTCGACAGTTTTGTACCGTTCGCGGAAGGAGTATCTTCTCGCTGACCTTGCTTGAGAATTCTTGTCATTTCAGCGACAAAATTGTATTCGCTTGCCCTCTGATCAACAGTTTCTTTTATCGTTTATAAATATTTCTCTCTTTGTGCCCGTGCAGAAGATGCGAGAATGCGGCTGCGACCTGTTTCCGGAACAAGACGCGCATAGTTACGTCAAGGGGCTTCCAATAAAACACCCGGTTGCTGAGAAACACTTACAGACGTGCATCGGTCTGCTTTGCACCACATTCATGTTCGCATGGTCTCGATGGAACGTCACCCGATCCCCTAGGGAAATTATCATTCAAATGAGAGAACTACACGGAATCGTTCCCAATGATGTAAGGCAACGTCCTCGTCTGAATTAACTACTCTAAAACTTGCCTTCCTTCCCCATTATTGAGTCGGCTCAATCGGATTTAATGACGAATAGTTGCTTCATTTCGTAGCAACCAAATTTAATCATAATGGCATCGCCGCTTCAAACGGTTGCACTTGAATGCACCGAGTTCAGTCCAGAATTCTCCGACAAGCCGATGGAGCTTATGGGCAAAAAGGTTCGTCTAATTGAACTACATTCTGTTGTAATTACACAAATGGAGGTATCCAATTCACAGAACTTGTAAATTCTATATCACGTGCACTTTACTATGATTCTATGACATGTAATTGCAGTTTTATGGGGACTTGTACCATTTGGCTAAAAATAATTCTGGAATCAAGAGTCACACTCTAATGAGGAAGGTGCCGTTCAAGCTGGCGACTACTGTCACAAAGTTACTCGAATCTACTAATGTCATTAGCATGTCATCGTAACAACTTTGACAGTCTACCTCTCCTCGAGACTATGTTATCGCACCTGTCTAGTTCGTACCGAATAGTCTATTATTGTGAAATAATTACGACAGGTATTGTTAAGGCGTGCAGTGTCAATTTTATAGAGAGTATATTTATATCATTTCTTGTTGTATGTAAAATCCTACATGTCTACAAATACCGTTTCCTTCTCATCATCCTATGGTCTATTAACTTTATTGGATCTTGATGAAATGATTAATATTGCAGGTAACTATAAATTCGGACATGAGAGATGGAAGCGGTAACCGACAGATGGTAATACATTATAAAGACGAAGCATATGGTGGATCAGTTTTATTAAACCCTGTATCGAGGGGCGCTACCAGTCGATAGTATGTACACATGTGCATGCTCATCGTTGGGTTTCCTTTCTGAAAAATCGTTATTTGAATTGGTGAGAAAATGTCATGGACCCCTTAAAAAAGCTTCAAATCCTGTATCTCGCGTGCAAAAAATCGCAGCCCCTCGTTTGATAGATCTATCCGATGGGAAGAATCTTCCTTGTCGAGCTGCAGGAATGGCAGGTGCGAAAAAAATTCACCTGGGCCAGGGGACTGAGGGGTAACAGGTGGAAAGTGCATTAGCCATCCGCATTCTCCACCAGAGGGCAGTACAGGACGCGATCGCGCGACCCTGCCCGCAAGCAAACTTCCAACTCATCTCTGACTGCGCGTCTCTACCGATTTCCGAATTTACGGTCCATGATTTTATGAATGGAGCTACGATAAGTTACAAAGAGCGAGGTCATGTTAGGGGGGTCCGAATGAAGGGTTTATCAGTCCGAGATATAAAATTTAACTTTTCTCGCGACTCTTCCTTTGAGTACAATAAGCAGGGAAACGTTGGCTTATTTATTATTGCAATTTGTTACGATTTCATTGACACTTTTGTCACGATTGATTTTTTGAAATGGGTACGTTAATATTTTTTTAGGTGTGAAGGAATGAAGAGAATGGAAAACATGACAACGGCGGAGTGTTTGACACTTGACTTCGGTCCTTTTGAGACCGTGCATTGTTGGCAGCAGATGCCAGAATGTGATGTATTTGTTGGAGCTAGGTAAGAATTTACGATCCTCGGAGTCTTAGTATTTTCATTGAGTAATCCTTTGATTAATTGGAAACGCGTTGAATTCTGTTTCACAGGCGCAGCAAGCACACGGTCGTGGCATACAAAGATGCGATATATGTTTTTGGTGGTGATAATGGAAAAAAAATGCTGAACGACTTACTTCGATTTGACGTTAAAGAAAAGTCTTGGGGGCGTGCTTTCGCGACTGGAACACCTCCTGCTCCGCGCTACCACCACTCCGCTGTCGTTCACGATGCCTCAATGTTTGTGTTTGGCGGGTATACAGGAGACATACATTCTAACTCTAATCTCACCAATAAAAATGATCTTTTCGAGTACCGATTTCAAACTACTCAATGGACGGAGTGGAAATTTGTTGGAAAGTAAGCATAGAGATTTCTCACCAACGATCGCTCACGTGTAGAACATTGGTCAAATATCGATTGCCCAATGAAATGCATCAATTTACCATTTCAGAACTCCAGTTGCAAGATCCGCACATGGAGCAGCTGTTTACGATAATAAACTCTGGATATTTGCTGGTTACGATGGAAATGCCAGATTAAATGACATGTGGACGATTTCCTTACTGGTAGAAAGTATAGAGATAAAATAATAATACATAAAGGGTAACAAAATGTATTTATACATTGTTCTTTGCTTACTCGTACAGCCAAGCGACCCGAGAGTATGGGAAGAGATCACTCAGTCCGGTGACTGCCCACCGACTTGTTGTAATTTCCCGGTAGCAGTGGCTCGCGAGTCGATGTTCGTATTTAGTGGACAGAGTGGAGCAAAAATCACAAATAGTCTATTTCAGTTTCATTTCCGTGAGAAGAGGTACAGTTAAATTTGTATTAATATCTACAATGGGACAGTACTCGTATCCTTTTACAGATGGACCCGGATTTCAACGGAGCATATTCTACGTGGTGCTCCTCCTCCGCCTGCACGACGCTATGGCCATACAATGGTCAGTTTTGACCGGCATTTGTATGTTTTTGGAGGTGCAGCTGATTCAACGCTTCCCAATGACTTGCATTGCTATGATCTTGATACTCAAACTTGGAACGTCGTATTGCCATCAGCCGACAGCCAGGTAAATATTGGACAGCGTTGTTGAATATGGAATAACATGATCTATATATTTTTCATGATACTATAAAAAAAAAAAAATTGATCTATCTCTTAGGTCCCATCGGGACGTCTTTTTCATGCAGCAGCAGTAATCGGAGACGCAATGTTCATTTTCGGTGGAACCATAGATAATAATGTTCGCTCTGGGGAAACATACCGCTTTCAATTTTCATCATACCCGAAATGTACACTTCACGATGACTTTGGTAAATTATTGAACAGTCGCTTGTTTTGCGACGTTGAATTCGTTGTCGGTGAAAGCGAAACAAAGATTCCGGCACATATAGCAATGGTAGCGGCACGTTCGCAGTTTCTGCGAGCTAGGATACGAGAGGCTAGGGAACGACGGGAGAAACATCTCAGAGAAGTGTGCGGAAACGTGGATATTCCGATGAAAGATATGCCGATATTAGAGGTAGGTAGAGAAAAAAATGGACACAAAGTAATCCCGAATAAACATTATTATAAGATCACCGTCCATCGTTATTATAGGTGAAATTAACGGATGCAGTACCAGAGGCCTTCGAGATGGTCTTAAATTACATTTACACGGATCGTATCGACCCAACGAAACGAACCGAAGATCCTTTAAGCAATCGAATCGTCCTGCTGGTAATGGATGTCTATCGTTTGGCCGTACAATTTAACATGAAACGTCTAGAGCAACTGTGCGTGCACTACCTGGAAGCTACGATAAGTCATGCAAATGTTTTAGAGGCTTTGCATAATGCTGCGCAACTAAAGCTTTACTTCATCAAAGAGTTTTGCCTAAGCTTCGTGGTGAAGGACAGTAATTATAATCAGATCGTGATGAGTCAAGAATTTGAGTCGTTGGATCGGGCTCTAATGGTAGAGATTATCAGGAGGCGGCAGATGCCTCAGCCTAGGAACTTCTCCAAGCAGTACGAGTCCACTGGTAACGTTATCGTCATTACCTCTCCATCGTTATCCTTTAAATGTAAAAGACGCCTGTACTAATTACGGCCCCTTTATACCCAGGCACCAGTCTAGAACAGGATATGGAAGTCTTTTTAAAGAGCATCGGACATGATTTCTGTGACATAACGCTGATGCTGGATGGTGCACCGATACCTGCACACAAAGCCGTTTTGGCCGCTAGATGCACATATTTCGAGGGCATGTTTCGCTCGTTTATGCCAGAGAACAACACGGTAAACGTATGTCGCGATTTCTATGCCCGTATAAACTCTATCGATTACCATTAGTTACTTTTAATCAACGAAACTTGGTATTTATACAGATTCAAATCGGTGAGATGATCCCGTCGTCGGAGTCCTTCGACTCGTTGCTACGTTACATTTATTACGCGGACGTAGCGATGCCACCGGAAGACTCGCTCTATCTGTTCACCGCGCCCGTTTTCTACGGCTTTACCAATAACCGTCTTCAGGCCTTCTGCAAGCAAAATCTCGAAATGAACGTTACTTTTGAGAACGTCATTCAGATCCTGGAGGCGGCGGATCGAATGCAGGCTAGCGACATGAAGAAGTACGCCCTGAACCTCATCGTCCATCACTTTACCGAGGTGTGCACCGTGTACCCATTTTCTATTTTCTTTTCCCTACCCCGTCCTCCGATTTCTAAAACCAGATACGTCGTGCGTTTGCCGGTTCAACAGGTGGCTCGTTTGCCCCGGTTGAAGCAGCTGAGTCGGGAGCTTTTGTTGGACATTCTCGAGGAGCTCGCCGATGAACGCAGCGAGGCTCGAATGTGCCAGGACATGACGAGCGACTGTTGACGAATTTCCACCTTCACCTCGGTCTCCGTCTCGATTCCGATACCGTTTACGTCCAAGCACGTGCGCCTCGCCTCCTCGACTATCCTGCGACTCCGGGTAAGTTTGAAATTTCCTTTTATCCTGTACCGGCGCCCGGATAGTTTCGTCGCTTCGCGGAAATGCTTTAGACGCGTAACCATATTTTCCGGACGCAAAGTAAGGCTTCTCGTAAGAAGTTTTGCCCCTTCTCCGCGTTCTCCTCGTTTGCACGCGGAGCCGTATCGCGGGTCTGCGGTCGGCCGGGCCGACATAAGGCTTCTACCCTGCGTCGAGCCGAATTATGCAAACGGAGAGAGAGCATATAATCTGTCTATCGTCGAAGAGTGGGAGGCCCTTTAATTGCACTCTTCGGTTACCCGGAAGTAAGGCTGTCTTTAGACCGTTAATGAGATACCCACGTGCCCGAGGACTTTGTTTCGTGGATATACAACGCGTACCGTCTCGTATTTCTCCGATGCAGAAGTCGGAACCCTTCGGAGGGAGAGCGCGAGATTCCAGATCCAACTTTCTACGAAACCTCATCTTCCCGCTCGAATTCATTACGAAAACCTGAGATCGCGGACTCTCTGACTTTAAATACGATTTCCGGCGAAAGCGCCGAATGGAATACTCGGAAAGATCGGAAGATGGGACCTTCCGACGAAGATACGTCGCGACTGCATCCGAGATGACAGGTTGGAAATCCGTAAACGGAGGACCGTGTCGACATCCGGTCCTCGTCCGATGACGCATCTCCTCGGCACGTCCACCGACACGAGCTTGCCGACCTAGTCCATAAATCGCGTCGACGATTCAAGGCTACGCGCGGCGCTCGCGGGAACGGTCGATCGCCTTCCGATCGATTCATTTATCTCTCGTTCGAGAATTAGACGGAGCCTCGCGAATCGCTTCAGCGATAGCGCGCGTAAGGGCACCCGGTCTGGGTTAATCGAGGTAATTGGAGAGAAACGACCACGTCCTCGGCGAAAGACGCGATTCCTTTTTCGACCGCGACCTCGACCCAGCTCGTCCTCGTCCCGAATCGCAGCCTGCCTCTCGGAGGCGCAACAGGTGTTAAAAGTAGCGCTGCCATTTCTCGCCGACCCCGAGACGACGCGTCCGATTTGGTTGGATCCTCCGCTCGTCTCGTCTCGTCTCGTCTCGATTTCAGATTAACGGAGAATATACCGTCACTTCTTTAACTCGTTATCCGGTGAAAGCCGCCGCGGCGTTAACGATCGTTGACCGGTCGATAGGCAATCGCGTGGCCCCCGAGCTATTTCCGAAGGGTCGATTCGATCGACTCCTTCTCCTTCTCCCTCTCTTGGCTCGCGTTAATCGCGATTATTAAACCGAGCTAATTGTATCATAGGGTTACAAGGGGCGAACGTAAATTTTCGCGTCGGATCGCTCGGATTATTCGACGGGCGCGAAGGGGGGTCGATCGTTCGCGAGAGATAGCGCCTTCCTCCAAGGACGCGCAACGGGAGGAATCCGGGGACCTCGTAAATCACCCCGTCCTGTCCTGGCCGCGTCGCGACCGGGTAGAAGTTGGACGTCCACCTCGTGGCCATCGGGGACGGGGCTTTCCGGCTCGCTTTCCCGGTCTCCCGGCCTTTGGGGTTTCCGCGGAGCCCGAGGACGCAGGAGAGAGGGAAATCGAGTCTTCGGGGAATTCTCGAATCGGGTGATGGTTGCGGGTGAGAGCGAGAATTCGCCGAGCCGCGACTTAATTAGCAGCCGAAATCTCAAAGTTGGGTTTCGACCCCGGCCCGGTTACGATCGGAACGCGAACGCTTTCCCCTCCGTCGGCGCGTCGCTCCTCGGCGAGGGAACAGCGGGGAACACCGGGGAACACCGGGGAAGACCGCTTCCGAAATCGGGGGGACCGTGGGAGGCCTCGTTAAGGCGTTCCCAAACAAGTTTCCCGACGTGTTTCGAAAATTCTCGGGCCACCGTCTAGGGCGGGAGGGAGCGGCGATCGTCGTTTCTCGAAAGGGAGATCGAAACCGCGGCCCGGTCGGGCCTGTCCGCTCGAGAGGGAGCGAGCGCCGTTCCCCGGGTTCCCCGGGTTCCCCGAAGCCTCGAAAACTCTAAAGTGTCGGTCCCCCGAGCGATCGAAACTTTCTTAGTTTCGGTAACGCCACCGGCAGCCGCCGGCAGCCGCCGGCTTGGAACGGTGGAAGTGGTACGGAGCAAAGACTTTGTTCGAACGCGCGAATTCGCCATGCCGTCGCGGACCGAGCCCTGCCCGGGAGGTTTCCTCCGCGTCCGATCGCGCGGGGTCGGTCCGGAGTAACCTCGTCGTTTCGGGGGAGGGTTCCTTCGGAGACGCGCGAGCGAGTCGCGTAATCGCGTAATCGTCTCTCGCCGTTGAATTACCGGCCACTCGGATGGCGGCAGCTCTCGACTCGTAATCATCCACGCCTCGGTGTACCCTTTCGACGTTCCGGCCGACCCGCGACTTCGCTTCGTCGTCGGGAGCCACTCCGGAGAGACGATTCGACCGGGATTTCCCGGAAACGAGCGATCCTTTCGAGGCAAGTTCGCGATAACCTCGGCCTGGATGAGCCTCCTCCAAGGGGTCAATTCCCGGGCCGAGGGCCTCGATGCCGAAGGTACGCGTTTCCTCGGCGTCGCCCGGACCCCGGGACGGTCGTTGCTCCGAGGAGCTTCCCGCGACCCGCGAAAAATGGTCAAGGCGCCTCGGACCTCGAAGGACGAGGTGCGGCATATCGAGATCCTCGTGGCGCCGAGAAAGCGCGAGTGAACGCAAAGGTCGCAAAGTCGACTTATAACCCGAGACACGGTTTGTCCTCGATCGGCATGCGAGCGCCTGCCTGGCTCGACATCGAATCGAAAGCGAATTTCGCCTCCCTCTCGGCCGGGCCCCTTCCATTTTCCGAATTCGCGGGAAACGGAGAGTCGTGGCGTTTCCCGAGACTTCTCGAGGGCCTTCTTTCCGATCGATCGATTCGCGTCCCGGAACCCCCGAGCGGGACGCTATCGATCCGCGATCGGCGAAAGTGCCGCGGCCGACCGGGGATGGATCGTTACGTGCGGATAAACTAGCGATCGGGCGATTACGTGGGTTGGGGTAATGGGGATCGATCGATCGATCGATCGGCCCCACCGATAATCGAATTGTCACTTATTCGGCTCTCGAGCGGGATGACGAAACGAGCATCGTCGGTTCGATCGTTATCGCGATCCGTTCCTTCGACCGTATCGCGTCGTTCGATACGAGACGGCGGCTTTTCCCATTTAATTCGTATCCATCGGGCCGTATTTAGAAAATCATCGGACGGGCGTGATAAAATTCTTAACGTTGGGCACGATTCGACGAGGTCGCCGGCTGTCGTCATCGACGTCCTCGCCGTCGTCCACGTGGTCGTCCTCCTCGTCTCTTTCCCCGGACGTTTCCCCGGACGTTTCCCCGGACGTTTCCCCGGACGTTTCCCCGGCGTTTATCGATGACGAAAGGGGCCTTTATCGGCGACCCGTAATTCCGCGAACGATTCCTCGGTCTTTGAGTAAGTCACGAAATGCCGGAGGGTAATCGGCTACCGCGGGGCCTTCCTTTCTCCTCTGGAGAAGAAAAAAAGAGTCCTTCTCCGAGGCCGGAGTCTTTTGACACTTAGTCTTCCCAGCGCGGAAACTCGAATATACCCAAGGAATTCCATCGCGATCCCCCGGAGTCTTCCTTTCACCTTTCGATGGCCAAATGGCAATAATTCCTCGCGAGGCTGAACTTTCCACTGAATTTCTTTAATCCGCTTTTATCCTCTTCGCGCGTAATAAATTCGCTTCAACATTGACCGGATTTCTCCTCGTCCTCGCCGGTCGAGTTATCGAGCGCCTAACACCGTTACCTTTTCGATTACGGGTTTATCTCCTGGTTTATCTCCTTTCTCGAAGGCACGTCCACCGACGACGAGGCTTTCGATTTCCTCTCCAACGCCAAACGATGGCCCGCGAGCCCAGTGCCGACTCTTTGCCGCGCGGACAATTATCCCGGAGGCGCGCATTATCGTTCGCGCGTTAAGAACAAACCGAGCCCCTAGGGTGGGCTGGAAATGATGCAAAAACGCTTTAAGTTCCCTGGGCGACGTGGGCGAGGGAAAAGTCGGGACGGCCAAGGGACCCGACCTTGTCGAGGCCGGCTCGCGACGTAACGTCGACGATCCACGGAGCGGGGTCCTCGCCGGCCTTGGCTTTCTCGTCGATTCGGCCGTCGATTCGGCCGTCGATTCGGCCGTCGATTCGGCTCGGAGATTCCTTGCTTCCGAGTCGGCACGAGTGGACGCGGGAGATCGGGGACCGCTTTTGGACGGTTCCTGCCGCGGTCACGGTCGAGTCCTCGCCGAGGAGGACGAGTTTGTCGCCGACCGCGAGTCATTTGCGAATGCTCGAACGCCTTCGAGGGAAAAGTCGCGAGATCGACGAATCCATTCCTTCCACGTCCGCCGTCGCCCGTTCGCTCGTGGACCCGAGTCGATAGAAATTCCCGCACTTTCGCTTCCGTCCTCGAGAGTGCTTTCCTTCTTGAAGCGAGTCCAGCCTATCCTAAGGGAAATCGATCCCTCGGCCACGAAACGAGAGGCGAAGCGCGGCGCCGCCCCTCCGTTCGCTTTCTTAATGCCGACAAAGTTGCCGACGAAGTCGCCCGCCTTGGATTCGGCAATTGGATTCCGATTATCGGTCGATCGGTGTCCCCTAGTTTCCAGATTTCGACCGTCGATACGTCGTTCCCGGAGTGGCTTATCTTTCCTCTACTTTTCCGTCATTTCCGTCATTTCCGTCATTTCCGTCGACGCCGTTGATTCACCTCGTGCCCAATTTTGCTTCCGATAAGGCACCTTTAGACCCTTTTAGCAAATTGATTGCGCGTCGTCGCTCGGATGGTTCTCCTTAAAACCGCGACCATTGATTCATCCGTCCCGTTCTAACGAGGTTTCGATCGTTCCTCGTCGCAAAGAAATCCGGGACATCGGGCACGAACGCGACCCGATTTAAATCAAGGCGAGTCGATTACCGTCGACTTTAACGCTTCGTAATCGTTTGTCGCGAACGTTCTCCCGGGTCGGGTCCATCGGCGCAAGGACTGCTTGCCCGAGTGGAACCAGATTTTTCTCCGGCCGGTACTTTCTTACCCGGTTAGCCGAACCGACTTGCCCGCGAGCTAAGGTCGACCTTAGAATATTATCGACTCGGCGATATCGATACGATCGAAGCAACGGTATCGGCCGGCGTCCAGCGTAAGAGGAACAAGACCCCGTCGCCCTCGCGGTCCTTAAACTTCCGGTTCCAAATTGAAATCATCGCCTCCGAACGGGAGAAATATTTCACCGGGTCGACCCGATTTTTCGAGACGACTCGCAGGTCGGGGGAGGGGCGAAACTCGGAGGAAAATTCGGGAGAGCGAAAGGGTTAAGCCGGAAGCGCGGCGGAACTGTTTGGTACGCTTCGGCGCGTCCCGCGGATGCGAATTCGACGTGCGACGCATGGAAGCCCTCGTCGCGCGATTTACGTGCCGCACTCGTAACGAAAGGAGATTACGCGGTCCCGATCGTAACCGCGGTTCGATAATTCCGGAGCGAGTGCGAGGATCGCGTGGCGAATCGCCGGCCCTCCGTCGTAAAGGAGCGAGCACCGGCCGCCTCCGCGGAAGAGCCTCGGGAAACGATCTCGTTTCAATGGCGCAGCGGTCGGACAACAGAGACCGCGACGTCCTCGCGTCCCTCCTCCGCGTTGGTCCGCCCGAAAGAGTCGCCCCTTCGGGGGGGGGCGAAAAAACCTGCCGAGACGGAAGGGGAAAGTCCGGTCCGGACGCGACCCGAGTCGAAATTTTCATCCCACTTTTAGGGCGCTCGTCGCAATTAGGTCGGTCTCGAATGAGTTTTGAGGTCCCTACATTAGACCTCAAAAGGCCTAAAATAGAACTATACAAGGTCGAAAGGAGAACCTAAAAGAGGTCTTACTTAAAGGAGGGCCGAAAATCGTCCCGGATCTACGCTCGGCACGAGGCCGGCGAGCCGTCCCGGTCGAGCCCTTCGTCCGCCAGAACCCGCCCATCGGCCCGACCAGATGCATCTCTCGCGAGAAAGCCGGAGCCCCCTCTCGCTCGAAGCGGACCGGATAGCCGTCTTACCGCTTCTCTCCCGCCCTCCCCTCTCGGAAAGGAGCCGAGCGCGGCAACGCGTACGCGTGCATCTCCCCTCGACCTCGTGCGCGTTCGTGCGCGTTCGTGCGCGTTCGTGCGCGTTCGTGCGCGTTCGTACCCGCTCGGTCGGGCACGCCGGGGTCCGGCCGCGGGCGTGCGCGCGCACCCGCTCGACGGGCCTTCCCCCCCGAAGCCGCCGCGGACCGGCTAACCTATCGCCGATCCGACTCGAAAGACTCCGTCTGGCCTCGTCCGCTGCAGTCCGCCGGTAGTTTGCGCCGAGAGACTACTGACCGCGCGGGATTTGGCGGGATTTGGCGGGATTTGGCGGGATTTGCGAGCGCCGACCGACTCTCCCGATCGCTCGCGTACCTCGGCCCTCGAGATGGGGAAGTAGGACGAAGACTCCGATGGTACCGACGGAGCCGCGTCGCTTCTCGGCCACGGGGGCCCCGAAAGAGACTCGTGGCCGCGCGAGGCAAAAGTTGTAGGGGTAGCTCGGTCTCCGAAAAGCATCGCGAGGTAAAAATTGGAGCCGGGAGCTGGTTTCTTTGCTCCGATTCTCATTTCTTGTCGCATGGCGCGGGACGTTTTGCGTCCGTTTTGTGTCCCGTGGTCACGTTTCTTTGTAATGGACCAGCGTCCTTCGTTTCCGGCAGAGCGCGTGGTTTGTATCTCGACCTTGGGTCTCGTCCCCTCCGGTTCCGGAGTTTCGTTCGATCGCCCGTTGGCCGGTTTGACGCAACTTTTTCTGGGTGTTTCACTTTTTCGGTGAGATAATCGAGATCGCTCGATCCGTCCGCAAGTAGGCAAGGAAAAGGCTCGAGAAAAGATAGACGACGCACCTTTTTTCTAGAACAGCTCGGCAAAGCGTCGGACGGACGGTCTCGATAGCAGGCCGGATCACGCCGAATGCCCCGCAAATTGACCTTACGTCACGGCTCGTCCGAGCGATTCGCCGCACGCGGCGTAGCGGGGAATTTTGGGGTAGCTACGCGTCCGTCCGCGTCTTCTCCGGAAGGACGTCCAAGGTCGGCGGAGCCGCGGCCCCGCGCGAGGGCTCGTTTTTCTCCTTCGGAGGTCGCGGACGAAACTGCGCGGTTGCTCCCGTTTTGCAGGTTGCGGTTCTTTTCCGCGGCTCAAAATTCGTTACGCAATTAGGGTCGGAGACGTAATACCCGACCGCCGCGTGTCCTCGTTACCGACCACTCGGGACACCCAGGCGATTTTATTTAACTCCCTTTATGTAACCGTTGCCTATATTTACCGATTTCCTGTTTTTTCCCGTGCTTAAATTACATGAAAGTTTCACGCAGGGAAAACGAGAGCCCCCCCCCCGGATTTGCCTATTTTCCGATCCGAGGGAACGATCCATCGGTTGATCGCGTATCCTTTTACGTCCGAAAAATTCACATCGAATATCGATTTTACGCGAAGATTAAACGAGAAAATCCGCCTTCTTTTCGCGCCTAAGGACTCGCGGGAAGCAACGCCGGAGAAAACGGAAACGGATTACGCGACGTTACGAAACGCCTCCGATAACTGGTCGATCGAAGACCGGCCACCACGTGGACCGAAGTAGGGGATGTCGAATCGAAAAAGTTTCTTTACTCCCGACTTCTTTACTCCTCTTTCCCGGGCAGCCCGTCCCCGGGAAAGTGAGAAACGCGACCTCGACTCCGCTCTCGAGCGAGGTCGAAGGATCTCGTTCCCGTCCGCAGCCGCCGATCTTCTCCAATCGGCAAGGCCGACCTCTGCACCGCGACTGTTCGCCGATCGAGGAACCGAGCGAATGCGCCCTCTTTCCCTTCGTTTTAAGGTAACACGAAAGGGCCATTCTATGCATATGAAACGTCCAAATGTTATACAACTTTTCTCGAACCGGGATGTCCCGAATCATTCGAAATCTCACCTGATAGCGGAGGCTATAAGGAAGAACGTTTATGAAATTTCACGAGCGCTACGTTCTTTCTTAAGGCTTCCACAGTTACCTGCCGAAACTTCTGTCGATTCGAGGCATCCAGTTTGGAGAAAAGTTTGATAAATATTTTGACGTTGTACGTATATATATATATAGAGTGACCCTTCGCATCATCTTAAGGGGAATCGCGGCCGCGAGGAATTTGGCCGAGTCCTCGTTCCGATCGCGTGCAAACGATACCTGGATCGAATCGTAAGTCGGGCCGTTTAATTTATTATTCCCGGGTCAGAGACGAAGCGGACGCATCGTTAAATCGCATCATGGAAGTTGCGGACTTTATGGTCCGATAGTTCCGTTTAGTTTTGTTGCCCGGCACGCAAACGTTTCCCGATTTAACGATCGAAGACCGGCACTTTGCGTCGGGAATAATTGCGAATCCCTTTTATGCGGTTTTCGGATGGATCATTGACTCGATTATCGACTGGATCGTCGACCGGATGGTCGATGCATCTCCAGGGGGGGCGAAGGGCGCCGAGGAGGGACTCGGTCGTAAGCGAATATCGAGAGAAACCGCGAGACTCGAGGCTGCCGGCTACTCGCGTTCCAAGAACGGCTTCTATTATTAAATCGCCTCTTTAATTGATCCATCGACGGGGATTCGGAGAGGCGAGTGAACCGCGCGGCGGGAAACGGTGCGGCCGGTGCGGCCGGTGCGCGGTCGCGTGGAAATTAAATTGCCGTGCATTATTCTTGAAAATGTGTTAAATCAACGTAATTAACGGCACGCGGGATGCGCGTTGCCATGCTCGAGTCTCCACCGTCCACCTCGGCGTCGGGAACGTATCCTTTTTTTGCGCCGTTGGAAAAAACCACGGCGGAGCTCGTTTTACGATAACTCATCGCGCGCGAGATCGGCCGAGATATTAAAAGTTTAATGGGATTGAAAATTCCGCCGCGGAATTTTCTGGGTGCTTCGGCTTTGGAATGCGCGCGGTCGTACCGGTCCATTCGCCGGATTAAAACCGCGGGATCTAATCGAGAGAGAGAGAGAGAGAGAGAGAGAGAGAGAGATAAAGGGGCTGATCGAATCGTTGACAGTCGTCGATAGCGGTGCGGGGTCCCGTTAATAAGCTCCTTTAATCGATCCATCGTTTCGAGGGCAAAGAAACGAGCGAGTAACCTGCCGCTCTACGGTAACGTCGGTGGCGCGGCGGGGCTTTAAATTAAATCAATCCCCTAATTGCGTTCAATCGACTCGATTAACGTTCCGCGGGATACGCGTTGGACTCGAATTCCCACATCGCCGAACTCGACGCCAAAGTCTTTCTTCCCCGCAATCCGGAACAACGGTTGCCCCGCGTTGACAGCGATTCTCCGGACCTCGGGTGCCAATGCTTGCACCACTCTTCCGCGGATCCGAGAACCTCCGAGGGGCTTCGACTCGACATGGCGCCGTGAATTTCTCACGCTTTATCAACGCGCGCGCACGTAGACGCGTCCAGGTGGAGCAGCCGAGGCCGCAGCCTTCCACGATCGCGGGGAAACGGCTTCGCGTTGTCATATCTCGAAATCGTTTCGCCTTCCAAGCATCGGTGCTCGTTCCGTCGGTGGCTACCGGTGGGAACGACGACGAGGAACGAAAGTTAGGCCGGGGTTGAGACCTTTCGCGGAGGCTAGAGCCGATCGAGACTTCTCGCTCGCCCGGCTCGGGAGGAGGAGAAGGATCGGCATAACCGGTTGCTTCCCACCCGGAGCCGTTTGGTCGATGCCCGAGCCTCTTCTCTCCCGGGCCGGGGAAATGGACCCTCGTTAACGCACTCGCGTTTCAGACGGAGCGGGGCCGCGGGACTAAGGCGGCGGTGCAGGTGGAGGTGGATTCGGAAGAGGGGCTGGAGCAGAGGCCAGGATGCAGAGCTGGTGGGGCGGGTCCCGGTGCATCCGCAGGGCCCTGGTCTTCGTGTTCGCGTGGGGCCTCATCGTGATCGCGGCTGTGCAGTTCCGCCACGCGGAGCGCGCCTCCTTCAGAGAGGCGCCCGAGGCGGCCGAGGCGGCCGAGGCGGCCGAGTCGGCGGCCGGCTACCGGGGCGCCGCCCTGGGCTCCTCCAGGTTCCTCCTGCAGAGGGCCGTCGACGCCGCCGGCTCGGGGCCGTTCTCCACGACGACCGAGGGCGTCGCCCCGGAGCCGCGGGTGGACCGCCGGCCCGCCAAGACCGAGGAGGAGCTCGTCGCCGAGATCGAGTCCAGGCTGCCCAGCCTGCCGCTCGCCTACTGGAACAGGAACAGGAACAAGGCCATGTTCAAGGGCAACGATAGCTGCGCCCGGTACCCGAGCATCTTCGACCTGGAGTTCAACAACGTCTATTGGCAGTCGGTGCGCACCTCGAACGGCACCTTCCAGCTCTTCGGGGCGTACTACGACCGGCGCAAGCTCTCGCGCATCGGCCCCGCCGTCAGGATCGTGGGCATGATCGACCGGATCGAGCCCCGGGTTAAGACCTACTGCCAGATGTGGTTCGACGGCGACAAGGAGCCGCGGATCGTCCCGGTCCTGGAGTACAAGTACATTTGGTACTCCAAGTGGGGCAACTACAAGCAGGGCATCTACCAGCCCTACGTGATCGCCTGCAGGGTGCCCCCGTCCCAGTGGCGGCGGGGACCCCCGGCCTCGGTGTCCCTCGTCGAGAGCCAGTGCGACACCGCCACCAACAACCTCAGGGTCATCTACAATCTGCCCGAGGGCCCCGGGAAGAAGGACTTTGCCGTCTGCGTCAAGGGCCTGGACTTCCTGCACGAGGACCTCTCGGTCCGGCTCGTCGAGTGGATCGAGCTGATCGGGCTCCTGGGTGCCGACAAGATCTTCTTTTACGAGCTCCAGGTTCATCCCAACATAAGCAAGGTCCTGCGGCACTACCGAAGGCTCGGCAAGGTCGAGGTCACCCCGCTCACCCTGCCCGGTGGACAGCCCAACGTCCCGGCCTTCCAGCACATGTACCTCACCAAAAAGACCAACCACAAGCGCCAGAACGAGCTCATCCCGTACAACGACTGCCTCTACAAACACATGTACGAGTACGAGTACATCGCCCTCCTCGACGTCGACGAAGTCATCATGCCCGTGCGCGACCGCACCTGGCGACAGCTCATGGACCGCGTCGTGCCGAAGGCCCTCGCCATCCGCAACGAGACCAGGGCCTCCTACAACGTCAGGAACGTCTACTTCCTTGACGACCTGCTGCACGCGCACGGCTCCTTCGAGGACGTGCCCAGGTGAGCGCTCGTCCCTTCGATCGAGGCGACTTCGGATTTGCGGGGAAAGAACGCTCGTTTCTCTTGCAGGTACATGCACATGTTGCAGCACGTGTATCGCTCCAAGAACTTCACGAAGCCCAATCAGTACATCAAGTGCTTCCACAACCCCGAGCGAGTGGTCACCCTACACAACCATTTCCCCCTGGCGTGTCTCGGTGCGGGGTGCACCAGCTACCCGATCGAGACCGAGGACGCGCAGCTGCAGCACTACCGGGCCGACTGCGTCAAGTCCCTGAAGAAGAGCTGCGTCGAGTACCGGGAGAACAGCGTCATGGACACGACCATATGGCGCTACAAGGTCGAGCTGGTGGCCCGGGTCACGGAGACTCTGAAGACCCTCGGCTTCTTCGGGCCGAGCTAGCCGCGAGACCCCGCCGATGATATGGCACATCGTCGGTGGCGGTCCCCTTCGACGAGCGACTCCTCCGCGGGATCCTGTTCAGGACTCGTCTTCGGCTCCGAGTCTCTTTCTCTCCCCTCTGGGATCTGTCCCCCAGGGCGGACGAGAGCAAGACCGGGTTCGACTCGAGGGGGCCACGTTTAGGTGACTCCGGCTCTTCCCAGGGCGAGACTCGGCGAGTCGGTCTCATCTTCCTCTCCCTGTGGTAATCTACGGACGAGGATGGAGGAGGATCGTTTTGTATTCGCGCGATTACTTTCGTTCTTTCTTTCTTTCTTTTCTATTTTTTTGCTTAACGAATACGCGCATTTCCAGTTGTCGACTCGTCGGGAATTGCCAGCCCTCCTTTCCCGAGGGACGCCGCCGCCGTTCCCCAAGGAGCGAGGGCGGAATCCTATCGAGGGAACCGGTCTCCTTGTACCGTGAATCCTCCAGGACCTCGCGGGATTCATCGTGCGACGAGCAGGGCGTTTCCTTCCCCCCTCCCGATTTCCGGGTTCATGGCGAACCTCGATCGCTCTCTACGAGGCCGACCGCCTCCTTGCGGTCCCGTATAGCGATAAGCATCGACGAGCGTCGCGGATCGAACGATCCCGAGACCCAGAGGGCGATTGACGTTTCGCCATGGATGTCTACGTATCGTATGCTCCCCTCCCTCCCCTTCTGCATTATTTTATTTTATTCCATTTCGTTAATTTTGTTTCCCCGAGTGGCGAGAGACCGGACTCGTTCTGTACAGTGGATTCGGTAGAATCAGGTTATTATGCGACTAGATAGGAGTTATCGTAATAAATTCACCGCTCTTGTTCGAATTGATGGGTCGCGCTACGAGTTGCTGTGTGTCCCATCCCCGTTGAATGTTTTCGTTTTCGTCGTCCGTCGAATGTCCGTAGCCGTGTCTCGTGGAAAATCGTTCCCGACGCCGACATCCCCGCGGTCTCCTAGTCGCGTGACGTACGCGCGCGGAAGACGACGGTGGCGGCGGAGGATGACGATGGTGGGGGCGGTGGAGTTAATTTTGGATCGTCCCACGCGGGCGGGATCGCTCCTCCATGCTCCGGGCATAATTTTCTTTTACAAAAGTCTCCCGTGCGCATCGCTCGCGAGGGAAATCCGCGTCCACGTAAACCCAAAAAGGGTCTCGACGCATCGCCGCGAAAGAGACGGAAGGACGGTCGAAAGTGGAAAGGGGAAAGGAACGTCGACTCCAGATCCGCTCCGGAAAGGAAGCGGCCCGAGGCTCGCCCCTCCTCGCGACGTCGTCCTCCACGTCGTCCAAGATTCGTCAAAAGTCTTAAACTCTGGGAAAATGTCCCGAGCTAATTGAGATCAATAGTTGGCGCCGCGTCTTCGAGGATCGACCCCATGGACCCGGACTTCGAAAGGCCCTCCAAGTGCTGGAAGTGCTTGCGCCTTCTGTGGCGGTTCTTCAGGTGGGTCCGTCGCTCCGGTGCGAGGCAATTATTAGCCCCCCTTTCCAATTTTATCTTGGCTAAGACAGTTATTAACCGTTCCTTGGCGTAGACCTTTGGTGGGGAAAATTGGGTACAGGCCGCCGCGGGCAATTAGGAATAATCGTTGAGCGTTATCGGGAGAGGATTGTGGATCGCAGTGACGAGATACGAGGTCCCCCTAGGTGTGTCTTCTCCCACGTGACTCTGGTCTCCCTGGTCGTGGCTTACTGCGTCCTCGGCGCGATCGCCTTCAGGTCACTCGAGGCGGAAAACGAAAAGAAGGTGAATACCATTACCTTACATCTCGGTACACCGTTAGGAATAGATTGCATCGAGATCCGCGTCTAGCTCGCGGTCCGTGCAACGCGTGCACGTTACGTGGATGCCCCGCTCGCGGGCGCGAGTGGTGCGAATTCGCCGTTAGAGGTACAGCTGTTGCGGGACCAAATCTTTTTTACTTTGCGTTGCTATCACTTCCTCCGTAGATACAACGGCAACGTAATCGTCGAGAGTCATTTCAAACGGTGATCTTGATCACCTAACCGATTATTTGCGAATTAATCGACAATTTGTATCATTTAATTTCACGTCAAATGGAGAGATATTTTCGATATTCTCGAGGCAGAAAAAATGGACGCGAGCCACAAAATGGTGGGCTGGTCCTCGTCGGGAGAAATTAAATCGATGACTCCGGACCGACGTGTATATCGATCGGATCGATTCTCGTCTCACGGAGTCGAGTTAACTGGCCGATTAACCGGGTGGAGGTCTCGCTGGAAATCGCAGCCGTGAAATGGATTTGATTCGATAATCGCCGGAGCTTAGGAAAACGAGAGCGTTAAAGCGGGATCTAAATTAAAACGGCCGTCCGGCCGACGGCCGTTACTTTTGTATACGAGCAGGCGTAATAAACGGGGAACGAGATGACTGTCGGTCGAACCGATTTCAGGTCAAAAGGAGCATAAAGAGCGTCCGTGGGAATTTGACGGAAGAGCTGTGGGATTACACCCGGAACGTCGACGTGTTGATCAGGGAAAACTGGACCGTTAACGTGACCGAAAAACTGAAGGTGAGGATTTCCGGTTTCCTATGCCGGACCTCGATCGATCGACTCGTTAATTTCGCCCGACAACGATCGAATTGATTTCCCTCGCGATCGGCCTTCCTTGGAACCGTCCGAGATTTCCTCGGGGAGCTCCGTTTTCTTCGGATTTCCTAGATTTAAGCGAAACCAATTTACCCAACCGAGGCTCATTTGACTCTTTGACCCACGGTGACACAGACCTTCGAGACGATACTGCTGAGGAAGATGAAGAAGGAAGGCTGGGACGGAAACGAATCGGAGGAGACCGTTCAGTGGACGTTCGCAGGGGCTCTGTTTTATTCGATCATCGTTATCACCACGATAGGCAAGTAGAGGAGAACCTTAACCACCCGTAAGCGAGGGAGAAACGACTCCGTCTCCGGAGATCGAGGCCGGCGACGTCCCTTTTTCGGTCGACAAATTAGCTAACGAGACTTCGTTCCGTACCTGGTCCGCATCTACGGACAAACGGAGCACCTTCGAAATCGCCAGAACTAAGACACGTTCCAAAACGTAAGATAATTAAGATCTCCATCCGCGAGATCGCGAGATCGCGAGATCTTTCCTTCTTCGCTTTTCACGGCATTTCGACCTCCTTGGACCCGACCCGGGGGAAACGCGTGGGAAGACGGCAAGCACGATCGAGGCACCTTCTTCTCCTTCCCCCGGTCCCCGTCCGACGAGGCCGGAGATCGAAGGGGAAAGGTCTTTCTCCCGGCTGGGGCCCGTGAAAGTCCGAGGGGGCGACCGCGTCGAAAGGTCGGAACGGCAGAGGCTCCTGAGGGCAGAGGGCAGAGAGAGAGGCGGCGTTACTCGTCGGGACCTTCCTCGAGGAGGCACCCGCGGATACTCACCGCGGACGGCGGACGAACGCCCCCGCTCGGGAAGGTTGACGGGCGGACCCTCCTGGCGTCGTAGCAGCAGTATCGCTTCCCGTTCCCGCAGGACCCCTGCGGGAGACAAAGGCCCGGTTTTCGTTCCGTTGCCGAGGACGACGAGGAGAAAGTCGGAGCCGATGCGAGAGGAAGCGGAAACGGACGCCCGGGCAAAGGTAAAGCGTCGTCCGGAGGACAATTTTAACGGGGGGCATTATCTCCCGAAACCTCTCGTGCTCCGAGTCGACTCTCGCAAGGACTCCGACGCGACGATCGAGGTCTTACGAATTTCAGGCCCGTGGCCGGACAGTTGAACCCGTAGCTGCACTTGCAGTTGTCGTACTCCTTGTACCGGCGGTCCTCCCTGACCCAAGAGGGCGCCGCCTCGTGGAAGCCGCCGCCCGGTCTGAAAGAAGGCGACCATCAGCGCCGGACCGTCCGCGCTCCCCTACCTTGGAATTCGTCGCTACCTCCCGATGGTGCCGGTCGGTCCCCCGGGCCCGACCAAGACTCCGAGGTCCCGGTCGGCCGAGGCGACGGGCCGGGGCGTCCCCGACGATCCCCCCAGCTGGACGTTCCCGGGCCTCCCGTGGGGATTGAAAACGACGGGACCTCCGTTGAAGCTGTCGGTCGAGTCCTCCGGCTCCTCGTGAATCCGGTACCTGTACGAAATCGAAGCGAAACTCGATAGCACTCGATAGCACCTCATCTCGAGCGAAAGGGACGTGCGGACTCGGTGGAGCGCATCACCTGGTGAATCCCTGCCTCCTGTCCGTCCGAATCCCGAGGTTCTCCCGCCCGCCGTCCTTCCAGACCCACTCGTCGTCTCCCGCGGCGAAAGACAGAAGCCAGAAGAAAGACGGAAGCGTCGCCAGGAGTGGGAGCAATGGACCGCTCGAGATCCCTCCCACCATCCTCTCGGTGAATCCGGAGCAGCAAAAGGAGAGCGCCGGTTGCGAAAGCCGCTCCTGGGTGAGCTCCCGCGGGTGTTTTCACGCTGGGAGACGTCGATTATTCCGAATATTTCGAACGAGAGTGAAAGGGGACCCCGACGCGCGATCTCTATATAGGTTCGCGAAGACCTTCGATCGCCGGACCGGCGGTCCGGCACCGGCGCCGGCACCGGCAACGTGGGAGGATCTCGAGGTCACTCCTTTTCGACCGACGCTCTCGATTTCGCGATTCGCCGAAAGAGCCGCGGGCCCAAGCCCCTCTTCGCGACCTCGATACGCTCGTGGACGATCACAATGGATCGGGGGAAACGCCTGACCGATTTTTATTTCGCGATCGAGCTCGACATCATTCGGCTCGATTTCCCGCTGACTTTTCCATTTTCCATGTTTCTCGATCCGCAATCGGGCGGTGCGCTATTAATTTATTCGATGCCCGCCACCCCTCACTTTGGGCATTCCCGCGCGCGTTGCCAGTCTCTCTGCCAGTGTTAATAATTGATAATACGCGAGGGGATGTAACTAGGTGATTCCCTTTCAGGATACGGCCATATAGCGCCGAAAACGCAAAATGGGAAAGTGATGACCATTTTCTACGCCATCGTGGGCATCCCGCTGATGCTGCTGTGCCTGTCAAACATCGGTGACGTAATGGCGTCGAGCTTCAGGTAACGAGACGTCCTCGATTACGTCGATTCCCTCCTCGCTTCTCTTCCTTCGACGCGATAGAGAAATAACTCATTGAATTTGCAATTGTAATCGACGCGTTAGTCGTGCCAATCGAGGTAAATCGTCCTTACTGCATTCCTCGGCCGCGCATACTTTTAGAAATACTTTCTTAAATCGAACCCAAGATTAATCGCCTTTACGACGCGAAGTACGTTGAAACGATTCCCTGCACTTATAACTTTGTCTCTAATTAATCCGTTTCGCAGTAATAATTTTGTATTTTTTTTCCAGGTTCCTTTACTGGAAAGTTTGCTGCTACGTGTGCACGAAGCCACCGAAAAGAAGACGTAGGGCCAGGAGTTACTCCATGCGACAGCCGTCCGCGTACGTACGCGACAATTACGGTACATCGTCTTCCTCCAAGACCCCCGTGAATTTGTTTCAGAGTTATCGGAAAGAGACAGAGCGCGCTTTTTGGTAATCGGGACAGATATTTCCAGGAGATATCACGCGAGAGCGGCTTCCTTGAGACGGACGGTCCGGGTTAGTCAGCGATCGGCGGATTCGGCCCTGGGCCTTTCGGAAGGCATGCTCAGGACCTCCTACTCGGATACCGATTGCAGGTAATTCCGTCGACCTAGTTTACGTTAAAAGTCATTTTCGCATCAATTTTCCCAGACCCTTTCTATTTTGAACAAATCGCAGGTATCCCCGAGCCAGCTACGACGCGCCGGAAAGAAGGAAATCCTACGTGTCTTCGCCGCCAGTTCCGGGTTCCAGATTAATGTCAATTTCCGCAAAGTGTCCGGATCTCCCGATTGCCGGCTCCAGAGGGAGAGGCTCCCAAGTCGCGGCACCGCCTATGAGTAATTTCTCCGGATATTTCCTTTCCGAACCGTCACCTGGACCTAGTTCTCTCTCAACGTATCGATTCAATTTGAAGGGAATTACCGAGCGACCATGTCCCTGGACCGGAAGCTAGCGGTGGGACCGAACGAGGCGGAACGCACGCCGGTGCTCTTCAACAAGTACGCTCTGGGTCCTGAAGACGAGTTCTCCAAGTGGCGGGGAGGCGCCGAAAAGGGTTGGCTCCTCGAAGCGGTTCCGAAATCGATTCGTCGCTACGTTTCCGATTCTTTATTTCCATTTCCAGATAACGTGGACCAACCGAGTCCCGGTGGGCTCGCCATGAGGTCCTTTTCCGAGAACACCAGGAGGTCTCTGCCCAGAAGATGTCTGTCCAATCCCAGATTTTCCGGACAGAGACAGAGACCGAGACCTGCCACCGTGTACCTGGACATGAACGCCTCGATAAAAAGGCTGCCGTCCTTTAAAGGAAGGCGAGCTCGGGCCAATCAGTGCGCCGGTAAAGAACAAGATTAAATCGCAAAGCAATGACAATTACCGACAACGAATGCGGACGCGTTACGAAATCTTTCGCGACGGATCCTTTGTCGATGCGTCGGATGCGGACCGATCCGATAAGGAAAACTTTCGCGTTTCCAATGACGGTGGAATTCTAACGAGCCCCGGTCAATTTACATGAGAATTATTTAGGGAAACGGGTGCGTATCGACCCCGACCCGTCGGAAATGTTTGTTGTCGCAACACAGTTAACGTCGGTGCGCGTCTTTTGTGGGGAAAGTTTGAACGGGCCCGAAATACGAGGAGGTCGATCCCGCGGCTCGTTTCTACGGTTGCGTATCTTTTCTTTAATTCGATGATACTAAAAAAGAAATGGGTCGCTTTTCAGTTCGACCTCAACAGCGCGAGCCCCCGTCTCCAAGAATTATGTCCCCGATGGGATTCGCGGTGCACCGGCAGTATCACAACGACGACTTCGACATCGATTACGACTATTATCCAACTACTCTGGAGGGAAGCGACCGAAGTTACGGGCAACGGGCGATCAAGCCGGTACCGATTTGGCTCTGCGTCTTCTTGGTGGTCAGTTACATCTTCGGGGGCGCCTTCCTCTTCAGCGAATGGGAGGAGTGGGTCTTCCTCGACTCCGCTTACTTTTGTTTCATCACCCTGACTACCATAGGTGGGCGATCTTTCCCGCGGGCACAGAGAGAAAAAATACTTTGTTCATTCGAAGAATTCTACTCAAATAAGTTCCCACAATTCGGATTAAATGTTGCATCCAGTTCATTCGAGTGAAATATTTATTCTTCGGATTAACCAAATATCTCTCTGGTCCAATGAAATTTTTCTCTCGGGGTGGGCCGAGGGGATTCAATGTTTCCCTGTCCCAGGATTCGGAGACTTCGTGCCCGCCCACAGACTACACGCCGAGCAGGGAATTGCTCTCTGCTCGCTCTATTTGCTCTTCGGCATCGCCCTGCTGGCCATGAGTTTCAACCTGGTCCAGGAGGAGGTGATCAGCAACGTCAAGGACGTCGCCAAGAGACTCGGCATCATCAAGGAGGACGAGGACGACGAGGACGACGAGGACGATGACATCGATGACATCGATGACATCGATGACATCGATTACGTGGACGAGGATTACGAGATCGGCGATGACGAGGAAGACGAGGACGACGAGGACGATCTCGCCGTTGGTCGATGACTTCACCGCGATGCATAACTTTTCATTCATTTCTATCGTGGAGCGTCAGGAATTCGACGAGTCCAATTTTCTTCGTTTTTCTAAGTTTTATCCTCCGCAAGTTATAGCAGAGATCGCGAAGCGGAATTAACGTTGCCGATGGTATCGACGACGAACCAGCAGATTTCTTCCCAGGGGCGAAAGAGCAACGATTTGCATTTAAACGATTCGCTGTTGTCAATACAGAGCCAGAGAATACACCGAACGTTCATCTTGTCCATATTTCGGAGAAATTGACAGAAATCTATCGAGCGGAGCCTCTCCGGCACTCGAAAGTCTCGGGTCGTTCATGGGAAGTCATGGGAAGAAACGAAGTACCCGACCTAGTCGAAGTCAACGGAGGGAATTTATCCTCATTCCTTCGGATTACCGGGCCTAAGTGAGGGATAAAGTAGTCTTGGGCGGCAATAATGTGTAAAAGAAAAGCCGGCGTGGGTCGGAGATGGCGCATAAATCACCTCGCGAAAGAGAAATCGTCGTGCGCGCGATGGCTCGTTTCTCCGCAAAAAAAAGTGCCTCCATTACCTTACCTTCTCGTATCGCTCTCGTATCGCGATCGATCCCTTTTTTTTTCGCGGCACCGGCACGCCATTAATTTCGGAAAAACGGGACCTTCGACGTCCCTGTCGAGCCACGTCTCGCCTTTTCGCGAGGGGCTTCCGCTAAGGAACTAACGCCAGTGGTCTCCCCGCAGAAGTGACCGGGTGCAAGACCAGTCTGGATATTTTTAGCGGCGAGTTATTTTCGTTAGTGTGTCGACCGAGAGGTTTCGGAGCTTTCGTAGTTTCCGTGGTTCTCGTGGCCCAGTAGTATGTCGCGACGCGACTCGAAGAGATCGTCGATCCTTGCGATCCCGGGCCCGAAGCCGTTGACCCGTCGTTGCAACGCAACGGCGCAAAGGTAACGATGACCCCGACTCGAGAAGTCCTCGAGTAGATGCCCGGACCCTGCGAAATGGACCGGCCTCCCGGTCCCGGAGCCTTCCGGGAGAGGAGGTCCGGAACCGCCAGGAGGCGGAGGATGAGGAGGAGGACGCAACACTGGACCGAGCGACTGGCCGACTGCATGCGCAACTTCCTCGCCTTCCTCTTTGGCAACGTCGGCATAGTCTGCCTCGTGGTGGGCTACACCGTCGCCGGGGCGTTCGTCTTCACAGCCATCGAGGGGAAATTCAACTTCCAGAGGGCCGGGGAGATCGCCGCCCTGAGGAACCTCACCGCCTCCCGCCTCTGGGAACTGACCTACCAAGTACCGGGAATTTTAGCATGTCCTCCCTCTTCTCCTTTTTCTCCCGTTTCGATGGCAATTTCATTCGGCTTCCATTTGGTTTCGTTGCATGGAGGAAGAATTAATTTTCCACGGTCCCGAAGTAATTTACCGAGCCGCGGCGGGGAGGGACCCGGCGTCGCCGCGGAATTCCGCGGTTAATTTGCTCGATCCTCGTGGAAGGGACTCTCCTCGAGAGTCCGGAGATCGATGGTCCACGGTTTGCAGGAGAACGTCTTCTCGGAGAAGGACTGGAAGGCCAAGGTGCGCGTCGTCCTGGAGGGCTACCAGGAAGTCGTCGTCGCCGCCGCGAGAAATGGCTACCAAGGCGCGGACTCCGTCGAAGGGACCAAACAGTGGAGCTTCGCCGGGGCCTTCCTTTACTCCCTTACCGTGATAACCACCATAGGTGAGCCCGTCGGACCCTTGTAGCTTCTTCGTTGGAAATAAATGGATCGATCGTCTCGTTCAGGGTACGGAAATACCTGTCCGAATACCGCATGGGGGAAGGTGGTGACGATAGTTTACGCCATCGTTGGTATGCCGCTCTTCCTCCTGTACCTGAGCAACATCGGCGACATCTTCGCGAGGAGCTTCAAGTGGACCTATGCGAGATGCTGCCTCTGCAGGTGAGCTTCCTTCGAGAGGATTCCCGGGGGTGGCGACTCACGGAAAGACTTTTAGGTGCCGCGGAAGATCGAAAGGGTCGGAGTCGGAGGTGGTTCGGAGATCCGGGTCCAGAGACTCGTCCGGGAGAGACCGACGGCAGGTTAGCGACTCCGAACGTTTCCTCGCGAATTTCGACAAAAAAACGAGCGTTACACCGATCTCGAGAAATCTCCACTGGTTCTCATTTTTCAGTCCATCAGGATGCAGAACTACCGGCCGGAAGGTCCTTCCCCGGAACGCGGGAAACCGGGCTCGATCCGGGAAAATATCGGAGCGGAAAAGGAAGACGACCTCCAGGGAGACGAGGACGACGGCGACGGCGACGACGACGACGACTGCTATTCCTCCGTCCGCGAAGACGAAGACGACGACAGCCACGACGACCCCCAGGAAGTCACCGTTCCTTTGACGCTCTGCCTCGCTATTATGGTGGGGTGAGTAAGTTTTTTCGAAGCGCAAAGTTTGATAAAAGAAGGAGGTCAAAATAGTTGCTCACGTTAAAGGACTCGCGTTTAATTAAAAAGTTCGCGCCGAAGGATAGGCGACGGGTACTCTTTTCCGCTCCCCCCCCCCCCAAGATCTTCTCTTTCCTGAATCTTCCTTTGAAATTGTAGATACGTGTGCGGTGGCGCCATGCTTTTTTCCAAATGGGAGGACTGGGACTTCCTGGACGGGTCATATTTCTGCTTCGTGTCCCTGTCGACCATTGGATTCGGTGACATCGTTCCCGGTGACAAGATCTATTCCGGCCAAGGACTCGAACTGTCCTTCGTATTCTGCTCCATGTACCTGATGTTAGGTACGAGCGATTCGATATTTTTCAAACCAGGCAGTTCCGATACCTCGTAATTTTTACCGCGAGAAAAAGCAACGTTCGACCTCGAAACTTATAAATCGCGCAGGAATCAGTTTTTTCGGAAATTTCCCCGGGATTTCATTGAGGCGTCTTAGTCGGGATTTATGGAAATTCTTGTATCCGTATTCATGAGAGACGTTCAACTTTTAAGAGGCTCTGGACCAACGAGATTTATAGCCCCGAAGAGGCTTTTATGGCGGAATTCGTCCCCCGTAGCAGGGAGGCTGGGAACCTCTCCAAATTTCGAGCTCGTCGCTGCCACCGAAATAGCCAATTAATTCCGACTCATCGATTCTCGATCGTTTCTCCAGGCATGGCCCTGATCGCCATGTGTTTCAACCTGATGCAAGAGGAAGTCATAGCGAAGATGCGAACTCTCGGAAGGATCGCCAGGTACATCGTCAGGTGCGGCAGATGACGGAACGGTCCCCGAAGGAAGCCAAGCCGCCACCGGTTGTGACGAAGATGCCCGATCGATGAGAAGCGCAAAACCTCCCCCGACGCGTCGCCTCGCTCCTGGTACGCGCTCGCAACCCATCAATCGTCTCTACGAAAAATCCCCAAACCGAAAAGGCCCGGCGCGGTAACCCGGTAACCCGGTAACCCGGATAGTTTCCATTGGAAGAACGACCCCGTCCAGCGCGAATCGAATCCGGATCGTCGCCTTTAATCTCTCGGCGGTGCCGCGGAATCGGCCTGGTCGCTCGTCGCGATCGAATCACGGCTCCCTTAAAGCTCGGCCGCCGCTGCGGCCCTCTGGACCGGTCCGGAGCATGCGTCGCCCCGTAGGATTCTGCGCGGCGCGTCCCCCCGAGCGCGAGTTCGGGCTGCGCCCCGTCCCGTCGTTGTCGTCGTCTCCACCGTTCGCGAGCCGCCCCGAGGGTGCCGAGACCCTCCCGGAGCGAGGAGTCGAGTCGGGAGTACCCCGGGGAACCGTCGACATGGACGGCCCGAGACGACGTCTCCGGCGCGCGGCGTCCGAGGTCGCGATCCGGGCGTAGCGTCGCCCGGAGAGGCGCGGGTGGTTTCGCCAGTGGTGAAGGCTCCTCCTCCGGAATCCTCTCGCGGTGGCCAAGCGTCGGGGAGAGTCGCGGTCCTCGGGATGGCGGGGACGGGGAGGGGACCGGAGGTATTTCGGAAAAGTTAGGCGCCAGTCGCCCTCCTCGCCGGCGAAGATCGATGCCGAGGCGTGACCCTAAGAGGAGGCGCAGGAAACGGCAGGAAGGAGATGGCGCGTTAAAGGTGCACGGACGAGAGCCGGGAACTCGGACGGGTTGAGGGGCCCGGGGGGTCCCGGGGGGTCCCGCGGGTCGCCGGGGAGAGGAGAGCGCGCCTACTCGAGATGCTCGCCCGAAGTCGTGGGCACCTCTGAAGACTCGAGAGGAAGGGAGCCGACTACCGAGAAGGTTGGTGGTGACCGAAGGTCGCAGGGAACGGCTCGCGACCCCCGGAACGGAGGGAAAGGGGAACTCCTTCGGGGTTGTCGGCCGACCGAGTGCTCCAATTCCGTTCCCCGCTTGTCCGTCCCACGGAGCGACCCCCTCGAGATCCCCGACATCGCCTAGCCGAATCGTCCTCCAACGGGGACGAATACGGCGAAATCGGGGAGATCCCCCGGAGATCCCCCGGAGATCCCCCGGAGATTCCGCGACAGCGCCTTACCACGGAAGGTAATCGCGCCCACGTGTCGGCCTGTCGGCCATTGCGGCGTCAGCCAACTATTTTGTCCGCGGGCTAGCGGAAGTGAAAGGGATCGCGGTGACGGGCGCACTTTGGGCCGAAAGATAAAAAGGATCCGTACCTGCATCCGGACTTGGACGAATCCAGCGCGATTCCGTGGCCGACAATGCGGCCTTCCCTTTCTTCCCGTATCCATCGTGGAGCCCCTTGCGAAACGCGGACCGCGAGTGATCCCTGGGAAATTAACTTCCGCGGTCCCTTTGCTCGGTCCATTTCTCACCTCACCTCAAATTTTGGGGAGGCTTCTCGCGACGAGTTTTCCTCTTCCATTCGTCTGCTCGCAAAGTGTCCGCGCTTATATTATCCAAGGCTCTCCTTCCGATGCAGCAGCATCCTGCTCCTGCCCCTCCTCCTCCCTTCCTCCTCCAGTTCCAGAAGGAAAAAGAAAGTTATATATAAGAAAAGAGGCGAGGGCGAGTACCCTTTCGCCGAGGAAACGCGACCTCTTTCGCTTGCAAATGAGGCGCGAGACCCGCGATAAATGGGGAGCCCCCGGCAAAACGGAGGGCGATAAGACGCGATAAAGGAAACCCCTGGGAGATGGGATCGACGCGATAACCCCGTTAATTCTATCGGCGTGATAACCCCGCTTTTGATTCCGCGCGATAGCGGCCTCCTCCAGAAAAGGGGGCCACTTGGGCGGAAACCCGGCCTCGGCCTCTTCTCCGAGGAAACTGGAAAAGATCGCTCCTCTTCAGAGCTGGAAAACTCTCCGTCGCCTCCTCTTCTCTCCCGCGACAAAAAATAGAAATAGGATTTTTATCAAATTTTTAAAAGCGCGACAACGTCGCGCGATTTCGTCGAGTTCGTTTGAGCGCGGAATTACGTTTACGGAATTTCATTTTTGAACACGGCCGATTAAAGGGGACCCTATTGAAAACACGTTGTTTGTACCTCGCGGGACTGCTCGAGAACATTTTTGGGCCGTTTCGCCGACGATAAATTTCGGAAGAACAATCGTCACGAGTGGATTTTCGGGCCGAGCGCAATGAGAGACGCGGGATTATTTTTCCGACCGCAATTACTCTAATCGACCCTACCCCGTTCGGCGCGTAAAATATTCCGGGGGATGCTATGCCAAGGGGAACCGGACCCTTTGACCGTCGGTCCGTCCCTCTTTCCCCTCGCTCGGGGATAACGACTCGACGAGCGCGTCGTCGACCTTGCCGGCTTACGACGTAAGCTCGTGAATGGTGCGCTCCCCGGAGCTACGCTTTCCGCGATCGATTCGGCCGAAGGTTCAATGCCAGAGACGATCGCGAGGTGATGCGACCAGTCCATGGCGAGTTGGCCAGTAAAACGATCGATTTCGTCCCATCGCTACGATCCCCATCGACTCGCCGTCTGCTCGGTGAGCGATCGATTTTGAAAACGTCGGCCGTTTCCGAGGGGGAAACGCGGAACGGGAGCGCGTCGTCTAGGCCACACCGACGACGCCCACGCTCGCGTCTACCCGAGCGTCTACCCGAGCGTCTACCCGAGCGTCTACCCGAGCGTCTACGCCCCAGCATGCACCGACCGCCTTGCTCCACTTTCTATTTCACTTTTTAACCGATGCCATTCCCCCGCGATTACGAATCTCGGTCGAAAGGCGCGCGAAGTGGAATGCGAGCGACCGTTTAAAACTAAAGATGGCCACCGCCGTCTCGGTCGATTCCGAGGAAGCCGAAGAGCCCTCGATGGGAACAAAAGCGGCGGGCGGAGAGGCGAAGCCGGCGACAGAAGTCCGTCGCGGTTCGGTTGGCTTTTAATTCCATGCCTTATCACTTCGGAGCTTTCTAGCGGCACCGGAGGCTCGGCGAACGAAGGAGTCGCCTCGAATCGAAGCCGCGCTTCCGGCGTCGACGTCGCTCCATTTTACTTTCGCGAGCGCCGCCGGGACGTCGCCGGGACGTCGCCGCGAGCGGAATCGAGATATCGGGACCCTGGAAAGGAGGTCGACCGATTTAACGGACGTATCCGAAGCGAAACGATCCACGGCCCGATAAGGGCCCGCAACGAATTCTCCGCGTTTCGATTCGGCCGCGGATTCCCTCTCTCGGGGCACGACCAATTAACGAAGGCCGCTTCTTCCCGCAGGAAGGAGATCGTCCCGCCTCGGGCTCGATGGCGTCGCCTCCGTAAGGGCGGGGATGCGGTCCGGCGCCGGCGGCCATCATCGCCGGGCCGGAGGGCCCAGGTGCTGCCCGGGGGGCCCGGGAGGGCCGGTCGCGGAGGCCCGGGGCGCCGAGCTGCTCTGCTGCTGCTGCACCTGCACCACCGCCACCGCCGCCAGGACGCCGGGCGTCCTCGCCAGCCTTGGGGTCTGCGCCCTGGTCCTCGGCTACACCCTGCTCGGGGCGTTCGCCTTCATGGCCATCGAGGGAGGCCTCGGATCGGTAGCCAAGCGTCTATCTCCATCACCGATTCTCGCGGCCGACGACTCCGTCGACTCCGACCTCGATGTCTCGCTTTCAGGGCCCGCCGCGCGGGACGCCGTCCGGCTCTACGGGGCCGTCGCCTCCGGTCCCGGGCCTCGAGGACGAGACCGCGGCGACGGTGTTGAGGGCGCGCACCGTCGAGCGGCTGTGGAGCATCACGGAGGACCTCAACGTGCTCTACAAGGAGAACTGGACGCGGCTGGCGGCGAGGGAGGTCCTGGAGTTCCAAGAGCGACTGGCCCGTGGGCTGCGACGGCAGCCCTCGGCACCCCCGCCCCCGCCACCCCCGCCAGNCCCGCCGCCTCCGCTGCCGTCCTCGGCGACCACCCTTGGGATGCCCGGGATGCCCGGGATGCCCGGTCCGCCCGCCGGGAGGCGACCGAAGGACCCGGAGGATCGCCGGTCGCGGAGTCGGGGCTGGACCTTCGGCGGCAGCCTCCTCTACTCCCTGACGCTGATCACCACCATCGGTGGGTGTACCGCGTGGCGGGCTCTCGGCTCCCTCCCGAAACTGAGACGCGACTTTTCCAGGTTACGGCGGAGTGGCGCCGCGCACGCTGTGGGGCCGGCTGATAACCATCGTCTACGCCCTGGCGGGCATCCCGCTCATGCTGGTCTACCTGAGTACCGTGGGCGACGTCCTGGCCCGCGGCTTCCGGAGGCTGTACGGCCGCCTGTGCCGGCCGCGCGGCCGCTCCGGAAAAAGGCATCCCCCGGTCGGCCCGCCGCCCCCGCCGCCGCCGCCGCCGCCGCCGCCGCCGGCCCCGGGCGACGCGTACCGCTACGATAACCACGTGGAGAAGGCCGGCGGCCACCCGGACTCCCGCGGGATCCTAGGGCTGGGGCTGGGCGGCGCGGTGCTCCTGGACTGCGGCAGCGAGGGGCTGCTGCAGGCGGCCGGCGGCTCCTCGACCCTACGCGAGCTGACGGCCGGCGGCAGGCGGCACCCCTGCCACCCCTGCCACCCCTGCCACCCCTGCCACCCCAACCATCCCTGCCGCCCCTGTCGTCCCTGCACCCGAGCCGGCGACCCGGTCGAAGCGGTGCGCGTCCCGGTGAGCGTCTGCCTGGGCATCATCCTGGCCTACGTCTTCGGCGGGGCGGTCATGCTGAACCGACTGGAGGGCTGGAGCCTGCTCGAGGGCGGCTACTTCTGCTTCACGAGCCTCGGGACCATCGGCTTCGGCGACCTCGTCCCGGAGGGCCGGAACGCCCCCACGGCCACTCTGGAGGAGCTCGGGCTCTGCGCCTGCTCGGTCTACATCCTGGCGGGAATGGGCCTGATCGCCATGTGCTTCAACTTGGTGCAGGAGGAGGTGGTGCGCGTCGTCAGGGTCCTCGGCAGGACGTGCGGCGTCTCCGGCTCGCCGGGTTACGGCGCGGCGAGCGTCGCGGCCGGCGGCCCTGGCGACGTCAAGGCCTCGCTCAACGATGTCCTGGGTGCGCCCGTCGATCTCGGGGCGCCCGAAGATGTCGGGCCCGACGAGCCCGAGGACGAGGGGGAAGGGGAGCAGGAGGAGGAGGAGGAAGAGGTGGAGGAGGAGGAGGAGGAGGAAGAGGAGGACGAGCCCGAGGCCATCGCCATGTCGGTCGTCTCCTCGGCCTCCTGACAGCAGCCCGCGAGGAGCCCCGCCGACGGGAATCTCCCTCCGGGCCTCCACCGGGTCGCCCCCGGGCTGACGAGCCTGCGGAACGCGACGAACCCGAAGCTCTCCCCCGGCAGACACTCCCTGCCCCGCAAGAGGGCCGCGACGGAGGCGACGCCCGGAAACCCCCGCTTCCTGCGCGGCCAGCCCCTCCGAAGAAGCGGCCTCTCGCCGACGAGGCATCCGCAGCGGGGGTACCACCACCGGCAGCCCCAGCAGCGCGAAGGCTCGGGGCCCCTGGAGTACTTCGTGCCTCGGAGCGTTAGCGAGTTCGACCTAGCCGCGGCGGCCGTCGCCGACGTCGCCGACATCGCCGTGCCCGGCCCTCCGCCGCCCTCCGCCCTGCGGCCCGCGGCCGCCGCGAACCCGGACGCGGCCGGCGCCTCCGCTCGCAGCCGCGAGAAGATGGTCACCTTCGAGGACGAGGGGGCCGGCTCCCGGAAGGGCGGCCCGGGCTTGGAGAGCGCCTTCATGTGACGTTTTGGTCCTGGCTGATGCGCGGAGGCCTCCAGGTAGCTCCCTTTCTCCGACGCGCGGCCGAGGGTCGGGTCCGTTGTCCGCGTCGTTGTCCCCGTCGTTGTCTTCCGTGGACGGCGCGAAAGGAAAGGGGAAACCACGCGCCAGCGAACCCGAGTTGTGGATACGCGTGGTTCCTCGCTCCCTTCGCTTTTTCTTCTTTCGTTGCCCTTGATTCATCCCGACGTCACGTTTCTACATTTTTATACTCTTCGCGGGTGCGCGAAGCCGTTTCCTTCGGGAACGAGCCAACCCCGGCAGGCGACAACGGAGAGAAGACCGCGATGGATCTCCACGGTGAGAGGACGCTTCTCCGGCTCGAAATCGAACAGAGGCGATGGATTCTCCTCGAAGGAAGGCGGTCGAGAGGACGACGCCCTACCGGGAACCGACGAAAGAGGTAACGAAGCTCCGAGAAGACTCGACAGAGAATTGACCCCCAATGGAGCACTGAAAATCAAAATCGATCGCCCCATAGAATCTCGCGGAGGTTTTCGAGGCCGCTTATTTGCAGTGTACGGTTTAAATCGACAATGAAGATAAATCGTAATATAAGGAAAAGTCATCTCTTTGTCCTCTTGTGAAAGAAGACGGAGAGAAGCGCGGGTGACGTGTGGCCTTGCACCGGGGTGCGAAAAAGGGACATCAATTGACTCGTACGTCGAGAATTGTAATATGCCTGATTCGATTACGCGTCGTGTACGATATATAATTGTATACCTAAGTACGTCAAAAACCTTGTCACCCGTGGACGATTTTATTAAGGACTGTAATCGTTAAGTCTCTCATCGCAGCCGCGAGATCGCCACGTCGCGGTGGATAGGCTATTAACGAAAGTTCATTGTAATGGATAAGATTACGGTGTAAAGAGCTCGACACATAAAAGTTTTGCGTTAAATATGGATTTGAGTCTTGTCGTAGCAACGGTAGACGGATCTTGATGTCCCTCGACGACGTGGTCACGTAAGGTGTCGACAACGATACGAATTTCATAAAGAGAATTTCTATCCCGAGCAGGAGAGGTCATCGCCGATTCCTTATCAATCGTCGGCGAAGTCCCCCTCGTCGCAAGAGTTGTCGTAACAGCAATATTCCCAGTCGTCCTCTCGAGTTTTCGTGTACATGGTGTCTCTGTCGCAGCCGCCGTTAAATTGACGAAATTCGTAGCCTTCGCAGCGACTGCACCGAATATCTACGGTAAAACGTCGCACGATTGAACTATTTCCCGCAATTTTCATTTTAAGCCTTTCATCCGTCACCTGCAGGCGGCTGGCAGGTGCAGAGAGTCATCGAGGACTGATTCTTCTCCGCCCTTTCCACCTTCTTTTCGCTGCTGGCGAGATTCGTGTAAATCGTACAAAAGATCTGCAAGCAGTGCTCGACGATGTATTGCAGCGTGCAGAACACGACGACCAAGAGGATCGGAAGACACAGCGTCGTCTCCACGTCGTCGAGGACCTCGTTAACGGATTCCGGAAGTAAATAGGCACTCATCGTGACCGGAAGTCGACTCTGGAAGCAGTCGGATTTCCCAACAAACTCAACTTGGCCAACCTCCGATCGTGAATATCGATTGAGACTAACCGTTACCTTTTCACCGTTAATTGATAATTTTTACTCTTCTTTCAGCTAAAGGACGTGCCTCCTTTTTTCGATCGCCGACGAAAGATCCGGAGATTCGGAAATACGGAAATTTTGTCTTTTCGGAACATGTCACCTCAATTTAAGCCTAGAAGGTGATCCCTTGCTAGCCGAATTTCCTTCCTAACGGTAAGAAGCAAGCATTTCCCATCATTGCCCTTCGGGATCTTCCATCTCGTATCTTTGCCGCGCGTCGAGCCCACAGGGCTGTGAATTACTGGGATCCAGGGGGATCTCGGTATTTCTCGCGTTTCTCGGTGAATACGAAGAATATGTCCGTCCTGAAAAAAATGCGCAACGATTTCCTCTCCTTCGGTTCGGTCTTACAGGGTGTTCGGTAAAAAATCATTCCGCCATTTTGAATTTCCTAAGGCGAGAAGAGACTCGGTTTAATTTTAATTTCCGTGCCTTTAATATAAAATACTGGGGAGCCTCGTTAGCTCTGAAATCTTGCCATTTCACGACCCGTGACGAATATATATCTGCATGAGGCAACGGTACTAAATCTCGCGTACGAGGGGCTTTATTGTGTGCACGCCTTGCATGCGCCGAACCACGACTCGTACGCGGAGAGAATTGCGCAATTTACGACGCTTATATTACTCGTTTTATGACAGTGCTTAAGTGCACGTAAATGTGGGCGAAACAATTACCTCGCCTTTCCGAGATGAAATCACCGAATTAATCTTCCACTGTCATTGCGTTCGGTGGCGATCAATTATAAACGTTGAGCGTAGCGGAACGGAAATGGCAGAGTCCGGTCTGTGCGACTCGTGACAATTTACCGCTATTATTATGCATTACTCGGCTCTCGGGCATCGAGGGCGGGTTGCGACGAAAGTGCAGACGGGAATCCCGGACGGAGAATTTCGTTTTACAAGAAACAAATTTCGCCATCTTTAGGGGATGGCACGGATCCGCGAACTAGCTGCAAGGTAGAATTTCTAATCAGATAATCAGCTCGTACCCACTAGTACCCGAGATGCGTTGGGAGATTGCTCACGGGCAGGGTCGCGCGATCGCATCGTGTGCTGTCCTCTGGTTTCGTACGTTAGCTTTCACAGTTTTTTGCCCCCAAGGGCGGCGCAACAAATTTCTGGTAGAGGCTCGCGCGCTCGCGATGGCGGTGCCATCTACCAGTTACCGTTGGCGGCTCACGTATTCGTGATGGTAAAACCATGCGGCAGTTGCAGGTGGTGGCTTACCTACACTTACCGACACTGCACGCTTTTGATGGTAAGGGAAGAACATTCGTGGCGCCCTCTTTACTCTAAGTACATCGTTGCCCCGAAGTCGACGTAACACGGAGCTATGGGGCACGCGTCGATGTCACGTACGGAACTCGCATGCAGCGAATCTGTGCGAGTGCGATCGTTCCTAGAAATCTTCGCGCGTCCCAACCAGCCAAGCGCCAAGCTACGGGTCGAGGCGTTGAGTATGTGGCGTTCGGCGCTACACTCATTACAAGTATGCGTGAGAGCCGAATGCTGCAAAAAATCCTCCCTAGCCGCGGATATAGGCCGAGTCATTTCGCGTATGATTTTTACATTTCCCTACTAGCGTTATCGAGCGGATTTCGAGAGTTTTTCGACCGTTTTCGACCGTTATCGACCATTTTTCGAGTGTTTCGAGCGTTATCGAGTCCCGTAGAGTCCCGTCTACGTGACGACTTCACGTGACGACTTCACGTGACGACTTCACGTGACGACTTCACGTGACGACTTCACGTGACGACATCACGTGACGACTTCACGTGACGACTTCACGTGACGACTTCACACGACGACTTCACACGACGACTTCACACGACGACTTCACATGACGACTTCACGTGACGACTTCACACGACTTCACATGACGACTTCGCGGGAGTCACGCGACTTCATGAGAGTCACGTGAACGTGACTCACACTACGAGACTCTACGAGCACACTACGAGACTCTACGGGACTCTACGGGCACTCTACGGGACTCTGCGGGCACACTACGGGACTCTGCGGGACCTTGTGGGACTCTGCGGGGCTCTACGGGACTCTTCTGGTAGATGGCACCGCCATCGCGAGTGCGCGAGCTCCTATCAGAAATTCGTTGCGCCACCCTTGGGGGCAAAAAACGGTGAAAGCTACCGTACGATACCAGTGGGCAGCACAGGAGGCGATTGTGTCACCCTTCCCGTGAGCAATCTCTCAACTCATCTCTGGTACGTATGTACGTCCATGATGGAATCGATGGAATGGGATGGGATATGAAAAACTGAAACATGGCGACTCTTGTGAAAACGGTGCATGTTACAAAATCCGTGAATAATGTAACAAAGTTGTTGTCACACTTGTCAATATCTCCTGGGAGCTCTGGTGAACCAATTGCATTTCAAAGACCGAGGTATAATGATTATGTTCTACTTTCTTTCGCGTAAACTCGATGAAATATAGCGATTGTCTCACTTTGCGGCTCCCAATCCGCAGTGCAATATATCTGCTTTTCCAAGTGACACAATAAGATAGGGAATTTATTCGTTTTAATCTATTTGAATTTAGAATCCCTTTAATGCATTATGCATTTATGCACACAACACCAAGGCCGTTTGGTTTGATGGAATTCTTTGACGATCGGAAGAACTGGGGAAAGCAGGAGGTAAAAGTAGGAAGATCGTGGAGATTAGACGAGTTAAGGATTAAGAGCAACGAAGACTTACACAAGCTATGGTAAAGTTTTGTCCGTGTGGGATGTTTGCCTTTTTATACAAGTATGCGTTTACAGCAATACCATATGTCTTTCAGGTATGTTCTATTAAAGGAGAAAAACATGCTTTTAACAATGGAGCATGCTTGTACAGAGGAATATGAAATATTTCCAAACCCAGAACGTATAGATAAAATTAAAGAAAGTATGAGCAATTTAGAGGCCATTGTGAGAGAACGTAATAAGGCGTTCCATTTGCTGGAAACTGGTGAAACTGGAGAGCGACCAGGAAAACTCGTTTCCAGTGCATTAGGTAAATTCCTCTATTTTATTTATTAAATTTATGTATGAATCAAACTTATTAAGTTTGAGTTGTATAAATTGGTTCATTTTATGCAATGCAGGTCTCAGGCGCTATCATCGAATGGGAGAATATGTTATTCCACAGTATATGAATAAAACATGGTATAAGAAGCACTTCTTTGGACACGGTAGTTATGCTGTCCAAAAATTCTTAAGGTTATATCGAGAGAAACTATGGCTTGCTAAGAAAAGGGAAAAAAAGTATGTATTTCCTCGTTTTTGGTATTTTAAGGTATAATACAATTAAGGACATAATGTGTATTGTTTCTTTCTGTTTCAGTCGGAATAAGAATCGTGTTATGCAAATTTTGAAGCAATTCCCCAACGTGGATCCAGAAGCCATTAAAAAGAACTTTCCGGACAGTGATATAGAAAATCTCAAGCTGAGAAAGAAGGCTCAAGGTCATAGGGCACCTGAATAAATATATTAACAAGTGGATAAAGCTGAAGATATAAATGATTTATCAACCACGGCAAACGAAGTAAAGCAACGCAACGTTACCTGTACAGATTAGTTTCTTCTGATTAAATCAATATATTAGTACTAACGATACACTCTAATACCCAAAAAGAATGGAATCAGATTCTATGCCTACAGGTTACCATAAAGAAGTCAGGGATCTCATTTGACTAGTTCGTTATTGGTTTATTTGTATGGCATGCTTTATAATGACATGTGCTGTAATTCACTTGTGGCTATATAGAATTAGTGAAACGATATATAGGTTTAACATATACAATATGATGGCTGTAACAGGGGTAAATTTAAACCTATATATTTTCGCTGCAATAAAACAAATATAAAACTTAAATATCATGTAGACATCGGTTGTATCTTACTTTATATAAACCATGAGAAGTTGATGCCGGGGTATCAAATTAATGACGCCACGGTACCGTGTACTAATATTACATTATCTGATGTGACTATCATCACATTTTTCGGGCAGCTGTACATAATTATTAATAATATTCACAAGCAACTGCAACACACACCAGTTTGGTTAGCCTGATCGTAAGCATGCGGCAGCTATATATGACAAATCATAAATAAATAATTTTCAGAAATCCAGTAGAACACACGTAATACATTGTACGGCTACTGAAATTTAATGACAACGACGGTGCGATAAAAGTACCGATGCTACTTAAGTGTCAGATTATTAGGCGGTACGTAAAATCGGGTGTTTCCCGTTACAGAGAACCCGTTTAGCATAAATTTGAAATTATCTCCGGTGTCGACAATGTATTTAATCGCTATCTCCTTTTACCAGACCAAGCACCATGTTGATATAGCACAGTTTTTCTCTGCTCACCATAATAACCATACAAATGTCTACTCACCGGTCGAGGAGTGATAATAAACTTAATTAATAAAATTCCAAACTGTTTCATTTTAACTTACGATCACAAAAAATGCTCAATAAAGAATGGGGCAAAATTTCAGACTCGAGGTGACATCGGTAGTCCCAATTTATGTCGGTACCACCACTAGTCATACCACTTTCTGAAATCGATAAATATACGTAAAATCTATGCAAACGACGCAGCGAGTTAAAATGAATGAAGGCGTAAAAGCATTGTAATTATTATTAGGAATGTTAGTGATACGCGATCGTTGACAACCCATGGGGTATTTTCTTCTCCAGGAGGTGATGCTTTCTTTTAACGGCGCGGTCGATATTCCTTCCGATATACATATCCGCCGTTGTCCGTTTATTATCACTTCCCGTCTTAGCCCGCGTAATAAATGCACGTAAATAGACATTTATATAACCGATACGATATCCTCAACAATCGCCCTTATATTACAGTTTTCCCGCCACGACAAATCAATGATAAACTAGAGAGTATTACAATGTAGGGAAAATATTGCACTGCCTTAGGCGCACCGCATATCGGCGACACGGTCGCGCGTCGCCGCCGCAAGCTACCTCACCGATCGCTCACAATTATTCCATCTCTTTCTCTTTAATTAATCCGCCTCTGGAATTGATATTAAAATATAAGTGTATATCTAAGCCACGACTAATCGATCCGAAGGACGACGAAACACCGACCGAATCGTTTCTACGCTTCCGTCGTCCAAGAACTAGCAAATAATAGTTGCTCACGTATTCAGCTTTTCAAGAATATCGGAATCTTGAAACCATTTCTCGGCTTCAAAATCGGGCGGTCTAACGACGACTTAAAAGTATCATCTACCTCGAGTTCGTCCAGCATCTCGATTAAATGAAAGTGCGCTAATACCATAATAGCTGCCTTGCCCTCGTCAAGGACTATTCGGAGGACACGGGCAACAAATATTGCCAGGCGTGTTCCAAATCTTTGCTCGTGTCCGAACACCGATGATGGAGCTTGTCTTCGGGCGGCAACGTTACCATAGGAAATTCACCCTGCAACCATGCGTGCAGTTAACATTTTTCAACACGCGATAATCGCCGATAAAATAGTTATTCGCTTGAATAATGGTAACAACTGACTCACCATATCGGCGTCGGCCCACAGGGTCTCCAGTACTTCCCTGAAGGCGCAGAGCTCGTTGTAATTAGTGAAATAGATCACCCAGTCACCGCTGCTCTCGTGCACTTCCCGACAAGCAAATTCCTGCGTCGAAGGAGAAACGTACGAATGTCGATCATTTTTATATCGAGCAGCGTTGCGTATCCCTTTATCCGGTAAGAATATAAGTCGCAACGCCTCGACGTTAACGTCGAGCCTTACCAGTATACACCAAGACTGATGAGACAGGGGCACCCTAAAGGCCGTGAGGTGCTCCACGCTCGCACAGGACAAGGTTTGGCCCCTTTGGGTTCCCGGAAACGCTTCCTTCGTGGCTATCAAGTGCCCGGTCGTGGCTACGAGGCTGCAAGGCAACGGCTCCCTCTTCTCGGAGGAATCGAACAGACCCGAAGCGCTTTGCACGAAACTCTGCAGCCACTCCGAGGCCACGTATTCGTCCGGTGCGGCGAATTGGAAAGACTTGTTCGGTCTCAGGAGTATCTCGAAGGTGTGCGGCCGGTGCGAGTTAGGGATCCTTCGGCACCCTTGGCAGAGGCCGCCTTTCAAGGGGATCGCGCGTTTCGGAAGGCGTTGATTGGCGTCGGTGAACATGTAGACGACGCCCCCTTTCAAAACGAAGTATCCCGCTTCCCAGGGATTTGTCGGGGCGTTGGGATGCAGAGACTGGTAAGAGTGTGGTCGAAACATCAGATCCCCCTCCTTCGTCGGACCACACGGGGTACTCGGTGGCGATATGTGCTCGTCCTCCATGTAGATCAAGCTGTAGTGCTCGATCTTCTCGTCCTGGGATCAAAGCGGAGGGTAACAAACGAGGGCACAACATTAACTCGGGATCGGTTTCGGGGAATACTTACGGGGTGCACGACAGTCTCCGCTAGAATACCATGTCTCAGGATGTGCATGTCCTCGTAATTCAATTCTTTGACAGCGGGCAATCGAGGTTTCGACGGCGACCGCCTCATGGCCATTTCTAGGTGCGCTATGAGCTCGGACGTGGTTTGCGAGCTGCCGGTTGAAAATAAATATTGCATCTCGTAGTCTGCATTGGATATTAGTATCGTTTGTGCATTCGGTCCGACCTGCGTACAGACCAAGTTCCTTTAAAGCGAGTCGAAACGGGGAAGCGATGTGGTACGGATCGGAAGCTTACCATTATGACATCCAATTCGTTATAGGGAATGACAAACTGGTTACTGTAAGACCGGTCGATCTTTGACGCCGTCAAGTACAGCGTTTTGTCCGTCAAGAGAGCAAGCATGGGTTTGCTTTCGCCGTTCGTCATGTAGGAGCTCCTGACCTTGTAAACCTTGTACAGTTCTTCGGTTTTGTCTCTGTAAATGTGTCGCTTGAAGGTCTCCCGTAGCTTCAAACTAATCTTCTCCCCGCTAAATTCTCTCTTCTCGGCGGCCACGTTCTCCTGTATCTCTCGCTCGAGATTATCATTGAAATCTTTGAATCGTTCGTAGTCTGCCTTGGCTCCCTTGATGTATAGAGGGTTCACTTTGACAGGTTTTTTATTCTTCTTTGCTTCAAATTTTCTTTCCGTGATGGATCGCAGGAACTTACTTAACAAGGACGTCTTCGAAGGTGCTCGACGAAGCGGTGGCGGTGTCAGCAACTTACCGCTGTCGCTGGGCAAAATGGCCGTTATATTGCGTTTCTTCAGAGGCGAAGCTAGATGCCTACTGTTCCTTCGCTCGTTGACGTCAGAATTTCCTACGCTTTCTCCGTCCGACCAGTCACCGGAGCTCGTATATTTCTTTGAAGTTGACGGCGGTTTCGGCGTTTCCAGTTTAACCGGCGAATCCTCGACTATGTTCCCATACTCCTTCTCAACGATGTATGCCTCCTGCGCCTCGTTTTCCTCTAACTCTATCTCTATCTTTGGTCGGAAATTTTTACCGGGATCTTCCTGACCCTCGGGGACCCCACGCTCCGACATGGACATCATGCACGTGCACTTTGGATCCTTTTGGCATACTCCTTGGTTACCCATCTGTTGCGGAAGCTTCTTCTCTGAATCGCTATCGAAGACACTTAACGAAGAAGACGAAGAGTAGCAGTCCGAGTAAGCGCTCCTCCCTGTGGGGTTCTTTTCGACGTAAGGAGAGTCGCCGTGGGCGCACCAACTGTATCGTCCTTTCTGGGCATCCCTTCTTTGCACGGAATGTGGATGTAGGAAACTTATAGAGAAGTCTGCAAAGCTTTCGTCGTCCTCCAGTTTCATCGTCTTAAAGATGTCCTCGTGAAAGCTGACTCGTTTTTTACTTTCGCCGCGTTTCTTCTTACGCTGTCTGCGCTGAACTACTGCATCCGAGCCAGAGGACGACAAAATGCTGGTATCGGTCATGTTAATAGTGTTCAAGATACTGTACGGTGCTTCGGTATTATCACAGTCCGAGATGGTCATGCTCAATTCCAGGAGGTTCGTATCGTTATTTATGACATACGAATTCCGAGGGTCTATATTCTTCTTAAAGCTGTAGCTACCGTCGCCGTAGTAGCTATTTCGCTTGACGTAGTCCTTCGACACGTTGTCAAATTCATTAGTTATCTTGTCAAGCTTCGACTCGTCGAGGCTCTTACTACAAAAACTGTAGTCCTTTAATGTATCCAGGCTAGAGCAATTTAATTCGTTGTCGTCCAGTTTGGGGGCCAAATTCTGATTGGCAATATCACTCTTTGTCATTATGGAATTATGGAATTTGGCTGCCATTGCTGGTGAGTGTACCGGTGTTTTGCCGTCTTCGCTGGAATCACTCGAAGAAAAGGAGTGCTCGACATTTTTATTACCTTGGGTACAGTTGGTCATGCCAGACTTGTATTTGTTATTATGATATTTTGGAATGTCCTCCATTGACGAGTCCTAAAGTCGTATCAGAGTTTAGACACGTTGGTGAGCTACAATGAAAAAGATTTTAAAGCGACGTCCTACCTCCTTGTAGCTGCTTGCATCGGTCTCGTTAGCACCATCCATATCACTGTCCAAAGCGACCCCGCTATCTACCGGAGAGGCAAGACTCGAACAGACACTCGATGATCTCAAGTGCAGCGATAATGCGATGCCGGATGGCGAGCCGCTCATAGGTCGTTGTGGCATGTAGTTGCAAATGTCCAGGTACGTGACATCCTAAAGAACATTGATTTACACTTCTTAAACGCTAACAACGAACTTTAAACTGCTCATAAATTGAATCCCGCATTCGCTCGTGTACTTTCGGTATCACCTTTCAAGAAACATGTAACGTTAATGTTACAAGGATTGCGAAAAATAAGGTACACATCGCGATAACCTATTGCCTTATCGAAGCAAAAAATAAGACTATCTTTACGAAAATATTTAAAAACCGTGTATAGGTTATTTATTGGTTCGATAATAGCGACCACGGGGTGATATTGATATCTGAAGTGCAAAAATATAAATAAATTAGATACATAGAAATTTCACATGCAACCGCTATCTCGCAGAAGAAGTGTAAGTATTAATTATAATAAATTGCATTGATGAAGAATAAATTTATTACAATAAATCTATCAACTAGTCATTAATGACGTTCCAGTGAAAAATTTATCCGATTTTAGCCATTAATTAAAATGCTTGTTTACTCCGAGTCAACATGACATTAAATGAAAAATCATTGATAACTTGAATAACGCATCATTAAATAACAGTTCAATAAGTGACTTGTGGTGTATCTTTTATCAGAGGGGGGTCTGACAATAATAGCAACAATTGTTTTCAACTTGACATGGGGTGTACTTAAGATAAGCTACGATTAAATTCATGCAAGAGCATTGGAGGTTGTTGCTCTGGGAGGTCCTTGAATTGGCAGTTCACTAATTTCGAGGTAATCAAACTTCATGCAACAAGTACTCCCAATGAGATTATCATTGAATATGTCACTTACCAATTGCAAAGTGAAGGATACATTTTCCAGACCAGCAAGGAGATTTACCAACTGATTGGTCTTGTCAGCATCACGAACGAGTGCATGAGGGAAGTATTGTTTTTTCAAAGTGCTGGTATCCCTCAATAAGCAAGCTAAGTAACTTTCAAAGCTACCTTCGCTTAGGGTATGATACAACCAAGCTCTTCCTGTAAGACGATATATATTTTCACTCATTTTTTATTATCGCATAATCGAAGTACTCGAATACTATGCAAAGAGTCATAAAGCAAAGCAGATAGAATGTGTCAGGTTTTAAGTAATTTGATTTCACTGATAAAAACTCATTCATTTGCAGAAAATTATTTATCTAGCTCTTGCTCTACACAACGGCATTCTATGTGGCACTTTTATGAGTATCTCAGATTCTGTGCATACCTTTTCCGATAGAAGTTAATACACTCTGAAGTGCATGGATCACCACGACAGTATCCTGGTGGCTAAGTTCTCGTGCCGTACCCCAATATCCATGTCTTTCAATGCGTAACCCGTGTCGCAAAGCACGATCTAACCAGTAGACCAACCAGGAATCACCGTCCAAGACCACTGTACCGTGAAGGCTTTGGGCATACACCTAATGCAAGGATAAATTCATTCTATCAATGCCTTCATCGGTTCAAATCTGTTTTCAGTATTCAGCTACTAATTTACATATGCTATACGTTATCAAATGCTTGTCAATAAGTAATTCATGATCAGCTCTTTGCAGTCTTCTTTATAATGACTTTGTCGATTACATACTTTATATCGCATATAAAGCATTTCTAAAGGAATCAGTATCGAACCTGAGACAATAGATTAGTCTTTAAAGTTTAACACATGTACTAAGGTGAGTAATACAAAAGCGCTTCAAGAGATCATAAAAAGGTGTTAAAAGAAATAAGCTATACCAACATGGCAGTGGATTAGACATAGGGAAAGGCATACAGCTGGTGCCACTAAGAACTGCTAACAATTTCTTTAAATGAAATAAATTAAATTAGAACCTGGATCAGGTATTACGTATAACATTTCATCCAATTTCTTAATTTCTTATTCGAATACTACATTATTTCCAGCTCTGTTCAAAGCTTAAAATCTGGTAACCCGGTACTCCGACACTCGATGCTACGTTCCCAACTGTTTGTAGAAATTCTAACGGAGTGCAACGCATGTCCGAACAAAATATTTGTGCTCTCGACGATCCAAGCGCAGAAGCTCCATCTCAAGTAAATGACAGTGACTGACGTCAAAACTTGGATTCGTAACAAGTAAAGACAATGATAAGTCGATACAAAAGGAATGAAAATGACCTAAGTAACGCAGCGATTCATTTTCGGTTTAGACAGAGGACTACAATAAAACTTAATGAAGGTATTCCTTATGTATTCGACCTTGAATCCAATTGTCAAAAATGTACCCCAACACGAGTAAATATCTGGTAAACTTTAGGAACTTCGGAGTCAATGTTCCACCGACATGACGCATAGACTGTTGATTTGTGCGGAGCTCGCTTACCAGCTTAACGGCTTTCGTTAACTCCTGAAGAATCCTGTTCTTGGAGAGGATCTTGTCGGTGCAGAGGTCTGCGTCTTCTTGTCCAGGCATCTTGGTTGAAAATATTTACATGTCTCGGTTAAGAAACAATGAAAGTAATGCGAGTCGGAGCAGAAATTTTGGAGCGAGAGCCCTCGCCCACTGTTGCCGACCTGCAGCCTCTGCCTGCAGAAGTCTGCAGCACCCCGCAGCTGGTCGGGCCGATTCTACCGATAATCAGGGATAACGGCGCAGACCGCTGGACACATTCGCTGACTGGTTGTTACGTCGCATTGATTTTGTTCCTGCGCAAGTCACCCGCGAAATCCAACCGGAGATCAGCATATATTGGCCAATCAAAGATTATTATATAGAATGGAAGGTGACGTATGAAACGTAAGTATGCATATATTTTTATAACCACACAAAAATACGTAATTACTTACCACTCACTCACTTACCACGTTTATCATAACTTCCTTCGAATGCATTTCTACGGCATTACGCTTGCGTAAAACATCAACCAATCAAGGTTAAGCACCAAATACGCGTCACCCTCCCCTCACTAGCATCCAACCGGAGCATTCTATATTCTCTATACAGAGATGAGTTGGGAGATTGCTCACGGGCAGGATCGTGCGATCGCATCCTGTGCTGCCCTCTGGTTTCGTACGTTAGCTTTCACCGTTTTTTGCCGCCAAGGGTGGCGCAACGAATTTCTGATAGGAGCTCGCGCACTCGCGATGGCGGTACCATCTACCAGTCGCCGTTGGTGGCTCACGTACTCGTGATGGTAAGGGAAGAACACTCGTGACGCCTGGAAATTTCCAGGGAAAATGGCAGAAGCCTCTCCCTGTAAAATCACGTCAAGATTGAAATTCTAACTTAAAAATGGACGAGATTTCAAATTGGAAAAGTATAGAAAAAGATGGTAAGGATGATAATTCTACATTTTTGATACTGTTACATCAGAAAATTTCATTTTTGCTATTAAATAATATATTGTATCATATTCACAGACTTTTATAAACAGTTTTTGGGTTTAGAAGCAAGACATTCCGATGTTAGTTTGATGCTGTCTGTGGCACAACAGATAAATAAATTAGGACAAGGTAAATGTACAAGTTGCTAAAGATTATGTGCTTCTATGTTTAATATTTTAACGGTTTATATTTATTTAGATGTGATTTTTTTATTTTTTAAACAGCCATAGCGGTATTAGATGCCGAACTTCAGAAACAAGTTCTTGCCAATCATGAAAGTTTACTTTTTCAAGTAACATGGGTGGATAAACTGGAAAGTGTTCTGTCAATTATGCAAGCACACGTACAAGTAGGTTTTGTATTTTTTTATCGTCAATACACGCTAACATAACATCACAATTATTTGTTTTAATACAGAGTCTACTGTCTGCTGTCGAGCGTCTTCGGGGAAAGATAATAGAACCGTTCAATAGATTTGAAACTCAGACTATCATACTAGCTCGTTTACACCAAACTTCAGATTTGTTAAGACGCATTGCTCGCATGCAACATCTATCCAAGCGATTGAATTCTCAAATGACTAGTGGCATAAATGGGCCGGACATCGTTAAGGCTGCCGGTAGTCTCCATGAACTTGGTAACTACATCAAGCAATTTTCACTAATTGACATCAAGTATATTCTTATGCATTTTATAACTGCAATTTTATTTTTGCATATAGAACAACTTTTATCCGATACAGATTTAAGTGGTTTAGATGTTGTTGCGGATGATCAGCAATCGGTAAAATCTCACAGAAAAACGGTTCGGAGAATTGCTACTCAAACTCTTACACAGGGGTTGCAGATGAATAACAGATCACAGGTATTCATGATGGAATATGACTTTGAAATGGAATCAGAAGTGCTAAAGTAAATTTTATTATCAGGTTAGCACCGCAGTGCAAGTGTTCGAAAATTTAGGGATTCTTGATAATGCCATAGACACGACCGTGTTATCTGCTTTATCAGAGATAGAGAAGGTAGCTAGAGAAGCTCTAGATGTATCTTTGTCTTTAAATCAAGATGCGGGTAAACGATCGGGCCCTGGAAGAGCTGCAATCCCATCGCCAGGAACTTCTGGAAATTTACGAACGCGTTTATGGGAAAACTTAGAGAAGCTCTTTCATGATTTTATTTTCACCCAATGTGTGCAGGTGCTTTTTATTCTAAATACTTTATTTTAATCGAAGTACCAAAGAGTAAAGCAAAAGTTATCTTAGTTTCATTTGTCCAGATCGAATTACTACAAAGGACACTTCTTGAGCATCGCACAAAAGGATTTGACAATTTATCTGGAATATTTTGGAGTAAAGTTACTGCCCTATTGGCAAAGATACTGGTGGATCGATCTCAAGGTGGTCATAATTTTCCATTACCGGTTATTTGTTTAGCGGTTAATCAATTTTATTTTACTTATAGGGTCGTCATTAGTCAAACAAGCTTTAGAAGGTGAATATCCAAAGTTTTTAAGAATTTATCTGGACTTGAGAAAACGTCTCAAGGAACATTCGCACATCGATGACACATATGCTATTGAGTAAGTTTCTAAACTCAATTTAAATCCCTGAACATAAAACTCAATTCACCATTTATTTTCCAGCCGAAGTATTTTATCGCCATTCGAGAATGCATACCTTTCGCGTTCAGTATCTCGACTCTTGGATCCAGTTCACACTATGTTCTCTAGTGAAGTAACTCCTGGTCAGGATGACATTGACAGCTTGATTCGTACGGTAACAAGGTAAAATTACAATATTCAAATGCAACTGATCAAAGTTATTAAAGATTACTCTAAAGAATAATTTCATTTACAGCGAACTTAGTGTGTCACTGGTGGACGAAGGGTTGGCAATAATAGTTGCACGCAATGTGAGCAAAGCAATTCGACTATTTTGTTTAAAATGTGAACAGGGACTGATGACAGGGGGTGAAGCTAGTCAGGTCATCGATTCACCTATGGCAGGTCAACAGACAAATGTCACCCTTGCAAACTTGTTATACTACCTTTCTACTCAAGCAAGACGAGTCGTGACAAATTTAGCTGGTAGCTTACCAAGCGAAGGAGCTTCTACTATAATTACTGCACTTGAAGGAACTGAAACATTGACGAAAACTATTTTGGCACCATTAATAGCTTCTATCAACGATGCCGTTGAAAGTATTATTCTGACAATGCATGACGATCCAGAATTCCGAGAGTAAGTTATCCAGTTGATTCGTGTGTTCATGTTTGTTTCCGAATAATCTACCTAACATAAAAACTACAATTTTTCAGTAACAACAATCCTCTCAAAAAAGAGGTGGGATGTTCACTTTACATGCGAGAACTTCAAGGATTTATTTTACGCTCGGTTAATACGTTCCTGGGACCATATAAAAATCACGAGATCGTAGTCGAATGGTAAGTTACTTTAAATAACAGAAATAAGAATGTTTCTCATGATATTAACTTTTTTTTCAAGCTGCAAAGCCATTGCATCAAGATGTATTGAATTATTCGTTCGGAATGCGTGTCTACTGAGACCATTAACAAACTACGGTAAAACAAAACTGATTGCTGACTTTTCTCAGGTATGACTTTTGTTAACAATTATTTTAATACTCATGAATATTGAGAGAGAGAGAGAGAGAGAGAGGGAGAGAGCAGTGTAATGTAGAATCAAAAAAATTAGATGGAACTGGCAGTGGTACCACTTTGTCGTGGTCAGCTTGGTATGCTCGAGCAGCAGCAATATAGAACACTGAGAGCACTGAAAGCATTGCTTTTATTAAGCCCTGAACAAATGGTAGACAAGGTTTTGGAAGGTGAAGGAGAAGGAGCCGTACCTCCATCCCTCGTACTGTTGCATCTCTTCTCTGGAGCGCCTCCTGATTTGCTTTCACCACACCAGGTTATTATTATTTTTTAACAAATAACTAAGTATCTTATCGTAAGAAAATTTAACAATTTTTTTTCAGAGTGCCGGTTGGTCAGTCTCTAGATTGTCACAATGGATGGACAGTCATTCCAGTGAAAAAGAGAGATTAACACTAAGCAGCGGACCGTTACAAAGATATCAAATGAGTATTCGACAGCGTAATCTTCCATCGTTTCACCCCCTCTTTCCATTAATGATGAAGCTTGCTAGCTTGAGCGAACAAGTCAGATAAGGCCAAGAGCTGCCTGTCCTTTTATTGAAATATATTTTATAATTAAATAATGAGACTAAGGAAATACCAATATCATGGGCTGTGAAGAAGTGTTATGAAACGAAATAGAATATAGACACAAAAATACCATTAGGTCTCATTCGATCCATAACCTTCTTATATATGTTGTCTTTGTTAAGTACAATCCTATGATCAAAGTGACACTTAAAATGACTGGCCAATTGTATGACTTCTTTTTACCAATGTAGGTTGCAGGTATTTTACACTTGGCATTTTTGTCAATCTAAAATTCAATACGAATAGTTTATAATAACTACAAAGAAAATATTTAGTGCATTTTCTCACCTTTTCAGCAATAGTCTTCATTTGAGAGACTTCCTTTTTTAATGTCTTTAAAGTTCGCTGCAATTCCGTTAGCTCTGTATTGTATTCAGATTTTTTGATCACAAAAAGATCTAGATTAACATCTTTCGCTCTTTGTAAACTATTTTTGATATATCGAAAGCTGGAACCAATTACGCTAATCTGTTTTGCTGTTTTGCCTAAAGATATTATACCATCGAATATTCTGAAACAAATTAGACGTTTTGCATAATTTCAGAATGTTGCGACGTGGTTTTCGTCCCGATCTCAGGCGCTCAATTTATTTCTAATTAAACAAATTCGTTGGACGCCAGCCGCACGTCGGCGACCCTAAATACATCAATTTCACACACTCTCGAAAATCTTAAACCGATACGTGCGAGCACTACAGGGCCGCATCGGCGACCCGGGACCCTTGCGCTCCACCATGCCGCGGCCGCATGGGTAAACCCTGGGGCACCTGTCCTACGAGGACTCCCTTAATATTCCTCGAAGGTCCGCCGTGCATTTCCCCCAACCCCACCGCCCGAATCTTCCCCTAGTTACCCATATAAATCCCCCTGAAACGTACAGGAGGTGCTAGCTAGATTTGCTAGCGCCGCTCGTGAGTGTATAATTCACGCTATAGATAAATACGGCGGGCGGGCAACCATCCCATCCTCCGAGAGAACGTGATCTCCCTTTAATGTGGGGGGACCGACCCACCACACTACAATGTGTATACCAGTCTGGGAGCTTAATTACTTACGTGAACGGCAAAGATTTCTTAATGGTACCGATACTCTGTATGCTCCATTTTTTTATATGAAACTTGTAAAGGTTCTCTAAAAATTGCTTTCTATGAATTTTTATATCCATTCCTAGCCTAATGAGATCCTCTTCTTGAAGGTGCAAGAAAGTCTTCAAATCCATTCCATGGAAGTGACTTCTATATTTTTCGAAACCCATTCCATAAAGTAAAGTGATCACGTCAAAGTTAGTGGCTTTTTCGTTCTTGTCACAAAGTGCAGGAAATATACACTTCCAGTTTTGGTCATTTGTTAGTTCACAAATGACTTGTGTATTATCTTCTGAATCAAGAAGTTTTATAATCTAAAGAATGTAAACAAATACCGATATTAGGTGGTTTTTCTGTCCGGAGGTACATTATAATTAGAAAATTAGGATAAATAGACAGAATGTGACTTTTGATACGGACAAAGTAAATGCAAAAACTTTCAACCATTAAAATTATGTATACGAGTTTACCTTATCAAAATCCTTAGTATATGCGATATCTTTTGGACTCAGACCACGTCTATCTTTGCATGTAATGTTGGCATTACTTTCCAAAAGAAACTTTACCACTTCATATTTATTGGCAATGATAGCATAAAATATAGCCTAAAATTCAAATAGGATCATTAGCTTTAGAATCAGATAGTTCCTTAAAGAAGCTCACAGTTCGTTCATCGTGATCACGGGCCTCGATGTCCTGTACATAAGATAGTAATTCCTTGATTTCCTCGAGTCCTCTTGACATGCATGCCAGCATCAATGGTGTTTCCCTATAACGTTATAAATTAATTGACACTGAAAATACCATTTATAAGATTTGAAATTAAGTGGAGTTACATTCGGTTGTTGCGTGCATTTACGTTAACTTTTGCTTTAATTAGTAAACGAAAGCACTGTATCCATTTCTCTGATGATTCTTTTGATGAATTACACAGAGCCATGAGAGGTGTATATCCATCTAATAAAGAATAAATATTAAACAACGGTACTTAGAAATTAACAATTGATCAAAATTATTTACAACCTTTATGTCGATTAGGATCGGCACCAAGTGTCAGCAAATATTCAATGGCATCTGGTAGAACAGAAGCTGATGCATAAAGGAGTGGGGTCCAACCAGTGTGAAGAAAGTCATTAATATCATGCCCTGCTGATATTCAACATGAAACAAATGTGGCTCTTTTTCAAGAAAAAAAAAAAATATATATTACATAAAATGTAAAGCATTGGTATTTACCATTAACATAATCATCTATACTTTTCAAGCAACCTGTCATGCAAGCATTTAAAACGGTAAATTCCACTTCCCTCTGTACATCTTTAGCAACTTGATCGGTATGAATAGACTCAAATGTTTTCACGTCTGTGCTAAATCTATTGTACTTAATATCCTGCATATGAAAAATAGAAATAATGTAATTATTTTGAGACTTTAAAGGAATTTTAAGGTACAATTAACATATAGTAATTCCATATTCATCGAAGTAGTTGTCATCTTCTAACATCGATTACTTCGATATCAAAATTGTAAACAAGCCGGTGGAGTTAACACCGACCGGCTTTTACCTCTTTGTGAAAAGAGAAGCCGTTATCTTCGTCGTCAATTTTCTCGCTAGGTTTTGCGTACATTTTTGACACGTAGCCTCCGGAAAATCGTCTTCAGCTCAACTTGATCGATATGTAACAACTGACAACTGACGAGCCGCTTTGTCAGATACGCGCGATCTCACACGTGACTGCACGTGACTGCGAAGTTGAATGATACAACACAAAGATGAGTTGGGAGATTGCTCACGGGCAGGGTGACCTCCGGTGGAGGATGCAGACGGCTAATGCACTTGTCACCTGTTACAACACTGGACAGTCCGAGAACCGGCTGAAAAAGTGAAAGCTAACGTACGAAACCAGAGGGCAGCACAGGATGCGATCGCGCCACCCTGCCCGTGAGCAATCTCCCAACGCATCTCTGCCCGTGTCCTTCTGGGCCTCTATCAGCCTCTATGGCGACAACTGTATTCTTTGCGGATACTATTGGATACTATCCTTAATCGTTTCGATCATTTTTGACAGCTCCGGTTTGTAAAAATATGTAGAATTACATTAGTATAAACTGAAATATTGTCGATTATTTTCTAATTATATGGTGAATGAAAAAAGAAAGTGTATTAGCAAGTTAGCGGCATAATAAAGTCAACGGTGGTGCAAAAAAACGAGGTAGACGTTTAACCTTTGGTCGGTCAAAACGTAATTAATGACTGATAAAATTTAACGCTGCATTGTACGTCTTCGCTAATCCTCAGAGGTGTTGATAAGAAGAATATATACAATGAACCAGCATAGAATGAATGATCATCAATTTCGTAGTTCGGACTTTCTGTCAAGGTAATTTTTAGTTCTGGTATTATCGTTATTCATATATTTTATATACGGCAGTACTTATACATATAGTTTACTAATATGACAGTTGAATATTTTATCGCAGTGGTTCATCAGCAATGATTGGAAACAACCAACGCATGGCAAACCCACCTCCGATACCACCTCGTCGGTTGGTTTCAAATTATCAAGGATATAGCGACTATAGACCTTTAGGTTCTGGATATTTGGGTGGTTATGGATATGGAAACAATTGGGGTTATAGAGGAGTTGGAGGATACAGTGGGGTTGGGTCATATTCTAATAGCATGGGATATAACAATTATGGGCAATTTGGAGGAACCAGCGATGTTGAAAATAGGTAATTATTGCAAGTTATGTTTTTGCAATACAGATACCATTGCACAGCATGAAACTATTCTAAAAGTTTAGTTATAGATGAAAATACTGCAAGGAAAATGTAAGAAGTTTTAATTCAGGTTCGTACAGTTTGCTGAGGAAAGTACTAGGCCAGCATTTCAGTCGATAGAAGCAATGGTACATACGTTTTCGTCAGTAACAATGATGTTAGAATCAACTTTCTTTGCTATGACGAGCTCATTTAGAGCTATATTAAGCGTTGCAGAAAATGTGGGAAGGTTACGCTCAATGTTTGGTCAGTTTTTAAGTGTATTTACATTGGTACGATTTGTAAAATGGCTGTATCGAAGAATCTTATATACTCTAGGTACACTGTCTTTCTTTCCTTGTATTAGAGATGTATAAAATGTAAGCAAGGACACCATTGTATTTAAGATATTTCCACAGGTCTCCGAAATGAAGATCTTAGCGACGAAGCATTGTGGAGAAGAACCGCTTTGCAAGTTCTAAATGGAGAAAGAACGGGGCCTTCTTCTTGGCCTATTTTTTTATTTTTTAGTCTGATAGTAGCCATTCCATACTTGGTTCATAAACTAGTAAATAATGTAAAACAAGTCAGTATAAATGGTAAGTTTTTCAATGGATTGATAACATAATTAAATGTATCTGTTCAATATAGTAATAATATTAATCTTTTACAGCGAATAATCCTAAGGAGTGGTTAGAATGTAATGAACCTGTTTATTCGGCAACTGTATTGTATGACTTTGCTCCGACATCCGCCGATGAACTTAGTATCAAAGCTGGACAGAAGATTTGGCTTGCTCCTCAGTCATTGCAGCCAAAAAATATACCTGGTTGGTGCAAAGCTACTGATAGCAGTAATGTAGGTTTAGTGCCTTCAAATCATATAAAAATTGTTGGCCAATTAAGAAAGAAACCTATAGGACCACAAAGTATGGCACCCCAAACATCAAGTGTTCCTATGCAAAGTAACTTCACAAATGTTAATTTGGGTCATGAAACGCAAAGTACGACGAATTCTGATTTTGAAAAACTGGAACATACATTTGAGGATGATTGCGATGGTCAAAAAGATGCTAAGGAATCCTACCAATGATCTATAAAATACCAGAATCAAGAATGGGTTTGTAAATACTAATGTGTACGATGAAGACCTCAGTAGCCCTGCATTGAAACATGACAGCATTTACTGAGTTGACACTATTCGACTGTAAATTGTGTTATGCATTATTTGTTAAATTTATAAGATCATTCCAATTCAATTTATACTCGAATGTACTTTTATATGCAAGGAAAAGGAAAATGTTCATAAAAGTGTAATTTTTGGGTCAATTAATTCTTATGTACAAGCAATGAGAAATCTCAAAATGTGTTTAAGGGTGGCCTATGATACATTTTGAACTGTTTACCAAATTTTAAAATTACCACGTTAGGCAACATACCTTATTCTTTAGATGGCAAATAAAATCAAAATATTGAATTAAAAATTCTATAAACCAATTTGACAAAACTAAGAATTATAAATTAAAAGAAATACAAGATGTGATACACGTTGTTTGATGATTTTTAAACTTTATTTACGAGGTAATTGTATGCACATAGGAATGAATCCTTTTATTGAAGATATTTATTTCTATGAAAGATGTTGCACCTGCAATCAAAGAATTCCCTCAACCAGGAATTAAATAAATTTTGAGCTCGATAAGATAACAGTGATGTGCCTTTGAGCATTTGCTAGGCAATGTTTAACACTAAGTAAACGCTGGAACTGACTAATTTATTATCGAAGAAGATTAGTCAAGACGTTTTGGAACAAGTTTAAACCAGAAGCCGCATTCGCAGCGTCGAGGAGAGCCTTGGTGCAACCACATCCAATTTATAGAAGTGGCTTCTTCTTCGCAAATACAACCAACCAGACGACTATCGAATGCACTAGGTACCAAAGTTGGGCAATCCTTAGTGCTTGGTCCCCGTTTGATCACATTCATATCAAATGGGTCCTAAAACATCACCCAATTTTATTTAATATCAATTCCATATTAGCTTAGTATAGCTTGAGATACGTCTTGTTAGCACTGACACGGCTGCTGTCATTAAAGCATTCAAACATATCGTTTGGCATTAACTAGTTAACGATCGTTAGTTAAAAATATATCTAAATAAATTATCGAACGAGCAAGATATGTTTGAAAGCTTTCCAACAAAAATTCTCATATTTTGAACTATTAATTCATTATTAAGGGGAAAAAAAAAATACATAATTGCTATGAATAAATGCCAGGTTTGGCATAAAGTGACAGTATATCCCACAAGCAGGAGAAATGCAAAAAAAAAAATAATCACATTAAACATTTCTGTGGTGTATGGGATACTTACATCATTACCAGCCATCTTCTGAAGCAGCTCATACTTCTCTAAGCCTGTGGCAAGTTCCAGAGGATCCGGCAGAGCTGTGAAACGTTTATACAATCTATGTGATACTCTCGCCTCAACCAAAATCTTTAAGATTTAAGCATGTACAAAATCCATCGACGGCCGCCTTTTAAGTTACGTAATGTAATGACAATTGTACCTAGACATACTTTCTAAGAAAATTGTTACTGGCTCAAAAATTGTAGCGAGTCACTCACTTGATGTTTTTGCTGGCCTCGTAGTCGAGTACAGCAACGAAGGGCGTGCAATTCGTAAAATTCCTCTTCCATATAATGCCATTTTGTATAACCGAGCACCGCAACGTCGACTGCTTTGGACTGCTTCGCCTCTTTGCCTCTTTCGACCCAGTGAGTTTGTATCTAGAGGGGAAACCGGGGAAACTGCGATGCCAATATCGGGAAAGTGCGAGGTATAAAGAAAGGAAGGTATGTACCCACTTTGCTACCAACATCTCCCGTGACGTTTGGCAAAATGTCACGCTTCTAGATGTTTCAGTTACGGAGGTGGCAGCACCGTGCAGTAGGTAGAAACTAGGAACCGCGGCCGTTTTCATCTTCACTCTGCTCTTTCAACGATCAAAATGAGATGATACGAAAGGGAAGTAATGGCAGAGAATCTCTGGTAATGGGTTAATATCCTAATAGGTTAGGAACGTTTGGGAACGTCGAGAGGAAAGTAAATATCAAATTAAGACGAGGTGAATTTAGATACTGCATCCTCAGTTTTTTACGAGTGTAAAAATGGCAACGTCGACAAAACATCGCTCGGTTACCCCGTTTCTGGCTGCTATTCGGAAATTCCTCCGAGGAGTAGGTGTATTATTTACATTTTTAAACAAGCATCGTTCAAATTACATAACAAAAATGTTAGCTTCAATTTGAAAAATACGATTTGCCTTGCCATGCTGTAACACCTTGTAAGGTAACCATTTCATATTTTAGAAAGGTCATACTAATTCTCTTCGCTTTGCGGATTTAATTGCCGCCCGTGACCAACCACCACCAGATGTTCCTGGAGGACCGTATCATAAAACCACTGATATATATTATTTTACAAGAGATGCAAGACGAGAAGTCAAACCACCGACTGTACTTGAGCTTAAAAGACAGATCGAATCCGGGTAACTATATTATTTGATTTGGTTGAGTTTTCTTACAATGAAATTAATATTATTAATACTCGTAATTTAGTGATCAGGCAAAGAAAGTACCTAAACTAATTGCCCCTGGAAAAAAGTGGGATTGGGACTAACCAGCGTCATGGAGTAAGTTATAATTGAATAGTGTATCATTGAGTACTAATAGTATAATGGATTAATATTAGAAACATGTGTGTTTGTACATAGAATCCATTAAAACATAATATACAGCTTATTGACTTTATCAATATTTTGTCTTTTCCATATTCTATTGAATAAATTATTTGAAGACACTTTACTATTTTTCTAATGCATGTGGGACAACAAAAGTAATATAACGATCTGTCTTTTCCTCATATTAGTATGTACATTTATATATTATTTCAACGTTCAGTGGTTAACAATTTACAATATAAGAATCAATAAATGATGGAATGTATCGCACCGCTTACAATTCACAAATATCGTCATGTGGATTCTTATCCAATGATAAATATTCATGTATGTGTTACATTGTTTAAATTTTTACATTCACAACACAACAAGAAGTCATGGAATCTATTGTACACATATATACCAGTACAATTATACAATTAATTTTCCAGTTGTAGGAACACTTGTACGACAAGGTGATTAGATCGTAATATATTCCACTTGAACAATTGGACGTAAACTAGTAGGGAATTTGATTTTGATGAAACTGTATTATATCGTAGGCCTTGGTACGGAAATTTAGGAAGCTGCTGCGAATGATATTCAACATAAAGACAGAAGCTTCTCGATCAGTGGCCACTGGGGCGAACCTGCTGCGAAGCAACTTGATTGTCTGTCCACGAAAACAGGGTAGACCAGTGTCTAGCATCAAGGATACAAGCGAAATAATTGCTTCTTGGTATGGTCTAGCGAACAAAGACAAAACAATAATAGGAAAATTCGCATAATTAATTAACTTATCATTATTAAACATTTAAACTCACACTATCGTGTCCCACTTACCTAACTGCAAGAAAAGCTTGTACACATAATTCCATGAACCATCGGAATGGTGCGGCTTCCATCTTTCCACCCATCACCAATACCATCTCATCCGTAAGCTTAATATTAGGCTCAATTCTTAGATTTCTGCCAGGGGAACTTTCAAACATAAAACCAAAATCAATGTGTATTATGTGGCCATCTTTGTCCAACATAATGTTGCCATTGTGTCGGTCTTTGATCTGTAAGAGATACGTAATGACACTGTACGCTGCCATTGACTTGACGAAATTTCGCCTTGCTGTCTGAAACTCTTTCGTCTGTTCATCTCCGTATTTCGTGATGAAGTATTCATACATGCCAATGTCCGTCTGTCTTCCAAGTTGGTCTCGTGACTCTGCGTCGGGAACACATTCGATGACGCCACACTAAATCGATTTCATATTAGTATACAATGTATAGGATTATAAACAGTCATTACGATATGAAAAGTTCTAAAAGCCTTACCCCAGGTGCTGTTGCGACCACTCTATACGGATACAAATAGAGATCCAAACCAACTTTTTGAAAAATATTTTTGAAAATCCCGATTACTTGAAGGGCTAGCATGTCTTGTCTGACATCGTCCCCGACTTTGAATATAGCCGCTTGCCATGTCTCTGGTGCGGCATTAACTTTCGATTCGATGGAACCATTTGCGGATACCATCATAGCAATGTTCTCCAACTCTTTGATCCCATAACGCTGTACTTTGAAACGAGCAAGGAAAGGAGCTTTCGCCGCGCTACAAAAGCAGAACAATAAATAATGAAATGATACAGAATTATCGGAGTGCCGTTTCATTACCTCTGCATGGGTCGCCCACTGTCATAGTCGATATCAACGACCATAGCCTCAGGATTGGAAGGTAAATAACACCCGTGCTGTACTTTAATCCTGCGCAATGCCTCCAAACAAGCTTGTCTCCGTTCATGCCCCTTCGGGTATGGTCTGATCTCACCTGAGATATTTGTGATTTTATCGAAGAAATCAAATTCTCGCTCGTAAAACTGTTTCGCCGGGCCTGAGAGAGAACTCAGAATGCTCCTAACTAGGGAGTCCAGAGTGTCGTAGAGATCTGGATCCTTCAATTGCTTGTCCTCGTCCATGAACATGTTCGTGTGCATATTCCATATCAACTGATGCGCCACGATCTGCGAGCAAATTACATTTTATTCTTTTATTCACAATTAATGTTAACTAATATTGAAGGCAGATGGCTATGCGTCCCGCGAACCCACCTGCGAGCGTTTTGCGATTGCCTTTATGAACTCGATCACGTAACCCATGGAATCGTGTCGAACCGCTTGCACGAGTTGCGGTATATAATAGAGGACCGCATCGGCTGGATAACTCGCCAAGACTCGAACGGCATACTGCGCAGAAATAGGATGGTGCGGAAACTGTCTAGAGAAGTATGCAAGAGCCTGAATTGGAGACACCTCGGCCCAAGTTAACATGTACACCAACTGAAAGAAGAAACGTCAGTAGATTTACTACTAAATGTAAACATTTGCATTTTTTTATTTTTTTTTATTTAATCCGTCACCTGCACCGGAGTAGTTTTCAACACAAGGAAGTACAGTGAACCAACCTCGGGTGCATCGTTCAGCAGGCTTTCCGTAGTGACGAGATACTGCAGAGCCTCTGGCACGTGCATCACAGGGACTGGTTTCAATCGGATCAATCGAGTAACCTCTCTGACTATGGTTTCCAAATTCTTCAGTCGAACCGGAAGAAAAACAACGAGGACCGGACTGATCTCCCAAGCGAGTCGCGTGTAATCCCGCCAACGGTCGTTCATCGCCTTTGAGCGCCATTCCGCGATGCTGTCTTCTCCGGGCAGAGCAAGGTCTTGCCTGTCGCCAGGATTGCGCCACACCTAAGGTGTACAAAGGAAATGAATTGCCTCGTTAACGTATCAGACCACGAAACGACATCACAAAGAAATCAGGCTCCACGTACGAGTAGTAATTCTATCTCCACTGCTAGTAACTCGAGGATAAGGTTGCGCTTCTTCAGGTAGTTCTTAACGAATACGCTCGTGCTGACGACACGTTTGCTGCGATTACTTCGTTTCCCCAGAGTGTTGCTGCTAACGGACAGAGGAACGGTGTTGATCCACCCTGAGGTCGGAGGGAACGTTTTCCCGAGGTCGTTCCCGGTTGGGGTCGATGCCCCTAACATCATCGCGTCGTTCTGGACGATCACGGGCGGTCCACTTTGAGGCCTAACGGTGTCAAAGTCACTCTCCCCAGTGGCCATCAGGTACTTCTTCTCGCTGTGCATCACCTGTTCCGGCGGGAAATCCGTAGATTAATGCCTTACTGGTCGGCCTCAGTTTCGGGAAATTGATCCGGATCCACCTACCTGCCAGAAGCGTATGAGGGTGACGATATCCTCGCGAATTTCTTCGAGTTTCTGCGTGGGAGTCTGCCTCTCTCTACAGAAGTAATCCAAGCAATTGGAGTATACCCGCTCTCGCAGTACGACTTTGCTTAAGGACCTGGAGGATCGGTTTGGTATTTAAGAGACAACGTTATAGGCGTGACTGTTTAAAGCCAGTGACGAGTGAAAGAGATTAGATCTTGACCTAGGTAAGACGTCTCCTTGAAGAAGCAATAGGCCGCACGAGAGGAGCTTGAAGCGCACCCCGACCGCGGCAATGTGCCGGTTCCAGCCCTGTTCCTCCCCGGACGCACCAACCGTCATTGGTAACGATCGATACAGCAGCATGGCGATCATCTCCACGGTCTCCTGGCAGCAATACTTGGCCGTCTCTATGAGCTCTACAATGAAGGTTACCCAGATCTCGTGCGGCTTGACATACGGTGCTTGAGGCTCGAGCTTGCAGCCTTCATAAGCGGCCAACGGGCTGACTTCCACGACCTCCCTCGAGAACAGACCCATCCTCCTGTCGACCGTGCTCTGCCAGGCCGCGAGCATCTCTTGCAGGAAGCACAACTTCAAGTCGGGCCGCGATGTCAGGATCCACTTCCAGCACTCCACCGCTGTCGTCATGGCTTCGGCGGTGAACAGCTCTACGTGCGAAAATGCCACCGTGTGCAACAACCTCCTGTCGATCCCTGCAATTCATTGCGACACGTGAAAAATATCTCATAAATTACAATACTCGTGTTCGTTCGTTTACCCGGAATTGCGATGAGGAGAGCCGTCGCCCGCCACAAAGCACCGCGATGTTGGGCGTCATCGCGGGCTCGACCCGCCTTCGTCAGCAGATCGATCAGCAGATCGGATACATGAGTGAAAGGAACTTCCTCGTCCGTGCCCTTATTCGAGGCTTCACCGTCGGCCACTTCATAGGGCAGGTTGAGCATCCCGGCCACCTCGCCCGCGTACCAGGATCGGGTAGACATCATCGACAGGAGCCAGCTCTTCGTTTTCGCGTCAACCAAACGCTTGTCCAGCGTATTTGCCTGTGTGGATCGTATGAAGACAGTACGAATACTGGTGAACATTTTGCAGCCTTAACGTTCTCGTATAGTCTTACAGGCAATGGCATTTCCAGGATCACCGAGAGAACGAACTCGTGCACCGAGTACACGGCTAGCTCTAGGCCTCCTTGCTGTCGCACCGCGAAAGTGGGTATCTGGATCATGATCAGGTACTCCTGCAAGTGCGATCGTGTTGCCTGCAAGGCCCACTTCATGGCCTCCCGGACGATTCCCTTACAACGTGCCATGAAGTCCTTCACGATCATCTGTACAAGGAGAAAGAATTATGGAAACATCTTATTGTCTGCACAAGCATTATCCGAAAATGACTCGTACCTCTCTCGCCTCGACCGTCTCCATCAGTTGGATGCTGAACTCTGTACCGGGTATTCGCAGTACCGGCGATTCTTCGTTCGGGTCGAGTTGCAAAGAAAAGGTGAGCACCTAAGGAGCAAGAATAGAAGACAAAGGGGTAATTAATTTGTGACAAATCAAGGATAAACCCGTGTCTACGAAATTTCGGGATACCCACTTGCAATATATCCAGCATGCTCCAGAGAACTCTGCAATTCCACAATAAATGAGGAAACGCGTCGACTAGCCCACTGAGATAGGTGTCAGCCACTCGTCTGATTTGTTTGTGCACGTGATTAAAATTTACAAGGAGCAACTGAACATGATTCTCCAGCTCTCGTTCCCTCCGCTCGTCCTTGGGCTTGCGCTGCATCACGTCCTTAAATTTCGCGAAGACCGATTCACCGACGCTGCACATGCATTGCCACATGCCGCTCTTGTCTTTCTGCAAAGCGGTATCGCTCAGGTATTCCATGATCGGCTGTAAACTTGGCTCCGGACTGTACATGACTCTCAGCGTCTCCAACCAGTAAACGGAGAGCAGATAAGTGCACTGGGCAAATTGCAGTTTGTTCACGTAAGCTGACACGTCGCTAGATCTGCGATTAAGGAGCGAAGGATTATTAACGAGCGACCCGCAAATACATTATACGGACAACGATCCAACGAATCCTTACCGACTACTCATCTTCAATATTTGACTTCGCAGCTCTTGCAGCTCGTTTACCGAAACGCTATCGTTCCTCACCGCGGAGGTGTATTGTAGCTCGCGCATCTCGAGACGCGAGCTCGTTTGCGAGACAAGAGAGGGCGACTTGACGGCGATCTCTTTGACGCCTTCGTACCATTCGGACGGCCACAATCGGGTCTGAGATTTGTCAGCCGCAAATCCGAGGACCACGCAGTACAGCCAGAAGTCTTTGAAGAGCTTCAGTACTCGTGCCCGAGGCTGTCGAATCGGCGGCAGGCGACGAATGAGCACCGCGATCACTGGGATCAACACACCCAAACTGCCCGCACTGCTGGATGCTTTCTGCGAAGACAGGAAGATTAAGCGGAATACAGGAAGCTCAAGAAACTTCGTTCGCGTGTACGGAGCATTTTACCGAGCCATCTTACCGTCGTCGTGACGCTGTTGGATCCTTTGTCACTGGCACGTTTACCACCTAGGCCAAGCTGAACGAAAAGCTCAAGGAGGCGAATCAATAATTCATTCAACTCCGCCTCACCCTGAAGATTAGCGGCTATATTTGCAAGTGCATTTATCACAGCCCCCGATACGTGGCGATATTGCTTGCACTCGTCGCTGGAAGCGTATGCTGCACTACTCGATTCAACTGTGATGGTCATGAACATGCGAATGATCTCCTCGTATACCTGTTAATGCGGACGGATGAGATATATAGACTCTTTTCAGGAAATCGTCAACAATTTTAGTATCCTCACGCGTACTTCACACTTTGAGATAATCATACATCCCAGCTGATCGACGATGAGAATGTCCAGGTCACTTGGTACTCGGCAAAATCGTTGCTGGAAGAACTGGAGTATCGTCTTCGAGGTATCCTTCAGAGCTACGGCAACGTGCCCCAACATAATGACGATGTTGGTCTTAATGAGTTCGCTCACTGCTTTATCCTCTCCTTCGCTGTACGATTTAAACGATGCAAATGAAGTAACGTAAGGCAAAGGTACATGCAACATTCTTACCTGTCACATTCCTCCGCGGTGAAGAGACGATTGGAGACACTTGCTACCAATGCCGGGACACAATAAGGATCTACGGAATGGGCTGATTCCAGAGCGATGCATAGATTCTCAATCGCTGCATCTCGTAACCTCTCGAAGGCCATTTGAGTCGGTGAGGCAGTCTTCTTATCTGCTTTGGACTCCTTATCTTGAACTGGGAGTAGCAATATTTTGTCAATATTGGATAAATGCAGATCAGTATTGGCCGACGAGGACATCAACGTATCGGTCAGATACTAACCAATCACTTTAAATCGATGATCTTTTAGAAAACGATCACCGTGCGGTATATGCAATTTCAGAAGGATCGGCGAGGGAGTTACAAGAAAATCTCGTAGATGATAAATAGACGTCGCAGCGATATTTGGAAATTTCTGAGCCAACTTTCCCAGTCCTTCGAGGCAGACCATTAGCAACGGCATGTGAGCCAACACCAACTTATGTCCGTGGTTGGAATTGATCTTCTCCGTGAGACGTGAACACAAACTGTCGGCACCTGCAAATGAGAATGAAGCTACTTGCACTCTGTTTCATCCGAATCTCTGTACAAGTATATAGCAAAGATACAACAGAATAACAGTAGAATGTAAAGAAAGGAGACATTAGTAGTATCACTATACTGCAATACGCCCGAGGAATTAAAAAGAATTAGAGACGGATTCTTGCATTCCCTCAAGATTCAAGGTAATTCGTCCTGTCTTTTCGAGCGTATCATGTAAGATCTGTTACTTCTTCAGTGTCGTTATGTTTAGTTAAAGTCGACCAAAGAACAATATGAGCGTTAGTATGAACATCGCAGGGTTATTCAAGTAGCAAGGGTTCAATCCAAAAGTATCACAGGGGTAATTCGAGATACCCGCGCCAATCAGCATGGAACTCAGGTCCGCGTACAGTGCGGGCAAATCGTACTCCTCGCTCGCTGGAAAAATATTGTTACAATTTATTTACCACTTGTCACATCCGAATCGCGAGCTCACGTCTAGAAGTCGAGAATGTCATCGAGCCAGAGACATAAACAACGTAAATGGGCAAGCCATGTATTAAATTTAATGGCAATCCCTTCCCGAATTAATGTAATCAAAATGGGAAGATACACGTACACATGATGGAGTAAGATGAGGACATTTATGAAGAAGTTCCCTGGCCGAATGTTATAACGAATCGTATATCATTACATAACGACGGTTATGATAGATTAAATGGAACCATATATCATCGACGGATCTTTCTCGTTATTAATGTTACGGTGTACTAAACAGAACATTGTCGTAGATAAAAACAGCTTACCTGTTTCATCACCGATAGCCCAGACTAGAAGGTCCACGCAAGCCGAGTTAGCCATGACATTGACTTTAAACTTGTTGACCGTCCGGAAATTCGTATCCATGTCTTCTCGTTCACTTGCATCGTGCTGACGTGACTGTAACTCAGTCTGGCCCGAAAGAAACAGGCCCTTTACGAATTCCTGAACGTCACGGGTAAAAGGCGCCGGTAAATCGCACTGATTTTGTAACAATTCACGTAGAAGAGCTACCATCACTAAATTCATGGTTTCTCTGAACGTGCGGTATGGAAATATTTGTACTAAACCAGAATTGTAGACCTGTAATTATAATGGAACATTAGAAACGTATCTACACATCGAGGATACATAAAAGACAATCAAGTAACAAACCTGTTGTGCTTCCTCGTCTAGAAATTTTAAAACATCTTTAGTCAACAGTTTTTTTGCCAGGGCCAATACACTTTGTAAATGCAGTACACTGAATTGCAACCCTGTTCGCCTTTCGGGACTTTCGTTGCATCTCATTTGTGGAAACTGATTGAAACTTGATCCATACCTAGTGAAAAAATATATAGCCGGATCGTACGGCACGGATAGGTAACACTGTAACGAAGGCCTTTTGGACGACGAATGATCGTGGTCTACCGTTGACGACATAGATTGTAAGCCATCGATTGCTGATTGAGGATTTAAATTGCCACTGAGTGATCGCGGAATGATCGGACGAAAATTTGAAAAATTGCGATACTTCTTATCTGCTGGTATGCCATTTTCACCGTGGGAAGCAGGAATGGGTGGCTCTGGACGTGGAAAGATACGACACAGCAGAGGTGGATCGTAACATGCGAATCGACCCATAGACCGTGCTAATCCAATTAATATCGGCACAAGGCACTTACATAAAGACACTGAAAAAAATATCCAAGCTCATGTCGTGTTGTTCTCATTGAAACTAATTAAAGCGTGAATCAAAACGCTTACCCTTTGCTTGCATCCCCCTATTACCATCTTGATCTTTAGATCCACGTATGAGATTGGTTAACACTGCTAATATTTCTACTTGGGTGGATATAATTTCTTCTCGTGAAGATTCTATTCGAGCAGCTACATCACTCAGCAACGTGTTTAAGCAGAAGCTGAAGCGTTCCGCTACGGGTACTCTTTCCGAAGGCGTATATCTTACTTCGTCCAACCAGACTGCTTTAGGAAGACCACGTAACAACCGCAATAGATAGGGCAAGATTTTATCCTTGTGTTGAAGACCAGATTCCAAAAAATAAATCCCAAGCGCGATAGTTGCGTCTTGACCTCGCTGGTCCAAACGAAACACGCCTTGAGCAGAGTCTTGGGGACATCTTCTGAATAATTGATTTATCTGTAATTACATATAACATTTACAAAACTAATGTTCTTTAATCCCGATGATAACATCACATAATTATAGAAATTTATAAAGATACAGATGAATCATTGGAAAATATGATGCCACTCATGGTCATCCGTTTTATCCACTACTTTGTGACTTTTCTAAGATAACTTGAACGCAAATGATTGTGCTTATTATTACAGTATTCATGTCATCAAAAATAATGACAGGAAGCAGACAGACTTAACCTGTTTTACCCGTCGAAAACAATTTCGTAGTAATTCGACAAACGATCGGTTGTCACTGTGAATTAATGAATTATAAATAAAGGTAGGATTATTAAAAATGTACGACTTACCTTTTCCCACGGTGTAGGTTTGATTGCCGCGAGACATCTTGCTAAATGTCGGACGGTTTTTGAGAAGAACAGCTTCTCATCCGCCGCCATGTTTTCTATTAATTCTAACTGATCAGTCGGGTGACATTTCTTCTGGAAGAGATACTACCGTATGAAGCCGATATTTCATTAGCGCTACAGCAACAAGTTATAGAGCGATGAAGCGCGAATAAGAGGTTTTAATTGGCTGTAGAGAACATACGGTGGAAGTTCCCCCATTTCGTTGTTTCTCTATAGCCAATCGGAATCTCTTCGTCCCTTCGTTGCTTGTCGTCGCTGCGCCAATGAAATATCGGTGGTCTGAATGTGTGTACCCGCTCGTACCAGGTCGTATGTGAAGTAGTTCCGGTTAGTAGTTGTTAGATGTCAGCGGCTGCGGATAGTTGCAATACATGGTGAATGGGTACACTCTGCTACTGTCTGCTACTTCGTGCTCTAATGAAGAAAAGATAGGTTTCCGAATGATTTTCAAAAGTTTAACCAAGTTTAACCGTAAACGTTGAATGACTGATCTGGTGAGAACATAAGTTTAAACGAAGAATTAAGTATTTAATAAGTAGTTGAAACTTTCCGGCATATATTACTCAGGCTAGGAAAGCATGTGGGTCGGGCAATAATCCTCCGGTGAGAAAAATGAAATTTACAAATGTATAAACTTCGGTGTTTTAGGTTAATTCCGTAGTCTTGCTCCTGTTGGCGCAATCCTTGATAATATTACATGGCTTGATGATTTGTCTCAGTGATTTGAGAATACGTCGAAGCTGCTGAGATGAGTGACCTAATAGATTTAAGTAGCCCGGATTCAAAAAATAGTGGGATTCTGAAGTTAGCATCTCCTTTAATACCAACTCCTACTGTTTCTACAAACGACGAAGGCAGCGTTTCATCGAATTTAGAGACCGTTGGAAAACTCAACAGCTTGGAGAATAACCCATTTGATAAGGTCTTCCATGAAACAGCAGAATACATAAGTAAAAAGAATGATCCGTTTGAGATAGTTCTTGAAAAAGTGTTAAAGTCCAAAGAAGAATGTGTTAATTCAAAAGCCCATTTCATGAAGTTCAAAGATGATTTTACTCCCAAGCGAACGAGGCATTCTGATATTCTAAAGATGAATAAAACATTAGATGATTCTTTAATTGAACTGGTACCAAATTCATCGTCAAGCAGAAAATATGGGTTTACCTTGTCAGAAAATGAGAGTCTCGTACATGATCTTAATAATACTAGTTTACTCAGTGAAAACTATCAAAAAAGTGAATTGAGTAATTTTTTATTGAGAGAAGGATTTAAACCACCAAACATTATGATATGTCCACCCAGTCCTATTGACTTATCGATATTAAATAATTCTGCCATGAATGACTCGCTAATGGAAAGCAGCCGTAACACTTCAGAAGAAGATCAGATTAAATATCTCATTGCTCAAAGAGTATCGATCATTGAAAAAGGCACAAACAAAAGTGAATATTTAGCCAAGACTAATGACTTTAAGAAACATAAACTTTGGAGATCCTTATCCCATGGGGATAAACTGTCCCCTAAGGCAAAGATACCTTTCAAGCAGAGGACTCAATCCATAGTTGAGTCGCTCAAAGTGGGAAAACCTGATAGTGAAAGTTCATTGAGTAATCCTTCAATTCTCTCAGATGATCCATTTAATACAGCATTTTTAATGAGACAAATGAGTAACAGTTCCGTTGGTACCGGTCTTTCGAGCATTTCGTCTATATCGAGACTAAACTCTGATTCATCGTGGTTTAAATCGTCGTTATCAGTTTTTTCTGATGGCACCATGAATCAAGCCTTTCTAAGAGATGATTCAAAGGATGGCAACAATACAAGGAGTGAAACATCGAGACTGAATTCTGCTTCTTTAGTATTTAATAAATCTCCAGTTTTACATAGTGGTTCTGCGAATCAACTCTTTCAAAACAATAGTCAAGGGAATGAAATGTTAAATGCAAAATCTCCTTATTCGCTTTCTGTTAAATCTACCAGTTCGTTAGGGTTAAATGTTCCTTCGAAACAGCCAATTGCCATTTTTGACTTGGCAGAAAAATTTCAAAAACTTAGAATGCAGTCGGAAACACCATCTACTACTACCAGCCTTGATGGCGCATCGACTACAGGCACAGTTAAGACATCTATTATAGAAAACCAGTGCACGGATAGGAGCAAGTTAATAGACATAGATGATTTTATAACTCCTGCAGTCTCGACATCTTTGCATCAGAATTGCAAGAATTCATCATCCACCAGTTCAACTCCAGATTCTGTGTTCTTTGTAGGTTCCAAAGAAAATATTAAATTCTTCGGGCATATCGAGGTTATTCATTGACATTCATTACAGGAAAACAGCAGCATTGATAAATCAATATTGTTCCAAGCCAAGGCACTTGCAAAAACATTTGAGCAATTAGCAGAAAAAACTGTGTCGGGTTGTAAGTAACCTTTCCATAACGTTAGTTCCAGTTATCTGAATAAAATATATTTTTCACATTTAATTTTAACAGCTTGTAGTAGTGGCGATGATTTGGTATCTAGTCAACCTCAATGGAATTTTGATCTACTGCCGGTATCGGATGATGAACAAGTCGTAGATAACTTAATTGAGTTACCTCCGTCGCCAAACGCAGCTTCAAACCCCAGTGCAAACACTGAATTACAAATTGTGAAGGAAAGTTCATTGCAAAACTTAAACGACCTTAAAAAAGACAAGAACACGATCAAAGAATTAGAAATGGAATTCATTGATCCCCTATCTACCGAAAAGAAAGCCGTTGCAGCTACATTACTGTTAGATCTCCAAAAACTAATTAAGACAGAACACAATTCCAAGGCAAAGAAGTTGCTCGATAATTTGGAGAAAGCTCTTGGGATTAATTATGTGAGCAATGTTGAATTATTGACAACTTGTTTGCAAAATACCAATGATTTAACAAAAAGTTCTCGAACATCAGACGGCCAAGTGGACTCCGTGGATGATATGAAAAACGATAGCGCTGATAATAGCCGGGAAGAAAACCTAAACATAATATCGTTGGAAAGTACGAAGGAGTTTGAACAACAGGAAAGTACAAACTTAAGCGATAATCTTAATACGGATAAAGAAATTAATAAAACCAATAAATCTCTTATTTTTGTAAACGAAGGGCTTGCGGACATTTCACCCATAGAGAATACACATTCTGAAAGATCCGTGGAAATGATTTCCGATGATTCCATAAATATTGAAAAGAAAAGAGGGAGAAGTACAGCTGATGAAAAAATGGCAATGGAACTCCTTGTTAGTTTGGGAAAAGTTTTAAATGGTCAGAATGTTGATTCTTCAACGATGTCATTACTGCAAAATTTAGGAAAGGTTTTAAATTTTGCTACCAGTCAATCTAATTCCGAATATGAACAAATTGATGATCGATGTCCTCCAAAAATTGCGAAAGTAACCCCATCAATGAATACATTTAACAAGCAACAAGTTAATTCATCTGAACAACAGCCACGTTTACCAAAATCAGCAAGTAGAAGAAGTTTGGATTCAACGATGCATACAAGTAAAAGAAATGTAGACTTATCAGCAAATGTAAGTTAATTTTTTTAATGGAACCTTTTATTAATTCAGAAGCTTTTAATGATTTTTCATGTACGTCGTATTTATCTGTTCTATTATATGCGTAAAATAGCCAAAATCGGTCCCTGAAAAGACTCTCAGAAGGAGTATCTCTATAAGCCAAACAACTACTAGTGCCAACAAAATAGCCAATTCGCCTATTGCAAAGGATAAGCATATGCCGCAATTGAAAGAGGTAAAAAAACGTTTCTCAAGTGATCCCGGTTTTGGTGTAACGACCGATGCTAAGACAAGAGCTGAATTAAGCATAATAAATAAAAAGACCCCATTAATGAAAGGTTTGTAACTGTCATTGAACTATTTCCATAATGCGAATGATTAATCATTAATATTCTTTTATAGATAATAGATCAAAGTCTATCACCATACCCGAATTGCAGACTAGTAAGTCGTCGAGAGTAGTAAATGTGGTAAAGAATAAATTGAAGAAAAAAACAAACCCTGAGATATTGGGTAAAAAGGGTCCGTTGAGAGCACTTGTGCCATTAGGCAGCATGCAACGTCGAGGTAATACGTTGGAAATTCATATAGAAATAAAAAAAAATTATTGGGCTTAAATGCAGACAAATTAAACGATTTGATTTCACGAAATTATTTTGTCTTACCGTGTTCTGTATATAAAAGCAATACCGATGTTAAGGTAGCTAGTAAGGGAGTAGTTATATTTTAGGTTCATTGGGAAAGAAAGTAGGTCCAACGATGAGTCCAAGTACACCGCCAAAGTCCACTCATGATGCTCCATCAGTTTTCACGGTAACTAGCAGCACACCAAACCCTACGGTGAACATTTCCGGTCCAATGAAATCTCCGAAAAATAAGCCGGTGGCCTCGTCGACTCCGGATGCTGCTAACAAGATTCGCAGAGTCAAGGTTCAAATTTCCCAGGCATCTGCAAAGCGCAACATTTCATGTAATATTTCGCCGGTAACATCAAAGATAAGCGCTAGTAATGGTGACAGTAGCGGTGGCTCAAAGAGAAGTTCAAAAATGTAAGTTATGATAAATTTGCCCTGATAATTATAAATTAAGCCAATAATTTCAGAAATGTAGTAAAAGGGATAATGCCATTTTAAAATAGTTAGATTTCACATATTTTTGTTTCTAAAATCGTACCAATTACTGTAGATCGCGTATTATCAAGTACCTATAGTAAATGTTTTTCAAAAAATGCATTTACAAATGTTTGATGTTCTAATTTAAATAGGAACCTATTTGAACTTATTACAAAACTATTTTATTTGTATTTTTCGTTCGTGCATATGAATAATTGCATGTTCATTATCTAGCTACCGATTAAACAAGACATTGTCTCCGCCGAACGAAAAGACATCTACAGTTCGTCCAGCGGATTCGACCGAGTCCAGTATTCCGAAGTATTCTCCTTTTTCGAGTACCCGAAAAAAGAATTCCTTCAGCGATATAAAGAAGTTACACCGCCGGTCAGAACCGTTTAAATTTGCGATCCCTAAAGATTGTAATAAATTAGAAAAATCACCGACTCCAAGGAACAATAAAGAAGTTGAAGAACTGCAAAGTCCTCTGAAGAATAATAATAAATTGGTCACAAAAATGAAGCCGTCTACCTTGGTTGGTAACTTATGCTTCATTCCCGGTAAATAAGAATAGAATATTCTCAGGCAAATGTACAATTTTAATTTCATTACTGATTTTAGATATCAAAGCTTCGGCGATGTAGTAGTGGAGCAAATATTATCGGAAAGGAGAATCGTCCATGATTAATTTATATTTGTAAGTAACTGCTTTGATCATTGCTCCCTCGTATTATGGAGAATAATATAATAAGATATCAAAAATAAGGCTCATAAAAACCAATTCATTCGTTGGTGTTTTATAAGAATGAGTTGACCACCTCAATCACCTTTGGACGTAATGCAGTATTCTATACGTTTTGTAATAAAATGTTCTTGAACTTGATGCGCTTTATTAATTTATCTCGGTTATTAAGAATACCTAACAGTGGTCGAGATCATTTGCGTTTATAAGAAACACTGACTATCCTATCGCGTCTACGGGAATGCACGTATTATAAATTTAAAATGACTTGAATCCGCCAATTATTTAATCTGCTCTTCCATTTCCTACAGCTTTAAAATTGTTTGGGTAGTAAAGTGCAGGGTTGGGTAATTTCACGATTTTCGAGGTATTGACGTATATTACGTACATGAAGTAGTTTACTGTTGAAACGTAAAAAACCAGGAGATAACGTATCAAATATGGCGGACAAGACAGACATAGGGCATGCGGTATCCGCTAGGTTATAAACATCCATCTTGTCCATTTGTTTCATCCCAAAATATACTTTTTGGTCTTCCATCGTCATACAGTTTGATATAAATATTGGTTACGAATCTCACGACTTCAAATAGCCGTTATCAGCCGTTATAAACAAACGTCAAATGCACATATATGCATACATTTCAAATTTCCAAGGCTGATTTCGAATGTGCGCGGATTTGTGGATGCGTAAAGCGCAATCCCCTTAATATCCAAGAGAATCTCTCTTAGAGGTAAACAGAGATGAGTTGGGAGATTGCTCACGGGCAGGATCGTGCGATCGCATTCTGTGCTGCCATCTGGTTTCGTACGTTAGCTTTCACCGTTTTTTG